GCGCGGTTCGACGAGTGATTGGTCCGAGTAAATAGCTGCATCTTGGGATAGCTTCCGTCTTTTGCCCCTATTAGATGGGGAGCGTTCGGTTCGCAAAGGGCTAGACACCGCATTAGGCTCCGAGGGTGTCTTCCTAACCAGGCGGTTAGTGGTGCTACTATCAGCCTGAGGCGGGTGCTCTGTTGCTAGAGAAGGCAAAGGCTCTTGTATAAGGTCTTGTTGTGTCCGACTAAGCACCGTAGGAGGTTCTTGCTGACTAAGCGAACGCTCCTGTGTCCGTAGGGATGAAAACCCTGCGCGGGGCAGAAACTCTTGTGTCCGGTTCCGCGGAGGATAGATTTGGGATCGCCTCAAAGACTCGCTAGCTGTTTCGTCTCCTGGAGGACTGGGAACCTGAGTAGGGAGCCTTGGGGGAGCGATCGGAGAACGCTGAGTTCGGCGGTTCTGGGAAATCGGACTCTGGAACGAAGGCGACTTGCTGTGGGACCTGGCTCGGGACCTGCCGTGTAGGCCACTATCCTGCAGTCTAGGTGTCTTGTAACGGCTGCTACTTCTGTTTTCCTCATCCTGTAGATGTTCCTGCTGTATAGGATCCTCCGTCTGATGGGGCCTGAGTTCTTGATTCTCCGTGCGCTTGTCTGTAAACATGGTTGACTTGGGAAACTGGGCTACACGTGTCTGGCTCTTCGGAGGATATATGGCCAACCGTCCCGACGGCTCTTCTCCGGCTGGTTCGGCTCCGGGGAGATCGGGGACTAGAGGAGGACTGGGTGGCCGGATAGGAGATCGATTCGACGGCCCTCCCTTCGCCCGATTTGGCCCGTCATCGGTCTCCTCAGTTTCTGTCGTAGGAGATTGCTGTAAAGGGCTCTGTGTCTCATCGAGCCCCTGCCCCTGAATGACCAGACTCTTATGGAGCTGGGGCTCTTGCGTGGGATTCCGCGGAGACTTCCTCGGCGGCATTTCTATAGCTGTGTCAGCCCCTGGAGGGCTGGGAACTGGAGTAGGGCTGTGGGGGAGGATTATAGATCGTGGAGGCCCAACTTTGGGCTGCTCTCGACGGCTTCGAGAGTTAGGATTTCGGGGGACGGGGGACCTGTAGCGTTCATTAGGATTGCTCTTCTCGGCTCGATGTCGGGCTTCTGCTCTCTGAGACCGCGCAGGGTCCCGTGTGGGATCGGCTATCGGCCCTGGGATCGGCTCTTGTACCGGCCCCTCTTGTGATGTGTTCTGGCTCTCTGGCACTTCAACGGGCTCAGGCGCTCGGGATTGTCTCGCTAGCTCTTCTGTAGCTGTTGGGCCGGTAGGACCGGGAGGCAAGATTGGGGACCGTGGCGGCCCCGCTTTAGGCCGTTCTCGGCGGTTTCGGGAGATGGGAGTCCGGGAGGAGGGGGATTTGCTGCGTGGCTTGCTATCCCGCCGTCTGGGCGGCCTGCGATCGCTGTTCCGATCGCCTCTGGGAGGCGGAGTCTCAAGTGTCTCGGCAAGCACTGACGCTTGCACGTCTACTGGCGTTGGATTGGGTATTGGCGCTTGCGTCCCATCAGGTAGAGGCGGAGTGATCTCCTGCATAGGGAAGGAAAGCTCATGCCGAACTTCTTGCGTTTGGCTGGGTAGGCTGGAGGCCTGACCTCCGTGTGCAGAGAGCAGGGTCTCGTTGACCTGCATCGGTTCCTCAGGACCTGCGTCTCGTGTGACCTGTTCCTCGTCGTCGACCTGCATGCTTAGCCCACCCGGAGCAGACCAATTGATTGGCATTTCTGGTCCTTCAGTCATGTACGAACAAGGGCCGAAAAAGGCCTCCATAAAATCCTTTTGCACGAAGGCTGCCGTCACGTCTCTTCTACAACCGGCTTGTTGGAGGGTGGGCAGGAAGGCGTCGCGCCGCAGGTCAAAGAAATTTCCAACGGATGGCTTTCCGCCTCGCCAGTCCTTTGCTTGCGTATCCCTATTCCACTCCATCGGACGTGGCAACGGGGGCGCTTCGGCGAGCCCACGACTGATTTTTGTCGTGCGAAAGCCAAGTTGTCTCGCTCGGGCGCGGCGCCGGAAGACGTACCAATCGTCCTTGCCAGCTGCCGGGGGGGGCTCACCGCGCCTGTCTTGGAGCAGCGGGTCGTTCGATAGATGAGGAAAGTCCCTCTGACCGTCGAGGAAAAGCAGATAGCAGGCCAATTCCGTGTTCAAGGAGAGTAGACGCTGAACAACGCCTTCCGCAACCTCCACGATAGGCTCGGCTGTTGGTTTCCAACATGCACGTAGGCTCTGGAACAGAGCGTCGCCTCCATTCCTCCTTAACTTATCGGGCTCATCGTCGACGATATATTTTCTCAAGATCTTGGCCCCGATCGAGAAATATATCATGTTTTGGTGCAACGTCTCGAAGCTAGGAACAATGACGTTGAGGGAGAATAGGTTTTGTTTAATCCTTTGCCGGACCGACGCGTCTTTTACGCCACGGAGAAATTGGCCCGTATCTACCATCCGTCGGATATAGCGTCTATCGGCGCTATTCGAGGGATTACGGCGCTGTACGCAGCTGATAGAGTCGTCGTCGAAATATGGTACCAGGGGGGGATTGCCGGCTGTGATCTTCCAAAAAAAGATGTCGAAGATGCGGCGGACGTATCGTACCAAGTTCTCGGAGCAGAGTAATGCGAGATACTTGTGCCATATTCCGAGCTTGAATCCTCTCCTCATGCCGGGAAATTGGAGAACCTCCCAGAGTGATTCTATGATGTCCTTGTTCTTGAGTTTCCCGTTTTCCTTCCGGAGCAAAAGGTTGAGGATTTTCTCTTTGTCTTCTGACAGCTCCAGTCTCCAACTCTCGGCTTTATCCGTCTTCCCAAGCTCAAAACTGAAGATGCGATAGCAGATTTCGCCGTCTGGATATTTGGTCTGGCGCGAGAAGATCGATACGTTGGGATTGCGGTAAAGCTTCACGGGCCAGTAAAAATTTTTCCCAAACCTCCTTCGAGCCGCGGCGGTTCTCTGCCGTCCATCAAGACAGAGGATGCATCTCCGAAGAGGTACCAGTGGGTATTTGCCTGTTTGAATGGTGCTCCGCAACTCGGCTTCGGAGATGCCGAGTGCGAGCAATACTCTGTTATATGTCGCGGCATTGATTTCGCCCTTGATATGATGCTCCCATTTGTCGGGCCGGCAATCCTTCCCGAAGAGGCGGGAAAGACGCCTAACGGCTGCCGCGTCTTGGCCTCTTCCCCTACCGGGCTGGTAGGTAAAGGCATTCAACGGAACTCGAATAATGCCGACAATACGTTCGTCTGCCATTGTCGATGCAAAGGATTGAGGCCCAGAGACCTCATACTCAGCAGTTTGGTTCGCCATAAATCTACGTCGAGTATAATGAGATTGGCGCCCTGTAACCGGGGATAGAGGAGCCCCCGCCCGAGACCGGGCAAGCCGATCCGCGTTTGCGGGTGCTTGGCAATCCTGTTTGCCTGACCTCCCGGATCCGGGATGCCGGGTCCGCTTCGCCACCCTCTCAACTCCCGCCTCCGGAAGCACAAACACAGATCCAATCGTGATCTGTTGCTCTGGTGAGTTCGAAGGTGGGCTAAGCGCGGGGATCCTTCTGGGTCTCCCTTGCAACCCAATACAGGAGTTTTATTTAGAGCAAGATAATTTTAACAACAAGACCGGCTAGCCACGTGACCTCACGAACTCAAACAGCTCGCTAGTGGACCTCGCTTCGCTGCAGGTGGAGATGTTCAACAGGGTGTGGGAGAGGAGCATGCTGATATACTGGCTAGATAAACAATCTGGCGTCGACGTACTGGAACCAAGGCCCGTGGTAGGATTCTGAGGCGCTGGGGGCGCAAGTGAGGGGAACGACAAAGAGGGTACTGGGACAGAGCCTAGAGAGCTCAGGGGGGGGAGTGGTAGGTAGGTCGGGTTGCGATGAAGTGGGATGGATGGTTCGTTCCCGATAAATCAAGTAGTACGAACGCCAAGTCATATCATATTATAAATATTCTTCCGTTATGTTTGCATGCTCTGTTGACATGGATATCGAGTTTCAACCCCCTCGACAAGCATATGTTCGAATTCATAGATAAATATATCAACCCCCTTTAACCAACCGTACAACGTCTGCCTAAAGGTTCCTATGTTCACTGCGGCATCTAGTGCAAGAACGTGCGGAATCTCAATCTCGGCGGGACCGAAGCGTTCTTGAAGAGCGCGCAGGACCGGGGAGAAGCTTGGGTACTGCGAAAGCCACAGCATCTGATTCGCGGACGCTTTGACAGCGATAAAAGAGGCGGGCAGCTCTTCGCGATTTGCTACCTTCCAGCCGCCGCCGTCGCCCTTGATTATTCCTTCTTGGAAGGAACTAACTCTACATCCACATGATGTAATGTCCTCTGTGGAAGTCAGTCTGGGAATCTCTCCTTTATCTTCGGCTTCTTTCTGTATATCCTGCAGGCACAACGGCAAAGCACGTCTCAGCTCTATATACTCTGACGCTCTCGTTTTGATAGCGACGACTGCCTCCGTAGCGCCTATGGCGAGGATCTGGATAAACGACCAGCGCTTCGAGGGTAAAGTGGGTTCAGCAAGCATCCATAGGATGCTATTCGTATGCTTTCGCTTTGCAAGCCATGCAAGCTTTTTGGTGGTTGCATCGCTCCTCAGGAATGCTAGGCAATTGAAGACCCGAGAGTATGTTCGAGCGACTTCCTGTACGGGCTCTGTATGAAGAAAGAAGATGGTTGTAACCAATCGCCAGCACACCATCAATTCAGTTACAAATCAAAAGATCGGGGACTGGATTTTGCACTAGCTCAGGCCGCATCATAGACGAATTGGAGGTTGGCAAGATTCATTATTGTATTTGTTTTCATGGGTGTAGGTTGCATTTATAGCAAATGGCAGAGCCCCGTGCTACCGGAATCCCGGCGAAAATCTGGGCCAAGGATGGAAATCGAAGCACAGATCCTACCACACCAGATCCGGGGCTCCAGGCCACACCTGAATCCATGGATCCAGGCCACACCCGGATCCGTGGCTCCAGGCCACACTTAGATCCATGGATCCAGGCCACACCCAGATCCGTGGCTCCAGGCCACACTTAGATCCATGGATCCAGGCCACACCCAGATCCGTGGCTCCAGGCCACACTTAGATCCGTGGCTCCAGGCCACACCTAGATCCCCGGCCACACCCAGACCCGGCCACACGCAGATCCCCGGTCACGCCACAGCTCCAAGCCCTACCCAGATCCCTGGTTCCAGGCCATAGCCGGTCCGGCCCGGACACCCAGACCAGTGACATCCCACATTACACAGAGGTCTTGGCTGCCGGGCCAACCGACAGCTCAGGCCACGCTGACATTCCAAGCGACGTTACATTCCGGGTACCAAACGCCGCTTCAAAGAAACAAATCTAGTTCAAGAGCGGGCAAAGCTCTGCCTGATTTGCGCAGCCGAAAACTGGCGCATATCCAGGGAATGGTTTGTTCTGGCTGCGGCCTCTGCCGCTCTGGCAAGACGAGTGCAGATGCCTACGAGCCGGTCCGGACAGGTATCCAGGACTGTGGTCCCTACCAATCTCAGAGTCGGGTTGTGTATCCTTTTGAAGTCTTTACTTTAGGACTGTCAGTCGAAGGAAGATCTTGCGGGAAGAAGCCACATACACGATCAGTTCAGCTGCATCTGAATAGACTAACACAAAGAGTGGCGATACTGTCGCCAGGTAGCTCCATCTTTTGCTAAATCGTTTCCGGCCTCGTCTTAGCTTACACCTCAACTCGTCTGTGTTCGAGTGCGTTTCTTGAGCGCTTAGATATATATCCATCGCGATATGCGCGTCCCGGTAGTATGGTTCGCGGTGGATTCTCCCATTGTGTCTATCGGACTTTATAATAGCTTCTAGGGAACCAAAGAGCCGCATGAGATGAACGTTGGCGAGCCGTTGTAGCATGGTGTTGCCTCGCCCGCAGAGAACGCTGTCCACGGCTTTAAACGCAGTTATGATACGAGGATCTGTGCTAGTGATGCCGTTTGGTAATGTAGCGTTGCGGAGCAATGCCATCCAGTCTAGTACAGTTTTCTCGCAGTTGTCAGCAAAGGTGCCAACCGGATCATATCCAATGAGCCTATAGCCGAGGGAAGTCGCTCTGTTAGCTCTCCTTTCAGCGTCCCGGGGCCTCCCTTCTTGAACTGTTTCTCTAGAAGACGAACTAGCCCTCGCCCTAGATCTACCGTTACCATCGCATTTATATCGAGAGGGTCTCTGCGTTTCTAGTTGTTGTAGCTGCGATTGCGAAGCCTGCAAAAGCTCTAACCTGGTGTCGCTTATGTACGCATCAGCGTCTCGGTATGCATATAAAGGCTCGAACGCTAACGCGTTGTTTGCACCTCTCATCTTATAGCTGACATCTGCTCCTACGAGCGTTTCGATGTCCATAGGCTCGACAGGTGATGCGTTTGTACCGCCTGTCTTGCAGTGTACTTCGACGTCCGTATCGATGTCCATAGGCTCGAAAGCCGATGCGTTTGTACTCTCCGTCCCACAGCTAACACCTACTTCGGTGTCCGCATCGATGTCCATAGGCTCGAGGACTGCTTCTCCCTTGTCCTCCAAGTCTAGCGCTTTGAACATCTCTGCGAGTTCATTTTGATTGCTTCGCCCGCCGGCGGACGCTCTCTTCCTCCGCCATGTATGCTGCGGCATAGATGAATCTTATATCTGATACTTGGTGACCTCGCTCAGGGTGACGCTGCGGAATTATGTTAGGAGGACGGTTTAGATGAAGGCAAATATGAGAACTAGGCTGTAATATACAACTTGAATTGGTAGACGGATCCCCGGTCCGGGACGCTTCCAGGGCTCTCGGTGGCCGCAGAACCCTGGCTCCCGGACTGCGGACGGCGGCCCCGGGTTTAGGAGATTCTGAGGAAAGGACTGCTCTGTATAGAGCCTTGGTCTAGAATATCCCACAGCAATAGGGCCTGTCGAGAAGGCACTTCGAGGTTGAGCTCGCCGGGTCATGAACGTGTAAGATCTGGCCCAGTCTCGGCTTGATCCGGCTTGCGGTGCTGTTGGCCTGATTATTCATCAGAGACCAATGACACTGCTTGTCTGCGACCCACATTTAGTGGTCAGTTCCAACCTCTGAATGTGGGGCTCCCGCAACACTCGCTTGAGCCGCAAGACCCCTACCCACCTGGTTTGCGTCCATTCGCCCGTCCCAAACCCCCCGGGACGCCGAGCTAGATGATGGCACCCTCGTTTTGACGCGCCTCACAGGTGAATCGCTCTCGCGGGAGATCCGCCCTGCAAGATCGGAATATGGTCGGCAGTATATTGCGCTCTTGTGATGGCGGAATGACAGGAGCGCTTGAGCAGCTTCGGCGACCTCAAAGCTTGTCGATCTCAACGCCGATCCTGTGATCCGACAGCGAGGCCCCTGCTATTTAGGGTGCGGTACATGACGGCGGGCTCCCTCAACGAGATAGTACTGGTTCTGGGAGGTGAGGTCAACGCTCCGGGCGGCAACCCCATTACGCTGTTGATGTACGCCGTCGAGAGCCAGTAAGTTGACGGTGTCAGTCCTCCTTGCAGCGGGTGCTGGATCCGAACCGGCGGTCTCGAGAGGAGCTACTACTACCAGTGGACTTCCAAGGGGAGTGTAACTAACCTCGATTTGCGGTACAGGGAGTACCCCGAGAGCATAAAGCCTTCAGTAAATCGAATCCAACAGGTCTATCTGGCGGAGTCTAGGATTCTACTGCCGTCTCACCTAAGCCCGAAGACATAGCGGCGCTAAGTTGCCAGCTTCGTTGAAGCCGTCAATGCGGACATCTCTCACGGGACCGTCGGCGCCGAACAACACCTGCCGACATAGACCCGCAGAAGCTCGCAGCTAGGTAATATATATAAGAGGCTGTAGTAAGTGATGCTTCGCATATGTAAGGTTAGGCTCTTGCGATACTACGCGAGGCTCAATCCTCATGATTTTAGGATTGTAGGAATTTGAGAGATCGTATCGCGGTGCCAGACAACCACGGCAGTTTTCTAAATATACAATCCGACCTGCACACAGCGATTAGTTTTTGGGATTTAACGATCAGAATCTGTTTCTCATACGAATTTGTATAGGACATCGTTAGTGTCGGAGTTTAAAGATAATATCGTAAGGATTCCTGCTTAGTAGTACACACAAATCGTTATATTCGTTGACCTCTAGGCCCTGATGACCCTATATAAATAGTACTATAATGGCTAAGAATCGTACACAGAGAGCGACAGTAGCCTTCAATCGCAGTATAGCTGTTAGAACTGCCTATCTATTTTACGCAAATGCGAACCTCCTGAGCTGGTGAGAGCGAGTGAGAGCCTCAGTCGTTCCATTTTGGGTAAAAAGTGGGTACCTCCAATGTGTCTGAAGAGTATATTGGCTAAAGATTTAGATATCGATGTTCACCGTAGGTCCCGCCTAGGATTGACTTCTCTTACTCTATACACAAATTAAAGGGAACGAAAATATAGAAGATGGAAAGGACAGGCGACTCCCTCATGCATCCACCTCCATCCCGACCTCTTCCAATTCGGAGTCCTCCTCCGAAGAGGAGTCCTCGGTGGAGGAATCCTCGGAGGAGGAGTCTTCCGAAGAGGAGTCCATCCTTTTACGTTCTCTCGGCTCTGTTACAATCTTTTTCTGGCCAGACAGTTTTCTATGCTTGTTCAGATCGGCGGTTCCGTCGCTGAACTTCCTGCAGTATACTGATCTGGACCAGGCCGTGAGAATTTTCTCGTCTCTGTGGTACCCAATGAAATATGCCACCGGCCACTGATCCCTGTATTCCTGCCTCGCACACGCGTAGTTCAAAATGACTATATCATTCTTTACGCAACCCCGCAAGTCTTTCCCGTTGTTTGGCTTTAACGTTAAGGCTTTGCCCTTCGCAGTATCATGGAACTTTTTCGTTTCGTCTGGATATTCCGACTGTTTCACCAGTATGAGTCTTTCTCCAGCATCGCGCTTGGCATTCGGGAGTCTTGGAACGCGGACCACTAAAAACATCCAGATGGAATAGGTGATCCGACCGGTGGTCGGCTCCCCGGTGTCATGATCGCGGCTAAGACTGATGACGTTCCAGCCCTCGGTTTCTGGGAGCAGCCGGGCTTCCTTCACGATCCGATCTCTATGTTCTTGTGGGTTGCGAACCCAGGGGAGTTTGTTCTTGCTCTTCTTCCCCCCGCCCTTCTTGTCCTTCTTGTCCTTCTTGTCCTTCTTGTCCTTCTTGTCCTTCTTGTCCTTCTTGTCCTTCTTGTCCTTCTTGCTCTTCTCGCTGACTCGCGGATGCTGTGTTCTATATGCATCATATGCGGCTTTGAACTCAGCGTCGGTGCCGATTTCTTCCTCAAACTCCGCCATCATTTTAGGGTTAAGGCTATGCAGAATGCAGATGCTGAGTAGCTCGGTCTCGGAACTGCTTGGGAATTGTCTCAGAACGTATTCCCCAACAAATTTGATGTCGGCCAACTCGCGGCCATGCCTTTCACAGCATTCTGCTATCGCTCGCAACGAAGTGCGATCCCCTCCGAGTTTTGCTTCAAAAAGCGGCCAAGGGGTGTTGCTCTGTGGGTTGTTCTTTCCGGTGTTCTGTCCATTGTTCTGTTGGCTGTTCTGGGCCGGATTCTGGACTGGTTTGTTCTGGGCTGGTTTGTTCTGCGTTGGGCTGTTCTGGGCTGGGTTGGTCTGGGCTGGGTTGTTTGGGCTGTTCCCTTCAGTGTTCTGGCTGGTGGCGGTCGGCTCAGTGACGGTTTGCTTAGGAGTCTTCTGGTCAGAGCTCTCTGGTTCAGGCGTTGAATCGTAAGTTGTGGTAGCAGCGGTGTCAGGTGAGACGCGCGTGGTAACGGTTTCGGGAGTAGATCGCGTGGGGGAAGACGGACTTGTACTCCTCCCAGATTCCGCCCCGTTATCGTCTCCCGATCCGGAGGCTACTGATTTGTCCTCCAGTTGTGAATACTCTTTAACGAGCTTCTGATATGCCGATGTGAATGCCTTTTTTCTTTGGACCCAATCTAGAGGATACTTCTCAAGTTTCTCAAATTCGTCCGCATAGTAGTCCGGATTGGGCGCTATTTTTTTGATCTCCCCCAATGCGTGTTGCCCTATGTATTTGACGGATGGGAAATCGGGATGTTCATCGATGAAGCGCCGCACCTGGCGGGCCAACAGGCTGCCGACATTCTCCTGGCCGTCGTTGCCATTCTCCTGGCCGTCGTTGCCATTCTGTCCGCCGCGAGCACTCGACATCTTTCGAGTGGGGAAGGTGTCAGGACGTTAAGTCGACTCAGGAAACGGTTTAGCTAAAACGTTGACAGAGTTGTGGTATAAGGTTGAGATGTTCTCTATCTGAGTGCGACTTGCTGATTTAATAGTGCTAGTGCATCCCCGTAAACCCTGGAACCCGGGAGCAGCTGGAAGTTTGGTGGAATCTCCCTGGACCGGGGAGTCCGGTGACAGCTGGAGGCCGAGTTTCGGGGCGCGTAACCCTTATCCGGGACCGGGAACCAGGAAGCCTGGGTCCGAATTGCGCAGACATAGATATGAAGACGACGAGGGACGTTTCGCCCTGTTCCAAATCGCAATTTTTTGTTTGTTTATATGGATAACACAAGTCGCCTCGGTTGACCACATGGACCTTATCGTGGTGTACGCTATTGCCTTTGTATCTTTCCTACTCCTTTATCCAGTCCTGAGACTCTTGCGGCGCTTAATGCGGCGCTTAGTGCAGCATTTGGAGCCGCGTTTACACTCATTGGCATTGCTGTTGCGGTCTGTAATCACCGGTATTCCTGTGCTGTTTACCCGCCATGTTCAATATCCCCTCCTTCTGCCAAGGAGGTACTGGATGAGCATCACTCGTTTGGAATTTGTGATTCTTGTTTTGTATCTCGGTGCCAATGGCGCGTTCCTCTTTCTGGGAAGAGCGAACGTCGGGTCGATGGCGGCGATGTTGGCCGTTATCAACGCGGTGCCGCTGTTCCTCGGGGGACGCACAAACCCGCTCGCAGACTTCGTTGGTATCCCACTATCGACGTATTATATTTTTCATCATTTCATCGGTAGAGTCGTGTTTGCGGAAGGCGTCTTGCACGCCGCGCTAGCCCTCAGGCGGTCGCGGTACGATCAAGTTAGTACGTCGGGCTACATCGTAAGTCGGCCTACTCGCTGTTTACGGCCGAGCTAACAGAGGAAGGGTTCTGGAGGACTCCTTCTCCTCTTCTGCACTTCCATCTGGCTTGTGCGTCGGTATTTCTTCCGGAGCTTTGCGAAAATACACTTTATTCTCGCGCTCGCGACGCTCGGCGCCACCACCTGGCACACCCTTTGCCAGACGACCAGGCAGGCCAAGATACCCGTTTTCCTTTCCGGAGGATTGTGGGTATCAACGACCGTTTATAGGTGTATTAGGATCGCATTCTACACTACCGGAGCGAAGATAACGCGCGAGACCGGGGATTCGGAGTTCTCGCGGATCCAAGTACATCGCGACTCTCGCGTCCGCTTCTACCCGGGATGCTATTTCTATATTTTCCCGTCGGGGAACCTCCTCCACTATGACTCGCTCGGCAGTTTTCCGATGGCGCTGATGTGGTACGGGCCCGGCAGGGAACTAGAGACCGACGTAGCGGAAGACCTGGCTTTTCTAGTCTCGCACAACAGCCGCCCTCTCCGCTCCCTACGGTTCGGAGAAGGGGAGAGGCTGCTCCTGGACGGCCCCCACGGGCAGAACCTTGGTCTGCAACGCTTCGAGACCGTGATGCTCGCAGCCCACGGGGTCGGGATCTCGGGTGTCCTTTCCTTCGCCCTGTATCTCTGCGAACGCCGAGGCTCTCGGGGACGGCTCCGCCGAGTGAATCTCTTGTGGAGCCCAAAGTACTGCAAGAAGGGTCCTAGTCATGGGCCCTCAGAAAAGGAAAAATAAATGTCGGCTTCTCTCTGCCCAGATGGCCAGTGGTCTTCATCCCAGTTCAACATAGAGCCGGGTTTGGCGAAATCCTCAACTGTCGAATTAAAAAGCTCCGCCGCGTTCTAGGGGGCTGCTGACGCCTGAGGTATATGGCGGCGGTGATCCCTGAAAGAATGCTGTGTCTGTTATTGTGACCGAAGGGCTGTGTTGGGTCGTGGCGCGGCTCGCCCTCTTGCTTGCAGCTCGTTCTTTCAGGTCCTGGAAAATGGTTGCCAAAGTTTCGTGATCATCTTTGTCGTCATCGCAGCCGGCGTCCGAGGAACAGTCGCTCTTATCACCTGCATCCCAGTCACTGTCATCATCATCGTCATCCATGTCGCCTGCCGCCATACTGCCATCCTCATCAACGGCTGTGTCTGCATCTGTGTCGTCAAGCCCACGGACGAGTTTGGGCCGCTTTATCCTCTCTAAACTCAGTGTCTCTGCAGCACTATGCTTGTTTTCTTTCTTCATCGCACGACCCGTTGGCGATCCGCTCTGCATAGCTCGTACGTTCTCCCACATCCAACTTAGACACTCGCTGTCGCTCCACCCCAGTGAACCGATCTGGGACAATAAGTCACCTAACAGTTTCCAAGTCTCGATATTGGCTAGGCCGATGTCGCTTGCCGTGTTGATGAGTATGTCGTCGCTGCCGTGCTTACCATTTCCATCTCCAGTTACAAGACCAGTGTTGCACAACGCATCAGGTTCGCGCTCATCGCGTGATGGTCTTGAAGGAGCTGTTCTTCTGGTTGTGTGGAAATCGAGCACATGCGCTTCATACGCATCTTGTCCATCCACTTCTCGTCCACATCTTGCGCACTGGAAAGGCCGCTTGAATTGCTCACTATGCGTGCGAGTGAGATGCCGATGCATATCCTGGAAAACCTTTCCACAGAGCTGGCAGCGCTGGAATGGACAGCACGAATCCGGCAGGTGGACTTGAGCATGGCCAAGCCACTCGTCTAAGTCCTCGTAGCTCGGTGAATGCTCACATTCCTTACAGGAAACCTGCCCGCTGTGCTCGGTGTGGGTGTGGTTGATATGGCTGGCGAACATGGTAGGTGAAATTCTCGAGCCACAGAAACAACGGATGGCTTTGGCGATAGGGTTCGGAGTGAACTTTGGGCCGTGAGAAGTTGCGCAATGGATAGACCACGCCTCTGAGCCGGTTACTTCGACATCCTTCCCACATCTGGCACAAGCAGGACACTTGAATGGCCGTAAAAGTTGGTCCTCGTGAATCGCCCCGGTATGCCTCGTGAGGGAAAAGTGCTTGGTAAATCGCGCCTCGCAGAGGAGACACTGAAATTGGGGCCCCCTTGTTGCTGCTGTTGTTGTTGCTGCACCAGGGCCCCTTCCACGTAGGTTGTCCAGAAGAAGTTCCATCCAACGGATGTTGCCCGCCCGATCTGCCGGCATATCGCTGGCCTGCAAAAAAAGTGAGCTATGGTAGCTCCGCTGTAAGTCAGCGAAAGGGCAGTCCTCTCCTGAAGGGCCTTAGATCGGATGCCGTCTGTTGGTAAGCCGCGAGCTCGATGCCCATCAATCTGGGCGAAAAACCGGGCTCTCTTGAGGTCGAGGTAAAGGGCCGACAGCGATTTGATTTCAGCGCCGCACCGATCTCGCAACAAGATTCTCTCACGTCCAGTAGCATTCTTGATTGCCTCACGATACGCAGTAATATCGTTGCGACGTTCGAATTCAGCGAGCTCGTGCTTCGTTAGATCGATTGGCGCGTCCTCATCGGCGGTGAAACGGAAGTCATCCTGGGCAGCCAGGAAAGGCCGATCCTGCTTCGCCTCCTCCGTTAAGAGTTCGAGGAGGTTAGCTGAGAGAGATGCCTGGTAACTATTCTTAAACACGTCGATCGAGTTGGAGAATATGTAACAGTGCAGGACCTCCCCGAGCGCGCCTGGGCGGAATCGAGGAAAGTGAGGTTAGCAAGGACTTATCTCTTTTCAGCAGTCATCCAGTGGGCCGCCTACCTATCGTTCTGCCACCTGCCCCAACTCGCAGGCAGTAATAACGAGGAACATCCCTGGCGCCGCTCACGAGACACGTACGCTCCCACACGTTACGCAAAGTGGTGTAGGAAATGTCGACGATGTAGTTGTCCAACATAGATTTCTTCCATCTCAGTGGGACATAGTTAGCCTTCTCTCGAAGGGGCCGAGTGTAGAGATGTTCAGGTGAGGTGTACTCTGCCTCAAAGGCGTTTGACGCGATCCCTAGACATGCGATGAGGTCGGGAAGATCGAAGAGTGGGTCGGGATTGGCCATAACTGTGAAGACGATCCATGGAGACAACTTTGAGTTGCACTTCTGACGCCGCTCAAACTTGATTCTTTTGATGCGGACCTCGCAAGCCAGCCTGGTTCTACCGTCGGGGAGGGTGATGAATGCAAGCTGAAACTGAGAAAACTTCATCCTGCGCAAGGACTTGGGCCGGAAGCCGCCAAGAGCAGACAGCAGGTCGATAATGTGGACGCACAGCCTCGTGAGCGGAGTGCAGGGGATGTAGGCCGCCTTTACCCACAGGTTGAAGAGGATCTTTCTGACAGTCGAAGGCGTCGCCGCGACTTTTTGGTACGGCGAGTCGAGGACCAAGTCCTCCTTCGACGCCAAATTCTCATAGATCCACTGTCGCCCAGAGCCTGGTCATCATTCACGCATCCATATTAGAAGAAGGTATCACTGACCAAGACGACCTTGAATCCAGGCCCTGCAATGCGGCCCTCTACGACGTGGAGCCACTGGAGTCTCCAGAAACGGGCCTTCTTGGGTTGAGCCCGCCTCTTGGGCTCCATGATATAGAAATCAGCGGCGGCAACGAGCCCCCTCCAGACCCCTACAACGCTCGAAGCGTTTGTGACCGTGCGCATCTTTGCGCGCTCGCGCGCGTCGAGAACGAAGCGCATCTGAAATGAATTCCGCACGTAACTGGTAAGGAATACTTGGATCGCCTTGGTCGCTGTATCCCGCTGCTGAAGAAAATCTTCCCCGACGCGAGCGGAGTCTATCTTGGCCAAGTGACAAAAGCTGTGCAACCGGTTCAGCACGAAAGGTCACTCGTTCCAACGAAGGTTGCTTACCCTTCCCAGAGCTTCCATATCCGATCCCTTTCACACCTTGTGGACTCGTCCACAAGAGGACCGTTATGTTTCTTTTAGCCCTTGGCATCCTCGAAGAGCCCTTGGAGAGCCAGCTCCTGCTCAGCGGGCTGAGCGGACATCTGGTCGAGCCAACCACATCGAGCAAGATAGCCGGCCATCGCTTTGGTGTTATTGTGAGGAAACAATAGTAGAAAGAAGGACGCCAGGGCCTTGTGGTGACCTCAAAGTGACGGGCGAGACAACACAAGACGGATAACGAGGAAAAGACAAAGGGGAATAAGAAGGAAGAGACGGGCCTGGAAGGGGTGGGAGAGGGTAAGAGCAGATGCCCTTCCATGAATCCTGCGCAGTTTACAGCGAACCTCACTCCCGGCTGCCGGCCCCCCCTTTCATCCATGGCCCACGGTAGGGGTGGGAAAGAAGAAATCCGGCCATGTTATGGAATTGCTCGGGAAAACGAACAGACAGACAGGGGAAGCATCCGAGAAGACCGGCGTTCCTCTCCGTCTTTCAAGTAACGGCGTCCGAGAAAAGCGGCCGCCCAACCCCGGCTCCGTTTCTGGGCCCGGGAGGGTTGAAGGGGCAATGTGCTCTCACGTGATTTCCGAAATCAAAGAAGGGGGGTCAGGGTTTTCTGTTTTTTTTTTTTTAATAAAGAGAAGAGCCCCACAAAAGCCCCACAAATGTGCCAACACGATCGCGAGTTTTCCAGTAGGTATGGTCGTATGTGACGGACCTTTTCCGCATCATACCCTATAAGGTAACAGCATCAACTCATGGCAAGCCGATCTCACAATGCTTTGAGTTTGTTGCTATCTTATGTAGGTCTTCGTCATCTCAAAATACATATGGATCCCTAGTGCAGAGACATGAATAACGGATAGACGGCGTGTGAAGACAACTCGGAATAGATCTGTTCATTCACGTTACTCGAGTTGCCCATGTGTCTTCCTTGCAGAACTTGAAGCATGCAGTTTTGGTGTACCTCGTCGCCATCACAAAATCACCCTGCGTGGTTAAACGGTTGAACCAACGTCCAGGGGCGCTGAGCTCTTAGCTTCCCTGAGGGATCGGAACTTGAGGACATGAAAATCTCTCGCCTCGCCTATCAAAGACTAGTTGAGAGCTGGAGGATTGGTTGCTGTCAGGCAGTTCTTCATGTCAGAATTGTGTTGAATACCTGGTGGTTGTCAATGGGAATTGCAGCTGAGCAAGGCCGGAAACCATTGCATGGCATGAGGGCGCTGCAAATTCACAGACCTGTGGGCAGCCGAGACTCAATACCTGCACACACCCGACCCAACTCACAGTCATGTTTGGCCATTATTTGGATTTGGTTCATGGGGCTGCTAGATTGTACCCATCTGCCATCTAGCAACGGACCCTACCATCCGTCGCAAGGGGGCTGCCATGACAAGATGATGCATTTTTCCAGTTCCCCCCTTCCCGTCTTTCATTTCCTTTTTCCATGAAAGCGACCAAAAGCGAGACAATTGCAGTCCGAAGTACGCCCCCACCATGGAATCCGTCGAAAGAGCCCCGGCGCGCGCAACACACGCTTCCCGTTCTTCCTTCCCACGCGCAGCGAAGCGATGCAAACCTCCCCGCAACACCCATTCCCCTTCTCCCCCGGCCCCCGACACGAGGCTCGCCACTCACCCATCCCTTTACGCCCTGGACATGACACCCCAGGCACGGATGATGTTGTCCGTGTAGCCGGCGAAGAGGGTCTGGCCGTCGGCGCTCCACGCCAGGCTGACGCACTCGGGCTCGCGGCTCTTCTTGCCAATGTTCTGGAACTCGGGCTTGAGCTCGTCCACCTTGCTCTTCTTCTCGAGGTCGAAGATGATGATGCTGCTCGCCGTGGCGGCGCACAGCCAGTACCGGTTGGGGGAGAAGACAAGGGCATGGATCTCGTCGTTGGCGTTGAGCGAGTACAGGTGCTTGCTCTCATTAAGATCCCACAGCATCGTGGTACCGTCCTTGCCGCCGGAGGCGCAGAGAGATCCATCGGGGGAGATGGTGACGGTGTTGATGTACCCAGTGTGGCCAATGTGGTCGGTTTGCAGCTTGCAGCTCGAAAGCTCCCAGACCTGGAGAGATTGTCAGCCATGAATACCGACTAGGGCAGAGTTTATGCATGTTGTGCAAGTTTCCACGTCGCTCAGTGCATGGTGAATGTTGGTCTCATTGCCCGTGGCGAAACGGGCTCTGAAGTAGCAAATACTTTAAATGGTTGCAAAGCATCATGGCGAGGAGTGGCGCGTCGCGAGAGCCCAAACGTACCTTGACCAGCTTGTCCCAGCCGGATGAGACAATGACAGGGTTCTGGGGGTTGGGCGAGAAGCGCACGCAGGACACCCACTCGGTGTGGCCCTTGTCGGTGATGGTGAACTTGCAGTCACCCAGGGTGTTCCAGAGCTTGATGGTCCGGTCGCGCGAGCCCGAGACGATCTGGCGGTTGTCGGCAGAGAAGGAAACGGAAAGGACGTCGTTGGTGTGGCCGACGAAGCGCCGGGTGGTGGTGCCGGTCGAGAGCTCCCACAGGCGGAGAGTCTTGTCCCACGAGGCAGAAAGGGCATAAGCACCATCCGACGAGATCACCTGCCAAACCAATCAGCAAACCCGCAGTTCCCTCTCGAGATTTGCGATTGCCGCCCAAAACGTACACAGTCGGAGACGATGTGAGAGTGGCCGTGGAGCGACCGCTTGGGGTAACCGTACTGGGTCTCGTCGCGGGTGAGGTTCCAGATGATCAGGGTCTTATCCCGGCTGGCCGACAGGAGCATGTTGGGACTGTTTCATGGTGAGCGCAGGTTCTCGAATCGGACTCGTCTGTTCGTACTTCTCCATCGACGTGGCCAAGCTGGTGACCCAGCCATTCTGCGATGCAATGTTAGCTACTGCTTTCGACCCAGATATGCGATGGCTTGGATTTGGCCGGGAAGTCGAATTGGCAGAAAATGGGAGCACTTACGTGGCCCTCCAGGGTGCCCTTGAGGATGAGTTGCTCAGCCATATTGTCGTCCTTCCTGGGATTCAGAGATCGGTGGAAGAATGGTGAGCCTTTTCTCGGGTGCCTCGATTCGTCGGGGTCAACAGAAATCCGGTCGCTGGCGGGAGCTCTCAGAATTCGCTAAATTTTTGTGCGGCGGAAATAGGGTCCGATCGTGGGGTCAATTAAGCCTGGCAGTCCCGGGCAGCTGGCGGGTTAAGGAATGACCATGCCAGCTGGCAGCCTGGCATTCAGCCATGTGGGGCATGTAGCCTTATCTCAAGATAAGGTGGAGAGCTGAGAGCTCGAAAGCTTGTGATGCAATGATTGCGACTGCAGTCGGGAAACCCAAGGAGTCAACAGTTCACGTCTAGGACATTGGGCACACACTCTCACTGGTCATGACAACTGAGGGACGTTCTAGGGCGGTGCAATACCGGAAAGCAATTGTAAACGAGACCATCGGGTGCAGCACCCAGGAAGTGCAATCACTCTCACACCTGCTCCCAAAGTTCAGAATACCAAGGGTATCTCACAGGTTCTGATAGATGTCAAATAAAACCCCCCCAAAACCACCGCCCATTACAGCCGCACCAAACGCCCTTACGCCTAGATACCGAAGGACGATGCTACCCTTTCCCTGCAATGCCATGCCCAGCAGCAGCAACCTTCCTTATCCCCGCCCGGGGCAAGTCCTTACGATGATAAATCTTCTCCGCGTTGACAATCATGCTGTGGTCGGCAATCTCAAACCGGCCCTTATCCCCGTGCATCATGACGGGCGCAAAGTCCTTGCCCTTGGCCTTGATTTCCTCCTCGATCAGTTCCCGCATCGTCGCCTCCCACAAATTATACCGGTCGCGCCTCGCCGGCTGCCTCTGCGCTGACGACCACACCTCCTTCTGCTTGGCAATCTTGGTAGCCCTCATCAGCCTCCTCAGTGCTCCCTCGCCCGCCTTGGCTTCCTTGGCAGCTGCCTCCCGTATCTTTTTCGGGTCGCCGCGTGGGATCTCGTCGGGCGCCAGCGGTCGCTGTGGTGGTTGTGATTGTGTGTGTGACCCGTCTAATGTCTGAGAGGATGCGTTGAGGCTGAAAGGCCCCCAGTCGTCTGATACGGTGACGGCGTCCACGCTCTCAGGGGTGTATTTGTATGTGTGTATGCTCGGAAACGCGGGAAAGGAGTGGGGGATGAACTGTTTCGCAGCCTTCTCTGGCGCCCCATCCAGCTCGTTGCCTAGTATCGGGAGGTCCCTATCGATGGGGTCGTCGATTGGCAGGGGCTCCCATGTGGGCAGCCGCTTCGACTTGGGTATTGGCGGTTTTTTATGAGGCTTAAGTGATGATGTGGTAAGGTTGAAGCGCTTGAGACTCTGCTCGAAATCCGCAGGGACCGGGTAAGACCGCCGCGCAACGTTGGTGAAGGTCCTCACTTCTTCTACCAGCGACGTCAAGTCTGCGAAGGGCGTTAGTACTGGGCAGGCGGCGACAACACTTCGGGTTGTGTACATGTCTCTGCCATGGCGACGAAGCTCTCCATGGCCTCCGGAGCTGCGCCATCGAAGCCGACCTTCTGTAGAGCCAGCGCAATGCCTCGTCGTAACCCCTTTTTGGCCAATTCGTCTGTCGTTACTAGTGTCGAGGAACACGGAGAGGAACCTAATGGCCCGACCGAGAGGATTGTATACGGTGATCGAATGCGCTGTCTCTTCGTTTGCGTGCCATCTTGGGTATCTTCGGCAGGCCGCTTTCGCGACTCGGATGACATGGTTGAATTATTATGTTGTGGAGATAGAATGATTATATGGCGGTGCGACTGGCGAGAGACAAAGATGGTAATCGTTCCAGAAAACGCGCCGAGCTGGAGTTGAGGTTCATCAGTGATGGAGTGCGCACGAACCACTGCCACTTTACGGATCTGGGCCTAGGGACAAGTTTAGGTAGTGATCCGTGCTTGCCCCACATTTATCATTGGATCCAGTGGTTTGTGTTTGTACTTTGGCCTCCAATTCACTGTTCTGAAAACTTTCTGAACAATCTCCAAGCTTTCCAATGCCATAGTATTTGACAAACTGAGTGATGTCGAACAACCAGGAGCACTCGTTGGCGGCGCGAGGTCCTAGGTAGAGACGTGGGAAGTGCCAGAAGTTGAGGACCGGTGGAGCACTATTTGCTACCTCGCTTGTTCCTGCAAGTTGAAGCTCATCTTTTCTCACAAACTCAAACCGCAGCGGCCAGTCACGGAAGATGCACGATCTTGACGTTCTCAAGAGTGGGGGCTACAAGGGCTCTGGGCTGGTTCAACTCAAGCTAACCTGTCCCTTAACCGAATTTCCCCAAGAAATCCTCGAGCTCGGGGACACCCTTAAACAGCTTGATCTCTCTGGAACAGGCCTGTCCTCTCTGCCTGCAGGTTTCGGCGCCGCCCTGCCAAACCTCAAGATCGCATTCTTCTCCGACTGTAAGTTCAAAGTCTTTCCAAAAGAACTTGCAACATGCCCGAACCTCGAGACGGTTGCCTTCCGCACCAACGGCATGGAGGAAATACCCGAGGATGCCTTCCCGCCGCGCCTGCGTTGGCTCATTCTCACGGGCAACCGCATCAGATCGTTACCCACCAGCATCGGCCGCTGCAACCGCTTGCAAAAATGCCTGTTGGCCGGTAACCAGCTACGAGACTTGCCGGACGAGATGGCCCGGTGCACCAAGCTTGGCCTGCTGCGACTGAGCTCGAATTGCTTCGAAACGCTGCCCTCGTGGCTTTTCACCCTCCCTGAACTGGCATTTCTCTCCTTTGCCGGCAACCCGTGCGCCTCGCCCGCCGTGAACGGATCACGCACCGCTCCCGGCCTGGCGAGCATTCCCTGGGCCAATCTCGAGGTCCAGCAGACTCTTGGCGAGGGAGCATCAGGCGTCATCTGCCAAGGTCTCTGGAAGCAGTCGCCGCAGTATGCCGAGGAGGTTGCGATCAAGCTGTTTCGCGGGGCGATGACCTCTGACGGAAACCCTGCCGACGAGATGGCGGCATGGCTCGCGGCTGGCGCTCACGAAAGTCTCATCACAGTGCTGGGGCGCATCCATGGGCATCCGGATGAGGACGCGGTGGTCGGGTCTGAGGCAAGCCAAACCTTCCAGGGTGGCATCGTGATGCAGCTGATCCCGCCGCATTACACAGTTCTGGGCCAGCCGCCGTCCCTGGTCACATGCACGAGAGATCGCTTTCGAGAGGACGCCTCGCTCAGCGTCTCGTGCGTGCTGTCAATGCTGACTGGCATAGCGGGCGCGGCGGCCCATCTGCATGCGCGGGGCATCTCCCACGGGGATCTGTATGCCCACAACATACTCGCCAGCAGCGAGGACGCACATGCCTTGCTGGGCGACTTTGGCGCTGCGACCATCTACGGCCATGGATCTGCCAGGAACTGCGGCATAGAAAAGCTCGAGGTGCTGGCCTTTGCGCATCTCGTGGAGGACATGTTGGGACTTGTCAAAGAGGACCAATCAGCTTCGGCCCAGCTGCAGCGGGAACTTTGGAATCTACATGCGCGCTGTGCGTCGCCGGCCGTGGACGCCCGGCCGTCTTTTGATGAGGTGGTAGAGGAACTGGAAGGCTTGATGGGATGGAGGGGGATGATGCGGATTCCCGGCTGAGCCAGTTTCTGCCCTAAAAAGACCAGCAGATTCCTGTTGTGAGAATGTGTTGAAGGGTTTGGTCCCGCTGACAGCTGGAAGGGGAGAAACTAGTCTGGCCGCCTATGGAGTACTGAGTACCACAGGACTGATGAATCTGCTGGGAACAAGGGATTGGCTGGACATACGAACCCTGTTTCAGTTTGAACGAACAACGGTTCTTCCGAGCAACGGAAAGCAAGCCGATGAAGACTGGTGCTGCAGAAACTGAGCCAACTGCATCTCGCGTAAAAACATCGCAATATCAAGGCAGGTTGGATGCGGCGACGGCTGGACGGGATTAGGCAACGAGTGGCTCGCCCGCCAACTCACCGCAAGATGCTGCACTTCCGTTTTTGCGTCTCGGATATGCCATTGACCGGCCTCCGATCGGCCAGCAATCCCGCTGTGGCTTGCTGATGCTTACCACGTTAACTGCAGAAAACTCACAAGCAAGTGCATATTCCTCTCTGTACGACCATCGGTTCTTTCGGCAGTAACATGACTCCTCCATACTCAATAGGCATTCTCCTTCAACCAGGCTTCTATGTCCCGTACCCTTTGCCAAGCGTACTGATGGCAACCACGCTCGGCGTCCGGCTACAGATGTGTGATGCGAGCTGCTGTGTGACAACTGAGTGAACTGGCCCGAGGCCCATGGCAGCGAGTGCGGCCCATTTCCGTTCGATGCCGAGACTGGACTCGCCTCTCAATACAGCTGTAGTGTAGTGTAGTCACCCCTGCGCCGCCCCTATCGGCGGGGAACTTTATCGAGCCCGCTCCCCATTGCTGCTTTTTACCCATTCTTCGTCTTATGTGTAGTTGTATGTAACTCTACCATCAGATCAACCAGGCTTTTCCGTGGTACCTTGCCGTCTGTGGTGCGTCATGTGAGCTCCTAATGTACAAACGAGAGTGACCGTGGTGCTGCATGCTTGGCCGGGGTTGCACTCGAGGTTCTATTTCTCCTGTGCCGCTCGCATCTTTAGCTTTGCGCAAAGTTCATCCGGGGGAAGAGAGGAGGGGGGCCAAAGACTTTCTGTGAAGGACAAGGGCAGGCTGCTGGGGTATCGCTACGGAGTGGACTGTGGGGTGGCATCTCGGGTTGCTTCCGTTGTAGCATTTTTTGTGTTTCCCTTCTGTGCATTACAGCGGAATACTTTTGTAGGTCTAGAATCCTACCGCATTGGGCACTTCCGCCATGTGCGTATGAGGCGTGGTTGTCATGGCCGATTGGCGATTGGATCGTAGAACCCGCAACTGTTGAATGAGAGGATCAAGCTGCACGACGGGCGCTAAACATGTCAATTTTTCCTTGTATTGTCCCACATATCTCTAGGTATGGAAGTTTCGTGCATGAAGTTCATCTTAGCTCTGTCAGCTGTACCTAAACTCCTGCTATATGCTGGGGTATGGCATATCGCACCTGGGTTGCTCTCCTCCCTCGTCCGCCGAGTGGCGGACGAAAGGATTTGACAACTGAGGAAAGGGGGGAATAGAAACGAATCAGAGTACGGAGTTAGGAGGCCTAAGACATAGGGTATCTCCGTGGTCTTGCAGCCAACACCAAAATGTCGATGCGGTAGGACAGTGCTTTATGTAGGCATCGAGTACTGTCCAAACGGCGCATCGAGAATCCCTCGCACTCTTTGGCGGGGTCAAGGACCTGGAGCCAGCTCCGCTAGGCTGTGGTTGGTCAATTCCGGCTGGTCCAAGAGAAGTTCAGGCCGGAATTCGTCGGAAACTTGTTCCTACAAGGAACTAAGGTACTGTGTCTGATCCAGGTTGTCAGGTCGATTGAACATGGGAGACCTCAATACGTTGCGAGGCCTCACGCGGGGTCTTTGATCTTATGTGCTAAACCCACTTTGCTCTTGCCGTGTTGAGAAGCGTCCATGTGAATTGGTGTGGTCCTGCCTAAGAGACGGGACGGTTACACGGGGCACCTTCCCGCCGCCTTTTACAACGAACGTCAACGACTTCCACGTTGTGTCGTTGAGCCCGTCGCCCTGTCGTCGCTGAGGTGCCGCGCAGAGGTTTGGCTCACGAATTCGCATTTTATTACCTAGCTCGGCTGAATTCTTCCTGCGTCTTGATCTCTTGACCCCCCGGTTTCCGGTGTGCGCTGTGCCGCATCCATCCTGGAGCTGATCAGCCCCGGAAGGAGGTCCGCACTAGACCAACGAGCCCGGACCCAACGGGACGAAAACTTCACTCCGACTTCCATACTCCATAGCCATCTCAGAGATAACCGCTTACCGGTAGTCAAAGAACAGTGAGCCACCGATAGTCGACCCCGGAAACCCAGTCACGGACAGACGGACAGCCAGCCCGTGCCGGGATGGACCCCTGACGGATCGCTCCTCCAAGCCCTGGACTGCACACATGCAAATTTCGCGGCATTCCGGGGTTGACCAATTCCGTAACGAAGTGCGATCTGCAATCTGTCTCAGAAGTCTACGGTACCTAACTGCTCCGTATTGTAAGTTGGGTTGCCATGAATCACCTGGGCTCCTAGGTGTGTTCTTCGTCTACACTTACCATATTCATAGCATATGTATGGACTTCTTGTGGTTACATTCGTTCATTCAACTACGGTAGTGACAGTCGCGAGTTAGTGTAATGGAAGCAATGATGGAACACTTCTAGATTCTCGCTTGGAGCGGCATGTTTAGCGTCAGCGCGGGATCGATCCGCTTCCTTATTAACCCGTTGGCCTAGCTTAGGCCCCGCGGCCGGTTGCTGCGGGCAGCGCTGGCGTTGTCGGTTAGTGGAGTTACACTGCACACGACAGGGCCTCGCCCAAGGCTGTCAGGGCTGCACAGTGTTGCACTCGAAAGAGACAAGCAAGGGCTTCGGACGTCGTGTTGACCACTCTACCCCACCACCGCCCACTGCCAACAGACCCCCTGTTCGGGCTTGGTTCCCGGGGAGGAAGGAGCGCTCATGTCACGGCATAAAAAGCTGTCGTCCGCCCCGTCTGACGGGGTCCGAATCCTCCGCTGACGAGCCATCTTTCTGCGCTGGGTCTGCACTCAAACTACACCGCATCTACTACCCGTCAAGGGTGATTGTTTTATTGGCGCCTCAAGATCCGAACTCACAGTTACACAGTGAACATCTGCCCGACTCTTCCTTCGGGCTCAAGTCAGGGTTTAGGTCAACAGCGATTACAGCACATCCAAACATTCCGGGAGGAGATTGGGCGTTTAGGAATCTACCTTAGTTTCGTCTACGGCAGGGCACCTTCATCTACAGTGTCTCAATCCAAAACGGTAGGGGGGGGTGTTTTGTAAGCTGGACACCCGGACCACTGGACTGCAGACCCGGATCATTGCCATGTAGACGGCAACCTGAATTACCTCCACACCGCCATATCTCATCTCACCATCTTCTTCCGACCGCTTGTGCTTCCGAGGTCCCAGTATCACTCGCGACACACTGTGATGCGCTCAGCGAGCTGGACGACTCGGGCATGACTTGTGGCCCCCTAACGCACCCGTGCCGAGCCGTGATCTATTAGTGGGGCCCTCTCTGCCGGTGCGCCTGGTGAGTGACTGCAGCCAGGGGTCGGGCTGGAATTGCTGCTCTGATGAAGCGAAGCGAAGCAAGGCGCTGATGACTCGTACAGTAGCTACAGGTACGAGCCTTGTGCGGTAAACCGACTACATAATGGCGCCACCATTCCCTATCAACCCGGCGGCCATCCCGATTGTGGCGACACGGAAGGCGCTTCTAGTCCTCGACTTTCAGAACGATTTCCTGTCGCCCGATGGCGTTTTGTACGTGGAGGAGCCCGAAGGGTTCGTCGACCGCACGCTGGAACTGGTGAAGGTGTTCCGCGACTCGGGCGCCGGCGATGTGATCTGGGTGCGCAGCGAGTTCGAGCATCACCGACCCGTGATGGCCGAGGGCGACCAGATTGTGACGTCGGAGGCTATGGTGCGCCCTCAACGGGCGACGCCGGCTCGAGGCCGTCAGCCCGTTTCTGAGGTGCATGACAGCGCAGTGATGGAGGCTGACGAGGAGGCCTTCCTCAGTGTTGGCCCGGACGGCGACAAGAAGCCTCCCTGTGTCCGCAAGGGCAGCTCAGGGGCTAATCTGCCCCCGCATGTGCAGGCGGCCGTGGACTCGCGCCGGGACATCATCTTCACAAAAACCCACTACAGCGCCTTCGCCGCGTCGGGCCAGCAGCAGCTGGTGCAGATCCTCCGGGGCCGGTTCGTGACGCAGATGTACATGTGCGGTGCGCTGACCAACATCAGCGTCTATGCGACGGCGCTGGACGCAGGGCAGCACGGGTACGACATGACCATAGTAGAGGACTGCTGCGGCTACCGCAAGGCCATGCGCCATATCAACGCTGTGCGCCAGCTTGTGCATCTGACGGGCAGCGAGATGATCAGTTCCGAAGCGCTGCTAACCGAATTGCAACCTCCGACCGCGGCGCCAAGCCAGTCCACAGGCCTATCACCGTCCATTTCAGGCATGGCTCTGAGCATGGACCGCAGTGGGTCTCCCGGCCGGTCCCGGTCCCCCGCGTCAGCGCCCCAGCGCGCCCCCGCCTCGCCAAGAGTCCCACTGTCGCAGCCGGATCCGGATCGCCGTCAGCCCAAGGCAGCTGCCCCGCCCCGCCGTGTGCCTTCGAAGCGGAGTAACCCTGATGAGGATACTAAACGGTCGCCAAAGCATATCGAGGCCTTGACATCAGACTCAGACTCGGACTCATCATCACCAGCCAGTGACTCACCGCGTCAGAAGCAGGAAAAGAACACCAAAGAAACGCACGGAAGCAAGCAGGCTGCTGCTGCCGCTAACCAGAGCGAGCGCGAGAGCTCAAAAGGTCCGGCCCACGTTCCCGGGTCAGCTAGCGCTAAACCTGAGAAACACAGGGTGAGAAATATACCTAGACAACGTGTGGCGCACCAGAAATCTGATAAAGAGACGCCGTCGTCGCCGGTCCAAAGATCTACCTCATCAGCACCCTCATCACCTGATCCCCAATTACGGGGCGCGGCGGTCGAGAAACCAACGACAAGTTGCGCGACCACAGCAGCAACCTCTCTTGATCCCAAATCGGAAGACCATTCGCACATGGCAGACCAACATCCAGCCCGTGTTGTCTCTGAGCCGCTGTGCGAGGGCGACACGACCGTGATTACGGATGTCCTACCCCCCGCCCTCGCCGCCAATGCCTTTGAGCGTCTGCTCGACGAGGTCAGCTGGTCCGGCATGTCGCATCTAGGCGGCGAGGTGCCGAGACGCGTCGCTGTGCAGGGTTCCGTCGACGACGACGGCAGCATGCCGGTGTACAGACACCCGTCCGACGAATCCCCGCCGCTGCTGCCTTTTTCGCCCACCGTGCTGCAGATCAAGCACGAGGTCGAGAGAAACCTCGGCCACCTGGTAAACCACGTGCTGATCCAGCACTACCGCAGCGGCAACGACTACATCAGCGAGCACAGCGACAAGACGCTCGACATCGTCAAGGGCAGCTTCATCGCCAACGTCAGCCTCGGCGCCGAGCGCACCATGGTCTTTCGCACCAAGCGCCCGCCCAAGGAAGACACGTCATCAAAACCAGACGAGACCAACCCAGGCAGCGACACGGAAAAGGCGAGGCGCCAAATCCAGCGCGCCGCCCTCCCGCACAACTCGCTCTGCCGCATGGGCCTCACGACCAACGAGCGCTGGCTGCACGCGATCCGGCAGGACAAGCGCTCGGACCGCGACAAGACGCCCTCGGAACTGTCCCACGGCGGCGCCCGCATCAGCCTGACCTTTCGGCGGATCGGCACTTTTCTCGACGAGTCGCAATCGCGCATCTGGGGCCAGGGTGCTACTTCCAAAACAAAGGAAGGTGCACGGCCGGTCGTCAACGGGCAGACCCCCGACGCGGTGCGCTTGCTAAGGGCGTTTGGCGCCGAGAATCACGCCAGCGAGTTTGATTGGGAGGGGCATTACGGAGAGGGGTTTGATGTCCTCCACATGGGCGTTCCGAAACGCGTCTTCTATGCTAGTGGTGCCGGTGTGGATCAGCTGGGTAACGTCCGCGTTGCGTTGGCGCTGGCTGAGTTGGGGGTAGGCGCTGCGAGGGGCAGCGTTGAAGCTGCAGCCGGAACCGGGGATGACATCGGTGGCGGGGGGGATGTGAGGTTTGAGGACAATGACCCGGGTCGCACGGCTGTGCATGGCCATGCTACTGTTCTGCGGTATCTTGATGCTGTGTATGGCGCGGGGAGGCGGTATGACCAGCTGCTCCCTGCCGAGGTGGGGAGGAGGTTTGAGAGGTTGCAGAGGGGGTTGGAGTTGTTGGGGAAGTGGCGGTGTGTGTGGAAGGCGGTTGCCGGTGTACAACAGGGACTGGAGCCTGATGATGCTGGGGACAAGCAACTGCAGCAGCAGCCGCAGCAGCAACAAGGGGCAGCCGCCAGAGTCAGGGCCAGCGAGGAGCTGAGCAGCAAGGTCGCGAAGCTGCTTGCGAAAGAACTGGCTGGTTGGGAGGCGTGGGCGAAAGAAGCTGCTTCTGCTTCCATCCTTGGCGTCTCCAAACCAGCACCCAAACCTAAAGCGAAGCCGGAGGAGAAGGATGGTGATGCTGATGAGGAACAGCAACAGCACCAGCAACAGAGCGTGTTTTACATTGCCGGCGGGACCCACCCGTCGCCAGCCGACTTTGCGCTGTGGCCTGTCCTGCACGACATGGTGCGCGTTTGTGGCGAGGGGGTCCTGCTTGTGGGCGAGCGCGAACATGATGAGTCGTATCTGAGGAGATATTATGCTGCCTTTAGAGAGAGGAGTGCTGTGGCTAAGGTCGTGGCGCAGTTCAAGCTGGAGTGATGGCTGGCATCATCAGTGTCATCAGTGATGGGGTGGGAGGATAGGTGGTGGTGGTGGTGTAAGGTGGTAAGGTAGTGGAGTGTAGAGAATTGGATACCCATTTGTTTGCCAACCTACCCTAGGTACCTGGACTGCTAAGGTATGTACATTGATGTTACTAGGCAAGCAATCTGTATAGGAACGGATGAGGAGGTTAAGAAGGGCTACATCTATAGGCTAGTTTGGGGTTAGGTTGCATGATTGGGAGTGTATAGATGAGTGAGTACCGGTAGTTTCTAATGGGTTTGGCTAATAAGTAAAAGTACTGTTAGGTCTGTCGGGGGGACAGTTACTGGTACGTTGACGGAGTCCTGCGGACTACGGACTACGGAGGGGCGGTGTCATAGAGGTAAGAGGGACTACAATCCGCGGTATACTGTACACCGCCCGGAATACTAGGTTATTCTGTCCACTAAGTCACAATAGCAATGACAGAAACTGGTAGTCATTGGTGTCTGTAGTTGGAGCCATTTCGGCTGACGAACCCGTGCCTTCAAAGTGGACTCGGAGGCAAAGACTGCCTAGGTACACTGATGTTAGGTAGGTGGGCAAGCCAACAGCAACAGCAGATTCAGTTCAGGGTCGTCTTGCACTGGGCATTCCGTTCGTACTTCTCTGGTTACTTTATATATCTTACACGTACTCACGTAACTGCTCTTGGACCTGACTGGGGTTAATCTTCGCGGCAACTCCGCCGCAGTCCGGTTCCTGTACCCTGTTTCTTCACTTGCCGTTTATGCTTGGGTATACTACTGCTGTCACCGCTATGCCTACCAACGGCCTCACTATCACTACTCAGCTGAGACTCGTGATGCTCACTCCTGATGTTTGACCTCATCAAAGTGAAACGCGATAGGGGAAGGTCAGAACGGCAATCCAGCAAACTCGTTACAATTCTGCTGTGCTCCTGGGCTGGGGTCATATAATACATTGCTTACAACTGCTAGTAGTAGCACCCATCTTCCAAGGGTGTTTCTCAAATTTCTTGGTACCCGCTTCAAAGACCCTGCGTGTCAGGCAGGGGCATATCGATCTTCCTCTCCTCGAATACTTGAATCTCTCGGCAACACCGTCACGGTTGAAGGGAGCAGGTTGTCAAGAGGTATCTCCGCCATTGCCGGAAACTACCTCAGAACTCCTCAGCCGGGCTTCATCTCTCGTTAGGTAATGACTAGTTAGTTTCGAATGGTCTGTCTCCTGGTCCGTCTAGGCTCTCCTCGAACGGATGGATATCTACGCAGTACCAATCAGGAGAATGACGGCGTACCCAATATCTTATGTGACCCTCACGATTTCCATGTACCGGTTCTGAAAAGGAGTAGTAGCATTGCCCGCAAGTAATGCCTGCTCAGTCCCTGTGGTAGATTTTGGCGTGGGAGTACCGCTACCTAGGCTAGGCACTAAGGTGTTGTCTCTGCGGGCACCTGAACACATCATGGATACTAAATTCATCAGAAATATGACCGAGCGCCCCTTGCGGCAAGTTGGCTAGGTACTTGTACCTACCTACTAGTCAAGGACTGTATGATACCTGAGCCTCGAGACGCTGATACTTATCATCCGAGAATGGAACCGATTGATTGTTTCCATTTAATACTACTAGTACCGCAAGCAGGGCTCCAGTTGGCGTTGAGCCTGACCAGCCCCGAAAGCCCGAATCCCTCCCAAGTTTCAATCACAAACGTCACAGAAAGGCCTCAGCAGCTGACCTTTCAAGTTGAAAAGGCCCAGCGCAACCATATCACCCTATAGAAGCAGCAAGGGAATGTTAAACCCGCTCGCCTTACACATAACAAAACCAAACCATGCATCATGATGTGGGATGTGTTACACAACCCCTTCCTACTACCCTACTACCCCAGTACCCATCACCACCCCCTCACCACCCCCCCCTTAACTCCTTTCAAGTTATCATCATTCCATGCCCATCAAGGCTTCGAATCCAAGTCCCACGGAAGGGGATACGTCCCGACCCAATCCGCGACCTCGCTCCTGAGCTGTACAATCTCCGTCTCCGTCTCCCCATTCCCCAGATACTCCAAGAATGTCCTCAACCGACCAGCCGTCTTCCCCTCGCCCTTATCCTCCGCCGCCTTTCTCGCGGCTTTATCCACCCTAACAGCAATAGTGACAGCGCGGTCCACAATATCCGCCACACGCTGGAAATCCACCTCGCCAAACCCGCGCGTGGTCATGGCAGGGGTGCCCATCCTCAACCCACCAGGCATAAGCGCGGATTTGTCGCCGGGCACGGTATTCTTGTTCGCAGCGACGCCGACCAGTTCCAGCACGCGCTCCACACGCGCGCCATCCACGCCCTGCGGCTTCAGGTCTGCTAGCACCAGGTGGTTGTCTGTGCCGCCCGAGACGATGCGGTATCCCAAACCGCCCTTCTCCTTGGGCTCGCCAAGCCGCCGGGCCAGGGCCTGCGCGTTGGCGAGCACCTGCGACTGGTAGGCGCGGAATTCGGGGGTTTGGGCCTGCTTGAGCGCCACGGCGAGGGCGGCGATGGTGTGGTTATGCGGCCCGCCCTGGTGGCCGGGGAAGACAGACGCGTTGATGGGGGTCTCGAGGTTGTAAAGCTCCTCGGCGCCCGTCTTGGGGTGCGTGCGCCGCACGCCGCGGCGGAAGAAGATGAGGGCGCCGCGCGGGCCGCGGAGGGATTTGTGGCTTGTTGTGGTGACGACGTCGGCGTGCGAGAACGGCCCCGGCAGGACTTTCGCCGCGACCATGCCCGAGATATGCGCAATGTCGGCTACGAGGTAGGCGTTGACCTTGTCGCAGATCTCGCGCATGCGCGCGTAGTCGATCAGCCGGCTGTAGGCGGACGCACCCGCCACGATGATCTTGGGCCGGTAGATGCTGGCCAGCTCATCAAGCTTGTCGTAATCGATGTAGCCCGTCTCCTCGTTCAACCGGTACGGGACCGTCTCGAAGTACTTGGAAATGAAGGAGATCTTCTTGGTCGGTGTCTGGTAGCCGTGAGAGAGATGCCCTCCGTGTGGCAGGTCGAGACCCATCAGGCGGTCGTGCGTCTCCATCAGCGCGGAATACACGTACAGGTTTGCGGGAGCACCGGAGAGAGCTGCAGGGTGTGTCAATTGCCATTAACTCTCGTATTCAACCGCAGGAATGCTCACCCTGGACATTGACGCCCCATTGCTTCTCATCGAGGCCAAACGTCTCCAGCGCCCGCTGTTGACATAGCCTCTCAGATGCGTCTATAAACTCGTTGCCTCCGTAGTATCGTGCACCGGGGTATCCCTCCGAGTACTTGTCTGGACCGACCGAGTTAGTCTCCAGCCTCTCGGCCACGGCCCGTTATACGCACTTTGCATAGGGCTCCCAAGAGCGTCCAGGACGGCCTGTGATGTGAAGTTCTCGGAAGGGATTAAGTTGATGAATTGTTTCTGCCTGAGTTTCTCCTGTTACAAACCCATTGTTAGCATTGCAGGGGTCTCAGCTCTTTCAGGCTCAACAAACCTTCTCGACGATATCGTGCATGATCGGATCCGCCTGCTGCAAGTGGGAAGCGAGCATCTGCTTTCACCTTCAGCGCCCATCTATGCCTTCGAACGCCGAAGGAGGCTACGCACCCGCTGTTGACTGTCATTGCTGAGGGACGATACAGACCTCGGCGAGCCTGTCTTGAGCCCTCGCCGAGTCAGTTTCTGAATATGGGTTGCTATTGTGCCCCGAGCAGGTGTGGGGGTAGATGCCGGTGCCCCCCGGAGAGCAGACACACATGCGGCCGAGCTCCGCAGTCTTGAGACCGTCGCCGACATGGTTAATGAAACTGCGGGGGACGTTTCGGTAACTGAAGCGAGGGGAAAAGTCGGGAACGACAAAGTCGAGGGTAGCAAAGCGTAACCCGAGGTCCAGACAGCCCAATTGCTCCCTCAACACTCACGGATGATCGGTCAGGAGTGTCGGTCGGTATCCGGAAGCTTGGTCGGCAACGCACAGAGAGCGACGATGTGATCAGGCGACAGTTGATTGGCGGCTGGTCCAAAAGTTAAAGATGGTGACGCTAGTGGATGTCAGCCCAGAAATGTGGGGTTTAGTGTAGGTTCGGACTTTGGCGGAGGTGGCTGGCTTATCTTGGCTATCGGGCCCGAGGGGCCACACCAGCACGGACCACAGAGCCACACAGGTCCCGGGGCATATCAACGCCAAAATTTCTGGGCTCTTTCGGATTCTTCCTCTTTTCTTCTGCAATCAACTAAATTGGGGATGATGAGCACGCTTCCAAACGGCATATGCAGGATCCTCCGCCGTTTACTCGGCCGGGGGATATGCTGAAATGTCCTGGCACAACCTCACCACTCTTGAGGGACAATTTGAAGCAATCTGACCCAACATTTTTTGATGCATCGCTGCAATGCTGTGCATTCTCTTTCGTGGCTTCTTCTGCCAGTACATTCTGTAATCAGTGTAGCACTGTTGGCTGTACTAGCAGCCTTCCAGAAATATGTTCTTTGAATGCTAGTCGAGGACTGCCTCATGGGCTGTCATGTTGTTCCGCATCTTCCATCTCTTCATCAAGAGTCCGTTTGCCTTGGTCCATGTCGTGTCATGCCTCGTCCCCAGTCCGCAGAGCACAAGCATTGTTTTTCCACAGACCTGAGAGTTGCCAGAAAATAAAAATATGTTCAGTCAAACCCGGCAAACCCATTGATTCCGTTTTCAATGCCATATACATGCGAGCCAGAACGTCTCGTATCTGGAGACTGCGCCGCATCAAAGAGCACACGGCCAGGGGTGCGAGTCCAGTCCGCGCGCAGGATGCCGAGATGTAGTAGAATGCGACCAGAAAGAAGCCCAACCCATTACTCCGAATGCAAGGCCGCCGAGAATCCATTGTCCATTCACATCGTGAATCAAGATGAAATCTACTTGGATTCCTCCTCGCCCTCGCCCAGCATCGCGTTCCGCTTCGCCGCCTGCCTCTCCTGCTTGCGCTCGCGCGCCGCCTTGGTCCTCGCGCGCTTGGCATCCATTTCCTCCTTGATCTGCCTCTCACGCGCCTTCTCCGCCTTGGCCCGGTGAATCTGGGAGATTTGTCAGCACAAACGACAATCTTATAACCAAACCAAGATTGCTCCCCAAAAGAAACGTACGTGCTCAACGAGCGCCCGCTTGTGCTTGAAGGTGTTACCCTTGGCGAGGTGGTACAACTCGTGGTAGAGGTGCTTGTCGATCTTGCCGCTGGCGCGGTACTTGACCAGTAGACGGCGGAGGACGCGCTGGCGGCGCATCCACAGAACTTGCCTGTAGCCCCGTTGTCAGCATATTTACCCCCATCTTCCTTCCACCGAGCCTCTGCATTTTATTTCGTGTGTATTATGTCCTGCTCGGGAACGGAACGGGCGGTACGTACTCGGGCATACGGGCATCTGCGGTACCCTTGCGCTTACCGAAGCCGCGGTGGCGGCCGATGCGGCGGGCGAGGTTCAGCTCGCGGGCGCGCGAGCGCGAGTGCATGGTGACGGGCTTCTTGATGATGAGGCCATCGGCGGCGAGCTTGCGGATCGTCTGCCGTGAGTTGGCGTTGGAGATCTCGCTGACCTCATTGGGATCCAGCCAGATCTTGCGTTGGCCGCAGCCCAGGACGGACGCCGCCAGACGCTTCTGGGTCCTCAGGTTAACCCTGCAGCCGAGAGACAGTCAGCATTTCGAGCTGGAATTGGAATTCGATGTCGGTAGTTTCGGTGTGACACGTCGTCATGGAAATTTTCGTCGGGGCATCTCGGTTTGGATACATTTGGCGCGAATTCAATCGAAAACGTCGCTCCTGAAATTCCTCCTCGACACGAATCAATGGGCGGTGCTCGGGGTACTCACATCTTGACTGATTTGTGCTGTAGATGGTTAGTATGACGAGGTTGTCGATGGATTGGGATTTCCGCTGAGGGGAAGTTCAAACATCAGAATTTCTCGACGGCCAGTTTGTGGGTTTCGCGTGTGGGGCTCGTCGCTGATTGCGATTGGTGAGGGCTCAGCGGGTCACGCACCCTAGCACGTGTTTCTGACCTCACAGGAGAGGTATCCACTTAAACGTCCATCTTGCCTTCCTCGCACCTCAACATTCACGTTGACTCGGGCTCCAATTGCCATGAGAGGATACGCTTCGGCTCAACACCACGAGAATTGGATATACCGCACCATGACAGAGTTGAGCTTTGCGAAATTCCTCTAATCAAGCATGCTTAGGGTAGGGGGCGTATGGAATTCCCAAAACCAGTGACTGGCTCCAAGAAGGAGATGCGCTCTGCTGTCTGAGGCGAACTTGTGTAGCATACATACCATCCCTCACTTCACGAGTCATCGGATCCCATCACGCAAGGTTTACAAATCCGTATCGTAAATTTGACCATCGATTCTCTACTTCCTTTCTCCCCTTTCATAATCTTCCAGCACCCACAAATCTACAGGTACTCAGTCAGCAGCAAAGATATCCGCCCCCACATCAACCTGTCCAACAGCCATAAGCTCCTTCTCATCCTCCACCTCATCATTCGATAATCCCAGCCCGCCCGCACCACCCTCTGCCTCTCTGCGCTCGCGCGCCTGTGCTCCCAGCCTCAGGGCCACGCGCTTAAAGTAGTCCTGCATGCTGCGCTTGACGTTGGGCGGCAGCTCAGAAGCGCCGGCGATCCACTTGTCAAAGACCTTGCTCTCCTCGTCCGCCACCGCAAAGAGTTGCACAAATGCCGCCTCGGCTGCCAGCTTGACAGGGATCACCATGTCCCTCACCGACGCAAAGACAGGCGGCGCCAGCAGGCCCAGGTGCGGCCGCGCGAGCTCCGGATGCGTGCGGGCCAAGGTGCGCACCAGGACGAGCGCAAGACGCCGCGTGTCGGTCGGCCCACCTGGGGGAATAACCTTGGAGAGGGTGGCGAAGATGGGCTTGGTGGCTTCGAACGCCTTGGGTGCGTCGCTCAGGAGGTATTTACCCGTCGCCATGATGAAGTTGTCGGCGATGAAAGTCTTGCGAACCACGTTAGTCTTGGACCACAACCAAAAAAGTGGGGATTTCTTACGTCTTTGCTCTCCATGCCTTGGCAGAGCAGCTCGGGCAGGTCGTCCGCAAGGTGTGAGTCTAGAAGCGTCCCTGGGCTCTCTAAGAGCACTGCGTTCAGCGCCAAGACGCTGGAATGGCTGCAATCCCTCGTCATGACTCGGTTCTTCAGCAGTCCAACTGCAACATCCGCCGAGACGTTCTTAACAAGAGCACCGAACAGCTTAGCGTAGGTGATGGTCATCGCATTGTCGCGCTCATCCGTCTCCGTATCGATCAAGCCCAAGACAGCCGTGCGGGAGCTCTCTCCCATGTTGGCGCCCGCCTTGCTGATGACTTCGTACAGGGCTTTGAGCATTGCCGTTTTGACACCCGCGTCTGTCGTCTTGGATCCGGTGACCAGCTCAGCAATTAGGGGGTCAACTCGTGGCGTATATTTGATGAGCGTGCCCAGCGCCCGGGCAGCTCGGCTCCGAAGGACATCACTAGATGTATCCGCAAGCGACTTCGCAAATGTGCGCTGCAGCTGAGGCAAGAAAGGCTTTAGCGCCGTAGGCATCTTCTCGAGGAGATTGTTGAGGGTGACAAGAATTGCCGATTTGACCTCCGTGGACCGTTCGGAGACGACACGAATGAGCGGGCCCGTAATTTGGGTAACGAACGGCTTGAGGGAGTTCTCGCTGGCCCGGTCGACAATGTCCGAGATTGCCAAAGCAGAGGTAACTCTCTGTTCCGTCGTGCCGTTCATCAGACCTTGCAGGAAAATGGGGAGGATAGCGTTAATGCCCTTCGGAAGCTCGAAACCGGCCAGATTGTGGCCTGCGACGCCGACCTGCAAGAGCGTCTGCCGCGTCGACTGGACGAGGGCCTCCATTTCCTCCTTCTTGAGCCGCTTGGTGAACTCGTTCAGAGCACCCCACGATGCCTTGACGACAGACATATCTCTGTCATCGAACGAAATTAGCAAAGCGCGGATAATATCCTGGTTGTACCTCGAGTAGTCCACATCGGCCGCAGAAAAGAATTTGGCTAGGTGCTGGCCTGTTGCCGCTCGTTTGCGGTGGTCTTCGTGCTTGAGGAGCTGCAGAAGGACGTTCATGACTACGTTGAGGCCATCGTATTCATCGATAGACAGAATGACGGTGTCGAAGGAGTTGTCAAGGTCCTCGCGAAGCGCCTCGTCGGTGCAGTTAACAATGTTGTCCATGAGCGAGTTGACGATGTTGGGTAAGCGGCGGTTCATTGCAGCACCGGCAACCTTGGACAGGGAAGCCAACGCCTTGGCATTGAATGCTGATATGGGAGGCGTGATAAGCGTAGGGATGAGGTTGGGCAATATGATATTGGAGCGAGTGGACTCGGTAAGCAGGGTGAGCAGCGCGGCGAGCGCGTTGTTGGCCTCCTCGTCGGAGCGAAGGAGGTTGAGGAGGTATGGCAATACCTGGTCGACAGCACGCTTGCCGAGAATCTGCTGTAGCGAATCGAAGGCCTCGGCAGCCGCTTCGCGGACATCTGCGTCCGAGTCGGTGAGGGCGGTGCGTACGACTGAAATGAGCGTCTTCTCGTGGTCTTCGAGCGCCTCTTGGGAGGCAGATGATATGAGCTCCTTGAGCGCCAAGCAGATACCTTGCTTGGCGTCCACGTCCCGCGATGTCTGTAGGCCTTCCTCGAGGGTAGGAAGTAGTGTTGCCAAGACGCCATCACCCGCCTTCCTAATGAGCTCGCCCAGGGCATTACTGGCAATGACCTTGTGCTCCATGTTGGAGCTACCGAGCCGTCGAATGATGAGTTGAGTGAGCGTGGGCACAAGCTCCTTGAGGGTGCGCGGGCTATGGACCAACGCCTTCCATACACCGATAGCAGCAGCACGCACCGCGCCGGCGGTGTCGCAGCGGCAGATGTAGAGCGCGGAAAGAATCTTGTTGCGCTTCTCCTCTCCAAGGATCTCGCGGAGAGATGCCCCGGCTTCCTTTGTCGCCTCCTGGTCTTCTTCCTCGCCGGGCTCTGCATTGGCCTTGATGCCGGCCAGGTTGAAGAGCAAGTCGCCAACAAGCTCGACTGAGCTAAGACGGATCCGGTAGCTGTCATCGGCAAGGCCGCGTTCGAGCTCAGGGAGGAGCAAGTCAACTGCACGAACGGCAAAGTTCTTGACCAGCAATCGACCAGCACGCAGCGCCGTTTCCCGAATGGACTCGACGTCATCGGCGAGACCCGACAGGATAGGTGGAATGATCTTGCCAAGGTAGTTGGCGAAGCTGTTGCCGAAGCATACGGGCAAGAATATGAAAAGCGACATGAATCCTTCGCGCACAGCCGGCTTGGCCGACTCGACATTCTGTAGAATAGTCGGGAGTGTCTCCTCCAGCCTTGAAGTACCAAGCCCAGCAAGAACCTCGCTGAGCGCCTGGGCCGAGCCAAGCCTGTCGCCAGCGCCAGTGTCGGATTTGAGTGTTTGCATGAGGCCTGGGATGAGATCCGGCAGAGCGTCCTCGCCCAACTTCTCGACGAGGGATCCAAGAGCGCGGGAGGCTGTGGCCCGGGTGGTTGGAACAGGGTCGACCACGGCCACCTTGAGGCCTGCCACGAGGACTGGCAAATGAGCAACAAGGTCCTTGCGCTCCGTTAGATGCGCTAGACTGCCGATGACTTGGGCCGCCTTGCGCTTCGTATTCGAACGGTCGCCCAAACCGCGCTGCAGGATGCGGCTAACCAGGGCCAGTGACGGGGCGTCGAGATAATGTACGAACTGGACCTTGATGAGCGAGTCCAAGGCATCGTCCGTGTACTTTGTCGGGTCACTGAGCGCTTTGAGGAGGATGTCGACAAGGTTGTGAATTTCGGGATTGTTGATGACCTCGCCGAACCTCTTCAAACTCTTATTGGCAGCGAGCCGCACCTCCTTGTGACTGTCGTTCAGCACTGCCGTCAACGGTGGGATGATTTCCGGCAAGCTCTGCGCGAGCTGCTGGGGGTCAAGGTACGCCATGGCACCGAGCAGGTCGCATGCGCCCTTCTTGCTGCGCCATTGATCGTCGTCAAGCCCATTGAGCAGTGTTGGTAGAATCTGCTTGACGCCAAAGGAGCTCAACTTGGCGAAACACGCCTTCGCAGCTGCCAAAGCAGCATCACGCACATCGGCATTGCCGTCACCAAACCCCGCCAGCAGCTGAGGCACGATCTGAATAACGTACGGCTCAAAAAGCCGGCCAAGGATTGTGGATAGGAGCTCATAGGCAAGCATGGCGGATTCGCGCTGGCGGACCTCCTTTTTGTTCTCTACAGCGCCGTTCAGCGTGACCATTATGCGATATTCCCTCAGGACACTGATGCCTCTACCAAGCACAAGACCAGCCAGGCCGTATGCCGCTCCGCGCTGCTCCGGGTATTTCTTAGACGTCATGAGTATCTCTAGCATCTGGTCAAAGTATTTCGGTGACTTGTCTCCGCATGTACGAACAAGAGGGGGAAGGCACTCGGCAATGGCGTACTGGACCGTTTCGGACGGGGTGCTCAGAGTCGCGAGCAATCGCTCAATGACAACCGGGATCTTCTTGTCCCCCGGCTTCAAGTGCCGCGCTAGGGCGCCATACATGATGATGACGGCCTCATTGACGCGATCGGCCGCTTCCGAGTTCTTGTCAGGCGTCTCCAATGTCTTCTCGAACGTCTTCATCAACCTGTCGAGAATAACTTTGCCATGGACCTCGATCGCTGTGTTTGCTGCCTCGAGCATCTCGGCACGTACAGCAGCGCTTTGATCGCCCAGGGGTCCTTGTTCTATTAGGAAGTTGAAGAAAGGGTCAAGCTGAGAATTTTGCAGATGCGGTGCCAAATTTCTGAAGGCGAGCGCGATTCCGTGTCGAGCCTCCCAGGGGTCGGAGAGGTCCATCTTCTTGGGCATCCCAAACTCATCTAATTGCTGAACTCGTGGCTTGGCCAATTCGATGTACGACGCCCGGAGCTTCTCAAGGACTGACTCAATGACGGGTTTATGGTGGCTCGCAATCTCGGCAAGTGACTTCGCCGCAGCACGACGTAGCTGGGCGTCTTTGCTCTCAAGGTAGGGCAGCATCTTGTGCGCGAGCTCCTCAGAAATCTGGAACTCGCTCTCCTCCCAGATTTCGCGGCCGAGATCCATGTTTTCTTCCTCGTCGTCGTGACATGCGAGCCAGATCTCCTCCGAGACACCAACATCGCTCATATCCACTTCCGCACTGATTGCCTGCAATACCGCAGATCGTACGCTGGCCTGCGGAACAATGGTACCACGAGCTAGAACTCCGACTTCTTCCGGAGTGATGTTTGGAGCAACACAGCGCACTGTGTCGGCGAAGCAGTCCTTGATGATCTTGTAGTGCTGGCCATACTTCTGCATGGATGAGATAAGGGCGGAGAGAACCTTTGCGCGGGGTATTTTCTCGTCAGACAGGGCACCTGAATGGAATGAGAGAAACTCAATGGCAAGAACAAGCTGGGCATCCCGCTCGTCCGCATTGGCAGCGAAGCCGCCCTTCTCAAGCAACAACAAGATCAGGGACAGGAAGTAGATGATCGAGACACTGTCAAACGGGCGCTGTTCGCTGGCAAAGCGCAGGCGGTAGAGCACTCGAGTGACGAGATCGTCAAATGGCTCCTGAGTTAGGTGTTCCGGCAGCGCAGACACGTCGTGAGCGCGGAGTGTGGCGGCCCCGATGAAGGGTCTAATCGACCCCAGCCGTGAGGCGACTTGGTCAGCGCATGAGATGAACGCCATCGGTCCGCTCTCTCCTGTGATCAGGCAGGCACCGGCATCGATGACAGCCAGGATTGCATCGACTGCAGGGCCCATCCAGCGGCTGGCATCGGTTGGTGGCCCGGTTGCGAGAGCTTTGACGATTCCGAACCCTCGTAGCAGCTTGGCCACAATTTGCTGGACATTCCCTCGAATCTCGGCCTCCTTTTTGAGTTGCGCGTTGACCTTGGCCGTCTCATCGGCCGTGAGCTTCTTTTGTGTGCCCTTCTTCTCTGCCAGCTGTGCCCTGAGTTCTTCCTCCCATTTTAGGGTGTCGTAATCCTTGGAATTCTTGTTAGGAACCACATTCTGCTTCTTCGCCAGGACATCCACGAATGCGGTCCCTTCCGGTGTACGGAATATAGCCGCCTCAAGCGGTCCCACGGACTGCACTGCGGCAGTATCGAGATCCTGCTGGATGAGCGCAACGATGCGGGGGGTCATGGACTCAGGGGCGACAAACGCCAGTTCTGCGGCGGCGCTATAAGCGGCAGCTTTGGCAGCATCAGACTAGTCACGTTAGCAGGAGGCCAATGAAGCATGGTAGGATCGTTACCTTTTGCGCAAACCCGGTGCGACCGATTATTTCGTCAATTAGGACCTGTTCGTGTTTTCTTGCTAGCTCACCTGGGTCTAGCTCAGCCTTTAAGCAGAGATCAATCCAGCTCGCTGCAGGGATAAGTTGAGGTTTGGCAAGAACAAGGAGAGAGCACATCTGGAGTTCCATCCGGGTCTGGTCTACCTCTACCTCAATACCCGTCTTTTCCTTGTAGTCTCTATGACTAAGAGAAATTGACTTGAGCACCAAATGCAGGTTCGAGTTGCCTGATTTGGCCACCGCGGCAGCGCTCTCCTTGTCGGCAGACTCTAGGGCTTCCATCCAGTGCCACAGGCCGTTGATAATCTCGGCAGCAACTGAGTGCCCTTCAGAGCCCCTAGATTGAACACAGAGGTCGGATAGTGACTCGAGCGCTTGTCGTCTCACAGATGGCGGCGTCGTAGAAGAGCAGATCAAGTAGATATAAGCATGTGTCCAAGCAACCTTTGCGGCACTCTCGCTTGAGCTGAGAGCGGGAGCAACTGCGGTTAAAGCACGGCAGAGCCACTTGAGGTCATCTTCAAGAAATTTGCTGTATATCCGCGGATTGAGTAAGAAAGATGGTTTCGGCGTTACCGCCAAGCTGTTTTTTTGTATAGACGCCTTCTTCAACAATGCTTGAAGGGATTCGCCCTCAAGCCGGAGGAGAAGCGGCCCGAGACCACAGACGACCAAAGCACCCGTCACCAGTCCATTTTGCGCAGCTGCAACTGGATTGGCAACTACCTCATTGAAGGTGGATAGAAGAGGCGGAAGAACAGCCTCTGCGAGAGCACTGAAGCCCGTAGGTAAAGGTAAGCTTTCTTCTGAATCCTCCCCAAGAGAATGCAGAAGTTCGCCTACGCGAAGTATCCAGGTTCGCCGCACCGGGATCTTCTTGTCGCCTAGCCCCTTGGCATAGACATCTAACAGGGGCTTTGGGGCGTTTCCCATGGAGAGAAGGGGTGTCGCTTTCGAACTCAGGACGAGGGACTCGGCGCTCAAGGCCGCCTCATTTGCTTCCTTGCCTACAATGGCTGGAAGGCCGGCAACAACCTTGTTGGCTATCGCCGTAAAGGGGGGAAGAGCCATCAGCATCTCACAATGAAGGACCCTGTGGTCAGCAGATGCGAGTTTGCCAGATTTGAGGGGCCCGAGCAGCTCGTCTGCAACCTGGTCCAAAATCGAGGAGTCTCGGCAGGTTGAAGCAATCTCGCTGAATGCTTTCACGGCACCGCTCCGAATAACAGGGTTGGACGACTTGATATTGGATAGCAAAGGCTTGACGAATCGCACGCTTAGCGCTTTAGAAAGGTCGAATTGACGTATAGAGCGGATAAGTGGTGTGATGAGGTCATTCAGCACGACTTCAGGGGCTCGCAGCAGACCCTTTTCCAGGGCTGGGAAAACCTCCTTGTCCAAATCCTCCAGAGTCATAAACGCAACGAAGAAATCATGAAGTCCGCCAGCGAGATGTGCCGGGACTGGTGTCCGAGAGCCGACGATTTCGCGTGCGTAAAACGTAGTGTACTGGCCCTTCAGGCCTTCGACGATGGGTTTGGCCTCCGCCTTCCGAGAGCAAACACCTGCTATCGCGCCGAGAAGCACAGCATTTTTAGCGGCGGGTTGGGCTCCCTTAGCGGCGAGAACCTCAACAGCCGTACCGAGCGCCTTTGGATCTGTAGAAGCAAGTTTTCTGAGCCCTCGACGAGTAATCACCAAGGCCGAACTGCCGACAGTAGCCCTCGACGTAGGCCCCAGGCACTTCTCCAGGCAATCGGCGGTCGCCAGCACAGTGTCTTTCCCGAACTTTTCCCACAGGGGCGTCCCCGATAGGTTCTGCATCAGCAGACTGCACCATTCCACCAGAACAAACGCGCTATCGGATGCGATGCCTTGCTTCTGGGTTTCCTGACGGATTGCTACAACAAAGGGGGCGAGAACTTCGGCATCCCCCATCCGGAAAATCGAGACTAGGCATCGCTGCACTGCTAGTCGAGAGGGCCGGTCAGTGTAGTAGGCATGGGTCCAGAACAGGATTTTGAGCAGGCCGCGGATGGACGATTGATCGAGAGCTGGAAAGGCTTAGTTAGCTTGGTATGGACCCAAATCAAAGCAGCACGCTCACCTTTCTGGGAGAACTTCTCGTCAATGGCCCGCAACTGGGCAATCCTGGCCGCTGTCGACGACGACGTGAGCGCTGTCCTGGCCTCCCCGAGGTCCAGGCTGTCCGACGTGGCGTTGACGGGTGCTTCAGTCATGTTTGCTGCAATTCCTGTATTGGGTCGTATAATGACATGGTCAGGCGGCAAAACCTGCAGCCGTTATACTGTGCACCCGTGTATTTGGCCGTGATGGGTTTGTTGGAGTTGATTTTCGGCGACGACTCACAATTCAACGAAGTGGGGTGAGGCTGCGGTGTCGCTAATTCGACTGTGCGCCAGGCTCGGCAACTCCAGTGTTAGGGGTCCCACAGAAGGTCTTCCCCTCCATGACAGCTTCTGTGGAACCAATCCACAGCAGGAACGACCGCTATAGGTCGGACGCAGGGGCCATGAGAAGCCCACACCTGCAGGTAAACGGCCAGACGGCCTAAAACCGAAACCACCTCCACTAACATCGACAGAGCAGTTGTGACTCCATGGACCCGAATTTTTGGGTTGCCCAAAGGCCTGGAGGTCAGGTTCTGCACCGCGCAGACGTTTAAACAGTGATTCGATTCCATCGTCAAGTTATCAGGGAATTGCTACACTTCATACCTCCATGGCTGGCAAAAAGAAATCGAAAAAGCCCGCTGCGAACCCAGCGCGCGGGTTTGCTACTACCTCGATCGCATCAAAGCCCCGAGTCGATACCGCCGAAGCCACGGGCGAAAACACCCCGGCCAGCAAGCCTGATGATTCAGCCGCCCCGCCAACAAATGATGCACCGCAAACCAGCGCCGCGACCAAGAGAGAGGACAAAGCAACAACCAAGCAGTTGAGCCCTGAAGAATTCGAGAAACAACTTCAAGAATCGGAGCTGCAGCTCCTGGTAGAAAAGTACGCGCAAAAAGTGAGGCGGGATGCGCAGCGGCAGAAAACACGACTCGAAACGGACCGGCGTCTCCTTCGGGGCCAGGCCGAGACGATCAACACCAAGAAATGGCTACCTCAAGAGTTAATGGACTATGTTTTGGGGCTTATCCAAGCAGAAGGGCGGTTTGCAGCTTCCAACGTCTCCTCCGAGGGCGGCACTAGTAGGCTGCCGCCCGAAGAAGACCTCATCATCAAGCTGTGGACATTGCAGTTGACACTGGAGAGCGCCGACTTCCCGGAAGAGAAGGTCCAGCCAGCACTACAGTTCGTGCTGGATATTGCACCTAATATCCCCAACAATAGCAAGGGCGAGTCCATATGGGGTCTTGAGGAGGCACTCGACTGGTTTGCAAGGGAATGTGCCAGGGAAGAACTTCCGGACTACACAGGCCGCAAGACAGCCTCCAAGTCGCAAACAGGTATGGCATGTCCCATTGAATGTTCCACAGATTATGCTTACGATCTCAGACTCCTCGGCAGAAACGCCTCTGGCTTCAGGGGAAACTACACCTCTCGGGATTGACCTGGGATTTGGGACAAAGTTGAAGAATGGAGCGCTCAACCGGTCGCGCCAGGCGTCGCCCAAACGGCCCACCGTGACATACGACGAGGACATTGAACCTGACCAACTGATGCCGTTATATCTTGAGACCAAGGCGAAGTTGTTCTCCATCCAGCGACCACGGCAAGATGCTCCGAGGGGTGGTGTTGCAAGGAAGAAAACCGAGAGGTCGAATGACCCGGAAGAGGAGCTCCTGCTTGCAAAGCTCGAACGCATTGAGAAGGATGTCTTATTCGACAAATATGTTGCGGAGCAAAACTGGAAAGCGCAGCGTATTATTCTGGAAAAGGAGTATGCCGCAGCCAAGGCTGAGGAGAAAAAGAATAAGGAGGTGGCATCGGAAGAACCTCTTCCTGCGCCAAATGACTCGAACGATGTCAATGAGGAAGCTGAGCGCATTGCGGCAGAGGTTCTGGCCGAAGAGGATGACGACGGCACTTTAGCCGATCTATTCTCAAGCCTGCCCGTTAGTGAGGTTGATCCGCTCACTGGCAGGACCAACACCGTCATGAATGGCACGGATGGCAAGAAGGTCACCATACGTGATTTCGGAAAATGGACTGGAGTGAGCCCAATGCGGGCCCTGGAAGAGGCGTGCCGCGCAAGGTGATTAGGCTCTGCTTACCCTGTGTTCGGATTGCGCTGACGAGATCTACATACAGGGACTCATCCGCAAGGATATCGTACCATACGGTATCTGACGTTTCGTTCGCGAGTAGACATGCCGTTAAAGTCGTGTGGTCGAAGGCGCAGGACATTCCTGCTCCTCCTGACATTCCGGAGCTTGAATTTCATGTGTCACCCACCCAGTTCGTCTCCAAAATGAGTTCCATCGCAACTCCGGACGCGAGGCAGTCCGAGGCATACATTGCCACCGCTGCCCTGTTCTGCATATTTGGGTCGTCGGCCAAAGAGGAGAAGGTAGCAATGAGGCTGCCACCTGCCTGGAAGGATCTATGGTCCGAGTTTGCAGGGGCAAAGAAAAACAAGGCCGACGAATTGGACCGAGAGGTTTTGAGACGTCTCCGTGGCCTTGTGCAGAAGAGAATGGAGCAAGAACTTGAAGAGGGTGTTCTAGTACAGGGTTTCAAGGGGCGAGGGCAGGCAAAGAACTTGACAGACTCGGATCAGTCAGACCATGAGCGAGCCAAGCGGCAGCCCTATGGGCCAGAGTATTACCAGAATATCTGGTTGCAGAAAGCGAGCTCACCTAGGTTTCAGCAGATGCTGGTAAGTCAACATCCGGCGGGCAACCAGTATGTGGCCGTTTCTGAACCCCAATAGGCCTCGCGCATGCAACTCCCAATGTGGCAATTCCGGCAACAGGTCGTCGAGACCGTCGAGCGGGAACAGGTGGTCATTATCTGCGGCGAGACCGGATGGCATGTACCCTTTTTGTCCCATGCTACCCCCTGAATTACAGCTAACACACACGCAGTGGAAAGAGCACCCAGGTGCCGTCATTCCTCCTCGAGCACCAGCTGCTTCAGGGTAAACCGTGCAAGATATACTGCACAGAGCCGCGACGCATCTCTGCTATTTCGTTGGCAAAACGCGTCAGCGAGGAGCTCGGCGAGGGTAAAGGGGATCTCGGGACAAGTCGATCATTGGTGGGGTATTCGATCCGGCTAGAGGCGAGCACATCCCGGGAAACCCGCCTCGTCTATGCCACGACCGGTATTGTGATGAGAATGCTGGAGGGGTCCAACGACTTGCAGGAGATCACTCATCTGGTCCTCGACGAAGTCCACGAACGCTCAATCGACAGCGATTTCCTGCTGATTGTCTTGAAAAAGCTGTTAGCACGGAGGAAGGACCTCAAGGTCGTGCTCATGTCTGCCACTGTTGATGCAGAACGGTTTTCCAAGTATCTCGGCGGTGCTCCTGTCCTGACAGTCCCTGGTCGGACGTTCCCGGTTCGCGTCGCCTATCTTGAAGACGCGGTAGAACTGACTGGGTACACGGTTGATCAGCGGAGCCAAGAGAAGCTCACCGAGCTGGACGACGATGTGGAGCCAGAGCCGGATGCTTCGTCGAAACCAGAGCTGATCAAGGAGTTGAGACAGTACTCCCCGCGGACACGAAGCACTCTCTCCCAGATGGACGAGTACCGGATTGACTATGATCTAATCGTCCAGCTCATCTCGAAAATTGCGGTTGATCCGGATTATATCTCCTACAGCAAGGCAGTCTTGGTATTTCTACCGGGCATTGCTGAGATACGAACGCTGAACGACATGTTGCTGGGCGACAAGTTTTTCGCCGACAACTGGCTCGTGTACCCACTGCACTCTACCATCGCCACCGAGGAACAGGAGGCAGCCTTTCTCATCCCGCCGCCGGGGATGCGCAAAATCGTGCTGGCCACCAACATTGCCGAAACCGGCATTACCATCCCTGATGTAACATGTGTCATCGACACGGGCAAGCATCGAGAGATGCGGTTCGACGAGCGGCGGCAGCTGTCTCGACTCATCGACACTTTTATTTCCCGTGCAAACGCTAAGCAGCGCCGCGGTCGTGCCGGGCGTGTCCAAGAGGGCCTTTGTTTTCACCTCTTCACCAAGTACCGGCACGACAATCTCATGAATGATCAGCAGACACCCGAGATGCTGCGTTTGTCTTTGCAAGACCTGGCTATCCGGGTCAAAATCTGCAAGATTGGTGGCATCGAGGAGACGCTGAGCCAGGCGCTAGATCCACCATCAACAAAGAACATTCGCCGGGCTATCGATGCGCTGGTTGATGTCCGCGCTTTAACGGCGACCTCGGAGGAGCTGACACCTCTTGGTATCCAACTTGCCCGTCTACCACTTGACGTCTTCCTCGGCAAACTTATCCTTCTTGGGGCCGTGTTCAAGTGTCTTGACATGGCCATCACCGTGGCGGCTATCTTGTCCTCCAAGTCGCCGTTTGTCGCGCCCTTTGGCCAACGCAACCAAGCGGATTCGGTCCGCAGAGGCTTCCGCAAGGGTGACTCGGACCTCTTGACGGTTTACAATGCCTACTCAGCCTGGAAGCGAGTCTGCCAGTCGGCAACAGGGGGCGGTGCCGAGTTCCAGTTCTGCCGAAAGAACTTTCTCTCTCCACAGACGCTAGCGAATATTGAGGACCTCAAAGGCCAGCTTCTGGTTGCAGTAGCCGACTCCAACTTCCTGCAGCTCACCACAGAGGAGCGGCAGACCCTCAATCGCCTGCGCTTCAGCGGCGGCAGGCGACGCCGTCAAGCCTTCTTTGAAGTCCCCAAGCGCGTCAACATCAACAGCGAAAACGAAATCGTCGCCCAGTCGGTCATTGCCTGGAGTTTCTACCCCAAGCTCCTCGTCCGCGACATCGGCAGCAAAGGGTATCGCAACGTGGGCAACAACCAGTCCATCAGCCTGCATCCGAGCAGTGTGAACAAGGGGTTCACTGATCTGCGATGGCTCAGCTACTACCACATCATGCAGTCCAAGGCGTAAGTCATTCCCCCCTTTTCTCACTCCCCTCCCGCGACTAACCACGCCGTGCAGGTTCTATAATGCCCACGAAACAACTGCCGTCGACCCCTTTGCCATTGCGCTCCTCTGCGGCGATGTCCGCGCCGACATGTACTCGGGCGTGTTTGTGCTTGACGGGAACCGCGTCCGGTTTGCGATGCCTGACTGGAAGACGATGCTGGTGATGAAGGTGCTCAGGGCGCGACTCCGTGAGATGCTGAACCGTAATTTTAAGAGTCCTGGAAAGCTGCCTACGGCGCAGCATGAGAAGTGGCTGGATGCGTGGCAGAGGATATTCACGCTTGCGCAGGAGACTGCTAGTAAGGCTAGGGAGAAGGCGGCGGCTTAGATGAATGGCCCGGGGGGGATTCAGGGTCTCGCGGGATGGAGCTCGGGCTGCGTCGGCGTGAGCTGTGACACTTGCTTACTGTACATAGAGCCCGGGACACTATGATAAGTCAATGGTAGACTTGCCCAGGGAAACGAGCTACCTAAGACTTGTGTCCAGTCGCACTGATCTGGCCTGCGTGTACTCCTATTGTCGCGGTCTCACGACGCCTGCGACGAGGATTTCAGTCCAATACAGAGAACGGTTGTGCAGGTACTCTCCGGTACCTGAGTTTTGAGTGGCAAGTCCACGTGTCGGCGCATCATCAGCCAGCCACCTGCTTTAATGTCAGAAGGCTTGGCAACCCTTCTTCGTCCAAGACATGGACTCAGCTCTTGGCGTCACCGGATCACGGAATCATCTGGCGATCTCCCGACCCGACTCTTTCCAATTCCCGGCGCAGCGCCGCTTCACCCACCCACCCTCGAAGTTCAGCTTTACACCGATATTTCAACCAACCACCTCGAACCAACCACCTTAACCATCGCATTCGCCGCGTTTTCTAGTTGCGATCTTTTCGCCTGCCATCCCGTCGAGATAAGGTATCCAGTCCCCAGCGTACATACCAGGCACCAAACATCTCTGTCCCAAATCCTCAAATCCCCGCACCAGCTCGCTCCATACTGCTGGTACTCAGAGAAGGGACAAGCAAAACCAGCAAAGAACCCGAGGAAAATGCCGACCGCCGACGCGCCCAAGCTCCAACCGCCCATGGAGGCCGCCAACAACTTGAATCCCGACTCCGACCCCGCATTCTCCCAGGTCGGCGCTGGTGCGGGTGCGCAGGGCACAGAGAGGATTGTCACGAAGCAGCCGGTGAGTGATTCATCCTTCTCCTCATATAATATTTATTTCCTCCGACTCCTTTGTGTTTGCTGTTTTCCTTCACCATGAATTTGCTACTACATGTAATGGTTACTGCAACCCGTGGCTACATGTACAGTACATGTCCTTCCTATTTTACCTACCTTATCATGAGCATGAGATATTTCCAGTAGTCATCATGGATATGTCTGTCCGAGTCTGTGATTGTACAGTGGCTGGCTGACCGCTTGCGCAATTTGAACCTAACATTTGACTGATGAAAAAAAACAGAAAGCTGAGCCCCTCCCGACCATGAACATCGACGAGCATGAGCTGGGCCTCCGCGGCGGGCGGTTCATGCTGGGCTGCACGTGCTGTGACGGGATGTGCTCGTTTCATAAGGGCTGTTGCTAGACATGACTCTACTAGTAGTTGAGGCCTTAAGGGTACTACCACCGAGTAGTAGTACGACATTACTTAGGGGGGTAGGGTACATAAGGGGGCGTGCTTCTGTGGTGCAGTGGTTATGGGCCGGAAGGGCCCGGGTCACGGTCCTTTGCCTGTTTACTGTTGAGGTGGAGGCCGAGGGTGATGTTTGCTTTTGATATACCATTACTTCGTGTTGATGTATGGAGTTCAGTTGTGGGTTGGAATTCGAGTGAGATCTGCCAGGGCAGCGAGTGGTGTGTATAGGTGCCTGGTGGTGGTCATGGAGGACAGATGCAGAGCGGGCCTGCGATTTGATATATTGGCGATCGTTGTCATGAAATCTGAGCTTGAGCGGTAATATACAGATGGCTTAACACTGGCATCGGGTGTCTCCAGTCCTGTCTGGCATGTACAATTTGAGGGAACGGTGCGGTTGGAGCTTGTGACGGATCAGCGTTGAGAAGTTGAGGCTGAGACACGTTCGGCGGCTCATTACTGAGCTGGCACGCTATGGCAACTTCCCGGTTGCTCAAGTGCAGCAGCGGCTAGCTGCCATTGCAGGATGTTCAACTTCCGGGCCCTGATGCAAACCGCCGGTGTTGCCGGAAAGTTTGGGATCGGTTGTCCAACAGGGATCCTGCGCTGCTTCATCCTTCAGGGTCCACGGTCTGGGTCCTGGATATGGTCGCGGCCTTGGTCGTTGGGGAAGCACCACTTCGATGTTGGTCTTGGGTATGGTCTTCACCTCATGACCCCATTCTTCTGATTGTGGCGCCAAGGGCTCAGCGACAGGCCGCGGCGGCAATGAGTTCTTTGGTGGTCGGCCTCGTTTGCGCTTCCTGGAGCGTTCCTCGTCTGTGATGGGATTCTGTTGCTCGTACTCATATGCGGGTTGGGATCGGCTTGGACAGAATGCATACCGAAAGAATCGAACTGAGGGCCTTCCGCTTCCGTTATTACGACAGTAGTTCCGGGATCCTTATTATCTCGCTCCCAGCCGGCATTCATGAGCAATTCCATGCGACACTATTTTACGAGTTTGTCGGGCAGGTTCGCGATATGGGTTTGGAAAGGAGTTGGATGAATATCGCCAGTGAAACACTTTCAGCACAGGATTATTCTGGATGGAGGGGCAAAGAGGGCGATTCAAATACAGAAAGAATCGAACTGAGGGCCTCTCTGGTATATCGCGGTCACATTCTCTTTCCACTCCGCTACACTACACTACCCGTGGGGGGTTGAAAGTAGGAAGGGGGACTTGACTTATAACCCACAGGCGCTGGGCACACCCACAGTTTCAAGTATTGAAGTACATACTCAGCTTGCCATGTATACACCGCAGTGTTTCACTTCAGGTTATCATTACCTGAAAAGGGGATCATGAACCGAGCGTTGGTTCGTTGGTTAAACCTGTAGGCCTTGTCAAGAGATCCCAGTATGGACGCGACGCCGCGGGCCGCCACTCGGCCATAACTTAAAGAATACCGGCTTCTGGAATACATATATACACGCCGGGCTCCCTGGGAATCTTCACAAGAACAAGCTACCACCCGGGACACAACCCCCAACCGTCATCCGATTCATCATGCTATCTATACATCTGCCGGCAACTGCCCGCTAGTCGCCCAGTACACATTGTAATTAAACCCCTGCGCATCATAAAACGGGCCCAGCTCAACCGATTTGCCATCCGCGGTAGCAGTAAACGCCAGACTACCCGTACTCTTCCGGCGCAACGAACCCAACGCGAGCGTCGGCATCGAGGACAACGAAGTGCTGCCATAGTTGCCGGAGAGAATCACGGGACCGTAAGCGACAGCCGCGACGCTGGGTTTGTCGTTGGCTGGCACAATCCGTAGCTTCATCTGCAGTCGGATTTCAACCTTGTCTCCCGATTGCCAGACCCTCTTGACAGAGGCATATGACCCCGGTGTTGTGCTGATGCTTTGGACTTTCTCGCCGTTGACGCTGACTTCTGCTTTGGGAGTCCACGACGGGATCCGGATGCGCAACGTCCACTCGTCGCCTCCGCTCCGTCCGCCCTGGATGGTTAGCAGGATCTTACCGTCAATCGGGAATGCCGTGGTTTGCTGAACCGTGATATTGCGCTGCGACCACTTCAGGACTGAGGGTGTGAACAAATTAACGAACAACGTCGAATCGTCGTGGAAATAGATGGAATCCATCAGCTTGGTGTTGGTCTCGATCCCTGTGCCCTGACAGCACCAAAAGGAGTTGTAATCGGTGCTCCAGGTGCCGCCTCCCCACGCTGGGCCAACACCACGGCGGCCGCCCGGGTTCAGCGGGGTGAAGTAGGTGATGTGACCGTGGCTATCGGCTTGGTTCTGCTGGCCAAGGAGGTGGTTTAGCAGCGCTTGCTCGTAATAGTCGAAATAGGCCGTGCTGCCCGGGTCCATCCTCCACAGCTCCCGAGTCAGCTTCAGCATGTTGTAGGTGTTGCACCCCTCGGCGGTATCCTTGTTCAGATATTGAGCAATGGCATTTGGCGGACGGAAGTGCTCTGCCTGGCTGTTCCCGCCAATGGCATAGGTATGGGCGCCAACTGTGATGTTCCAGGCATTTTTGGCAATATCTCTGTAGCGGGTAGTCCCCGTTGCAAAGAATTCGCGCGCAGCGCCTATCCACTTAGGCACCTGAGTGTTTGCGTGAAGGCCGTTGAGCTGGTCCCGGCCAGATGCCAGCGGGTTGAACACAGCCGCATGGTCAAACCTCTGCGCGGCGGTAAGCCAGCGCTTGTCGCCCGTCTCGAGGTAAATCTCTGTGAGGACATCGTTCATACCGCCAAACTCGGTGCCCAGCATGGCTTGCATCTGGTCGTAGCTGAGCCGACTGGTGCGAGAGTCAACCCACCCGGCAAGCGCGAGCAGGACGTCACGCGCTTTATTGTCTCCGACGTGGCGCCAAACGTCGAGCAACCCGGCCATGGTCTTGTGGATCGCATAGTATGGGACGTTGCCGTTGCTGAGCCTCCGGGCTTCCAGGGCGGTGAACTCGGACTCAGGAAAGCCTGAGAGGTATCCGGCTCCAAAACCGGCGGCAGCGTTATTCGCCTGGCATTTGGCAAGTTCAGCCACAAAGTATGTTGCTCGGTTGCGGCACTCGACATCGCCGAGGGTGGAATAGCATTGAGCCCACGCCGTGAGAAAGTGTCCTTGGGCATGGGTGCGGAAGGGGAAGTTGGGGGCATCCCACCCGCCATTTGCCGTGGCTCCTTTGGTTGACAAACGGTGGTTGGCCCTGAAGTTGTAGAGCAGTCGTTCTACATCTACCCACTTCAGATAATTGACGGTGCGGTTTTGGTTGGCCATCCACCGACTCTCAGTCAGCGAGACCGAGGACATACCAAACGGGTACGCGGACACTCCAGCTTCTCTCTGGGCTGGCAGCGCGGACTGGCTTGCGACGGGCAATGCCATCCCGGCAAGGCTCAAGGTTAAGATGGTCCAGGACCACATCGTGTTCTGGTGTTTGAATTTCTTGCTGTTGATGACGGCGCACCTGCTAGTTCTTCAGGACACGGGTTGACGAACTGCTGCAGAAGAGTGAGGTTGTCCAGGAGGTACGGGTACATAAGAACGAGAAGCAGACAAGGAGATGGAGCGAGGATAATGTAATCCCTCTGGGAAGAAGCAAACCGGTTGGCATGAAGCTCAACGCACATGGTGAATCGAGATTGGTGGACAAACAATGAAGTTCTGTAGCAGCCTAGCTCGAGGCGCATCTCGAGGGGTAATAACCAAGAATAAGCCGAGGCATGGATCTACGCGGCGTCGTTCCTGCTGGTGTTCGGATACAACAATAGGTCCATATACACTCCTGGACAGTCGAGATCTGAGGGCACACTTAGCGCGGTCAATTCATCCGGTCCGTAGAATCGACGTCCTCCAAATCGACTCTGATGTAACCGGACACGGCTGTGACAGCGGTAGCACCGGCCTTTAGGCGCGCCAATCCCCTTCCCCGCAGAACTGCATCTTTGACCACCGGTCTATATCCACTCGTTCAGTAAGTCAAGGTAGTGGCCGAATAGGCGCGGTTATTGGATCTTTCCCATGGGGAATGAATTCTGAGAGAGGATGCCGGACACGAGGTCTGCAGTCAGTTGTGAAATGTTCCGGATCCCGGAATCAAGCCCTCCTTTGGGGATATTCATCAAGTTCTCGCAATGCAGATAGGCCAGTCCAGCTGAATAGTCCACCCCGGTTTCGATGTTAACCAGGAATCATTCGCGATGATTGATCCGACATTGGAATTTGGCCACTGGAGTCTGGCATCCTGTAATAGGAAGCCCTGAGCCATTGGATTTCCGTTGGTGTGAGTGTTCTACAGATTGAAAAAAGAACTGAGCGTGCGGCAGCAGATACGGAGTACCATACCATCAAACATGGCCCTCATGGGATACGAGTGAGACATCCTGACGCGACCGTTTGACGGAGCCCAAACATCAAGACAGCAGGAGATTATTGGAAGCCTGAAGAATAGTGACAGGACACAGAAGCCGTCAAGTTGGCCTGAGTCCCAAAAACCACGCGGCATGGTGAGCTGAGACAGCAGGCAATGTGCCTGGCTAGACAGCCAGGCCGGAAGCAGGACCATCGTTCTTGAATCGAACCAGGGCGATCATAAGTCATAACTTATGAACGGGATTTGAACCTGGAAAAAGGGAACTGGTCATCTGGACTTTCGATTCAGTCCATTCAACATTGGGCCGTCGGAAAAGCCGAGTCCAGGAGAAAGTTGGACAGTTTGTGTTGTCAGAACCCGGTAAAGAAAGCTGCTTCTCCTTTCCATTGTTCAAAAGTTGAGGAGGAAGGAACGGACGTTTATCGGACTCGGACAGTGGTTGCGGATCGGAGCAGATTACATAAGCGAACACTCTTGGAGAGCCAAGTCACGTGCAGCTAAGCTCTTGATGCATCATCAGGCCATTGTTGGAAGCTTCATCAAACCACGCATACCACCGACTGTCTTCGCTCGACTCTCCGCTCAACGTCTCCTCTTGCGTCTCAAAACAACCCAGACAAAATGGCGATTGCACCCATTACTGGCGTACGTGGTTTTGCTGGACTTTGCCTCGCTCAATGGCCGCCAATTGTCGATGCGATTGGCAAGGATTCGTTGACCGAAACTGACTGGTTGCTAGATGCTCCGGCGTGGCCTCATAACCGATCTGAGCATTGCGCTTGGTAAGTTCGGCCCAGCTGCACATTATCGCGCTCATTCCGCCCGATAGGACTTTGCTCAAGCTTGCCTGTCCGCGTCGCTAATCTTGGACGGCAGGTCTCGGATTCGCTTTCGCCAACGCCTACTGGTACGACGAGCCATGACCCGTTATCCCGACCTTGCGAGACGCGGAAGCAAGTCTAACCCTATTATAGGTACGGCTACCACGTCCCAAGGACCGTGGCTCGCGACAACTACTACAGAAAGCTGGAGGACGAGCGTGCGGCTAGGCAAGCAGTTTAGAACGAAGATGACGTGACGGAGGGTTGTACGCGTGCATAGAAGGGCAGCTTGGAAGGGGATTGGCATCGTTCACACGGCATACGGATAGACGGGCGCTGGTTCAGTCAGTCAATCGGCAGTATTTTGTCGGTACTCCTGGAAGACAAGCAATACCTAAGGGAAGGACGGCAAAGCCGAGACAATGGCTGAGGGGATAGGAGACAGAAGATATGTCTAAGGGACTCCATTATATTTAGAACCGACGGTGTTGACGTCGTCTGAATTATGCGTTCCATGCCCCTCTGGTCGGCCCAATCCAGCTAGGGTGGTGCTCAGAGTTGATCCTACCACGGATGTACCTTCCCAAGCAGTCGTTTCTGCCGTAAACACGCCCTTCTTGTCCTTGCATCTAACTTGCCGCATCAGCGCATCGACTTGGAAACAAGCAAACCCAAAACTGCGTTGCGCGCTGCACCAAGAAACACGAAGATAAGTGATTGAGCCTCACCTGCGGAACCATCTTTGCACCGGCCAACACTTGACTGGACTGTCGGCCAACTCTGGATGCGGCACAACGCAATCGTACTGAACGAGGCCGAACAAGTCGCAATCTCGAGCCAAATCTATGCGGCGCCCGTCCTCCGTCTTCCTCACTTTGCCGTCTACGCCCATTTGCACCCTTGACGAGAGAGCCTTGCTCGGGAAGGTTTCGCAGGGTGGTGCCATTGAATCGAGAGATTAGACGACGCGACGCAACGATTGGAGAGGTGCAGGAAATGCGAACCGCTGCGGCCGCCAGTATCGGCTCTCGGTTGTTGAGCGAGATTGAAGAGACAAATTTGGACGAGGTAGGCGGCTAGAGGCGATGGTCAAGTTGCGTCAAGGTGGGATGGCTGAAGCTGCGTTGGACAGAAATTACTAACCACCCGCGTCTTGCCGCGTCTCCTTTCAGATCCTGGCTTCCCTCCGCACACACTTTGCAACAACAGCTACAGAACCCAGCGCAAACAACCACAGTGCCGGCGATGGCCACTTGTCGAGCCCACGACTACGAGATTTCCCCCTTGGCCCTCTCAATGACCTCGTCAAACGCCATTTTCGCGCGACGCAGTCTGCCCCACTCGCCGTCGCAGGCCGCCATCGCGAGCTTCTTTACTCGCTCATCGCAACCCTGATCGCCCGGCCCCATGAGAAGGCCGTGGTTATTGCTGACTTTGAAGGGCGATTCGACCCCTTGCGGCTTCTTGCAACGGCTCCAGCGAACGCCGACTCGCTGCTCGCAGACTCCACGAATACCCGTTGGCCCGACGTCCAGCGCGCAGATCTGGACCATGTCCACATTCTACGTCCTCCTATGCGGGGAAGCAGCTCCAAGCACGTTGCTGACTGCCTCGCTTCTATCGAAGAGTACATGCTCTATGGGGCGCACCGCAGCCGTTCCAGGGAGTGGTGGGGTACAGTGATTATCGGCGGATCACCGAACTTGGCAGGGAGTGTCTCCCCCGCCATGTCCTCTACGATCGCCGTCACGGCTGGCTGGAGGGGCTGGCTGCGTGTTGACCGAGCAGAGGTTCTGGGTTTCTGGGGGATTAGTGTTGAAGAGGCTTTAGCTGAGCGGGACAAGCGGCATGCTATGGTGGAGGACGCCGGCTGGACGGCTAGTTCCCCATGGGGCAGCTTTGAGATTTGCAGGAGGGAGGAGAATGGTGGCTAATACTGTTCTCATAATGAAGGGGAGGTGGAAACTCCACTAGGCCCACTGCCTCCCTCACGATATCCGAGACGCGATGCGGAGCTGACTGGATTCGAAGAGGAGTACCAAGGAAGGACCTGGGAAGGAGGAAGATCTTGATCGCTGAGGGAGAATATCGGGCTCTCCGCATCACCGTCTCGTGTCCAGCGCTGCTGGCTCTTACCTGGGAGTATTCTACGTCCTAAATGCCGCCGCTTGTCCTTGTCACCGACTGGGATGGGAATTCCGATTGATCTGACCCAAGAGGAGGGAGAATTGTGTGTGAGTAATGCGCATACAAACCTACGATCGCAAGTCCGTTAGGTCGCGGCATCTCTCACACAGCACATCTGGGCCCAATCCATCTGATGAACCTGCCAGGCCCCACGCTGCCGGTCTTGCTCCAATTCTCAAGGTGGATTCCTGCCAACGGATTTTGATGTGCACATAACCATCAGATTCTCGATGACGAGAGGTCCGGCGCTGAAACACGCTTCACTGCATCGTTGCCTTGGTTCTGGCGGATCCTCTTCTTCAAAGAGGAAATGGGAAGTTTGACTGACGCGGGGATTTTGACAACTTGACGTCTCACCACATGGATCGACGCTTGCCATTTCCGGTTAAGAAGCTTCACCAAAACAACAATGCCGAGCAGCTCATGGAGGCCTCAGACTCGTCTTTTCACATGCATGCCTATCAGCTCATGTCGACCAGATCGGATGTGGCCTCATTGATATGCAAGATACAACTCGCCGACAAGCAACCATCCAATGAGATGGTTAGACCCCTGGCGGTGCAGCCCGGCCCCGGCAACGTGTCAAACCGGCCACGGAATGTTACGGCCCAAGATCTTCGGGCTCTGCCTTGTTCTGTTTGCCGTTTGCCGGCATGGTGTCGCTGACTGAACCCTTGGGGACCCACTTCGGCCGAAGTCTCTGCAACCAGGGGTCCCGGCCCTGACGTCATGGGATCGGCGGCGCGGCGGCTTGGCGGTCAAGGGCCGGCGCCGTGTTTGCCGGTCTGGTGCAGTGCTGATTTGCCCCTCCGTGAATAGCCACTGGCACTGTGACACTGTGTGTGGGTAACGTCAACCGCCAGAGGGACTCGGGCCGGTTCATGATGAGATCTGTGCCTGGCTGCCCCTTCGCCTCCCACAGTGGTGGACGTACTGTGAGTGTTGAACCTCGTCTTGCGGCTGACTGTCAGCAACCACTTACGGATAGTGATTTCCAGCTCTTCTTCAGCCCCGAAAGGCCGGTATCAGACTCCCGTGGGGTGTATGAGCGTATCGCAGAGGTATGCCAGACTTGATATGACTTCACACCTAGGTGGTGCTTCTGCAATCACACAAAGGACGAACTTCCACGGAGGCCTACCTACAAGTACCCTAGTGGTTGGAGATAAGGGCCGTCTATGGAACGAGTAGGGGCCTGGTATTGTACAGTGGCACTGTACGCGGTTGGGTCTAGCTCACCGACTTCTACAACTTTCAGGGTCTTACACATCGTCCGCCCAACCTCCCTCGTCCAGGTCTGCTTTGGACCCTTGGGATCCAAGTCCGCCAGTGTCCGAGTTCCAGGCAGTGGATCTTGCTATGGAGCATCCTGGGGCAGAATAAGACGACTCAGACGAATCCATGCATCAGTGGAGTGGGGCGACTAGGTGGCGTGGAAAGCCGTCTCCCACAACTCGTTACACACGCTTCATGTTATTCGAGCTCATTCGCGAGGGTCCAAACCCCCAGTTTTCAGGCAGGTGATGACTGATCGAGAAACGATCCGAACTCTTCAGAGAGGGGACTTAGATACCCACATTCGCCAACGGATGGATCCAAGGGCCATCTTTGTTCTGTCTTGGTGCGGTTTCGACCGGCCTGTGTCTCCACCTCCACCATACAGTGTTTACTGTCCGGACGACGTTGGTGTTATAGATGGCTTCAGTCTATATAAGGGCGCCGCCTCTTTGCATGTTGTGCCCCGCAGTCCTGTCCTGTCAACTTGGTCATCATCCTCTTTTCCCTGTATTTTGTCTTTCACTGTCAGTGTGTGTAACCGGGGGATTCGCACCTGACTACTTGGCTTGGTTTTACTCAGCTGAGAGACGACAGCCTGCCATTCCTTTTTGATTCATTCATCATGTCTTCACTGCCTGTCCAGCGACCGGGCATTGGGCCCCGGCAGGTGTCCAGCAGCAGCTTCGCTGACGCCTTCGATGCCGCCCGCAGCAGGCTGGAGGCACTTGGCGTAGAGGAACCGGGCGAGGATGAGGTGCCCTCGCCCGCCCTGTCGTCGTCCAGCTCGACCACGGACGAAGTCCCTTCTCCTGCCTTGTCGTCGTCCAGCTCGGCAACGGACGAGGAACCTTTCTCACCGTCGGAGGGCGAGACTCCCCTGAGCCCTGTCACCCCAATCACCGGCCCCGGTACCTCGGCTATGGACCCGAGCGTGGTTGACAGCTTTGCGTTTGCTTTTGACATTGATGGGGTGCTCATCCGTGGAGGAAAGCCGATTCCAGAGGCTGTGGAGGCCATGAAGGTGCTGAATGGCGAGAATGAATTTGGCATCAAAGTGTAAGTGGATTTTTCAATCTTTTGCCGATGGAAATCTCTAATGCTAACATGCCTCCCTCAGACCGTACATCTTCCTGACCAACGGCGGCGGCAAGTTTGAGACGGAGCGCTGCCGCGATCTGTCGCAGCAACTCGAGATCGAAGTATCCCCCGGCCAGTTCATCTGCGGCCACACGCCCATGCGGGAATTTGCCGATCGGTACGGGACGATCCTTGTCGTTGGCGGCGAAGGCGAGAAGTGCCGCGAAGTCGCCGAGAGCTACGGTTTCCGGGACGTCATCACGCCCGGCGACATCCTCAAGGCCAATGCCGCCACGGCCCCGTTCCGGCGTCTGACTGAGACGGAGCACCGCAACTCGCGCGACCTGCTCGCGCGCGGCGGCAAGCTGAGCGACATCGTCGTCGAGGCCGTCTTTGTCTTTGCCGACAGCCGCGACTGGGCGTCGGACTTGCAAATCATCCTCGACATTGCCCAGAGCAAAGGCGGCCGGCTCGAGACGCGGTCCGAGACCTTTGACGAGGGCCCGCCCATCTTTTTTAGTCATAACGACGTGCTGTGGTCTGCCGCACACGAGCACGCCCGGTTGGGTATGGGCGCGCTCCGCAAGATTGTTGAGACTGTCTTTGAGGACACCACGGGCGGCCGCAAGCTCAAGACGCATGCTTTCGGCAAGCCGCAGGTGTCGACGTTTGAGTTTGCCACGCGCCTGCTGCAGCAGTGGCGGGCCAGCCAGCACGGGTTGTCTGAAGCCAAGCCGCCGGCGACGGTGTATTTTGTTGGTGATACGCCTGAATCGGATATTCGGGGGACGAATGCGATGAATGAGGTTAGTGAGAATGAGTGGTATAGCATCTTGGTCAAGACGGGGGTGTATCAGGAGGGGACGGAGCCAAAGTACAAGCCAAGGAAGTTGGTGAATACGGTGCTGGATGCGGTCAACCATGGCATTCGGAGGGAAATGGCACGGCGGGGATCGAGGAAGGCAACTGGGGGCAGGATGCTGCCGCTTGATGACCTCGCGCTGAAGGCGGTTGGGGAGGGGCACACGCCGACTTTTGAGGTCGTTGATCCGTTTGGGGATATGTGAGGGGCGCAGAATGCCCGTTCAGCGGTTGATTGACGGCGGGACGAGATTTTGGATCAGAGAGTGTCCTTTCCTTTTCATGACGACTTGACGACTTTAGATACCACATTTTTTTCGATTCTCTTTGGCTTCCTCTTCGGGTGTAGATATTTTCAGATCACCACTCGTTTTTCTGTTTGTCCACTGGTCTTACACTTCATTACTAGGATAGGATGTTGGGAGGCACTCAAGGACGCAACGGACATTGCTGGTCGCATAGAAGCCATCACCCGGTTTTGGACCATCAGCAACGGGGGGAGCCACCCAAAAGAGCGTTCGCTTACTAGAAAATCACGGGTCACATATTGGGCTTTGGGGGATGATTGAATAGACTGGGCTTCCTGGATCATCCTACATGGACTCGGCATTGCAATGTCCGGACTCCGGAGTTGTCTGGGTTGTTATTAACGGCTATTCAACAGGTCAATGCAGCTACGGGCTATGACATTACCTGGCCAACAACAGAAGGTGTGACTAGCCGGGAGCCGGGGAAGCTCCCCCGCATGACGGTTGCACACCTGACCCATGGGTCCGATTCGACGACGGACCCGACTTGGACTCGACCGGACCCATTATATCTCGCGCACCTGTTTGGTCCAGGGCGGGAGATCGTCGCCCAAACAAAACCATCGGTTCCCGTGCCACAGCCGATCCGTCGTCATGGGCAGCAATGCAGCGCGATGCGATGCAATGGATGCATTTATATTTAAGGTAACCGTGCCAGCGTGCCGCAGTGCTACTGCACTCTCCCTTTTGTATGTCGTATGACTTCAGCAGCAGATCAGACCATAGAGTGAGACGGATCCGACGAGCCGGATCTATCTAAGTACTATCTAATCAATCATGAAACCAGACGGCTCTCAGATCATACTGGCCACCGCCCTCCTGGCCGCAGACCTCGGAACCTCTCAATCCTGCCCAGACTACTCCTCCCACTCCAAAGCCCGCCATGAGCCCTTCTCCCCTGGCAAACACGCCCTGTCCTACGCGCGGCCGATCCCCGCCTGCCGGACGTTCAACTCCTCCACCATCGAATCCCTCGTCGCCAACATGAGCGACGTCATCGCCGACCCAGACTTGCACCGTCTCTTTGAGAACACATACCCCAACACGCTCGACACGGCCATCCGCTGGCGGGGATTCGCCGCGAACAACCCCGAGGAGGAGTTGACTTTTGTCATCACGGGGGATATTGACGCCATGTGGCTCCGCGACAGCGCCAACCAGATGCAGTCGTACTTGCCGGTGCTTGAGCCGGATGATGGGGTGGATAGTATCGCGAGTTTGTACAGGGGGGTTATTAACTTGCAGGCGCGATACCTGCTCACGGCGCCGTATTGTAACTCGTTCCAGCCGCCGGTGGAGAGTGGGATTCCGCCTGCGGATAACCCAGGCGCGAACAAGGATACCGTCGTGCCGGGGTATGATCCCGCCAAGGTGTTTGAGTGCAAGTACGAGCTGGACAGCCTGGCGGCGTTTTTGAGGGTTAGTGTCGACTACTACGAGGCGACGCACGACGCGGCGTTTTTTGGGAGGTTTCAGTGGGTGTCTGCGGTCCAGGCGGTGCTGGCTACGGCGAGGGCCATGATGCGACCGACTTATGGCGAGGATGGTGCGGTGCTGGACAGTCCGTACACGTTTGAGCGGCAGACGACGCGCGCGACAGAGACCCTGGCGAATGATGGGTTGGGTAGTCCTGTGGCGAGGGATACGGGGCTGATTAGGAGCGCGTTCCGGCCGAGTGATGATAGTACCATCTTTCAGTTCCTGATTCCGGCGAACATGATGTTTGCGCAGTCGCTGGCGGAGGCGGTGTTTATTGTGCAGGAGCTCGGGGAGGGCGCGCCGCAGGGCTTGGCGGATGAAATGCGGACTTTGTCGAGGCAGCTCAGGGAGGCGATTACACGGTTTGGAATTGTGCCTGTGGTGAGTGGGAATGGCACTGCGGTGGAGACAGTGTATGCGTACGAGGTGGATGGGTACGGCGGCGCGGTGCTGATGGATGATGCGAATGTCCCCTCGTTGCTGGCGGCGCCGTTCATGGGCTATCTTGCTGCGACAGACCCGGTGTATCAGCGCACCAGGGCGAGGATTTTGAGCGCGAAGGCGAATCCATACTTTATGACGGGGCCGCAGATCAATGCTGTGGGTGGTCCGCATGCGGGCCCGGGTATGGCGTGGCCGATGGCGAGTATCGTCCGGATTTTGACGTCGGATGATGATGAGGAGATTGTTGGTGTGCTGAGGGAGATTTTGAGCACGACGGACGGGCTGGGGCTGATTCATGAGAGCGTCAACTCGTTTGATGCGAGTCGGTGGACGAGGCAGTGGTGAGTTATTCTGTGATGTGAAAGCTGTGCTTCCGATGCTGATGAGTGAGTAGGTTCTCCTGGGCAAACGGACTGTTTGGGCAGATGATCCTCGACTTGCGTTTCCGGAAGCCGCATATTCTGCAGCAGAGCTTTCAGTGATGCTTGGAGTTAAGGCGAATAATAATTGACTGTGATGCACCTTTCCATGCCGGTTGAGGAGTGACTGCGTGGCTCGGATTCTGAAGTTGTCCTCGTTGGGGACGTTCTCATGCTCAACGCATCACCGCCATCATTGCATGTTCATTAGGTATTCTCACCATCGTCTACCACGGTTTCATCCTTCTCATCCGTATTCCCTTCCCACAGTTACCAAGAATCCCAAAACCAGAGCCGACATCGATTCCTTGGGTTGCCATACTGAATAGGGGTTTGTTGACTAGTACTCCCTTACGGGGAGGTTCACCGATCACCGGAAAAGAACCCCACCTGCATTAGGCTGAACCCCTCTCAAGCACCCTTACAGTCAGGCTTTGCTTCACGAATGTTCTTCCACCCGTGGCGCTTCAAAATGAGGTATGGTTACAGTGGCTGTCTTGACAGTTTTGTTTAAAAGTTTTCAGGGGTAATGACGTCGAGCGGTGGGTCTTGTCATCCACACACCTTCATCATGGACGTCGCTAGCGCACAACACCAGGCGCAGGACGGTAAGATATTCGGAAGAAAACCCACTGTTTGTGGCAAGCTGAGGATTTTCCACAGGTTTCGTGTCAGTAGTTTTTCTCCACATGGGGATGATCACAGCCCAAGGGGTTGGGTTATTGGCTGTCTTTATCAGTCATGGAAAACAAGTGGTCAATTGGGTCAGGGGGAATCTGAGATTTTTTGATGAGAAGAGGTTTTGAATCTAGATCTTATCACTTCTAGATCTATATCATCCTCTCAACCCGCCCATGTCACAACCTCGTCACCCTTTGTGATTCAGCCGCGACCGTTTCTCCGCTCAACATCACATTCCAACATGTCTTATGCCCCTGAAGACCCCATGAGCCCGAAACAACAGGACAGAGAAGGAAACGAATCTTCATCTCAGACACTGACCAACTTCGACAACTCTTCTAATCACTCATCACACCTAGTCTCGGCGCAGAAAGACCATGAACACAATGACAACGACCTGGACCACGACAATTCACCCGACCAGCCCTCACCCCCCGAAGACCCAATGGACCCCAACCCGCACCAACACCAACACCAACACTCACATTCACCCTCAGACTCAGACTGGGAGCACAACGAGGAGCACAGGTCGCTTGAAAAGCACACATCCCGCAAGGTAACAGACATCGAAAACATCGAAACCGGCTCAACCCATTCCCATTCCTCCCGGCTAGTAACCGTCCAACATGAAACCTCGCGATCATCCCATGCCCATCACCATCACCACGAACAGCACCATGACCACCACAAGCCTGAACCGCGGCGTGTCACATCCTCCCAAACAATCCGACACACACGAGCCCGGCTAGGCCTGCGCCCTGCAGCACCCATCAACGAGGAGGAACAGTTCGCCGAGCGCCAGGGGTTGCGGTGGTCCCGTGTGCGTGTGGCGCTGCGGGAGCCGTTTTCGGAGTTTTGGGGGGTTGTGGTTATGGTTGTGCTTGGGAATGCGAGCGTGGCGCAGGTGTTGCTGAGTGAGGGGCAAAAGGATGCCCCTGGGGGGAGTGGGTATGGGGGGTGGCAGAGTATTAATTGGGGGTGAGTCCACCTTAGGATATGGATATGATGGTGTGTGTGTAATTGAAGGGCGTGGAGCTGACGGTGGGTGATATTTGTAGATGGGGAGTGGGTGTTATGCTGGGGTTATATGTGGCAGGGGATTCAGGGGCGTATCTCAACCCGGCGATTACCTTCTCCAACTGTCTGTTCCGACAACTCCCCTGGAGGCGGTTTCCCACGTACGCGGTTGCGCAGCTGCTCGGGTCGTTTGTTGGGTCAGGCATTGTGTATGCCAACTACATCAACGCCATTGACCAGTATGAGGGCAAGGGAATCCGGTCTGTGCCGCCGAATCCGAAGGCCACGGCGACTATCTTTTGCACGTTCCCGCAGCCGTTCCTGACAAAGGCGAGTCAGTTCTTTTCGGAGTTCATAGCTAGCGCGGTTCTGGTGCTTGTTATCTTTGCGTTGCGGGACCCGGGGAATAACGGGATTGAGAAGGTGAGTCCTGATATTTGTTGATAGCCATTTGCCTACGATCAATCACGTGGCAGCTAACTCGGACCAGGACGGCAAATGGTTCCCCTTGATGATGCTGTTCCTCATCTTCGCCCTGGGCACGGGGTTCGGCTGGAATACTGGGTATGCCATCAACCCGGCCCGTGATCTCGGACCGCGCATTATGGCCACCATACTGGGATACGGCTCCCAAATGTGGTCTGCGGGCGGATACTATTTCTGGGTGAGTCCTAGTCGATCTGGCCTAGGCAAAATACCGACCCGATTCTAATGTATCTGCAGATTCCGATAGTTGCCCCATTCTGTGGATGTGTCTTTGGCGGACTTCTCTATGATGTGTTTATCTACACGGGGGCCTCGCCCATCAACACGCCCTGGATGGGGCTCAAGCACATATTCCGGCCGGACTATACGTGGAAGGTTGCGAGAGAGCGTCATCACCGGGGCATTGAGGAGGGTATTGTATGAGCAGAAAAGGTAGCACTTGCGGTGGAATCATGCGAGAGAGAAACGACTAGACAGAATCTGGCCTTTGAGGCAACATTGATGATGGCATGATACTAGTAAGCATCACAGCACCAATGACCAAACTGTAGGTCCCTAGGTTCTTCCGCTCTCGGCCTTGCAAGATCCTTTCTCACTCCACGACTCCAGCTTCTTAACATAACGATCCACAAAGCCCCCGATAATATCACTGATGGCCTTCTCTTCCTCCTCCAACAGATTCTGAATTCGGGTCTCCACTTCCACCTTAAAGACACTGCACTGCTCAGCAGCTTAAGTGTTAGCGACGTGTCCTTTCCACTGCGATCCGGCGACGTGGTTATCTCTCGACTCACAGCGTGACCAGAGGGGTCATTGCGCTTATGTGCCGCTCTAATCTCCTCTTCAGGGTCACCGCCCCAGATCATGGTCGGTTCGTCATATTGCCGGGGCTTATTGAGCTCGACCATGGCGTTTACCCGCATCTTCGCAAGCGTAGCGATGTCCAGTTCGGGAATGTCCTTGTACGCTTCGTACGAGTATACCCAGGCTTGTGCCTCAAGAGTCCTAGTTATCAAGATCAAAGCAGTCAGTCAGCGATCGCCCAGAGTAAAAGACTGGGATGGAAGGCTTAGAGGCTTACAGCGCCCGACATCCGAGCCCCATCGAGACGCAACGGTAATAGCGCTTGCCTCGCACGCTCGCAGACGCATTGTCACGGCATGCCAGAAAGGGCGCTCCGCTGGCAATGTAGAAGTGCGCGCAGTCTTCGCATGGTTCTTTGCGGAGTTCGCCCCTGGTGGCCTTCTTTGGGACACTGCGACTGATTAAGTGTTTGCGCAAAACTCCAGGAGTAGGATTCACCGACGTGGGATGATAAAGGGGAATCGATTTTTCGTCCATCTTTCAAGGAGTTGCCATTTCCTCCGTCACAGTCTGATGAAGAAAGGCGAGATTGAAGGTGAAAGAGGAAACCGCGGGCAGGTTCGTAGTCGAAAACAGCTGAAAAGGGCTGTTGACCTGGAGATGGGACGGAATTCTTCACGCAAGGCCACGCGTTACGCGTTGGCCACTCAACATCAATGTAATGCCGTCACTGTTAAGTGTCGTTCCTTTTGCTCAGATTCATTGCCTAGGTTTCTTCTATGTTCTCAAAGATCGCTACTACTAATTCATGCGAGATCTTCTACTCCCCCTTTAACTCTAGGTATATTGGCAAAATTACTATTCATCATGATACCTTCAAGCTAGACAGCCAAAACCAAACCAGCCCACCACCACGTAGTATACCCCTATCTCGGCGCGTAAACAAACGCAAGCTCATCCATCTCATCCCCAGCCTGCCCGACAAAGCCCACAATATGCCACCCCTCCGGCGCGACAAACGTCGCGCAATCCGCCGTCGCCGTGCCCGCCACCAGGGTACGTCCCGCGGAGGTGGCAGCACGAATATAAAAGTTGCGCGTCTGCCCGCTCTTGTCCCCCTTGCAGAGCCGCGCCTCAACCCAGTACTCTGTCGAACTTAGAGCCAGCGAGACTGTGGTGCCCCCCGTGCCGCCATGGACAAGGCTGGTGCCGTCGGTCAGCGTCAGTCCGACACTATCCAACCGGGATGCGCCCCGGAAGGTTAGTGTCGAGGGTTTGGGCTTAGTTTTGGTTGAAAGGGTTGGGACGTCGCTGAACCAGGTGCCGTAGTCGCCGCCGAAGTAAGCGCTCTGCCGGAATGAGGTGCCCGCGGACCAGGTGAAGTCCGCGTAGACCGGGTTGTGGTCGGACAGGATGCTGCCGTTGGCCTGCAGGAAGCGGGTGCTGTCGTAGCGGAAGCTGGTCGCTTTCAGCGTCACGAGCGGGCTGGAGCGGTAGAAGATCTTGTCGACTGTCTCGCAGGTGTTGACGGTGCTTGGGTTTGAGCAAAGGCTTTCGACCGTGGGGACGACGCCGCCGCGCTGGTTCTCCACCCACGCGTCGGTGAAACCGCTGGCGAGCAGAGAGCGGACTGCCGTGTCGCCTGTCCGGCTGTACCGGCTGTTGGTGTCGCCGAAGATGACCACGGCGTTGCCGGAGCTCCAGGTTGAGATGTAGGCCGCTACTTGGTTGATGTTGGCCTGGCGGGCGGTGAGGTCGTCGGCTTCGGTCCCCGCGTCGGTGTGGATGTTGTAAAAGTCGACGTAGACCGTTGTGGTGTTGTCGGTGGAGCCTGACAGGGCGAGCCGCATAAACGTGAAGCCCTTGGGCGTCAAGCAGTCGGCGCCAGAGGCGTTCGAGCACTGCTCCCACTCGATCCGTCGGAAGTTGACCCAGTCATGCTTGGACAAGGTGTTGAGGCCATCGCCGAATGGGACGCCGCCGGACGTAGCTGTCCGGTAAGGATGGTTGTCGGTCGCATAGATATACGCGTGGTAGTTGAAATCCTGTCATTGGTTTCCAGTATCAAAGTCAGTTACTGTTGCCGAGACTTCAAGATTGAAGTAATAACAAACCTCTTGAACATGGATCACAGAATAGCCATACTGGGCGAATTTCGACCCGATCAAGCCGGCGTTGGTTGCCTTGTCTCCGGGCACCGCATTGTCGTTCAGGATGGCCGGTAGCCCAGCCACGTTCATGGCCAGAACGTTGATACTGCCGGACGTGGCTGCCAGACTTCCATCGTAAAGCAGCGCCAAGGAGCTCGCGACACTAAGGGCCCGGGTCGCCTTCATCTTGATGGAGGCTGGGGGCAGCAGTGAATTGTCTGATTCTCAGGCTGCTGAGCCATCAAAGCTAAAAGAACGAGGTCTCCCTTGCGCATTTATATATATCCTGCGGCATCGAGACGCGGTCACTTGGCCGAGCGGCTACCCCTTCAAGCAGCGGGACGGACCATGGCGTCGTCGTGGACGGTTAGAATCATGGCGCGAGCCGTACGCGCAATCTATCTGCCGGAATGCACGTACGAACGACGTCGACTGCTACCTCGGTTGCAAGCGATGCCGTTGCAGACGACCACGTGAAAGCAGTAACTGGATGGCAAGATCATGATCAGTATCTCGGCTCGCTAGGTTTCTCTCCTCCAGAGTAGGTCGGATTTAAGTTTCCCGTTCGGTGACCGACCCCCCGATTTTCGGCTGTTGTCCCCGGCGCGATGTTACCTTGACACCCGGCCCGGTTCAACGCCGAGCCCAGCGAGCACACGTGGCTTGGCGGCGGTGCCTTATTTGGAGTTTTCACTTGAGCATGTCTCGTGCGGGGCCGTCTTCGATAACAACAAGAGCTGTCTTGTCTTTGCTGTTGTCTGTCATGTTCGGCAGGGTAACCCAAGATTAAGGTGACGAGCCTCTGACCGAGAGTTCTCGTGATATTGGGTGCGGGTATTGATAAACCCCATCATCTTGTTATTCGCCCTGACTCAAGGACTACGGTCATGAAGAACTCGTTGACTTCTTGCATACCTTGCTCGGTTGCTGTATGCCTATAGCTTCATCTGCGCGTCTGAGAGAATTCGGGACGAGAGCGAAGGGTTCATTCGAGCAGCTCACCAGCAACTCGTGCCCCAGGAATAGGCACTCGCTCGCCGTGGGAAACCCGTAGCTTCCATCCATCCCGCCTACATACCCATTTTGGCCCTAACACCCTGCTCTGGCGGTCTGCTTGAGGTCGTCCTGCGGCTCGTTCTCGCAAGGCTGGTTATTCTCCGGCATTCAAGTTTTCCTTCCGTCTGGTAGCTGGCCTAGACTTTGCATGTAGTAATGCTTGATAAGCTCTAGAATGCCGAGCAGCCCTACCGGAAGATATTGAGCTCTGAGAACAGCGCTCAAACAGTCGGCTTCGTCATCGGCAAACGGAAGGCGCGCTGCGACACCACGCCTCCCTCCGAAGTGGCTGATGACAAGTTCCTGGATTTGCGCCATGAGATGTCCGTTTAATGGTGGAAAGTCAAGATCAATGTATGTGTATACCCAATTTGACCTTCAGCTGGGCTGTAGTACGAGAGTTGTGCATGAGAGGGAAGTCGAACCTGAAGCGATGTTCAGGTGGAAGTGCAAGACAGGGCTTAGCCGACGGAGATTGCCGTGATTGCCAGAATTTAGCTGAGACAGTGAGGTTAGTGTGCCCCTAAGAGGTGGGGCAATGCCCTATCGATAGGGCGACACGGGCAATGATATCGCTAAACCCTAGGGAAACTGCACCTGAGGGTTTGTTGAAGTCATCCAAACATCTCTCAGCTCCTGGGTTGGATCGGCGGGATCCATGGATGGACGAGTTGTACGACTTGCGGGCTTTGCAATCGCTTTTGAAGTGGAAATGCTGGGCAGAGGATCCCCGATTGAAATGCCGCCTATAGCCGCCGTCGACGCAGTACGACAGGAGCATCCGCAACGGTATGACGATCGCGTCCCCCCCGCTCCCGTCGGCTTTAGGCCGCTCATATACGACTCGGAAGTTGGATCCTGCACGGAAATGTACCGGAAGGAACATCTATCGTCAATCCCCCGCCCGGATCGCGCTTGCCAGACCGCTATTCTGATCAGTTCCATCCATCGAACCTGCTTTGTTCCTCTTTCCTGGACCTAGCATCATGGCACTAACTCCCCAGACGATCGCGATAGCCACAGTGGTGGTGGTTTACTTCCTCGTCCGCTACTTCAACCGCACCGATGTGCCCAAGATCAAAGGCCTGCCAGAAATCCCCGGAGTTCCTATCTTCGGCAACCTACTGCAGCTGGGCAACAAGCACGCCACAGTGGCCGCGCAATGGGCAAAAAAGTATGGGCCAGTCTTTCAGGTCCGAATGGGCAACAGGCGCGTCGTATTCGCCAACAGCTTCGACTCAGTGCGCCAGCTTTGGATCAAGGACCCGTCAGCCCTCATCTCACGGCCGACCTTCCACACCTTCCACAGCGTCGTCTCCACCTCGCAGGGCTTCACCATTGGCACCTCACCCTGGGACGAGTCGTGCAAGCGACGCCGCAAGGCCGCCGCCACGGCCCTCAACCGTCCCGCCGTGCAGTCCTACATGCCCATCATCGACCTCGAGAGCACTGCGAGCATCAGGGAGCTCCTCAAGGACAACAAGGGTGGTTCGGTCGACATCAACCCCATCGCCTACTTCCAGCGCTTTGCCCTGAACACCAGCCTGATGCTGAACTACGGCTTCCGTATCGAAGGCAATGTAGATGACGCCCTGCTCAGAGAGATATGCGATGTCGAGCGCGGCGTGTCCAACTTCCGCTCCACCAGCAACAACTGGCAGGACTACATCCCACTTCTGCGTATATTTCCCAAAATGAACCGCGAAGCTCAAGACTTCCGCGTCCGCCGCGACAAGTACCTGACCTTCTTGCTGGACATGCTGAAGGAACGGATCGCTCAAGGCACCGACAAGCCGTGCATCACAGGAAACATTCTCAAGGATCCCGAGGCTAAGCTTAATGAGGGTATGTCCGTATGAGAATCCACAGAAGCTAATGGGGACACGCAACTGATCTGCATTAGCCGAGGTCAAGTCCATCTGCTTGACCATGGTCTCCGCTGGCCTGGATACTGTTCCTGGTAACTTGATCATGGGAATCGCATACCTAGCCTCACCAGATGGTCAGCGCATCCAGCAAAGGGCATACGAGGCAATCATGTCCGCGTACCCGAATGGGGACGCATGGGAGCGGTGCCTGGTGGAAGAGAACGTGCCCTACGTAACGGCCTTGGTGAAGGAAACGCTGCGCTTCTGGACCGTGATCCCCATTTGCCTACCGCGGGTGAGCACCAAGGAGATTGTATACAACGGTGCCAGAATTCCGGCCGGCACGACGTTTTTCATGGTACGCAGTCACCCCACCCGCCACTCCAATCAGAAATCATACCATGCTGACATGCACAGAACGCATATGCCGCCGATTATGACGACTCCCACTTCAACAACCCATATCGCTTCATCCCCGAGCGATATCTCGACCAGGGCGAGGGGTCGGGCACAGCACACTACGCCTACGGCGCGGGCTCGCGCATGTGCGCAGGTTCACACCTGGCAAATCGCGAGCTCTACACAGCTTACATCCGTCTGATTACGGCGTTTACGATGCACCCGGCCCGCGATCCGGCCGATGCGCCGATTCTTGATGCTATTGAGTGTAATGCTATCCCTACGGCGCTGACTACGGAGCCGAAGCCCTTTAAGGTGGGATTCAAAGTGAGGGATTTGGAGAAGTTAGAGAGATGGATTAAGGAGACTGATGAGCGGACTAGGGGGCTGTAGCTCAGTCATTATCCGAGTATCACTCACGCCCCAACTCATTGCATGGCTACCTGTGAATAAATAGATGACCATAGCAGTCAAGACTGTTGCTCCTGGAGGGCCGGGAACAGGTGACTCGTGTCGCACAATCACAAGGATAGCTCTGCGGCTCACCGATTGCCTTGGGCATCGAGAGCTTGCTGCTGCCTTACAACCTCCGAGGTACCGTCAATGACAAGGAGCAGCTTCGTGTTCAGTTTCTTTTCATCAGCAAGAACAGAGATTCAACGGGTGAGAAAGTTCCACATGCAATCCCTTCATGCGCTTTACGGAAGCAGGCAAGGTAAGATAGTAAGCAACATCCCAGCGGTACGATTGATAGGTAACCTGTCTAACATGTCGATCACAGCAAGCTCTCGAACTTGAACAATCAGTACGTGATCCTGAAACACCCCTAACAACATTCCCAGACCCGATAATTATTCACAAACCAGCAGATTGTTCTAGTATCCAACTCGAGTCATATCTCATGACCTAGACCAGCCCTTGGCCACTCTAGGCTTGTGGGTTGCCATTAAACCCGATCCCGTTAAACGTCCCGGCGGGAAGGTCGGTAATGGTACCCAGAGTGGCGACAGCCTTGAGGTACTCGCACAGCTCGCCGGGCGTCTTGGGGCCCTCGAGGGCAAGGTAGTAGGCACCGAGGCCAGCAATGTGAGGGGCGGCCATCGAGGTGCCCGAGATGGTATTCTGGTCACAACAAACCCCCTGTCAACAAACCACTCAGGAGGTCAAGAAAGGGGCAAGTCAACACATACCGTAGCAGTCGTCGACCCAATCCAACTACTCAACACCTCCACCCCGGGCGCAAAGATATCCACGCCCGCACCATAATTCGAAAACCACGCCCTGACATCGTCCACATCCGTCGCACCAACGGTACACACGGTCGGCTCGGAACTAGGCGAATAAAACTGCGTATCATCGTCATCATTCCCGGCCGCCACACTGAGAAACACCCCCGCCCTAACCGCCGCGGCAGCAGCCGCGTTCACAGCGGTAGATCTTGAAGACCCCAGACTCAGATTCGCCACACTCCCCTTGGGACAGTCGGTCGAAGCCCGCGCGGCGGCGTCGGCGGCGACAAAGTCAATCCCCGCGATGACACCGGAGAGTGTGCCCGACCCGTTGGCGCGCAGGACTTTGACCGCGAAGAGTTTGGTCTTCTTCGCCACGCCGTAGTCCACCCCGCCGATGGTCCCCGCGACGTGCGTGCCGTGGCCGTGCCCGTCGCGGTTGTCGCTGTCGGCGAAGTTGGCGAGCCATTGCGCGCGGTTTTCGAATTGCTGCACGGGGTTAGTAATGTAAATGAAATTGGGGTTGAAGGGAAGGGAGGGAGGGCTGACTCACGGTGTGGTTCACGTAGATGCCTGTGTCAATGACATACGCGCAGGTCCCCTCGCCGGCGCTGTCGTCGTAGACGTACGACGTTGCGCCCGTCGTGCGGTGCGAGATGCGTGCAAGACCCCAGGGGACGCCGGCTTGGGTCACGAAATCGTTGGCGCGGACGATGGCGTCTTGCTCGATGTATTCAACCTAAGCGTTCACCTCCAGTTAGCTTGGGTCTGGGTATGAACCACAAGTATGTGGGTTGAGGGGCACCATACCTCGGGCAACCTGCTCACGGTATCCAGGACAGCCGGGCTCAGCTTTGCCGCGAAGCCCTTGAACCGGCCGGCGCGGTAGACGTGGTCCGTCTTGGTCGACTTGAGATGCTTGAGGGTGTTCTCCAGGGCGGCGTTGGACGAGCCGTCTTTGAGCTTGATGATGTAGCTTCCCGGGATGAGCTGGGCGGCCCGGGGCTGGAACACGGGCGCCGCAAGGGCGAGGGGGAGGAGAGAGGCCCAAGCGAGGAGTTGCATGGTGTCAGGACTAGACTAGGATCTACTGTACTGAGGAGCTGGGTGTACTTGGAAGATTAGATGAGATGGGCTCGGGGTTGTGTCGTTCTGTGCTCTCGTTTAGACATCAACAACGACTTTTCAAGCGTCTATTTATTATTTCCTGGCCAGCACCAAGATCAGGTTCCACCCAAGCAATCATATCTCGACCTTCCTCATACGGGAGACCCAGATCGTCAACTTACCTTGATAGTTTGATAACTTGTGTTGCAAGAAGGAAGGTTACTCTTAGCAGCTACCTACCGCTGACGTTGGGATGGGATGGGATGGGATCCGTCCCTCCCCTGGCAACCTTCGGTCGATGTGTGGAGAGCATAGCAAGGAAATGCCCTGCAGTCACGCAAGACCTCTGACCTACCGATAACGGCTTGGTTCGGGGCATCTGGCAGATTTTGCGTGCTTCGGACTGTCTGTGGTGTGGGAAGCCGACTGATGTCTAAGGTAGTCGGTGGGTGTGCATGTGCATGCTGGCTGCAGCCCAGCCCGGCATGCGACGACGGAACGGCGCCGGGGGGACTTAGAAACCCTAGGCTTCGTTGGCGCAAGGCAGATGCTCCAGGAGTAGTAGTACATATCATGGAAGGTGGCATTCAGGGCTCCCTCTGTGGCTGTGGATGGCCGTTTGGAGGTAATGAACCGTGAATTCACACAAAGGGGTCTCAGTGCTTACATGTAGGGGCCAAGGGACGAGCCGCAACCGTACTGTGAGATGGATATCAAAACCGTTTCCATGCCGCGGTGCCGATGTCAAACTGGCTGGGGAAACCTTAGGAGGTACTAGTAGTTAGTAAGATCAGTCGACCAAACACCCTGCAGTAGATTTACATGTACGCATGCGTCATTGCAAGCGGCACATCCGACCGTTGAACGGCAGTTATATTGGCTGACTGAGATGGTACTGTACATAAGGATATTTAGCTCTCTGCAGCCCTCTGCCACGGTTACACCGACAGGAACAGAAAGTGGTACCCTTATGTGCGGGCTGTGCGCGGGAGACTTGCATGGAATCATGGATATCGGCCGAATACGCCCGACCTAGGATGATGTCCCCGGCATACACCGCCTTGGGGTGGACGCGGAATGCAACTTTGACCGGCAACGTCCCACGACTCGCAAGACTCGGACTCGACGACATGTGACCGATAACACCGCTGACAGAATCAGATAGGATCGCGCCAAGCAACAAAGTTCTGGTGCCATGGCCGTGTCCAGGTCACCTTCCCAGTTGGGGCACTGGCCGCCAGCGTGTAAGAAAGGCCGTGCAGAGGGATCAGTAGTAGGGAGACAAACCTGAAAGATCGGCTCAGAGCTGGCTGTTGGTGCCTCGTATGGAAATGGAGAAAAAGCTTCTATATTCTCAAGTGAAACAGTGGATGCTTCTTATATCATTAAGCTTTGCCTAGAGAATAACCGTCGACATGCCTTAGCGAACGGAAGAGACCACCGCCCTGGGTCGTCGCTTGAAATCAGCCTGAAGACGGAGTTCGGTAGTTGCATGCTCTAATTCTCCTAGAACCGGGTCCGGGCAGTCCATCAACTTTCGGCTTCCAAAATGAGCCGTCGCTTAATATATTGCTGCATATAAAGAAGCATGCGCGTGGGAGGTGGCTGCTACTATATGTCACGAATCGGAACCTGCATCTCCTCGCTCCTGATGAGGTCTCCTGGCCATGCGATGGCACAATACCAGACACGAGATGATAAGTCTGGAATCAAACGACAGCCCCCAGGCTGCGTGGAACTAGTAAGCATGCCTAGGTAGGCACGCAGTCTCAACTCAGCCACCAGAGGATTGAATGATACCGAACAAGTCTTCGCTCATGCCACGCCGTAAGCCCGAAAACTATGGAAGGTAGCTAGGTGTTGATGTGAATGTTGCTTAGAATAGATCAATATATTAACTGCCCACCGCCAGATAAGACTGTGTCAGTTGGGCAACATATCATAATGACCCAAAACAGGGTCCAACGCCTCATTCCACTGCCAGAATCCCAAAATAAGGTACTTTGGGAGTAACCGGCGAGTTTCTAGACCGAATGATAAGAAAACTTGAACTGTTCCATGCCACCTACACTGACAGGTGCAAGAGAAACAAATAGCTAATCAAACTCAGGCGCTTCCAATCTGCCCGTACGTGCCACGGTGCCCTCCACATGTATGGACATTCGCACGTGACGCTCCCCTACACTGGACGACACTCGTGCTGGACTAGCATGAAGGGAATTACGGGCCAGGAGTGGAATCTGTAGGACTCTTCTTGTATGAAGTATGGAGACAGTTCTATGACATGGAGTAAATATTGAGGTTAGCGTTACATGTATATAAGTAGGTACCTACCTAGGTAGTCAGCCTACTAGAATCATCGTGTCACCTCCGAGTCCCATTGCTTGTCATACACAATACCTGGACACATCACAAAGTGCCCGTCCCATTATTGGCTTGCCTAACGAGCCTAAATCCAGAGTGGAATCCAACGGCGTGTGCACTAGAAACAGTAGGTAGCAATGTTGGACGTGTGTAACAGACTGCCCAGAGTCCCCAGACAAGGTATGTGTTTACAGGTTAAAACACCTATAGCCTGCGGTTCACGTACTTACAGTACCTACATAAGTACATACATACATGCTTCTTGTTACTTTAGTCTCGACCATTCATGCATCACCCAACTGCAAAGCGGCTCAACTGCCAAGTTGCATGAAGCCGCCTGGGGGTCACTAGACAATGACATTCTTGACTACCTACTAGTACCTAGGTATGTACAGTACCTTACATGAATCGTAACCGACGCAAGCCCTCAACAACGGCGGAGCGTCTTGGTCTAGGGGAAAGTCACCTGTCACGTAGTACATGTACATACACTATGGAGAAGAGAGTGCTGCGTCATAGACCCAGAACGGCGGGAAAGGTGCCTCATTGGAGATAAGGGGTAGCATCAGTTTCAGGTACCTAGTTACAAGTACATGTATGTATTGTATCTAGGATAAAGCGACGGAGTGAACGGCATACGGACTTTACTCCGGGTAACACCAACACTAGGTAGTCTCTATTGGTTCATACAGAAGTCCATGGTCCATACATGGCCTTCTCGTCTTGCTGATGGTGAGGAAATTACTACACTCCACAGGAAAGAGCCTGGTTGTCTGCGACGAATCTGGGCACACGAAAATTCCTTTTTCGTTCATAGTCCTAATCTGGGGTGAGCTCCGGGGTAAGCTGTGGCTGATTGTCCTGAGCTTGCCCTGATAACCTGGAAGTTCTTCCCTGAGCTAGCCTATATTCCGGGCCGTCTGCCATCTGCCATAGACCAGTACATGGCGTGAGATAGTATATAACATCCTAGTCTAACCTATAACATGATATAGCGTATCCTGGCTCCGGAACTGGCACAGTACGTGACGTACTAGTACATGACATAGCATACATAATATACCAGCTCAAAACATGCCAGTACATACCATATCAGCTTCAAACATGCTAGTATATAATGCCGTAGTTTAAAGCAGAGGCTATCTCGCCTCACCACGAAAAGTGTCTTCCTGCACCATTGTTGGAGCCCTGCCTCTCAACGTATCCAAGCTTACTAGGATTGTAGACAATAAACATAGTATCTTGCGTAAGGAACCAAGAGGAATTACTCATAGCGATACCAACAAGTTCTAGGTTCATTTACAAAAAGGCCAGTTGGGTTATAGATGGTCCCAGATTACCTAGCTGGAATTTGCCGAGACTTGATCCGGAGTTGATGAAGCTGCTCGGAACTTTAGAGATGCAATATAAACATCCAATCGGCATCATACCTTCCACCCAAACCGGTAGTACATCCGGCAATGAGGGTAGCCCGAGCTGTGAAAACAGGACAGCTCGGTTCGGTTGCTATTAAACACCAGCATCACGCCCCTTTGCAACTTCCTCAGCCGTGCTCTCAACATACCTGAGGTGCTATACCTATCTCACTCACACCAACCCCTGATCAACAATCAACACACCGTTTTGCCTTTGCAAAACAACATGGCCCCCAACCTCCTACATATATCCACGCCCGCGCTGAGCCTCCTAGCGCTCCTCCTCGCCCCCCTCTCTCAAGTTGAACCCGTCAACGCTGCACCCACCGTGACCACCACCACCCTTCAAACCACCTCAACCTCAAAAAAACCATGCAACCCCGAACCCTGCGCCAACCTGGCCCTACTCTCAGGCTGGACACCCTACTGCAACCAAGGCGCCTTGTACTGCACCGTAGGCGGGGGCATGGTCACCATACCCATGGGCCGCTGCGAGGAGTGGTGTCAGCCGCCCGAACCTGAACCGCCAAAGCCAGACAAGTGTCCGCCACCACGCCCACCACAGAATTGCGAGCTGGATGATCCTTGTGCTGGGATGCCCGCAGAACTTCAAGGGTGGGAGCCATATTGTTACCAGGGGACATTGTATTGTACTGTGGGCCCGGGGATGATCACGGTGGCTGTGGGGAGATGTGAGCAGTGGTGTCAGCCGGAACCGGAGAAGCCTGAGGGGTGTCCGTAGGGGTACATACCTGAGGCGTCTCTACCATCAGTTGTCAAATTGATGAGACATAAGGGAATGTACAGCACCTTACATTCTAATCGGCGCGCCTGGAACAATGCAGGATAGCAAGAAACTGGGGAGAAGGTGTGGGCACCAAAGAAGGTATCATTAATACAACCCCCTGATCCACATCCATCCAGGATGTAAAGCTTAAAACAATATGTCCATCTACTTAGATATCCCCGCTGAATACCGAACGTATGAACGCCAGAATCCAAAAAGTCTAAGATATCTTCCAACATGAATGATGAAGTCCCCCATAGTCTACACCCCGACTTCTACAGTACTAGTAAGGTACCCCACCAGCGGCATCTCCGCTCGGCCCAGCCAGAATCAGGCCCGGGAACAAGCTCAAGAGTTAAGACAACTCATGAAGCTGCCCATCCCCCTTTTGCGTAGGCAACTCCGCAGCATTCACATGCTGCTGCTGCTGCATCGGTGGCGGCTGGTACGCCATATACTGCCCATTCTGCTGCTGCGGCGCCTGGTACGCTCCATTCTGCTGCATCATCGGCTGCCCCGGCTGCGCCTGCATACCATACATCGACTGATGACCCGGATGACCCGGCGGGACAGAGGACATCATAGACGGCGAATGCGAGGAGGGGAACATGGGCGACGGGCTCGGAGACGGTGACGTAGCGGGGCTGATCGGTCCCTGTCCCTGCTGTGCCTGGCCCTGATGCGGCATGCCTGCCATAGTGGACGGCGCGGCGACGCTGTACCGCGGATCCATGAACTGCGGGCCAGGAGAGCCGCCGGGTCCAGGGGGCACGTTTGCCATGGCGGCCATGCCCGAGTGTGGTGATTGGTTGGGGTACATGCCCGGGTTGAGGGGTGGGCCCGGTGGTGAGGGCGGGTTTTGGTTGCGCTTCTTGCGGATGAGGAGGAAGACGCCGAGGGCGATTAGGGCGAGGAGGGCTAGAGCATTGTCAGCTGAGTCCCGTGCTTAAGGATGTGAGTTGTGAAATGGGTTACTCACCAACACCGCCGACTACTCCACCGACAATGGGTCCAATCGGGGTTGACGATGACTCCTGGGCAACGGGCCCGGGGTCTGGATTCTCTGTGGCTCCGCTTCGGGACTGAGTGCTGGAGCTCTCGGTCTCACTCGTTGACGACTCCGTGCTGGAGGAACGGGAGGATCGGGAGGATCGGGAGCTAGTAGTGCTGACACCGTTTGTCGGGGTTATGTAAAACTGATATGTCGTGGCCACCGAGTCGCATGACGGGACGGTATAGCCGGACCAGGTATCGTCCATGTAAACCAGGGTGGCACAGGACGGTTGAAGCGAATCGGAACTGTCTGGTTAGCTTGGGCCAGGCCGAGGGGCACCGAGCCACGGTTGCCATGCGGGCAGGGCATACCAATATCGTGTCCTGTCCATGTTGAGGGTTGAGCTCTGCCTGGACGAGGAATAGGGGAGGCAGGCCGTGTAGATGTTGCAGTCCTCGGTCAAGCAGCAGCCCACGGCCGAAGCATCCTCATTGTAGCGGCACACGGCCTCGGTGTGTTTGCAAACATAGGCGGACGCTTTGTATCGGGGATGGCGTTAGGACCAACTCATGGCGAGGAAATCGGGACAACAGGGGAGACTGACCTGCATCTCCGTCGACGTAGCCACATGTTTTGTCCCCGCTCTGTCGCTTCTGGAACACGTCCCTGGGATGAGGCCGAGCCGTGAGCGCCGGAGCCGAGACAAAGCCAATGTCGGCCTTGAATATCTCGGGAGCCGGCGTCTGCATAGCTGCCGTCCATGGCTTCGGGTGTTCGCGCCCCAATTGGGCCGACACGGCGGGGAGCCATGCCGCAACGGCCATCAGATTCAGGCGGCAAAGGCTCATGACGGCCATTTTTGTTGACTGACAGCCGGCCGTGGTTGCCAGGAGAGTCTTGGAGGGTAAGACGACGGAACCGAATGAAGGGAACAAAAGCTGGGAAACGGTCGGGGGCAGCCGCAGCTCATAAATTATTCTTATTCGCATTGGCACTTCCACCCCGTCTCGTCCCATGCTCTCCCATTAGAGCACGCAGACCATGCCGCTTTTCGACATGCCAAGCGAACCGTCAGAGGATTAGCGAATTGTGGCATGGTAAGGCTGGCTTCGCAAAGACGCTAAACACCACACTGCCTCACCACCACAACACCACCACTCGTATTGTACTGTGAGCATCCCGAGTCTCTTTATAATCCCGGAAGCGCACTCTTTGAAAATGCTGATGCCCTGCGTCGAACTCTTTGACTCTCAGTAGATGGCCTGTTGACCGTATGGCAGTGTGGGTGCGCGTCAATCAGGTCCGAGTCTTGTCTCGGATCTTCATTTCCACCCCTTTGGTTAAGATGAAGGCGTTAACGCCTAAAGCTTGGCGCTGCAAAGTCAACCCCACACGCTTTTCAGCTTTACGACCCTTGTGGGGCTCCTGCTTGACCGGCCCATCTTCACCCCGCTGATGACTAGGATGATCGCGGGAAGGAGCGCTTGGCAGTCCCTGCTGTCACCCCATAAAAGAGGCTGTGAGCAAAACCTACAAACACTTGTCGCGGGTGTTAACTGTTCGGTCGAGTCGATCATTGTCATTTCGTTGAGAAAGTTGAAAGAAGGGCCTCCCTTCCGTCATTCAACCTGCGAGAGGCAATCCTTAAGTTGCAAGCTTGAAGTTCAAGAAAGTACCTTAGGTACGTAGGTGCTCAAAGTACCCTACAGACAAACCACCTGAAGACGGGAAGCTACCCCTCCAGCTCGCTGCTTTACGCCCACGCTGTCGGCATTAACCTCAACACCCAGCTCAATGGTGCTTCACTGCTTGTTTATCCACTCATGAGGTACCACCTCCGTCAGGCCATCAACCGCCAGCCTCGAATCTAATCAAATCCGCCGCCTTCTCCGCAACCGCATACACGGTCGATTGCAGCGCCGTGCCAATAATCAGCGGCTGCACGCTCGCATCCACAACCCTCAACCCTTTCACCCCGTAAACCCTCAAATCCGGCCCAACACACCCACCCAACCTTTCCGGCATCATGGCGCACGTGCCTGAGGGGTGTGCGAGCGACGGCCGGAGGAGGGGCACGGGCGTGTTGACCGTCGACAGCAGCGCGTTGAGGATCTCCTCATCGGTTTGATACTGCGGGCCGGGAGCTACCTCGACTGGGTGCAGGGGGGACAGTTCAGGGGAAGACCAGAATTTTCGTGCCCGGCGGACGATGGATGCGACGGTCTCGGCGTCGAGAGGGTTTTGGAAGGTGTTGTACTGCACCACGGGCAGGCCGCCTCCGTGCAAAGGGTTGCTCGCGTTGAGAGTGACTGTGCCACGGGAGAGGGGTTTCAGGAGGGATGCTGGGGAGATTCCGGTCGGCCGTAGTGGTTGGACTGCGATGCGCGAGGTGGTGGTGTTGAATTGGTTGGAAAGGAGGGCTCGTTGCGCGAGGTAGCCGCGGAGCAAAGCCGGGGAGGTTTGGTAGACCTCTGGGAGGTAAAGACGCGCGTCTTGATCGAGCAGTCGGCTGGCAAGGGAGGATGCTGCGGCCGAGGAATTCAGGTGGGACAATGAATACCAAATGATGGTGTTCCCCCCGGCGGTGGTGAGCGGGCCGGTTCGGTTGGTGAGATATTCATCCCAGGCGGTGGCGTTGAAGGTCGCGTTGGTGGTGATGGTGTCCGGGTTTGGAAAGGACTGGTTGGACAGGTTGAACTGCAGCACCATGCTCGGATGGTCTTGCAGGTTTGCGCCGACGCAGGGCATGTCTTTCTTCACCTCCACACCGGCAGCCTGGAGCACGGAAGCGGGGCCAATCCCGCTGTATTGAAGCAGCTGGGGCGTCTGGATCGCGCCGGCGGCCAGGATCACCTCCTTTCTGGCGTAGACGTCGCGCCGCGTGTTGTCGAGGCGGGAAACCATCCGGACACCTTTCGCTCTCAGCGGCCGTCCAGGACTAAAGAGAATCTCGGTCGCCGTCTGCCCCGTTACGAGACGGAGATTCGGCCGTGTGGCGTTGACGGGATCGTAGTATGCTGACCGAGCCGTTGCACGGGTCTGCGCGCGCGTGTCGATGCTGGATGGCGCCCAGAACGCACCCGACCCGTACCCAGCGTCGGGGCTTGGGGGTACGGGGAGGCCAGGCTGATTTCTCATGGCATCCCAGACCACGGCGTTGTCGGGATACTGGAAGTCGGATATGTGCGCAGGGACCGGCCCGTTGCCATACACCGACAGGTCCCACGTCATATTCCAGCGCGCTGCGGCTCTAGGGGAGGGCGGATGGAAAGTAGAGCTCTTGCGGAAATATGGCAGCAGGTCCTCCCATCCCCAGCCGGGGTTACCCAGCTCCTCCCAGGCGTCATAGTCGGTTTTGCTGCCTCGAGCAAATCCCATGCCGTTGACGACGGAGCCGCCTCCAACCACAGCGGCTACGGCAACCGAGTAGGTAGCATTCCTGAGTCCGGGGATTGGAGCAGATTGTGGCCTGATCATGACGCTGGTATCCAGGCCGTTGGCATACCACGGCACAATGGCCTCGGGCTTGTCGTCAAAATAGCCCCGTTCGAGGACAAGCACGGTGGCTGGAAAGTATGACGATGTCAGCCCTGGGGACAAACAAGGTGAGAACAGACCAGTCAATGATTAGTATACTCACTCTGCCGGTCCTCGGTCAGACGGTTGGCGACTACAAGTCCCGAGATGCCCCCGCCCACTACGATATAGTCATATGCAGCCCCATCGAAAGGCTCGCTGCCTGTGGTCGTCGCCGCAGCTAGAGAGAAGGCCAGATGGCAGGCAAGGGAAACGATTGAGAGCGCACTTCTTAGTTCTGCCATAACTGTAGGTTACGAGACCTCAACTTGACTTGCAACGACTCAAGACTGCGCTCCCATACTTTTGGTAGGCGCGCATTAGGTGTTTCCCCGGGCCTTTTATCCCTTGAGCTGCTGTCACGCTGAGAATCAATACCCATGCTGGGTGCTATGTCATCCCTGCCCGGATCCGGTCAAGCCCCGGCTTACCGCGTGTGCTTCCCGCGTGTGACTGCAGGGGATCATGTTGCAGTGAGCTGACATGCCGCAATACTTGGCTTGCTTGGTAATGAAGGGGGGTGGTAGGGAGAGGGGGTCCTCTGCCATTAGTAAGGTAATACTTGAACACCATCACTATTGACCTCAACTAAGGCATATTGGGATGCATATTGGATGCAAGCAGGGTTGAAACAGGCATTCATGTCAGCATGTGGGTTCACACAGGTGCCCAGCTGGATCTCAACCAGGCCACTACAAGTTACAACACCTTAAATGTTGTCGCCGGCATGTTAACACTTAGCATGATGACTTACATACTGGCTTCAGGTTGCATTGGACATGCATGTCAGCTAATGTCAACCACCACTCCTCTCCCTACTTGGTACATGTAGCTTGTTGCCTGACCGACAGCTTCCCGGTCAACACTGTGATATTGACGGGCGACGGTAGAGATATGAATAGGGGAAACGGGATGATAAGCTTACAATAGCCGTGCCAAGGTTTAGGTGTTGTTCTTAACCAAAAGTTGGGCAGTTGTGCAACTAGTGCTGAGCATCCATATTCAGAGAGTCGCTGGGGGTTGCTTGAAAGAGGCATTTCAGCAATGCCATAGGACCTATTCAATCCGCAGATCTTTCACCATCGGCTTATACATTGGCTGGCTACTACTGATGCCCTCTAGATGAGTCAAGTATCAACTCAGGGACTATTCTACTACTTGCTTACCCCGGAAAGGGGATCCCCGAGGATGGGTGCGAGGTGTTGGATAGCCCAAGGAGGGAGGAGAAGGCAAGTGATTCTACCTACTAGTACATGCAGTAGGCCGTTAAGTCCAGAGAGTCCCAACGGCATTTGTGCCGCTTTAAGAAATCAGGACGATTCAATCCCCTGCAATCTTTTCCTCGCCAGGATGTATGCCGTCCGCTCCTCAGCCCAGGCCGGACACCATACAGACAAGGCCTGACAAGTCAACCCGCCCCCAGGTCCTCCGGCTTCCGCATCATCATCATCATCACCACCACCACCACCAAGAACATCCGGATCCAACGTCCTCACCTTAGTCCCGACCGGCAACCCCAGATTCTCGTCCTCTGGCAACCCCTCCACTTCCAACCTCCGCATAGACTCCTTCCCAACCTCATCCGTCGCCTCCCTAAGCACCTTCCAAAACTCCCTATCCGACAGCCCCCACAAGTCACTCTCCCGCACAACCCCAGATCGGATCGCATCCCCAATAACCCTTCCCGCGCGCTGATAGACACTAATATGTGCCGGGTTGGACCACACATCTCTGTCAACAGCAAGGTAAGCTCTTGCCAGGGTCATTGCCAAGTCCCGATCTGTGAGAACGAGCATGCGGTGCGGGGAGGTGGTAGCGTCTGGATATGCCATCACCGAGGTATACACTCTCCTCGCATCTTGCAAGTCAAGTTTCCCAAAGCCCACCGCATCGCGGAGCGCGTAGTCCAGCCTGTCGGCGCAGAGGTGCGGGGCGGGGGATTCAACCAGCGGAAAAGACCCTTCGTTAAAGACCTCTGGACCAAAACCGTGGCGGGCTATAATAGACGGGAGGTCTGTCGATTCCACAAACCGCGTCTTGTGCACTTCATGGAAACTCTCGCCGCTGCCGCTGCCGGGTGTGGAGAGGCCGGCCCAGTCGACCACGTGGCTGAGGGCCGTGTGGCTGATGTCGTGGAGGAGGGCAGCGACTTGTTCGGACAGGGTGGCGTTTACCTTGCGGACTAGGAGGAATGCGCCGATGGAGTGTTCGAGACGGGTTACGCGGGGAGTGAAGCCTAGCAGGCCGGTTATGCCGTGCTGGCAGACGCTGCTGAGGCGGAGGAGAGAGGGGGACTGGAGGAGGGAGACTAGGACGGGCTCGGTGATGGTGTGGGTGCCGTAGAGGGTATCGTGGATGATGAGGTGATCTGCTGAGGGGTACTGGATGGTTTGGAAGTAACCTGGCTCAGGTTTCGGGTTGATGGAGTTCCAGTTTGACTTTGGGGCTAAGGAGCCAGTGCTGTCAGACATGGTTAATGTTGCTTCTAGTTGCTTCGCTTGCGGGATAGTATCGAGTGATAGAGCCGCGGTGAGCTGGAGTAGGATGGACTTTAACTGTGACATTCAATGTTGGGGTAGCCAAGCTGTCTGTTGGTTGTCCGACGTTGTCGTTGCAGTTCCAACAGAGTTTATTTTAGCCAATCAAGAACAACTGAAACTACCATAGCTCAGTACCAAATCTACTAAGCCACCCGGACTCTGACGCCTGCAGACGGATTCGAAGTACAGCGGATATAGTGCGGACGGCGCCCTCATCATATGTTGTGCACCTAACCATGGCGGTTTCTTCCAAAAACTAGGTACCTTACCAAAACCCCAAACACCAGATCTGAGATATGTGTTCTTGTCACTTGCCGAAGTTGAAAGTTTTGAGGTTTCGTGAGGGTTCATGTACTTTTCATGTTAATGGCCTCGAATGAGAAATATCTTGAACTCAGCAATCCTCAGCCTGCCGTTCGGGCTACTCCCCCGACTGGAGGATCCGGTAGAAGCACTGTCAGGGCTCCGGAGCAATGCCACCAGGGGACTGAGTGGAGATGCGAGGACTCAAGTCGTCCGGGTCATTGCCAGCGCGCTTCGCAATATCTCTGCCATGACTACTAGTATTGCTGCGGGTGGCTGATCGCTGTGTCAACGTTAGTAGGCTGTAGTTGGAAATGGCCAAGGGCGGTGCCTGTCATCTTCAGGGGTGCCGGCTGAGGGTTCTCTCAACAGTCAGGAAGAACTTAAGAAGTACTAGCTGACAGACAGTACCCGCAGTATTACCCTTGGCCTGAGCGGAATGGCATTTGATTGCATCAACATAAATCAAAAGCAGGAAGCCAAGTTAGAGTTTTCAAACTGCCATCCAGCTTTACTGTAGGTAGCCAGAGTTATAGAAGTCTTGAAATACGAAAGAGCGAGAAAACGGGCCAGCGGGGCCGGATCCCCGCAGGCCCGATGGTTCGGAACCTAGAACCAATGACCAAGCAAAAGCAAAACTGGGGGCCGAAAGCGGGCCGGTCCGATAGCTTGACCGAACCCCACCGCCATCCCGCATGCGGATCCCGACGGATCCCAACGGCTACCCGCAACAGGTAAAGACCGGCTTATGTGGTAGTCTCAACATCAACTAGTCAGTCAGTCAGTCAGTCAGTCAGTCAATACTGGCTCCGGATCACTGGAGTGTGCTAAACACCAGATTTAGTTGAAAGTTTGACAGACACATCCACCAGTCAGACTTGGCCTGGAGAAACCGCCGCAGCATGCATCACTCGGATGTAGGCAAGCAGTATTCATATTACAATGCGCCATGACAGACAAAACTTGTGTGATAGCCCATGGGACCTCACCTGCCTCACCTCGCCTCACTGCAGCGCCCGACGTGAATGTCAAAATCAACATCAATTGAAGACTACGGGGAAGAACCATCCCCTCTGCGAGTCCCATTCCATGGTGGCATAGACAAGCCGAATAACTCCAGAGCGCTCCGGTCAACTTAGACCAAACGGTAACGGTCGAAAAAAGCTAACAGCGCACCAACCTGGAACCAACATGAAGCCAGAAGAAGATGTGCCGGTGCAGAGAGTGCCAAGAACGGGTTCAAGTTAAAAAGATAATAGATACACGCCGATCGATCACTTCCAGCATTCATTCCCGTCGCCACACCCTCCCTTCTTCTTCTTCTTCTTCGTCGTCCATGATCCTCCTCCCATTCTCCTCCCTCCCTCCCTCCCTCCCTCCCTCCATGCCATCATCCCAAATCGCTTTACAATGAGCCCATAACTTAACCAAACAACCGCTGTGTCGAGAACCCAAGACACGACGCACCACGGTCCATACTACTGTATCTCGGCGTGTTGCTCTCCTCTTTACTGCCCGCCAACCCTGGTCGCAAATCGCGTACGCCCCGTGATCTGGTCCGCTCCGACGAGTTCCCTTCCATGCATCGACCGTGGGTTTCCCACTTCTTATCCAGTCCTTCCGGGCCTCTCATCGTCAACAACACAACACATCATCACACGCCCACCAGGTAGGTCTCCGCCAGAATACAACTTTTTCTGCTACCCGACCGAAGACAAGACATCAAGGAAAACGAAGGCGTTCGCAAGCCAAAATGCACGCCCGTCAAAAGTATAGAGGCAGCTGTATGGTATGGTACGGTATGGTATTAAGGAACAGATCCGAGGTAGTGTAAAGTCGCATTGGCCGAACAGCAAAATCACAGTGGACCGACACAACCATGCAAGTGAAACAAACCGGTACACCAGCATCCAGCACGAACCATCCCTGACTTTGCCCAGAAGAGTAAAACGAAAAGCCGGTATTGAGTGGAACCAGAAAACAGAAGCTTCAATGGAACGGTACCGACTCTAGAGTCGACGACTAGCTGCCAAGTTTAAGGGGGGATTAGGGGACAATAAACCGAATCCCCGTAAGAAAAGCAGCCCGGTACCAAATGAGCGCAAAACCCAGCCCGAACGAAGAAACAAAGACCTGAAGAGATGCCAAGAATGCAAAGGAGAAACCAAGTGAGACCCAAGGTGATTTCCAGGGGTATGTAATGAGGCTAAAAGCAGGGGGTTGCGAGCTGATGTTCCTCGAAAGGAAATATGGGCACGCTTAACGCTTTTCGAGGGTGGAGGAATGATGCGTAGACGCCGAACAACGGGGAATTGAAGCGATCCAGGGACGCCTACGGTGTATGCCCCGCATTATGATAGATGCCGCATCAATACACCAGTCACTCTGGGCCCGGTTGGTGGCACTGGAGAAACAACGAGGAATCCTAATCCGTTGCCCCTATCGAAGTGTCACCTGGATCCATGGAAAAGGCAGAGTTGAAGCCAAAGCCATCATCTGCAGCGTTGTTGTCATGGAGGAACGAGTCAAAGTCAAAGTCGTTCAAAACGTCGGAAGATTGCATAGGATTGGCAAACTCGAAACCCATGTCCTATTCATTGATTAGAAAAGAGTTGTGGGCACAACCGACTAGATGCAACTTACAATTCCGTCAGTGTTGAAAGAGATGTCTGACTGTGTCGGATCCGGGTGAGGGGGCTGAACGGGAGCAACCTGCGGCGGAGGCGCGGGTGCCGCGGGTTGGCCGTTTTGAACAGCCTGTGCGGCATTGACGTTCTGGTTCTTCGCAAAGCTGGCGGGATTGACGGGGGTGATAGGAGTGGCAGGAGTCGGCGCCTCCTGAGGAGCTTCTGGCTCGGCAGCGGGCGTCGCTCCGGCATTGTTGAGGTTCGCGTTGCTCTTCTTCTGGGCGGCAGCCTGAGGGGTGTCAGTCCCGGAGAGTGGGCGATCTGTTTGGAGGTTGATCCAACTTACCTTGGCCTTGGCATTCTTGGTTTCCTTTTTCTTGGGCGCCGCTTTGTTCGCTTGCTGGGGTGTGGGAGGGGCAGCATTGCTGACCTGGGGAGACGATGTTGTGTTGCGCGAATTGGCCGTAGCAGCGGCAGCGGCAGCCCCTGGGGCAGATGGGGGTGGCATAGCCCGCTGAGTTTGCGTCGGAGTCCCTTGCATGGGTTGCGGAGGCTGCCCGGCCATCTGACCGTTTGGTCCACCCTGCCATTGCATCCCAGGAGCTCCCTGCGCACCCGGCCCTTGCGCCTGGCGCTGAGCGGCCATCATTTGTGGCTGGTTTATCTGGCCGTTGAACTGGGGATGAGAGCTGGGCGGCGGCCGCATCCCGCCGTTCATTTGAGCAATGTTCATGGGCATGCCAAAGTGAGGGCCGGCGTTTGGATCCATGTTGCCGCCCATAAAGTTCATCGAGTTAGGAGAGCTTCGCGACTGCGCTCCTGCACCATCTGGGAGAGGAGAACCCATGTTCGCGGCGTTGTTCATCTGCTGGTTGGCACGCTTCATCTGCTCGGCTGGATTCGGCGAGGCGCCACTCCGGCCGCCGGGAGGCGATGTTCCCTGGAAAGCCTGAGCGTTTGGTCCAGGGGGGCCGCCTGTGCTTCCGGGGCCTCCGGGGGCATCGACCCGCGGCATGGTGTTGGTGCTAAGATCCTGCTCCTGACGCGCCATCATCAAGCGTTTCTTATTCTGCTGCTCGAGCAGCATCAACTGCATTTGATAATCCTGAAGTGCATGGTTGCTGCTCCCGCTCGCCTGGCCGTTGGCTGCACCAGGTCTCATGTTGCCGGCCCCCATATCCCCAGGGTTGTATTGCTGATAGAGGGAACTTCCGTCGGGACCTTGCGGCACCATGGGGGAGCCCTGGGCCTGCGGACCGCCGGCGTTCGCCATGGGCTTGTTGGGCATTTGGTTGCCATGGTGCTGCGTCATGTTAGTTGAGTACGTGGCAAGGGTCTTGGCTTGTACGTGAGGAGCTGCTGAGGCAAAGGCCTGGAGCTGGTCAGGATTCAGCGAAGTTGGGTTGATGCCATTCTGAAGGAGCAATGCTCGTGCTGCATCGGGGCCGATTCCTACCTGCTGCTGCCCTGGAATGCCCTGCCCCGGTCTTCCGTTCGGCATCATCACCGGTTGGTTCGGATTAAACGGCGCCCCGTCCAGGCGAGGCCGCTTAGACGGGGAGGGCGCGTTCTCAGCACCACCCGGGGATCCCGCTCGAGCTCGGGCTCCGTCCATGTCCGAGGGATCTCGCTGCATCTGACTGGCAGCCTTTTGCTGATGGAGCATCTGCATGGCCTGCGGGCTGGTGAGGGGAAACGTTCGTCAGTAAAATGCGTGAAAGCTTGCTAACATCATTAATTGCTTACTTCTGGCTATTCGCCATCGCAGTCCTCTGTAGTTGATTGCCTTTCATGGCCATATTGATGGCGCCGTTTTGCATGCCCCGCATCATGTGCTGCTGATACTGCTGCTGAGCTGCGTACTCGGGGCGCATTTGCCGGAGCATATCTCGCTGCTGCTCCTGCCGTAGACGAGATTGTTGCTACCCAGCGCGTCAGCCATAATGCGTCCTGTATGCTCGTAACTGTTGAAGCAACATACCTGAGTGTGTTGGACATATTGATTAATCTGCCCGTTTGACCCCTTGCCCTTCTGGGAATTGAACATATCCCAGAAGAGGCAGAACCACTCGTAGAGGAAACAACTATCAGGAACCGGAGTGGGCACGTTGGGAGCCGGCAAGTCATCCGGGCGTTTCTGGTCCAAGCCATCCTTGTTATCCGTGTCCATGGCATCGTCGCCGAGCCCGTTCCCGATTATGTTGCCATTCTCATCGCGGAGCTTCCCGGGACTTTCCTTCTTGACGTTGATGTGGGGATCCTCATTGTAGACGGCACGGGCGCAGTCAAACATGCCATAACGGACAAAGTATTCGTAGATGTATGTGTTGAGCAGCGTCCGGCTTGAGTCGTTGAGTGGGATCTGTCGCTGGGCGGGTTGTTGGGGAGGGAGTGCGCCGTTGTTCATCATGTTCATCGGGGCGCTAACTGGGCCGCCCATGGCCATGTTAGACATGTTTGCGATGTTATTCATCGTTCACGGCTGATTGCAGGCGGCGAAAAAAGTAATACTATGGGTATCGGGATGAAGTGGGGGATTAGACTGTGGACGGTTGCGCAGCGAGAGCCCGGCCCCGTGACTTGAACGGAAGCTTGTGCGACAAGAGTTGTAGAAGCCCCAAACTAGAACGCCAAATATGTTCGTTGGTCGCCACCAGTGACACACCGGGAGCTTAGGCCCGGTGAGGCGGCGTGCGCGTCGGAGATAGCGTCAGCCTTACTGAAGTCAGCAGCTTGTAGCGGGCAGACGCTCTCGGGAGTCAACAGCAGGCAGCGGGCGGCTGTCCGAAAGCCGTCAATGTGCTGCGGCGGCGGGTGGAATGCGGTGAGCGATGGGATAAGGATGGCGATGGCGATGGCGTGTGATTTGGCGTTGGCGTTGGCGTTGGCGATGGAGGTGATGGACGGGGTAACAATTAGGTCAAATTGAAATGGCCGGGCTGGGGCCAACGGGCGGAGTGGGATGATGGTTGAAGGCCGTTAAAAAAGTCGGAAAAGTGGGAGAGAACAGGCGGCAACCACACAAGTCCTGTTCTATCAGCGCCACGGCGAGGCTTCGCTTCGCACGCACTGTCGCTGCCTCGTCCCTCTTCGCCTCGGGCAATCGTCGCAATTGTCGTCCTCACTCTCACCGGCGACGCTGCTGGGCCAATCCGGGTCAATATCGGTGATGGTCGACACGGCGACGCTTGGAACCATCAAACTGGCATGGCTCGAGGGGGGTGGGATGGAGGTGCAGGAGAGCAGGGACTAGTGTGGGAGCGAAAGAGGAGAAGAAGAGAACGGGGGTTGGGAATTTTCCAATTTTCGGCGACACTGGAGAGCAATGGGGGGGGAAAGAGCACAGGAGCGACAAGGTGATTGGGGATGCGATGCACCTGGCCGAAGCCTGTCGCCTGCGCAGTTTTTGGCACGGCTTGGGCTGGCAGCTTGCGTAAATCTGATACTCAGGCGGTGGCTGCCTGCCTTCTGAGGCATTTGAGGCACAATTGCAGCGAAGTTAGGCCACAATTCACCTTTCGGGGCCTTGGCGCCCCGATATCTCCACTCCGCATGAAAGCGATCAAATCACACGAAAGCCGCTCGGTGCAGTTGGTTCAGCTTCTTCGCCAATCGCCACGATACTGTACGCTACAATACATGACGCATCGGCGAAACCTACCATATGTCATCTCGTACCGCAATCTTCGTCCTGAACCACCGCCAAACCTTAAAATGAATAACGAGATTGAGATGACGCGATTCTTGCACAAACTTATTCGAATGGAGACGCCCCGAGATCGCTCGGACATTACCGGGACTCGCGCAACACGCGATCTGGGTGCCACGTTTGGCAAGGATCTGGCACCATCTGGTTGGTGAGGCGCGGAAAGCGTTGCCTTGCAAACCTGTTGGGCATCTCGGGGCGGTGCTGGTGTCGAAGCCTGATCTCAGCAGTCCCTCATTTTTGTGAAAGATGCAAGAACGACATCTCGGAGACGACGGTCAGAGGTGGTGTATCCGCTGTAATGACTGATTTGACTTGGTTTGGCTGTCACGTCAACTTGTAGAACCGCTAGGAAAGGCTCACCTTGTGCAATCAAGCAACCATTTCATTCGACATCACAAATTACATATGAACGTCGTGATTACCAATTTTTGCACCCCTCTTGCTCCGACATCCAACCAGAAGCAATTGAGCGGGCCATTCCCGGCCGCTGTTGGGATGCTCGCATTGAGCTTATTGTATCTGGCGCCCGCCGTTCAAAGGATCTGGCGGGACTGATGCTTGTTGCATAACGTTAATCACCGATGACAGTTGATGCCTGCCGTTCCAACCAAGGAGGTGACAGGTAGGGGTGACAGTGGATCCAACGGTTCGGCATCCCGAGCGATGGCGCAAACGATGCTCCTACGAGTCTGGTGAAGTGTTCTGTACCTTGCATTAGTCCTCTGCTGTGGATTAACCCGGTCAACTGGGTTCATCCTCGCCGACGCACCCCGATCTTCGTGCTAGCAGTCCTCGTTGCGAAGTAACTTGACGTTGAGTTACCCTATTCCGGCCCGTCACTTACACTATCGTGGATTTAAACTAGCGGGAGATTCCCAACCCCAGTCATGATCGACGCGCCATGGAGCCACCCGCTAAGGAACTCCGCATAAGCCCTGATCCATTAGCATGGGGCTTGTGCTTCCATCATTTTGATCCAACGCAACAGCTCTCAACTTCTCAAGCGTGTGCCCATGGCCGCTACCTATCCTACCATCCACGCACCATTGCTGCCAGTGTTTTAACACTGATTGATGAAGACTTCGCCGTTATATATGTACTTTATGCAGGGCTAAGTCGACTGCCCGAACAGGCCGCATTTCAACCAGGTAAAATAAGCCTATAAGGTACCTAGGCACTAGCAATCTAGGTTATTTGATGACATAGCTTAAACTCTTATTTTCTCGGGCATTCTCATAGTCCATACATTGTCCAACACTACTAATAAGTTGACGGACTGTAGCCCCTTTTCTTGCCTCGGGTTCCCTAACCCTTACTCATCTGGGCTTAAAGATCTCACACGCTTAACGTTTGCATAGATATCTCCTCTCACTTAGTCAACATCTAATGACACTAACCAGTTGCCAGAGTCCCGTGAGAGACACTATATGCGTAGAGATGCTTATTCAGGTCGCGCAAAAACCAACACTTGCTTCACAGAGCTTAGGTAGCTCTTGTGTCTGCTTCCACAAAGTACAGGAGCAATCAAATCCCAAATCTGTCCTACGAGATGTAGCTAGGACACAGATATTACACGTTGCTGTTCCCAAGGTATCATGCCGCAGAGCGATACCGCATGGGCAAACGTGGCACCGACATCAGTACAGGCCGTTCTTGACCTAGCATCGGTCAGGGGCAAATCATCAGTATTAAGTCGTCCCTGGGCTGGTTGTGTTTGTCGTCTTTACAAGCATCGTGCAGTGTGCAGCTGGAAGGTTCAAGTTGTCTTCAAGTTACTATTGTAGTACCACATGTAAATACAATACCAGTCTGAATGCAGTCTGGATAAGGCCAGGCGGAGTAAGTTCATGTTCAGCACTTCAGGCTTGGGTACCGGGATTTAGATACCGTACTAGCATGATGACGACCCTACTGAAGTAGTGATAGGTCACATCTACTGATCGTCATTTAGTATCAATGTGGGGATTACGTTCTCACAGTTTGGAAAGAGCTTGAGGTTGGCATTCTGTAAATTCATGTCCCTTCTCATCGATTCAAACTTGGCCGGGGCCGCATCTCTATTTGGGCTTCCACCCTCGCCTCTTCCCAACTACGCCATCCATGATATCAAGGAGAAGATAGAAGGGTGATGAATAGCCTACTCACAGCAATGGGTCTAGACTCGCGGTATTCAGTGTTGAAAGAGGTGTGTAAATTCTCATTAGTACTGATTACTCATGACAAAACTGAGCAGGGGGTATCATGATCTACGCCAGACCGAATGCTATGCAAAAAGCCGTCCGTACAATCCCAATCATATGGCCTTACCTGGCCAATAACCATCTTGTAGGCCCAGCTGGTAGCCATCCAGCCCGCTGAACTCGACCAGCAAGTCGAGGCTAAGCCCAGAGCAAACCCACCAAAAGTCCTACCATGGCTCAATGCATCCTGGCCTGATGTGCCTTCATAGCCTTGAGAATCTCCAAACTCAAAGTCTGGGCATGCTCTCATGGCCCCTACAACGACGACCAATAGCCCACCTCATTGTCACGCAGCGCTTGGAGCAAGTCCTCCACGCAGATGGGCTCCTCATACACAGCTCTTTTCCCGCCGTCACCCATAGCAATACTCTGATCTTGCGTGAACCGATCCAGGACTCCTCTGGCCTTGTGATGCCGGTCAGCCAAGTCGCAAAAGTCGATCTCCAGATGCCACAATCTCAGGCCCTCTTGACCCGAGCGGCAGCTTGAATCCCTCCTGTGCGCAAGCGTCTTCCCGTTATAGTTGACATCCTGGGTAAAGGGACACTTGCCGGGGTCGCAGCGGGTGCAGTGCAGAAGGAGGCGATACTGAGGCCTGGAGGGTGTAGCTGGTACGGAGGTATACCGGCTTCGCCTAGCAGTGCCCGAGAGGCTGGAAGAGCAAGAGCCCATGTTGCTGTTGTCGTATTCCTCGTTGGCGGTGCAGAACAAGGATTGTCTTCGTTGTGAGAATGTTGAATGTCTTCGCTGTGACGATGTAGTATGGCCGAAGATGTGGCTTAGAGTATGAAGGCCGCGAAGCACGACATGTTTCCAGTTGCTTTCCAATCCTGAAGCCATTGTGGCTTTTATAGGGATTCTTGGAGAATGTGCTGGCTGGAGCATTGTGAACAGCTTGGTTGGTGGAGGTTGAATACGGTGTTGTTATGTGCTGTTCAGACAGCAATCCTTTCTGATACGCTGCTCAAAGAACAACCAACACTCTGAACGCTCTGGGGGGAGAGGCGGTAAGGCTGATTATTTTGCGGTAAAGTTGGATGATGTTCCCGAGCGCGGGGATCGCGGGTTGCCTTTATACCAGTTCTTGGTTGTCCGTTCGGGTGGCGTGGTGAGTCGTGGCGTGTGAAGGCCGGGATGTGTGGCGGGCCGCGCGGAGTGTGCGACAACCTCTAGATATGTAATGAGGCAAAAGCCCCCAAAGTGGTTGGGGTGGTCTGTCAGGCATGGCAATGACAAGAGTGATCCGGATTTCTGTGGGCGCAAGTTCCGAAGGCGGAGCGCAGGCTGTTTTGTCGCCTGTGACATTGTGATCCTGTGAGGATGCTGGCCTCAGGGGAGGGGATGGCGCAGTCGTGCCGCAGCAAGTGGCTGACACCCGTTGGGTACAACCACTGCATGGGCAGTTTTCTCAACAATTACTGTCAATTAGCACTCGGTCTGAAGTAAACTCCGATGCGCCGTTAGCAAGAAGACTGATTGACGAAGATAATTGGGCTCAAAGTGTCGCTTTTGAACGACTGGTTCAAAATGCATCGACAAGACTCGCGTAGAACAGCATTGCGGTCAACGGCTCAAGGAAGGTTTGCAATCCACTAATTCTGCAAGGCTGACGATAGACTCAAACGGGTTCTGAACTGCGCTATTTCGGAGTCTGTCTGTTTCGTTGTGGCCGAATGGTTATCGGACTCTTGAGCCTCGCCGTGCCTTCTGGATTTGAGCTGGGATCGGATAACAACGGACCCCATGTCATGACTTGCATCGCCTGACCTTGTAATCCGTCCAAGTTGGGTGGCGCGGAGGGATGGCCAGGTTACAAGGCCGGCCGATCGGGTCATTGAACGTTAGGACGAGTGCAGGGGACCGGCCTCCGGTCAGTTTGTTTCAATTGTCCTACCCGGCCCGGCTGTGCAGGGTCGGGTCGAACTGAGCTCAGGCCGTATAACGCTAGGCCTCACGGCTTTCTAGGCCACGCTAATATACACAGCTCGGTGGGATGCCGTATGGAGAAGCAGTTCGAACAGCGCCAGATCAGGGAAAGGCAGAGAGACCCTTTCCATCATTGACACAGGGCGGCACGGCCACGTATGCCACTGCGACGCGCCCCAGCCGCGGCTGGATCACGCGGGGGTTGGAACTCATCACGGCTTGATGGGGGCCTTTGGAGGGTTTGCTCGGGATTTGCCCCTGTATAAGTCTAATCATCCTCTGGCGGAAGCTCGTCGTCGATGTATCGTATTAGGCTGATCCGCATCTCTGTCGTGTCATTTCCTCTCAGCACATCGCTGATGAAGTGCGCATCAACTTGCATCTGCACCATCTCCAACGCGCCCCTCAAGACTCCGCATAAGATGTTGGAATACCATAGCTCGTCCTGCGCCCGGCCGTCGTCAGGTAGCTCCACAAAGTCTGCAAATGGGTTCTCGTCGAATACAAGCGAGAATTGCTTCCCGTCACTCGTCCAGTTCGTTATTGTCGGCGTTATGTTGAGGAAGATTTTGAAGCCGACCTTCAAGTCCATTGTCAGACACAAGCCAATGCGTAGCTTACCCAGACGCAACCCACCTTGGCAATCATCTCTGCCGTTTCCCGAAAATTAGAACACCGCCTGACTGTGTTCGACTTGGCTAGATAGTCCTCTATGAGACGCAGCCCAATGTTGTAGCCCATCTTATCTAGCTGCTTGTTGACCTCAACGTAGTCACTGTCGAAGTCCTTGCAGAGTTGGGCGACGATTGTGCCGTATGTGAGGACCACGAGCTCAGCATTAACCTTGTCCATCCGAGTCCTTGCGGCAGTTAGCGCGGGGAGGGTTCGCTGGTAAAATCGATCTTACTTCCAGACTCTGTGGAAGGGACGACGGGGTTAGCCATGTGAGCCTAGAGGCAGCGGGAATGATGCGACAGCACGTACTCTTCCCCCAGACGGGATGCTTTGCTTGCCGCCATTTGGGTGAGGGTAGTGCCACGAGCAGAATGTCGGTACAGTATTCACTATTCAGGTAGGGGGATGCTGATTGCGCGATTCTACAATCCGCGCGGCGAGTTTCGTAGGAATGTCAACTCGAGGTATTTGATGGAGACTGCGCTGTTGGCAAAGTTGTTTCGTTCCGTTGAAGTGCAGCTGGAGGAACTTGAAGCTCAACCGCCGGGAAGGTGCGCAGTACGGACTACCGGAGTCGTGTATTGTAACTGGTATGTAACTTACATCAGATACAACGGCGGGTTTCCCAACGTGTACTAGATACTTTATGTCAGGGGCAGAAATAGTTTGTGTTTCTGTACCCCTACTCCGTACACCTGCTGCAAGATCGTTCCATTCATACAGTGAGTGTATCATTCGTACCGTACAGAAAATGCCGGCGGCATGGATCTAAGTGGGTCGCTGAGGTCCAAATTCCAGCCGACTTCCTGCAGCTTGGTCCATTCTCCAGACCACTCGGCCACCTCCAACGTCGTCGATACAGCACTCCATATCTCCTTGCCAGCACCCAATCCATTGCCTAGCAAAATGTCCGAAAAGCGACCAGCTTCCGATGAACCCGAAGGCCAGCTCGTCGTTAAGCGGCAGAATGTGGGCTCTAGTCGCGCCGTCACACGCTCCAGCGCGACTGGGTCCAGCAGCGCGCTCATCCAAGCGGTATGCTTCACTGCATCTTTACTATCTGCTGAAGATGTACTGACAAGGCTATTTCAGGCGCCACGGACTAGCGACCTGCAAGCTCCTTTGATGGAGCTTTCTGGACATTCTGGCGAGGTCTTTGCAGCGAAATTTGACCCGACAGGGAACCTTATAGCTTCCGGGTCTATGGACCGGACAATAAGTACGTTGCCAAGAGCTCGTCTTAAGTTTGCTAGTATTAACTCGAACTGCAGTGCTGTGGAGGACATACGGTGACTGCGAAAACTACGGCGTGCTCAACGGACATCGCGGCGCAATCCTCGACCTCCAATGGTCACGCGACGGGGACATTCTCTTCTCAGCATCCGCCGATATGCATCTCGCAAGCTGGGATCTCACGACGGGTCAAAGGATACGGCGATACATCGGGCATGAGGAAATCATCAACGCGATGGATATCAGCAGACGCGGCGAAGAGCTGCTCCTTAGCGGGAGCGACGACGGGACGATTGGCATTTGGGATCCCCGGACCAAGCATGCCGTCGACTACATCGAGACCGACTTCCCCATTACGGCTGTTGCCATGTCGGAGGCGGGCAACGAGATATACTCTGGGGGCATAGACAATGACATCAGGGTGTGGGATATCCGGAAGAAGGCCCTGGTCCACTCCATGCTCGGCCACCAAGACACTATAACATCGTTGAGGGTATCACCGGATGGTCAACAGTTGCTTTCTTATGCCATGGATTCAACCGCGAGGACATGGGATATCAGGCCGTTCGCCCCCGCAGAGCGGCATATTCGCACCTTTGACGGGGCACCGCTCGGGCTTGAGAAAAACCTGATTCGCGGTAGTTGGGATTCGGATGGGAAGAAGATTGCGGTTGGAGCTGGGGACGGGACTGTCGTTATCTGGGGTAGCGACTCGGGCAAGCTGCTTTATAAGCTGCCTGGTCACAAGGGGACAGTTAACTGCGCTGAGTTCGCACCGGGGTCGGCTCCCATTAGTAGGTTACCCCTTCTTCGCTGGCATGCTGGTCGCATTTCTAACCGTGCCGTTAGTTCTCTCCGCCTCTTCAGACCGTACCATGTTGCTAGGCGAATTAAAATGATAAAGTCTCGCAGAGGCTTTAGCGGGCCCTGCAAGCTCAGTCTAGGGGTGCCTGGCCGTTCCGATATTCTAAGCAGCACGCCGGGCGCGATAGGCTCGGAGCAGCGGCGGCAAGAGTCGATGTACCCGAGCCGAGACTTGAGCATTCGGCGACGCCCACTTCGGCAGAGCCTCGTCCGTCGCTCTCTGGTCCTGGTTCGGATCTTTGTCCATGTGGAAATGGCTGCACTCGAGCATGGGAAGACGATACGCATCAATCGCCGTAACTAAAGGGCTGGCAATGGCAACTGGAAAACTGAGCAACGATTACACAGCAATCGTGGTCCGGCGATAAGTGTTCACCGGGCTGTCGCGAACTGGTAAGGGGCAATAGGATACTTATGGATATGTAGGTCCGGACACAACGTTCACCGCGTGTGCGGAATGACATCGGCAACCGAATCGGATGCAGTCGCACCGCGAATCGTGCGCCTCTCCTGCCAAACAATCTGCCAATGCCACACAGCATTTACCTATGTTTGACCCCTGACCTGCATCCCAGGAGATAGCAATCACCACATCATTCAGTGCCGTTGCCAAGGTGCTTGCGTGCCCCTTCTCTAGGGACGCTAGGATGTCTCTCGCATGCTAAGCCCTACATTGACGCTGTACGAAGTAAATATCCCTGATGCTGGTTGTTCATTGAGTTGTCAAAGAGACTGTCTTTGAACTCTGAGCATTTGAGTTGAGGTGGACATGGAGTCCTGAAGACAGTGAAGTTCGAGTCCCAGGCGCTGGAATGTGAAACGTCTTGGCTGAGGTGGGTTGCCCCACCTCCATGCGAGGGTTTGAAGTTGAGAGTTCAGGGGCCAATCAATCCGATCCACTCGCATCCCTTCAGGGGTCACACCTGCCGTGCACCTCCCTCTGCACTTGGATCGATCGACAACGAATCTGTCCCAAGAGATGGATGGATTGAATTGATGAGAGTGACTGGACCTGTAAGTTCTACGGTGCTCGCTTTCCGCTAGTGGCGCATGAGTTGTCAACTTGCACTTCAGTTGCGAGTCAATCGACGTGATGTGAAGGGTTTCCCACACCTTTCTAAGTTGTGTCCAACGGCATGTGAGTAAGGAAAGGGACTGGTGGTTAGCCACGCTCTCCACGATCAGGAGAACTGAGACACCACACCTTCGTCAGGGAAGGAAGCAGGGGCCCGAGGGACTGGATATGCCTCCTTTCTAGCCATTCAAAACAAGAGGCTGTCGAGAAACCTTTCCATTTGATCTTTTTTCTGTTCCCTGCACACCGCACACCCACTCTGTGCTTTTCTTCCATGTGAGAGCGTCATCGGCTGGCTCTGAGCAAACGTCAAGGTACTGCAGCTCCCAGTGCCCACCCCCCCTGCGTCCCCATCCCGAGTCTCAAGTCTCACCTTCGACACAGCCTTGTCGACTGCCCCTTTCCCGGGTTCATCGACGAGATTTCCGAACGCTGGATCTGTGCTCCGTCCCTACCTTAGTTTTGGGAGCTCGTCAGCCAGTCGACGTTGCGCTACCGTGCTTTTGAGTTCGCAGTCCCTAGCACACCGCATACGCTTGAAACAAACGACGGTGCTGTGACTGCCTATGGAGTGGCCGTCATCGCTCGTGATCTGTGTTTCCTGACATTTTTCTTTTTTGCTTCCTCGTGGCCGACTGGTGATCTTCACAGCCTAGCTTGGGAGTCATCCATCCCTCTTTTATTTGTCACTCGTTATCCCCAGTTCCGATTCCAACGGACCGCTTGCCCTTCAACTGTGACGAGACAAAAGCATCCGGGCGAACAGTGCATCGGGTCTGGGATCGACGCATTGCTCTCTTCCCTTCTTCTTGTCGCGGTGGCACTTTACATTCATCAGGCTCTGGGAGCCCTTAAGGACTGGACTGCGTCCGTTTGCTTTATCTTTGCACTTTTGGGTTCGCATCTACGGAGCATAAGGAGTTCAAGATACCCACCCACCGCGATTGGTTTTCTCTTGTACGGGATACATTTCAGCATCTCGCTTTCTGCTAAAAGTTTTGCTGAAAGGGCAACAAATCGTGCCCAATTCGGTTCTTGTAGCTGGAAGACAGCAACGGCTTCACGACAACACACAAGACAACAGCATGGTCACGACACGGCTTTGGTAACGAATGAGAACGAACAGGCTAGCACGCCAAAGAAAGAGAGGATTTTCCCGTCGGAAGCATGAGCTTTAGCTTCATCAACCGGCCCAACCTAAACATGGACCGCTTCAACTTCTTCAACCGCGGGCGGGACGCCAGCACCGGCACTGGCGACACCAACACCAACACCAACCCGAACCCCACCACCGCTAATCCCAACATCACACCACCGACCCGCCCTTCCCCCGTAGCACAACCGCCCTCTGTCAGCACCACCCGCTACAGCGCTTACAGCCCGTACGACGACTACTCCGCCTCAGTCTCCTCGGAGTCATACGACGACGAGGACGCGGACGCAGACGCCTACTACGACGACCGCGCCCCACTCTCTCCGCGCAGCGGAGGAGGAGAGGTCCTAGACGACGACCTAGAGGCACAACGGCCGTCAGCGGCAGCCATGGCCGCCTCAGCCGAGATGGCGGAGCGCGGCACCCCAGCAACCCGCTTCCTGCACCGCTTCCGGCCAGCCATCCCCAGCTTTTTGAGCAGCACCGCTGGCGGCGGCAGGTTCCGGCCCACCAGCAGCCGCTACTCGGGGGAGGGCATCCGTGGGGCGCCCACCGAGACGGTTGTGGGTGGTGGATATGGGTATGCTCGAGGTGTGGGCGGTATGGGTGGTGTGAACGAGAATGAGGTGCTGGAGAGCCCCAAGTCGCCCGAATTCCGCATCGGAGAGCAGGCCCTGCCCTCCACCAGGCTGCATCTGCCTAACTTGGCCAGGACCTGGAGTCAGGGGTCCAACGGTCCGCCTACGCGGCCTGGTACGGGTTGGGCAGGGGCAGCAGGTATTACCCCGCCAGAGCCGGCCGTGCATGCCGAGAGGGTACGTGAAGGTTCTTCAGGGTCTCGATCATCTGGGTCTGGGTCGCGTTCGCGAGAGGAAAGACGGGAGCGGAGGAGACGGCGCGGCCATCGCAGGGAAGGGAGCAGCGGGTCGCATCGCTCGCGTCGGTCGGGGCATCGGTCACATGGGTCGCGGGAGGAGGGGAGCAGCCACAGATCGCGGCGAGAGCGGGAGAGGCGGAGGAGACGGCGAGGGGACCGCGGAAGCAGTGGAGGATCGGAACGCAGTGAGCGTCGGCGTCGGCCGCCGCCAAAGAATTTCCTCTTTTGTTTCCCCTGGATCAAATCGCGCCGGATCCGCTCGCAGATTTTGCGATGCTTCGTCTCGGGGGTATTTCTTGCGCTGACCTTGGCAGTCTGTAAGTGGCTTACCGACCCCTGCCAGTGGTTAATGCTAGCAAGGCAAAAGACTGATCAGAGAGCAGACCTCACCCTCTCAATCACCAAGAACATTAACAGCAACGAGTTCACGATACTCCTCATCCTCATCATCTTGGCTGTTACTATTTTCTTTTGCCACGGGCTTATACGACTGTGCATGCTGGTTGTCAAGGAGCGGAAGCGGGAGCAGGCGAGGCAGCAGGGGCAGCTCCCCGAGATGCAGGGCAGCGGAGGTTATGCTGTTCCACGAGAGCCCATCCCAGTGGTGCTGGCGCGCGACGAGGAAGCTGCCGGCATCGAGAGCGAAGCTACCAAGATCAGCCCTCCCGCGTACGGTGTGTGGCGCGAGAGTGTGGTATGTATTGGGGCGGCTTAATCCAGGTCTTAGGGTCTTAGTAGTGATTGCTGACGTTGGCTGCAGCGGGTTGACCCGAACCGCCTTTACTGGGCGCGAAATGTGCATGCCTCCGTAGAGGAGAGTTCGGATCGCAGCGCTAGCAATTCAGGTGATGCCAACACCGGAAGCGCGCAGACGAACGCACCTCGACCGCCATCGTATTCGTCCGACGATGGTGTGAGCTACGTGGTGGAGGCTCGGCCGCGGTCAATAGCGCCGCCGAGTGTACATCCCTCTGAAGTTGGGAGGGCGGGGAGGCCGTCGCCTTGGTAGACCGGGGGGCTTTTGAGGACTGAGGTTGAGATGGATAGCTGTCGAGATGCTGTGGATTTCAGGAGCATCAAGGAATAAAGCATGAAAGGCGCCCGGGAAGCGGGAAGGCATGCCTGAACGGCTCTTTTGCGTATATAATCATTCAATATCCCAGAGACAACCATTCACTTGGTCGATGATTTGCAGTCCTAATCGGGTAGCCGCCCATTGGCAACAAGTGATGCGGGCACGAAGGCATCCGCCTCTAATTTGCGAGTTATGACGAATCCTGGGGTTCGAAGTAGGGCGCTCCTTCCGGTCTGGAGTCAGGACCGTGATGGCATCGATTGCGGATTCCACGGAAGGAACGAATGGAGCGTGACGCAGTGCAAGGAAACTTCACGGAATCCCTTGGCCATTTCGTACGCGCATCCAGCATTGCCGCACGCATCAGTTCAACTTCCCAATGATTACCTTACCTTTCATGACCCTATGCTCAGAGACTCTAGCCTCGAGGTTTAAATAGTTCCCAATCCGCGCCGATGACGACATGCGACGGGTTCAAGTCCGTCATGGCCGTCAGGTGGAAACCCATGCAGGAGGGCAAGGGCCCGGCCGTGATTGAGCCAAAGGGTCCACCGGCACCCCCGCATGTCCCTCGGGGGCCCTCGGTGATCGTGCCATCCCGAAGGAGTCCCGGAGGAGTCTACCGGCCGTTGGATGCTGTGGCTAGCATGATTCTGGACAATGCAGCAAAGGTACGGAAAGGCCATTCCAATTGCGGCGCTTCTCCTGGTCGGCGGCTGGGTATTCTGGTATTGTATGATGAAGGCTATCATGATCAGCATGATATGTTCGTGTGAACAAACGTGCCGGTCACGGGACCACGCGCTGACGGCCAGGCAAACAATGAGGCTCAGTGCCAACGTCACTGGTAATGTTCCCCTGATTGCAACTCCAACGAATTGCACCTTACAATCTTGAGCACTCTGCTTTCGCACTAGACGGGCTGGCTGTTTGGTGTTTAGAATCGAGTAAAAAACTCTCCTGATGTTTTGCAGTCAGTTTGTTCCTCTCGAGGTCGGTGTGCGCCATTCTGAGACTGAACTCGGCGCTGACTGTCGTCTTAACAGGGGCTCGGAACCACAGCGCGGCGATTATGGTTCAGATCGCCAATGTCATAACTAGCCGCCCCTGAGATTACCTTAGGCGGATTCATGATACTTGGCCAACCTATTTTGGGCTACCGGACCCAACTCCTCCTTGTCCCAGCGCGTTAGCCTCTGCAAAGCACTCACTAACGTTATCTGCGTGGACAGGCTTCATCAGGCGTGGCTGGAGTTGTCCAGTGTTAGGCTGCTTGGGCATGATTGGGCGAAGTTGTCGACAGGGGCTTTGTTTTTCCTTTGGGCTGGCTTCGGCGGGGTTACATAATAAGCGTCCAGTTCAAGGGCCTGCTCAGCCAGCCGTCGCTTCTGACAAACAACGCTGGGCTGACAGATTGCTTGCCTTTGCTCGGTAACGCAAATGTCCTGGTTGGGCAAACCGACGAGACAAACAGCGGAGCGCCCTCAACCGCAGGCCTGGCCCCCAGGGCGCCCCTTACTATCTGACAACCCGAAAGCCCAGAAGCCCTTTGTGTCTCTAGAGCTAAAATGACCCTCGGAGTCCGGCAACTTGAAAGCTCCAAGCTGACAAAAATTCCGAGGGGTAACGTTGAAGTTAACGTTAAAGCACAGCAATACTAGCCGAGGAGCGTTAGGCTTGCGCACCACATCATACCCAAGACGCCGCACTTGGCACGAGTCAGTGGCGGGGGCCAGTCACGAGCCGCCCCCACCCTCCAATCACGCTCTGTTGCGAATTGGAAGCTGTGAATTTCATGTGGGGTGCTCAGCTGTGGGCCAGGAACAACGGAGCCAAGGACCAAGATTTTTTTCCATTAGCGCAGTTTGAACAAGCTGAGACGGATGAGAGCTTGTCCAAAAATTGGTGCTTCTTCCGCTGCTCGAAGGACTTTTTAATGTAGGGAGTCTCGTGCACAGTCCAGAACTTAACAATTACAGGGAGCTCTGTCCTGGGGAACGGCAAGGACCACCAACTGATGCTCCGGTCAGGCTAACCGGAAAGTGGGAAGCCGCAGGCCTCGGAGGTACGCTAAGAGTACTTGGTTCCACGAGCAGCCATGTGCCAAGCACGCCCCGAATGACGCTTCCTTCAGGGCAAAACCAGCCACCCGCGTGATCCACACTTTGAAGGGAGCAAGTCACTTGCTTGTTACTGGCTCCGTTCCTCTCCCTCTGGTTGCCTGTGCGGAATCTGGCTGCTAGCGCTATCCCTTCCTGCCCCCTTCTCCCTCACTTGTTCCCGCTTATTCCGCCTCCTTCTCCGAGTCCCTCTCTTTCCCACTTTCATCATTGTTCTTGAAAGCGACTTGGCAGACCTCCCCTGGTGTTGTTGGTGAGGAAGTCGGACACGAAGCTGGAAGACGGCGGATGTACTTCTGGTTGTTGGTCTAAAATTCAGCCACCATTCTTGGGTCCGTTTCTTTTTTTCGTTTCCCTTGTCTAGAAGGTGAGTCCACAATTCCCCTCTTGTCGAAAGCTTGCGGTTACTTGCACTTTGACGACACGTTTGCTTGCGCGCGCGCATCCGTTGTTGAGCATTTGGGGTTGCTGCGCTCCCAGAGACGAGCAATGTGTCGGCCGACAGCTCCGGATTGCTGGTGTGACAGCAAGTCATTGGACAGCCGAGTTACTACTTCCTACGCCACACCCACCACATGGCCGCATACATCAACCTTTACCTTGCGCGACCTCACGCACGCTGCGGCGCTCGATAGCGCTGGACCGGGGCATTCACAAGGCTCTGTTATCCTCCGGATTACCGGCCGTCGGTCGAACGATTTGCGCGACTACCGGACTCGCCCGCTTGCCTTGTGTAACGGACAAACTTGCTAGATAATGGGGAGACGTCATATCCGGCCTCGCGGAAGATGATATTGTCAATCTGCAGCCGAAATTCAGCGCGCGGATGTCTGGCCAGAGTTGGTCGATCCCCTAGAATCGTTGACATTGAAAATCCAAGCATGCTGTCAGCCGACATCGCCATGGCCAGCATCCGGTTCCTTTAAGCTTGCGGTGCTCGCAAACGTGTCGGCGAAGTTGCAGGCAGCAGTAGCCCATTGCGGCCGGTTATTAACACTTTTGCAATAGGATTCTATTCACAATGGCAACCGGGCCCCGTCCGCTGGCATGCTACAAGTGCGGTGACCTCGGTCACCTTGCCGGAGCTTGCGCGTCTCCCGAACGGCTTTGCTACAACTGTACGTATACGGATCTACCCCCTGAATGTTGAGTCTGAATGCTGACATTCGAGCTCAGGCAAGCAACCAAGTAAGAACTCGTGCTATGATGCGCTCCTTGGTGGACAGTAGTTGACTCAAAGGCAGACCACGAATCGAATGACTGCCCAATGCCCCGTACCACCAAGGCGAAGCAGTGCTACCACTGCCAGGGCGTTGGCCATGTCCAAGCCGAGTGCCCTACTCTTCGCCTGAGCGGTGCTGGCAACCGGTGTTACAACTGCGAGGGCTTCGGCCATTTTGCTGTAAGCCGGCGCCGTCAATGCGGAGTTGATTACTGTACGTCATGCTGACTCGGCTGCAGCGAGACTGCCCCAACCCTCCGACTCCCGGACCCAGGGGAGGCGCCGTTAACCGCGGTGCCTACGGACATGGACGGGGAGGCTTCGCCGGCGGCCCGGGAGCGCGCCACCCGACCTGCTACAAGTGCGGCGGCCCCAACCACTTTGCCCGCTACTGCCAGGCCCAGGCAATGAAGTGCTATGCATGCGGCAAGCTTGGCCACATATCTCGCGACTGCACTGCTCCCAACGGTGGCCCCTTGAACACGGCTGGAAAGACGTGCTACCAGTGCGGCGAGGCCGGTCACATTTCGCGCGACTGCCCCAAGAAGAACGCTGCCAACGGCGAGATGCAGCCCGGCGTTGACATGAACGGCGCGCAGCCCATTGCTCCACAGTCGGTGCCTACCGTCGCGGCTCAGGTGGCGTAGGACGCTATCGCTGCCGTGAAGTGTTATTCAGTTCCGGTTTGACGGCAATGTGGCTTCTAGCCCATATCTCTCGATCTTCTCGTTTTTATCCACGGAGCAAGGCACGACACGACTCGGGTTTTCCACGGCGTTCTCGGTTCTGGCTCCTATAACGATTGGGCTCATTTTAGTCATTGACTGGACAAACGATGGAATGGGAATAAAAAAGACAAAAAAAGCTACTCATGTCTCCTTGGCAAGCATTTTCTTCTTCGCGGCTCCGAATAATTCGTCGGGTACCAGATTACCACGGCTGCATTCGTAAGCCCCGTTTTGCCCGTTTCTCTTTTCATTTGTCCTTCTCTTCGCTTCTTTTCTCCAGCATTGCCTTCCTACCTAGACGGCTATTGGAAACAAGCATCTTCAGAGATACCCCTTGTACGGAACAACATTTCGGAATGGTTGTTGCAGCCCTGTGAGGCGCGCTGGGTGACAAGTGACAAGAAAACAAAGGGTGCTTTTGGTTCAAGTTGGGCACGCTGAAGGGACCCGGCCGATGCGGGTTTTTTTTTTGATTGAGACGCCAGGCGGACAGGGCGAGGCCAGATCGGAAGGAGGGGATTGATCAGGAAGGGCGCGGTGATTCAAGTTCGAAATGAAAGTTTTCAAGCTGTGGAACGAACATGAACCGTACCTGAATGGTATAGGCGAGGCTATGTATTGGACCTGGAAATACATCTTGATGCGATGCGTGCATGAATTGAGTTGAAGGTGGTTGTTGCGATGCGATGCGATGCGATGCGATGACCGGAACATGAAGGGGGACAGTGGTGCAAGCGTTGGGCTTTGCGATATAACCTCCCAGCCCGAAGGTCCTGGTGATGTGGTGCCGGTATCTGCTTGAACGTTGCGTGAAACAGGAGGGTTGGCTTTGAAGGGTACCAGATAAGTATGCATCCATCCATTGCTGGGTGTATGCGGGGATGGATCATGTCTGCGGCTTGCTACCATGCGACTTGTCCCTCACCACCTGATATATTCCTTCCCGGACTCGGGCACCTTGATGGACTCGTGGACCTTGACGGACCAGAGCACATGCAGGTTACCCGGATGAGCACCTTGCTGAGCTCTAGCACCTGGGCGAACGCTTGAATGAGTGTCATTAGCGATGGTATGCGTTGTCTATCATCATGGATCCAAGACGTCCACTTCAGCAAGCTACTTTCGCTTGTCAGAGTTTGAGGTAGAGCCCTTGGGTTAGTATGCACCTACTCAGGCTGTGAAGGATGGGTACTTAAGGTGGTAAGCTGACAAGTTGAACCAGCTTGCCAATGCTTCCAGCCCGCGGTGTCTTTATCCATTTCAATCCCGGCCGTCCTCGACCCGGGCATGTACTACGGCTTCTACCTACCACTACTAAGGAGATGGGGCGTCAGTGACATTGCAGTCTCGTTTTTGACACATCTTGACATGCAAGTCTATAGCAGGTGAGGGGACAGCATCGTCAACATGCTCTCAGTAAACAGCTGCACTAAGTATGTAAGTCAACTTCCCCTTCCTACTTCCACGCCCCACGGGTAGACAGTGACATGGCAGAGTGGCAGGAATAGACACCTCCCCTCCTCCCCACCTCCCCAGCCTCATCTCGAGTTGGGACCTCTCAGTTCGAGTCCTCGATGGTTTGTCACGTCTTTGCCGACCCATCCCTTCCGCCATGTGAGGATATGATACGGGTAGAATACCCTACCAGTTCCCTTCCCGCATGTGAGGATGTGGAAAGGGTAGAATAGTACTGTCCTAAAGGGTGGGACTTGTTATAGTCCACACGTCCGTGCATGTACGTCCAGACCCTGAAGAAGTTCTCTGGCGACCAGGCCGCGTTCACCTTCTCGACAAGGAGAGACCGTTCGAGTTCCATCGTAGGCTCCAGGAGGACTTGGAAGTCCAGGTGCTCACAATGTTTTCGTAAGAGATTCTGTCCATATTTGTCCCTCAAGCTGGACTCGACCTCTTAATCGGCCTGGCCCTTCAATCATGTCTGCCCAAATCTCGTCGCTCTCTCTCTCTATTGTGACAGAGTACCTGCGAGGTGTCAGCACCAACTGCATATGAACGCGTGCAGAACATGCAGTACGTCGGGCACACTGAAGTCCATCGCTGTCATCCTGTTAGTTGTGCCTTGCTAGCTAGATAGGTACAATACACAACCTGAGCGACACCAGCCTTAGCCGACTTTCAGAAGGAGATGAACCACTGGCATGGATGATTTGCATGGGCACCCAACGACCGACTACAGATTACAGAGCACAGACTTACCGTGACGTGCTTCCATGTACCTTACCTTCATGTTATGTTGCCCAAGAGCTGCAACCTAATAGTCAGAAGTTGCAGTATCCTCCCTACAAAGGCGGAGGCACTTTGGGTCATGGGATTGTGCTCGTGCTAGCAGAGGTTGACGAGGAGATGGCCATGGTCTGGCAGAGAACCGGCCCAGTTGCTATACAAAGAAGCATGGCTTAGAAGTTAGAGGTGCCTAGCTGGGATTCATCATATTCAGAGTTGTTCAATCATCAGTGTTTCCTCCCTTGCCTGCATCGAACTTACAGTCAAGCGCTTGATTGAAATGTCAGAAACCTTCCCTCCCCTGCTAGCCCATAAATGCTAGTAGGACTGGTGAATTTAGTGAGAAGGAAAAAGCAGCCTGAACATGAAGTTTACCAGGTGTTTATACTACTCTACTAGTACACTCACTTCTTTTGCCTCCACTGTTGCCGACCTCAGTCCAGTCTCCACGAATTACTACCCATCCAGCAACAATTTCATAATTCATTTACCCTCAGGCTTCCTACACAACCTCCCATTCTGCGTCGGAAGCCACTCCACCTGCCCAGTAACATACCAATCCTCCGACCCAACCGCAGTGGGCGCATAGAACAGCCCTGTCGGATCATACTCCTGCTTCAGCCTATACAACCACCGGTAATGCCCCGCCCCATAAAACTCCCGTTGAAAATCCGGCTCATTGATATCCGCCTCAGACATGTACGTCCCCGAACCCGGGGTAACAGCCCGCCAACGCTCCATCCAGTCCGTCGTCAGTGTCTTGCTAGCCGCCTGGATCTGTGCGTCCGTCGCATTGGCCGGCCACGATGCGGCTAGCAAGAAGAATGCGGTTGCTTTCCGCCAGGCGGGGTTGACGCTGTTGTTTTGGTTGACGGATGGGTTCGGGGCCGCGCGGATGTTGTACCCTATCAGGATCCCGCCTCGTTCGACGGCATAGCGGACCGCGGCGAGGGTTTCGTTGAGTTTTGAAGGGGTGAAGTTTTCCCTGGGGAACAGGCGGGAGGCGGCGTGCGAGTCGGTTGTGCCTACGCGTTCAGGCCCCGGCCAGGTGTTGGTATAGGCTGTGTACATGCTCGGATATTCGGTGATATTTGGCGTGACGGATATGCCGAGGTTGGCGAGGTCGGTTAGGAAGGGGGTGACTAGGGAGTTGAAGGCGGGTGCGGTCATGTTGTTGGCCCACATGGGCATGAATTGGAAGAGGTATTCGCCTGGGGCGAAGCTGACGACGAGGAAGTAGCCGTAGGCGCCGGCCGAGGTGAAGGTGTCAAAGTAGCGCATGTAGGCGCCCAGGCCGGCAAAGAAGGTGTCGGCGGTGATGTTGGGGCCGGTGGTGAATGCAAAGGTCATGGTGGTGATGGGGATTTTGGGGTAGGCGCGGATTGTTACGGAGGTTACTACCCCGTATGTGCCTGTGTTTGTTGTTAGACGTGATGTTTCCAACAGGACGGCTCAGGGGGATGACTAAAGACTTACTACCGCCGCCACCGCGCAGAGCCCAGTAAAGGTCCGGATACGAGTCCTCGTTGGCAGTCACATATCTCCCATCGGGGAGCACCACTTCCAGTGAGAGCACCTGGGGACACAGGTAAGATTAGCCGTGATTCCTGTCCGTCCACGGTCATTCAGGGCCATACTTGGTCTGCTCCCATACCTACAAGCGACGAAATGGGAGAGTGGCCGCCTCCAGCAATGTATCCACCGGCAATGCCCACAGTCTAGGTTATGGTTAGTACTTTGATCTCAGTATCGGGTTGCTGCCCAGACTGATACTCACCCGACACTCGCCCCCCGCAACAGTGACATTGTTCTGCTCAGCCACCTTGTACACTTCCTCAGTGAGAACCCCGCTAGCCAATTTGAACGCCGGCCCGCGGTATCGCCCGCAGTCATAATCAGCCAGGAACTGGATGTCCTTCAGTTTATGAGTCCAGATGGACAGGGCGCCGGCTCCAATAGACTTATCAGCAAAATCATGGCCCGTGTTCTTCACCACCAAGCGTACGTTGGTATTGCGAGCAAAGTTCAGTGCCAGCTGGATCTGCGACACGGTTGTGACCGCAACGGAATAGGAGGCGTATCCGCCCAGAGTGCAGTTGCTGCTGTCCGGATCCTCGGTGGGCATGCAGGTCCGGCCCTGGTAAATGGGGAACATGGCCGAGGTTGGGTCATTAATGTGAAGATTGGGGTCGCCCCAGTGCTCCCTGATATACTGGCATGTGGCGGCGTCGTATTGGGGCCAGTTGCGGTAGCATGGCGCGGCGAGGGGTACTGTTTGGATGAGAGCGCCGCCCAGGGTCCGGTTGAGTGAGTCCCAGGTTGCTGGCGAAGGCCATGAGGCGTCACCTGGGAAGGCCTTGCACTGGGAGAAGCCGGCGTTGTTGCCAAAGCCAAAAAGCACAGGGTTGCTATTGGCAATAGCCGTGTCGGTCAACTCAATTTGCTCCCAGGGAAACTTGGGTGGGCATGCCGGCTTAACCGCCGCTGCACTCGAGGCAAAGAAGGCCGTGATAGCGACAGACCAAAGGAGGAATGAGGCCATCTTGGGTCCAAATTTTCCGGACGCGAGGACTCTTTGAGCTTGACCGTTGACAGCGTGGTGTCAATATCCCTCAGCCATCGCTCTTGGGCCGGAAAACTGGTTCCTGCCCACTGCTATATATACCGCTCATGGTCAAGGCCAACAGGGGGACAACCAGTTCCCTGGAACTCCGACTCGAGTCTTCGCGTACCCTTGAAGGTAGTCCTGTTGGCGAACCAACTGGTGTAACGTGATGCTGAAATGTCACCTCGAACCCTGTAGACTTCCTTCTCGTCGTCAGCCGTGTGCGGGGGCTTGTCCGTTTCCGTGCGGCACAGCCGCGGGGTCAACCCGGTACTAATCCAAGCCCCTGAATACCTGCGTCGGCGATGCTACCGTAACTCGAGGGCATGGCACGAGTTTCCGGGGCCCGGTTTTCTGTTCCAGCTTCCATGCAGTTAGCCTCTGCAGCCTGCGGATGCTAAAAGCTAAGGCTAAAGGGCGAGAGAGTGTAAGCGGTATCAAGAAGTGATTAACAATGTCGGGTCAGTCGGGGATGTTAGAAGAGTGCTGCTCGGGAACATTTACCCTTTACTAAGAAGTTATGAGTCTGCATGACATGTCCCCTCAATCCTCATTCCTGAGGGATCACCCGTATGCTAGTGTTGAGCGAGAACGAATTATATAGCCCGACTCCAGCAAATAGTCATCGCTGAAACCAATGAAGGCAGCTGTGCAAGGCCCCGATCGTCTCAATGTTGATGTCGTGATAACAACGCTTCGGACGCTCCGGGACTTGTTTGAACCTGCTAGCGGTAACTTTATGGGTTCCTGTTGTTGGCGGCCTGGCGAGCATGTTGGGGATCAAATATTGCGGTTGGTTTAGAATTCGGCCCAGGGTATGCAGGAGCCACGAGGCTATATGTGAGCTGCTGCCTGTATGTGGGTTGGCGAGTGTTGAGATTATAAGGCTAATAATGGCCATGCTTGCCTGGTTTTGAACAAACAATCGGCTCCTGTTTTGATCAAGCGGAAAAATTTTCCCGGTATTTTCATAGGAAGTACCTTAGGTTGTTACGGCGAATTGGAAGCTGGTCGTTTGAGCAATGGAAATCTCACACGATACTCGAACTCTGCTGAGGGAAGGTAGCTCCTTCCAAGTTCCATTTCGGCAAAGATGGTTCGCGATGACAGTCTGCAGGTCGAGAAACAAAACTAAAGTATTAGATATACTATTATCTGGCCACTAACAGGCCAAATTATGTTCAGGACCTCAATTCCGCACCTGAGATAGTTTCTTCCTGATTTCTTCTTCCTCTTGTTCAATCCTTTCTAGCTCCAACAGTCGTTGTCTTCGCTCTTGCAATTTACGCTGCCGTTCCTTGAGGTTTTCACTCTTTTGCTGTACATTGACTTCAGGTTCAGGGGTCTGAGCAGTTTCTGTAACTTGTGCGGTAGCCGTGGTAATGATCGTGGGCGCTCCATCGAGTCCATCATTCTGGTCACGCACATCCCCGCCGAGAACCACGCTCTTCATCATCGAGTCTTTGGCAGGAGTATGCAGCTCAAATACCGTAACAGGCTGCCCCTGCTCCAGCTCGTGCCTCGTTCCGATGAACTGTTCGGGCAGCTCTGATGCGCCGTAGGGAGGATGTGGATGCTCGTCGCTTGGAGTGGCCTCGGGGGTTCTTTTCGCTAGGCGGCGCGATCTCCTCCGGATAAACAAACCAATCGCAACACCGACGAAGAGTGCAAGTATGATGCCAACCACGATTCCCGCAATGGCTCCCCCTGGGAGTCCTTGCTGGCCGCTACCGCCCACTTGACTGGCATCACCCACTTGTTCAGCATTGTCTGTCGGCTGCGTTGATCCTGCAAAGGACGTCCTCGTCGTTAATTGCAGGCCCGGATCGGTGTTTGTAAGCGTAGCGGAGAGTGGGTGCGTCTCCAACCGCGAGAGATCGCTTTCAGCCCAGCGAATCGGGAAAGCCGGTGCCGAGGCGATGCCCGTCCCCGTGAAGACGAAGGCGGAGCGTACGTAGCCGGACTTCGTGTGTTTGGCGAGGGTCCAGGAACTAGGCACACAAAAGGCGAGCGTCTCGGAAGGTTTGAGCGGGGCTTCGTAGTAGCTCGGCACTGTGGTTGTGTGTATGGCCGAGATGACGTATCCCGATGGGCAGATGCCCGGGGAGTAGTAGCCCCAGTAGCCTTCCACCAAGTTGTCCGGCATGTTTTCCCAAACACCCTCGTAGTGAGGCGGCGCGCACGACGGGGGCCGGGTTGAAGGTCACGATGGATGGGCATCGCGGCGGGGGCGTGAAGATGGTTGTCAGCGGCGCAATAACGATCCAAGATGACGGCGCCGTCTGTGTGGCGTCTGTTAACGTTGTGGTACCGATTGTGCCCATTGTTTCTCATGGAAATGACCAGGGAAGGGACAGATAGCACCGCTTCGGAGATATTAGTGCTTGGGTGAGGTTGGGATGAAAAGGCGGGAACGCATCGCGTCGCGATATTTCGCTAGTGCTTGGTGGCTGGTCCTAATCGGGCGAAGGCTTAGGGCTGAAGGCCAGCCCCATGTGTGGCTAGATGGCGCACGACGATGTACTCCATACAGTACCTTTGTATGTATATACATTGCATGGCACGAGAAATTCATGGTGTAGAACTGGAGATAGTCGAACAGCCGGCAGTGGTTGCAGGATAGGTCGGTACTGGTAATTATGGAGAATACTAGTACTGTCTAGAACTGAAAGTTCGTTACCCCTGAATGGTTGCTATGGGAACGGCATTACCCCCCTAAGGTAATCTTATATGCATTTCCAACGGCACCTCTCGCTGGCCCGACCTTCAATGACCAGCCCGAATTGGTAGTAGCTGATCGCCGATTGAAGCTGTATTGTGGTTTGCGTTGCTGGCTTAACAGACAATTCGAAGCTACCAACGCACATTCTCTATCTTGAAGCCACCATGTATGAGTGGTTACATTGCAGGAAATTGGCTTGCGACTCACATTCACTGACACAAATCGCACCCATGTGGCTTCGTTTGGTTACCAATCAAAGCTCCTGATAGCCAGCCTTGCCCGCCTTCAATGGGTCGTTTCTTTTCCCACCCTTGATGAATGCCTAGCTTCTATGCCGTTGAGCCGACGAGCACGAATCTTGATTGGGTCTCTAATGTTTTCGGCGAAGCATTACACACATACCTACCTTACTCTCGGGAGATAATGCTCCCATGTCACCAGGAAGTTCAATTATTTACGGCTGCAGGTTCAATATGCAGGCCTGGGACCTATGCAAGTTAGGGTACCTAGGTAGGTGGTAAGCGGGGAACTGCCGCCTCAGCTAAGGTAGGGTCGGGGACCTGACTCGGGAACTCTACCTACCTACATGTACCTATTTAAATCTAATGGAGCCCGACTTGGGCGGTTGTCATTTGATTGCGCCCCTCATCGACCTCACTTAGGCCGAGTACCTGACCTACCTAGAAAATGGATACTTCCGGCCCGTCTGTCAGGACTCAGACTGCGGTCGACAAAGTTCCGCCTCGAGATTCACAACCACAAGGTTCTCTTCAAGGATGTGGACCTGTAGCAGACAAGGATTCTGGCCGAGGAAATGACTCCGGCTCCGTGAAAGACAAGCAGACGAAAAACGATGAATCCGAGATACCCTCGCAGCTTCTCGAACTTCTGGCGAGGAACGATGAGCAGAGAAACAGGGTTCCGAACAACGGAAGCCAATCCCAGACTCCTGTTAAGCTGATGAAAAAACTTTTGAAGCCTAAAATCCCGGAGAACCAGCGCCCTTCCACGCCATCCAGTAGTGGTATGGTGGACGGCCAGACTGCTGCAACTAACAAAGGAAAAGGCAATGAAGAACGGGCAATTAAGGCCAGACAAACTCCAGAAATTGGGCAGCCTTCTTCTTTCAAGGAGGCCCCAACGCTCGTTGTCTTGAACTGGGAGAAACTGCCGGCATCCAAGCCCCCAAAGCTGGACATTGTGGCAGTACATGACGCCGGTCAGACGAACGAGGGTGCCTGGACTTTCATACCTGATCCCCAGTCTCAGAAACGAGAACATTCACGTACAGCCGATACCGACATGGACATCTCACGGTCGCGTGGAGCAGGGTCGCTTGTAGCTAGGTCGCTCGGGGTTGGACCACTCGGAACTGTCCATCCCATAAAAACGGATGAAGAGATGGCAAACACAGCCAAAAAAACGAAAAACTGGCTCACGGACCCAACAATGATCGCCGGTGACTTTGATGGAGCCCGAATTATGGCCTTCTCTTATCGACCGCCAGAGGTTACGGTGCCACCATCTGATCCTACCGCAAAGTCAGCGTTTGACAAATACCTGCAGAACATTGCGAGTACACTGCTCTCACAGTTGGTTAGCCAAAGGTCGGCAACAAACGAACGCGACTACTCTAGAGTGCCCTTGGTATTCATCGGCTGCGGATTTGGCTGTCTCGTGATTCAAAAGCTGATTAGTCTCGCTGATGGCGAGGGCTCGACTCATGAAGAGGGTCCTCTCTTATCTCCCATCCTAAAGTTGACGGCAGGAATCATGCTACTGGACACACCAACCCCTCTCGGAGCGCAAAAGGAAGGAGCGCCCAGGCAGAAAGGGGGAGCGCAGAAAGAGGACGGAGAACAAATCGAAGGAGCACAAAAGGAAGGAGCGTCTGCAGGGAAGGAGGGAGCGCCGCGAGAAGACGGGGCGCAAGATGAGGCTATTCGTGAATCTACATTTCCGCCTACCCTTGACACCGGCAGTAGCGGGTGGGCGGGACCGTTTCTGAAAACGCCTACCATCAACACGAGACACCTGTGGGACAACTTCACAGGCATTGCTGCGAAAAAATCCATATCGGTGTGTTGGTTCTACGCACAAGACCCTTCAACCCAGGTATGTTCCGGCGGTCTAGACCGGAGTTCCAGATGTATGTAGGTACCTATATTAGTTTTGCTGACCAGTGACATAGGACATAAAACCTCGCGCGGACGGCGTCGAATTTGTCGTGATTCCCCTACCTGTGTCAGCAACAAAGCCGAAGCCTTCCCATACCCAAGGGCGATTTCTTGGCCCCAAAGACGACGCTTACATTCGACTTGTCGACCACATACGTGGGAGTTTGATGTTCAAGGCGTCCGAAGAAGCGGTTCTTGAACCTCTTCTTGGTGAACTGATTAGGGACAACAAATACAACTTTGAGGTGACGGATCGGAAAGGGCGCAACCCACTCCACAGAATGGTCGCGTCGCTAAACTATAAGTCGATAAAGCTAATCGCCGCTGCCTATCCCGGTCTTATAGCAGCCCGAGACGACGACGGAAACACTCCCCTTCACACTCTCGTATTCAGAGTCATGGATCTAGACCTGAAAGATGATGATCGAAAACCCTACGAGGACATGTTCAGGGACCTAGAGAAAATCTGGTCGGAATCCCTACATGTACTCAGCGATGACCCTAGGGACCATAAAGACAGGACGCCATGGTTTTATGTCAATGATACAGAACACAAATGGATCAAGCAAGCGAGATTCGAACGGAGTCCATTTGTCGGTGCAAAGCAAGAAAACACCGACAGGTTCGATCGACGAGTCCAGGACCCGGACAAAGCTAAGCGTGACGTTTGCGAAACGTTGAGAGCAGGCCTATTCCAATTTGCCGGCAGCAGTGGGATGAATGATTGTTTTGTTCCGATATTCCCAAGCATCTTTCGACTGATATATGACCACCCCTCTGACTTGTCTGACCACATTGACAATCTCTTCAAGGAGATTATCCTGCCAGACAGCCAAGTCAACCGTCCAACGTGTCGGCTAATCTACCTTCCTGCAAACAATGTTAGTGGAACTACTTATGTTGCTAGAGATCGCATATGATGTATTTTTAGCTGACCATTTATGCAATTTACTAGGAACAATGGATACAAGTCTGTCACTACCTCATGATATTACCCAAGGCCATTATGTTCTCAGTTTGCTGACTTCGACGGACTAGGACTTGTTTGTTAGAATGGGTCGCAGTGATCTCTCGATGGCCGGAAGGCGACATCATGGTAAGAGCGCAACAGCCCGCATGACATTAAGGACTTCATGCCGGTTGATGGATCCCGACCTACTTTCTTCAGGATTACAACTCGGATCTAATACCATCATTGTAGGCACCTCGATCTACGATCGGTACATGATTCCGGACGCGTTCACATTTCGTCGGGTAACATCTTTGATAAACTCCTTAGCCGGCCGGCTTGGTTGTGTGTCCCCCCCCGAGTCCCCGACTAATCAAACCATCACAGACTTTGCATACCTTTTCCTCGGGTACCGTGACTGGCAGCATCGCCGGCGAAGATGCCGCGGCCGTTGCTCTATTTGTGAGTGCCAACTGAAAGAATTAGAATCCCAAGCAATCCTGAGCGACCGAACGCTTACACATCCCAAATTGAGGAAGATGCCCATTTTTGGATTCGAGGAGCATCCTAATTGCGAAAAATTGAGCAACTCAATCAAGTGCTTGGAGGAATGTGATCCGCAGGAGAGTCAATCGGGTGCCCTGGTCAATGCATATTTCAGGAGCAAAATGCCTTTGCACTGTCGCCGGACTCTCGACCAGTTCACATATCACATGCTGGAAGACACCAAGGAGCGAGATGACACTCAAGTGGTCACCAAGTGGGCCAAGGAGCATCCAAAGAGGCGCGAAGTCGAATATGATGCCGAAAACGACTCAGCCTCCCACAAACACGATGCAAATCCGGTTCTGATGATCGACCAATTATGGCTTTGGGTGCTCAAGAAAGAAAACATGGTGATTGCTTGCATTCCAGAAACATGGGATTCAAACCCAACCAAAAAGACCCTCCGGACCGACCATAGTTTCATCTGTACGTTGTGGGACGAACTCACGAGGGACAATCGAACCCCAATTACTTCTTCCATGGAGCTTGCAAGCCTGATAATCAGGTGCAGCATCGATTTCATACAACGACCAGGTCCCGGGAATTTCTCGCTTTACGAATGCTTTCAATCTACCATAGACGACATTGTAAGTGCCATGAGTCACTCTTCTTGCTTACATACATGATACATTCAGGTTGACAAAGCCCCCATTAGGCCGAAAGACAAGCGAAGCAATTCTCCGAGTTCAAGCACATCGTGGATGAGCTCAGCAAGCCTCACGACCCAAAGACGTGGGGCGACATGACAGATGAATTGTTTCGGCTTCCAAAGGAAACAGCCCTTCTGGCTGAAATCATGGATGTTCTGGACGAACTCAAGACCATACGGCAAGTCTTTTTGAAACAAAAAGATGTTCTGGATAAGCTTCGTCAGCTGCCTTCGGATTTCAAGCAGCCGCTCCCAGACCACCTCGACAAAGTCAACGCAAATATCGAAGCCGCCGACGACATGGCCAGCAGGGCTACAAGAGTGCATGCTGATGTGAGCATCCTTCTCAATATCGAGGGGCTCCGCTAACCATGGAGTGTACATGCAGATTATCAATCTTCTCGAACTGAAAGAAAAGCAAGCAAATGCCTGGCAGGCAACGTTCGCTAGAGAAGTCTCAGAATTGACACGGAGACAAGGCTATGTAGGACTCCTTGCCGGTTCTTTGAAACCTCTATTTATTCCGTAAGACTTACTAACTGGACGATTCAGACCATGATAGCTTTCACTTCAGTCACCATATTCTTCGTAAGTGTCTAGAGACGTCGAATGGAACTGTCTGTTGAAATACTTACGATACGCTTTGATACAGCTTCCATTGTCTTTCATAGCAGCCGTGTTCGCTATCCAAGTCGACTCCTTTCCGAAGGATCCAGTGTCAGGCCAGAACTCATGGCCTGTGCAGAATCTGATGAGCCTGCTATGTGAGATTCATCTTTTACTCCCAAGAAGCAGAGAAAATGCCATTGTATTGAATCTTTTACTAACAGAGTTCAACGCTACGCTGTAGTCGGGATATCACTTGCCGTCATCATACCTCTGGAGATCGTTGCCTTCAACTTTTACCGCATCGCGGACTATCTCGCGGACAAGAAGAGGAAACTCGTGGACAAGAAGAAGAAATTCGCAGACATCAAGAAGAAACTGGCCTCGGAGAAGTTCACAAGAGAGAAATTCCCAGATCTGGAGTTGGGCATCCGTTGGAAGAGTGGTCGCATTTTATCAATGGAGCTTTGGCAATTCTTAGTTGGACACTCCGCCTCCGGCTGGCTGCCGCTTTACGGCATGAAATACGCATGGATTTTCGGCCGATGGTCCTTTAACCGCAAAATACCGCTGCTGCGACGGTTATGGGAGTTCCGATTGTATCCCTGTGGCGATTATTTCGAAGTGGACTATCCCTTGCGTCGCATGGTAGCCGTGATGGTGGACGCGTGGCGCATGGCGATGGAAATCGAAACGGACCGCGATGAGCCTACGACTCGGATCATTGCAGCTGACCGCGCGTGGTTTCAACAGAACAGTATCAAACGGCATCGTGCGGTAGCAAATAGGTCACGGGGTATGCCTCGGTTGCAACAGGCATCCGGAGCTCTGTTTTGATGAGCGAGAAAGTTTTCGGCAGTTTCTATCGGAAGCGCAGTCGTTACCATGAGCTGGATGTTGAAGAATCACCGTTATGGGGTGCGAAGATGGTTGTATTCACTCAGCGTTGGTTACCCCTGAAGATCTGGTTGCCACGGGAACAGCCTTATCAAGTACCTTGATGTTATATGCAATTCCACAGCCCTACAGGTACTCGCCTAAACAAATAGGTAGATTGGAGAGCAGTTCAATGGCCGTCATTCCTCATCAAGTACATATCGGCCCAGGTCTGTCAAATCAGGCCGTAGCCACTGGAAAGCTTTTGGAAGGTCACAGTTGTGTTGTCAGCATTGGATCTTGTGGTGGCTGACTCTGAGTTGGAAGGTGGAAAACCTAGGGGGGACAAAGAGATGACTGAGGTGGCCATCTCAAGGTTCCGTTGGGGCTACAGTAATTTACAGGGTCTTCAGGGGGCATGGGTGCCTGAAATTGCTCAGGTTACCGCTGTAACCTCAGGCACAAGTGGCGCTTGTGTGCTAGAGGAAGGTGTGGTGCTGTTGGTGGGGCCAGTGAGCCTTTGAGCCGTAGAACTGCAGTGTTAACTTTGTGCCACAAAGCTGAAACCAACACCCTCACCGCTCGTTACCTTCCACTGCAGGTTAATAAATGCAACCACGTCCTCCTCTCCTTCTGCAACAACATGGCTTGACACACTGAAGTTGCAGTCCGGTCTGACTCACTGACCAGGCACCGATTCTCGATTTCTCGATAAATCGTTCTGAGTCATCTCGAAGTGATTCCAGGCTGAATGAAAACCACGTCTACCTCTCTTCCCTTACTACCTGACTGTAGTAGGACAGTCAGGCGAAGCCTGCCTAGGTTTGAAGATGATGGTCGACGGCTCCCTCAACAGCCGGCTTCGCGCTGGAACGCAGCCCCAAGTTGCGGTCATCCTCAAAGAAGCCCTCAAGACGACCGACACAGCCTCATTAACTACCAACCTTCTTTCTGCTGCCGAAACAGGCGCTATACCACCGACCGTCCTCTACATCTACATCGGCCTCAGCAATGACCCTTACACCGTTGCAGCCGCCCTCCGACAGAAGTACAGTACCTCAATTCGACGCGTGGCCATCAGATGCCTAGGGAGGCTGCTAGAGCCCGGACCCAACTTCGCATCCTCATGGACCGCGCTCGGAGGTGCCACGGGCATCGCCGCACTCATGCGCGAGCTCAGTGTGAACGAGGTCGCCTACATTTGCCGCGTCCTTGGCCGATCGCCCACGAATTCAGACCTTGACGCCAGAGCAGAGCAGGAGAGGGCCATGTCTGAGCTGCTTGGTATGCTATACCAGCTTGATCCCGACAACGACGAGGATGAGGACGAGAACATTGCCGCCACTCGTGAACTGAGGCCGCTGAGCCAGCAGTTTCAGTATCTTGTTCAGGCCTGTACGCTCGAGACCCGTGAGCAATGGTACCGGCTAGTCAATCCGAAAGAGCCCGAGGTCAAACCGAGACCTCCTTATCCACGTTACATCGAGCCAGGCCAGGAGGAGAAGCTCGAGGCTTCAGCTGACTTGTCGGCTGGAGATTCCAAGCTGAGCGGCATCGACTGGCTCTTGCGACAGAGTGTTTTGCGCCGAACTCGGATGATCAAAAACTTGCTCGAGCAAATTGCCGAGTGTGATGCGAAAGATTTGAAGATTAAGCCCGGCGTGTTCATGCAGGATATCATTGAACCGCTGGCAAGAAAGACGGCGAAGAAGAAGCTTCCCGCCGGATTACGAGGCAAAGTGTGGGATCTGATTGTTTCGTGCGTCAAGAGATGGCCGCAAGTCGTCGATTCCCTCAATTTCAGCCAGGACGGAGTGCTTGGGCTCGCCATACGCAGATTGAAGTGCGTCCCCACCGAGGAGCGCCGTCTCCATGCTGGACGTGTTCTACAATCTCTGATAGAGCCCATTCCGCCTGCTAAAGTTTCGCGCATCAGCGACTACCGCAGTATCTTGCTTCAGTTTGGCAACCCCGCTCAAAGGTATCAGCTATTCACCTGGCTGCTCCGTCTCAACGGGATCGATCTCGAGTCACCGGGTCATGGCGACAAGGCCAATTTGGAAAAGTTGTTAGAAACAGATTTACCCTCTAATCTCTTCCTGCTATTGCCCTCAGACAAGATGGCGGACTTCTTGAGTCTAGTCGTCGAGGTTCGGCCAGACAAAACCTTCCTCCAGCCCTCGAATGGGTATACCATCTTATCACAGCACGCGGAGCCCGCACGCGTTACTCACGGGGATTTTCCGATCCTGCATTGCATGCTACTCTCACGGTTGAGTCCAGATGACCCTAGGAGGCTAGAGTCAGAAGTCTTCAGTAATGTCGAAAGCACCGTCAAGTCCCGAATACGAAAGTCCAGCCAGAGCCGCGAGTGGTCGGACAGATATTTCTGGGCGAAGTCGGCTCTTTTTCTCTGTACGTACCGAATCAGACTGCCAATCTTCGTGCGTGTATGTTTTGGGAGCCCAAGCATTGTATCTTGAAGTAGCTCCCCTGATACGGTCATGGTTATGGAAGTGCTGGGAGGAACAGACTGGCTAACCTGTTTGGTAGGCATTGCCGTCAAGTCCTACGAACTCTACTCCAAGACGCTTCTCTGGGCTCGGCGTTTCAACAAAGATTCCCACACTTTGAGGTCTTTATTTGATGGGTCAACCATCATGACGTGCGAGGGGTTGGACCTCCTATGCGGCATTCCCCCTAGCTCCGAACTGTCCTTCACACCGGTTGATACAGTCAAACTCCATATCTTGAAGGCAAACCAGATTGTCAACCAGCTTTTCGAGACCGCTTTGGCAGCCCTGCACGAACCTCAATTCAACCCCTCTGACTGGACTTCTCTTGGGAAGCTTCCATCGAGTATCACAAGAGAGAGGCTATGTCACGTCAACGCTTTTCAGGCTTACCACGGCTTGTCTGATGATGAGATCTATAACATCGTTTGGCTACCAACTATTGATATGCTGATCGAAGTCGAGCGGATTGCAATCGAGGAGGATAACTCTCGGCTAGGATTCGAGAGACAAGGCGGCATGCTAGAGAAGTTCACGCCTAGGAAACTCCGAGATCATTCCTGGAAATTCCTCAACAACCTGGCCAAGGCGCGTAACGAATTGTGGCGGCAAAAGCGTGTCGCCAGGTGCCCAGCAGTGCTGACCCTTGCTGACCCTTGGCCGAAAGGGCTACCTGTCCATGCCCTTTGCCCACTTAACTCCTTCGAGGACACCACCCCAAAACTGCCCTACGTGCTCTCAAGAGCCGAGGCAGTGGTGTTTGCTGATTCCAAGACGCTCTTCAGTCCCGCGCCTACAGACGAAGAGACCCTGACCGCCATCGCCGGTTTCGTTGAGGATTACAAGGCTTGCGTCCGGATTTACCTTGACGTCAATTCCCGCCCTCAGGATGAGAATGAGGATATTCGCTGTTCCCGCCTCGCTCAAGTTTGGAGGCATGCCGTTGAGCAATTGAGAGGCGAGGGCTGGTTCGAGGAGGAAACCCGCCTGTTTTGGATACAATGGGTGTTCCGGTCTCTACCGGACCATGGGCAGGAGCTCATCAAGGCAAGACCACGACCCGCAGGGCCCGAGTTCCCAAGAACCGATGACGCCAGGGAACCAATAGAATGGCACCCGGACCCGAAGGCACTCCCGCCCGCTAGAGGGTCGAGGCGTCGTGTTCCTGGCCCCCTTACTTGCTTGGAAGTCATGCTCGGCGGTTTTAAGTACAAAGCGGATCACGATGATGTGCTAGACTGGGCAGACAACTCGAAGCTGAGGTTGGAGCAGCCTAGCGACCCATCATTTTGGGAACCCGAGCGGTACAAACGTCCACTTTCCGGTGAAACGCAGGACGTGTACATCGCGGCCGCGATCCTCTACATCAACAGCAAAGCCGGATCCGACACGTCATTGTTGATGCAACCCTTCCCGGAGGCCGACGAGCCGCGGTTTCCTGCTTTATATTTGGCAGATGAATTCCTTGAGGCCAGCTCGAAAGAACCAGAAATTGCAGTGCGATGTGTCAGACTCCTTGACAAATCCCGAGATAGGGTACCCCCAGAGCTGCTACTTCGCCTTGCTTCCTCGTTGCTCCAGCGGTTAAACTCGACAGATGGGAGGAAAGATGGCCATTCCGATCAGAAGTATTTGACCATGGAGATCATCCGCCTGCTCTCCAAGACGGAACAGCCGTCAATGGCATTCGACCTCATCCGGGATATTGTGCTGGACAAGCAAGATGACAGTTCATGGCACCGCCTTCTCTTTCACCGCGGCTTCCTCTCCCGTCTGCCAGCCGTAGAAGCGAGACAATTTTTGGAGAGCATAGCGGACGCCATCATTGCTCGGCTCCAAGCGGCGCAGTTGCAGACTCACGAGCGTGCGCAAGAAGTCAAATCGCAGCCCCTCATCAAAATCAGCACCGTCAAGATGCTGGCCCAGGTCCTCCGTGGCTCACAGTTCGTCAGCAAAGCTACAGCCTGCGACATCTTGATCAGGATCTTCGAGAATTCGCGCCACATCGATATCAAGATTGCAGTGTTCGAGAGCCTCGCCGAGACGTTCACCACCACGACTGACAGGTCTTTGAGGAGCAAAATCAGGGACTTGCTCCGTTCCCAAGTTGTGCCAATCGCGGCCTCACTAGATGAGCGACATCCGATGACGATCGAGGACTGGGTCAAGGCCGAAGCAGAGACCAAGCTGCCTGAAATCGGGAACACATCCACATTCCAACGGCCTCTCCTCCAGCTTCTCCTCGACACTGGGATTAAGACCGGCCTGGATCGTGACTGGAAACGGGACTGGCAAGCTAACATATTGGAACCTCTTCTTCTCCAGTCCATCGAAAATTGCCGCCGCTGGCTCGTGCTCTTCCAGAAGATGAACTCCCTTAGCCTGCCAGCTGGAGAATCCCTTCCCTCTGTTCCCGTTGTCATCGATATGTACTACCATATCCTCCTTCATTGGCCCGATTTTATTAGTGCCCACATCTTCAATCTCGTTCGTACATTCATCATGGCCGATCTCTTCCCGCCGCCCGGCATCGCCGCCATCACCAGGGCCATTTGCAACGACCGCAGCTTGTCTGCCTCCAACGCAGGCCGGTTTTGGCTGTCTCGGTTCGGGCGCTCCTTCAGTCTTTCCAGAGGCGTAGACACCGTTGCCTCTTTGCTCAACAGGCCCACCAGCTTCTGGGCGAACTGCCCCGCTGATGGTCTCACGGTTCCGCTGCTGAGAGACACCGTCATGCCTATAGCCGAATCCCTGCTTGCTGACGGCAATATCCCTGCTCTTAACTCCCTCGTGCAGTATCTCACCAGACTCCCGGAAGGATACACGTACGAGCGCCTAGAGCGCCTGGACTGCCGCTCCGCGTTCCTGACCAACACCCTTCCCATCCTCCGGCATATTGTTTCCCGCATCGACGCCCTTCGCACGCCTCAATGGCAAGCCGACCCCCACAGACGGCCTCACCGCCTCCCACCTACGCTCCCGTACCGACTACACATGCTCTCCTTCCCATCCACCTCCTTCCACCCGTCATCGTCCCCCGCCCCGGACACGGAGATTAAAACATTCGCGGAGGAACTCATGGTCCTGATCGACGAGCTTACGTCCCGAAGTTTACCGTACCTCGACGACTGGGCTGCGGTCAAAGCGGCCGCCACGCGCAGCCCGGTGCACCGGTCCGACTTTTCAAGAATTGCGCTGGCGCTGGCTGAGGACGTCACGGACGGCGCGCTGCTGGGCGGCCGCGAGACGACCACGGCAGAGTACCTGCGTGTGGGGCTGGCGTTGGATATGGTGCTGGACGCGGAGGATCCAAGGGACGACAAGGTGGTAAGGCGGGTCAGGGACTTGCTTGTGCTGGAGTGGGCGAGGAGTAGAGTCGAGATGCTGAGGGAAAGGGCGAGGAATGTGATCGAAAGGTTGCGAGGCAAGGGTGGTAGGCTTGGGAAGAGTCTGGATGAAATCATGGATGGGCTGGGGGTTGGGAGGGGCTTGAGGCATTGAAGGCCCGGGTGACGGCGACTGAGCAGTGAGGGGTTGGACTTTTGAAGAAGGAGGAGCAGGCTGGCTTGAAGGCACGGGTTCAGGGGAGTATTAGGAAGGGGCAGCTGATTGAGAGAGCGATCGCAGGCATGAGCTCGAGTCTAAGTGAGGTTCTTAGTTCCTTGGAAAATCTGCAGCCTAACCCATCTATGAGCCTATCAATCCAATCCGATTTCTCACACTTGCAGGGGACAGACTCGCTAGAGACTCGCCAAAGCATCAGCGACAACCTCTTGGAGCGTATGCCCCTTCAGCCCAAGCCTGTCATTAAACAACTCTCCCTCCTTTTCAAGATCACCCCCATACCGCCCGGTCACAAACCCGGCCTCAATAAGACCATACGCAGCCGCAACGTCCCCGCCCGCATACGCCGCCTGCAGCTCGGGGATCTTCTTATAGCTGTTCACCCGCTCAACCACAAACTTGTTCCCGGTCTGCCTCTCAATCTCCGCCAACAACTCCTTCTGCGTGACGACCATCTCACTAATCATCACATTCGTATTCTTCGTCTCCTCAGGGATCTTAACCAACGCATTCACCACCGCCAACGCCGTATTCTCCTCAGTCGTAACACTAAACCTCCCCTCGCCCTCATCCCACATCTCAAACTTCTTGTCTCGGACCCGCATACCCAGGAAATTATTCCGCATCGACCACCCAATCCACATACCACAGCTGATGCTGGTCCACTCAATCAGCCCCTTGTCTGCCGCCTCGCGGAGATGGGCTTGCACGGCACCCTTGGCGCCAAAGACCGGCGGGCAAAGAGATTGTGCGTCGGCGCGCATGTTGTTGAGGCCGTATTCGCTGGGGAGGTAGCGGCGGACTCCGGCGGAGATGGCGGCGGAGATGAAACGGAGTTGGTCGCGCGTGGAAAGGGTCGTGAGGCAGCTGATGATGGCGTCCTGGCCGGTGAAGGCGGGGATGAGCGAGGCGGTGGGGTAGGTGTCTGGGACGGTTATGGTGGTGACATTGGGGGGGTTGGTAGAGGAGGAGGAGGATTCGCGGCGGAGGATGGTGACAGAGAGGGTTGGTTCGGCGAGAAGAGCGCGGAGGATTACCGAGCCGATTGAGCCGGTTGCGCCGATTAGGAGGACTTTGCGGAAGGGGGACTCGGAGGGCATCTTGGTGGTTCAGTCTCGTTGCTCTGAATTAGAGTGAGTGAGGTGGGTATTGCTGAGTTGGCGCTTGAATAGTTCAAGTTGAGGTTTGGGGCGTAAGTGTTGGACGGAGCCTGAGTGTTTGGCTGACGGTCAGGGGAAAATGGGGAATTGGATCTGATGTTGTATAGAACTCATGAATGAGACTGGCGCTTGGAAGCATATTTATACATCGTCTAAGTTTCGAGATACCTCATTATCAAACTTGTATCGTATCATATAGTAGTAGAGTGGTACTTTCAGTCATTTGATGGACGGTGAGAGAAATGTACACAAATCAGGTGTTGAGTAATCAGGGCCCATATAACGGATTAATATGTTCAGTAAACAAGAATGTGGAACTCGGATGCAGCATTCTAGGATCCTAGGTGCATACATGGTAGTACTCTGTCTGAGACACATGAGTAAGCGCATGTAGGGTGAGTAAGTGTTGTGGATACGTACTAATGAGGTAATCAACACATAGAGCAGCGGGCTATACATTTTCCACACAGGAGATCTTCTCTTTACGTATTCGGGTTGGCATCTGAAGCAGGACATTGATGGAATATACTAGCAGCTCGCTCACTCTTGAGATTGACCCTTCCTATTACTAGCACTTTAAGCATTTGTGTCGATGCTTATCTGGGCAAGGGGTAATGGTTGACGAATGACAGCGGTCCGAACAAGAAGAGGGATCATCATCTAGATTTGAGCTTATAAGCTGAGAACTAGGTCCGTTGAGGGACTGCTAGCATTGGCTCTAGCTAAGTACTAGGCTAGGAAGAGCAAAGACAGGTGGAAATGAAAACCAATGCGCATAAGCCAAACAAGAGGTCCTCGTGTACCCAGTGAGCTGCTGCCTCCTGCTCTGGTAGCCGCTGTGGAGCCGTGAGAACCACCAGATCTAGGCGTTGGGGTCAGGAATCAGCGTCAGCTTCTTCGAGGTCCAGACCTCATTCTTGGCGGGTGGAACCGGCAGCGACATGTATGCGGCATACAGAACATGATCCTCGCTTTCCTGAAAGATGACCATCGGGCGTCCTGAGTGAGCCGTGGCGTCAAGCAAAGCATGATTATCTATCGGGACTCGGTGGTCATTGACATGGAGTGCCCCGGGATACCACGTCAAGATGGTAGTGCGAGGGTCGATCGTGCAGCACGTCTCGCACAAGAAAAATCGGTCGGCTTTTTTTGGGTCGGCTTTTTTCTCCTCCTTCTTGATATAATAAATGCGGATCTGTCCGGGTTGGTAGGAAACGTCAGCTAGATCGTCATTCCTCGTAGCGGAAATGGTGAATAGACAAATACAGGAAGATTCGTTTTGGGGGGCGAGGGGCAAGACGGATATACAGCTGATAAAATTGGAGATAAAGGAATGATACTAGTACAAGAGAGGTACAGGTGAGCTCACTTGTTTGCCGTTATCGTAAGTAGTAGCGCCAATGAACCTGGAAGCAGTCTTGATGGCTTGACCGCCCTCAGTGATAATCCCGGATGTTGCTGGCTGTTTGTAGACGGTGGTCTCCCCTCCACCCTCGTAGCAGGCAATGTGGTAGTTCTTGTCCACAAAGAAGATGAATTTGCGGGTTGACTCAGGCTTGTCATCCTTGCCGTGGATCTCGACGGCACAAATACACTGCGAGGGAACCCGTTCCATGCTGGAAAAGGGGGCAGGCAGGGCTGCTAAGTGGTCGTAGTTGAACTGGAAGTAGCTGGATAGGAAGGATACGGGAGGTGGAGATGAACTGGAAGTGTATGTCCGCCAGCTCACAGGAAGAAGAGGAGATGACTGGAGGTCCCTTATGTATCCGAACGGGCAACTCAATGCCCGCGGAGTCGGTGCATCTGCCGTGCTTTTGCACCCACAGCTCACCGGATGAGAAAGTGCATATGGTTCAAGTTCAAGCAGTGAGTTTCTGAGCGCGTCAAGCGGTTGGACTCCAAGATTGGAGAATAGACATGTGGAGTATGCCGGCATAGTGCTGGCGAAACGTGGCGCCCCTGATGCACTCACCACATGGGGATAACAAAACCCATCACTCTTTGGCATTTTGAGAGACTGAGTGTTCTAGACTTCTCAAAATTAGCATTATTGTCAAACCATTGGATGGTCCCGCGGGTAGGTATGCATCCGCACACGTACTAGTAGAGGCATGTCAACAGAGCCTGCAGGGTGTTTTAGCAGGCGAGTGGCTCGAGCCGTTGCGCCTTCGCAGGTAATCTGAGTAGCGACATCTATGTCTAGATTGTGTCAATATCCCAGCCCTATCACTAGAACCAATGATGATGTTTTATAGTGATATCTGCGGCTGCATGTGATTCGAAGAGCATATGCATCCGAAAATTGCCTCGTGGGCGTTGTCTAGACCATTGGACCGAGAACCAGTCGCCTATGACGACCAATTCAGGCCGGGTGGCGTCAACAAACGGCAAAGACACATACACAGAAAGAGAGAAAGACTGGATTTAGATATGAGGCCGGGCAGTCCATCCCGCACCGAACGCCGTGGCCTCGCAGGATGGGAATGTGCATTGCCAGTCCATATCCTCGCACAGCAATTCTAGTGGTGAGTGACACCCCGACGGCAGGCATAGAGGCGGTCTCAACTTACCGCCACAATCTTGATCCTTGACAGCAGTGATACGGTCTCGGGAAGGGAAGTTCTGGTACGGGGGTGAGGGAAGGGCAAAAGACACACCGCGATGCAAGTTCGGTTTATCATGGCCTTAATCTTTCTCATCCATTATGCCAAAGAAAACGACATTTCTGTAACTGATCCACGGCTCGGGACAGGTGCAAAGACCCAACAAAGACGAAACCACAACCATGCGCTCTCTACTAGCCAGCCGGTCAGCCTACTCAAGATAGAGACAACTAGGTAGTCAAGCCAACCGGAAGCCCGCCCTTCCAAACCTAACAAGAGGTGGTGGCTGCAGTAACTCCAGCCCCGGCACCGTGACCGGGCTCCGTTCGGCCTTGACCCGGAGCCTCTCGCCTAGAGACCACGAGCATGGGTGTGTAGGAGGCCTCTACTTTCACCCCGAACAACCACTGGCCCAGCCAAACTCAGAGTATTGCACGCTCCTTGTCACAGAAAACGCGGCTATTTGGCTAGAACCCCTGGGTCAATAGTGTGGCGCTGGGGTCTCTGAGTTGCAGCAGTCCCCTTGGGCGGGCTGAGTGTGACCAGGAAGGCCATAGCGGGCCTAGAACGTAAGAAACCCAAAGCATGTAAGAGGGGGTTCGGGAGCTACTGTATGAAAGCACTGTTGACTAGGGAAATAGGTAGTATTTGTACATTACCCCTGATAATCTGGTCACCATGGCAACGCTCACACCACCTAACGAGGTGAGCAATAATGATACCAGTAGGTAGGTGGGTATGAATTATTGTGGAGAGAAGAAGGAGTAGAGTACATCTAGACCTAAAATGGATGGGAGAGCGAGGTTCTTACCGGTACTATTCTTCACACCGTTCTCCCAGCCGGTACCCCTGGGCCGGACTCCCAAGACATTATTGAGTCGGTATTCGATAGAGGAAGTCATGACTCCTTCGATCTGTTTCAGCTCTTCTCCCCAGACTATTGCACCCCTACAGCATCAAGCTTTGCCATAGCCTTCTTGATCTCGTCTCTTACTGACCAGCCGTAGAGCTCAGCGTTCACATCTCCGATTAACATTTTCCCTAGGAGCTATCCGTCAGTTCATGTTGACAGCTCAACCAGTCAACTCTTAAGAACAAAAGCTATGATACTTACCGATAGAAGAGACATGATTCAGCAGCCAGAGAAAGCAGTACATGCTGTACTCCTCAACCACGCTCATCTTCCTCTTCCCACGGTCCAGCTTCCTCCCTCGCTCGGCAATCTTCGCGACACGAGGTTGCCGTATTTCATAGAACATCTTCAGCGTCTGAGCAACCGCGTCTCTCTCCTTGCCCACCCTCAGACCATCATCCAATCCTCCGTCGCCCCCTGACGAGTCATCACCATATGCCCTCCTCAGCATCTCAGCAAGCAGCAACGACAGCGTCTGTGCATCTTCCAGCGCCTGGGATGCACCTTGGCCCGTAGTAGGGCTCAGGGCATGCGCTGCGTCACCAACCAAGACAATGCCCTTCTCTCCCCAATGAGGCAGGTCCGGAAGCACCCAGGTCGGGTAGATACTGTCCACTTCGGCCTTGGAAACGATGTCCCGTATCACCGGGTCCGCCCAGTCCCCGTGGCGTTCTCGCATGCTTGCCTTGATCTCGTCAAGGTTGAGGTCCGTTTTTGAGGGGAGTGAGTCCGTTTCAAACGTTGACCACCACAAGAGTGCGTTGGCTGACGCGGGCGATGCGCTCGCATATCCAAAGAACCCCGTCCGGCCAAAGGTGAAGACCATGGCTTTGTTGTCTGCCACGCGAGGAGGCAGGGGGGCGTTCATGACCCCTCCTATACCGGACGCGCCTCTGCAACGTGAGCGAGTCAGCCTGATCCCCACCACCCCAAGAGAAGGAATTGTAAGAGACTCACGTATACACCGGACTCAACTCCCCCGCCGAGTCCCCAAACAGCGCTTGTCTAACGGTACTCTTGACTCCATCCGCCCCAATAAGCAGATCACACTCCTCCTCCCCGCCATCCTCAAAAACCACCCGCCACCTCCCCCCATCCCCCTCCCTCACTCCGGATAGCTTCCTATACCGCATCACCCCAGCCGGTACAGCACCCATCAAACACGCCCAGAGACCATGCCTCGTTGAGCTGACGCAAACCTCACTTTCCCCCCCTTCCAACTTCACAGACCCCTCGTCACTAGTCTTAACCATCCCCAACCTCCACCCATTCTGGCCCATAAAAATGAAATGCTCGCACGGAAACCCCTGCGCAGCCACAGCGGCGTGGATCGCCGGGTCCAGATCCCGCAGCACACGCATCCCGTTGGGCGATACCCCCAAACCGCCGCCCACAATGGCAGTTGAAGTAGACAGGGTCTCAAAGGAGTGTGCTGCGTCAGTGGGGATGCGGGTGTTGTTGGCACGGGGCTTGTGGGATTCGTAGATGTGGATGATGTGTGCTGGGCCGCCGGAGGGCGGGGCGGGCAGGTGCTTGCGCAGGTAGAGGTAGGTGGCGAGGCCGGAGATGCCGCCGCCGATGATGATGATTTTCATTGTGGGGTTTGTTTGTTGTATGGTGAAAGAGACTGACAGTATGCAGTGGCTGAGCTGCCTGTGTTTGGTCAGAGGAAGTAGCTGTTGTTAGTGGTATGTACTGGATTTCTATCCGATATGGTCGGGACTCGGAATTCGGGAGATGGCGAGTTCAAAGTTTGGATACCCTGGTGTTGTTAAGTAAGGGTGCGGATGGTGATATGTGATGCTTAAAGTGGAAGCAGACGCGTCAGCGTATTCGCATGCCCTAGGTTTAGCTAAGAGGTTATTCCTGTTTCGTCAACCTTTTATTGACGATATTGACGGCCACCGTAAGCAAGCAGGCCTAATTAGCCCGTGCCTGGGGTGCCAAGTCCCTGACTCACTCCCAGAATCCAGCAAATTTCGCTTCATCTCCTTGAATTAGCGTCAGAAAGCACAAAAATGATCACGGTTTTCCGCTCTTCTTCGCATTGGATGCGCCTGAACGTAGGTAGTACTACTTACCACCTAGTAAGCTCTCCCAGAACTTCCATGACGGCGACGCAGTTCAATATTGGTCCCCTTGTAGGCTCTTGGAGGGGTTGATGTATTTCCCATCGGGCTCTTATGAGAGACAAGCTTTTTGTTTGTGCACAAATTCTTCGGCTTGCTTTATTCTGTTTTGGTTTCGATTGAACTCTTGGAAGTTGGGAACTTGAGGCATTATACAATGTTGAACTCCTGTAAATTCACACTGCGATCACCCTTCCACGCTTCCCCGGACCTAAGGCCGATAACGTGGCACATTGAGACAAGGGTATAGCGGTCGCTCCCGTCGGCGGCCTTTCGCAAGATCACAGGCATGGAGCACGACCCGATCACCGTTACAACATCACCTTGCTGCACGCCCCGTAACCCATACCCTATGTACCCGGTCTCAGTGTGAAAGGGAACCGTCAAGTCGCTCTGAACAAAGGGAAATTGCCCCAATCTCTGGGAGAGAACCTGTGGATCATAGGCAGCACTCGCGGCTCGGATGACATCTTCTGTCCGAGGAGATTCAGTGCGTAGCGGGTCGAGAACGCTAGAGAGGGTGTCCTTGACTTTGCATTCGTCGACAGGATCCCGATCGAGCCACAGCTGTGCCATGTCTTGCCCGACCGAGGGGTCCGACGAGATCAGAGAATCGACCAACATGGGAAGCGTTTCTGGCCTAATAACCGAGTGGGGTGCGGTCGAAAACATGCCAAACCGCGTGAAAATGTCATCGCCTATCAAGCGTAGCACAGCTTGCAACAGGGGAGTTCCCGTCCGGTAGAGGAGCTGGCCGCCTGGCTCAGTCAACGTCTCACTCAGAATCGTCCGAGCATTGCGACGGAGAAGAAACTGAGCAACGCCGGCGGTGCGAGAGCGCGTCCACTCATTGTTGGGAGGAAAAGTAGCCTCGGGCCCAGACTCTGCTGGCATCACGTCGCTGACCACGTCGACGGTTACGCCCCAGAGTCGAAGAAGATTGCCGTTGATGGTGACCTGCTTGGCGGTGGATGGCGCGTTCAGGTTTGCGGAAGCTCCCAGACGGAACGGATGGAAGTACCGGGGAGAAGTGTAGTTGGGAACCCACGAGGGCAAGCCGAACTTTGAGTCCAGCTGGCCGTTGACGACGAAGCCAAAAATGAAGTAGAGATCGTCAGACTTGGAAACGATGTCCGAGGCAAATCTCGTGTATACCGTGGCGACAGAAACTGCATAGTCGACCTCGATACCAATGTCAATGATGCCGGCGAGGCCGTAAAGCTTGTCTCTCGGGTCGTAGCAGCCCCTTGCCACGGTCCGAGCGACAGCGGCATTGCGCAACTTATCCTCCGTCAAGTTTCTGGCTCGCAGGTCTTGGCGAGTCTGCGAAACATCGGTGGTCCAGTAGGCAGTCACGTCAAAGTATAGCTCCGAGATAAAGTTCCAAACGTCCGTCGACACTCCGTCGGGAGTCTTTCCCCGCCGGATTAGGGTCTCTCTGGGTTCGGTGTGGACCCAATGCAAGATTTCCTCCAGGTCCTGAAAGTAGCATGTGCAGGCACCAGCAATCAGTCTTGCCGCCGGCGCGAGAACGACTTCCTGGAACGTCCAGAGACGCGTCCAGTAGACTCTGTCGTATAGAACCGGCGTCCGCAGGAGGGGTATGTTGTTGAGACGGCTAATCAGAACGGAGTAGACAGGGTCCTTGAGCGGCGTCAGCGGTGGATCTTCACCCAGCATATCCGGGTCCTTCAGATCCTGAGCGAGGGCGTTGATGAGGTGGAATGTTGCAGCGTCCAACGCGTCTGCTTCGGGGCCGAGAAAACAGAGTGCCTCCCAGGCACAGGTATAAATCATGCCCATGAAGCGGACCTGGGCGTTGCGCTCGGGGATATCGCACTGGTTGATGCAAATGGCATCGACCCAGATGGGGTAGCTGGCCAATTCGGAGGTTGAATACCATTGAAGGGCGGCGACGAGGTTAGCGGTGGCCTGAAATGGGAGTCCATTGACCTCGATGGTCTCTGTGATGGTTGCATCTCCCCATACGTAAGACAGGGCAAAGTAGCCATTCGTAGCGGCATCCTCGAAAGGGACTGCCCGGAGCCGACAGCTGATCTTGAACTTTCCCGTCGATTGCTCGAGGGTTATCAAGCGGATGCTGTGGGGTTCCTTATCCGTCGATGCCGGAAGGGAAAGTGCGCTGTAAAGCTCAGCGGCGATGCGAAAGTTGGGACTGTTTTCCATGATAAATTATGAGGACTCTAAATGTGCCCGGTGATGCCTGCCTGTGTGCAACAGTTGTTGAGTCACTCAGTCGGGTAGGACTCGAGCTGGGGAAAGGGCTACGCTGCTACTTGGGGGCCAAATCCATCAGGGTTAGGGGTATGGTGCGTTGTGCCAAAAGGGGTCACTGTTCGTGTTCAAGAAACAAACCGGTGATTTTCCGTGACAGTGACCTGCTCGATAGCACGTGCCGGTTGCTTTGCCTGCGCTATATCAAGTTCCATGGCTGCAGGTGAGGTTACCTACGGCTACCGTAGGTATCGCACCTAGGCACAATATGTACAAGTACGTTCACACCTTGGGGATTGAACTTATTTCGCGGAGGGAGGAAGGAGGATTGAGGTTGTTCTCGGAAAATTAGGTCATGGTTGGTCTGAAATCTGCCTTGAGTTTGTACCTACGTCGGAATAGGCTAGACGGTGCGGCTGAAATGCAAAGACGGAACTTGAAGGGAAGCGTCGCTGGTGTCACGGGGTTCAGCCGGTGCTGCCTTCCACCTCCAGTTTACCTACTGTACCTCCCGACAGTACTGTGCCTTCCTTACTTCGCATCGATCTCCTTGCAAAGTGACTTGAACCACTCACTCATTTTTAACAAAACAGAATGAAATCATCCGGGTTTTCCAGTTGCATTCCAAAGACGATAGCCGAGACCATGGAGAATGCAAGCAAGCCAAACTCCTGGAGAAACCCTCGGACCGACCCTAAAGTCCTCTTCGGGCCCTTCGTCAACTCTCCCGCAACGCAGATGTTTCTAGAGTCATTCAAGACGGGTTTCGTTCGGTGGTGTGTTTCCGCGCTTATAGACCGCTTCCTCACAACCCCTTACAAGCTCGAAGCTGTCTTGGTTCTTTTCTACGGCAAGCTGTTTGGCCGAGACAAAAACCTCACGATATCCCAGTCATTTTTAACTATTGCTCAAGCCTCGTTCATTTTTATTCCATGGGTCTGGCTTTTCGACTTCTCCCAAGGGCGGGAGGCCCGCGATTACTGCACGGTGTTGTCTCTGATCTTTGGGGGTGTTCATCGGCCCATTGTCAGCTACATGGCCTTCCGGAACACGGACGAGGAAAATCTTGGTGATTTCGTGAAGGGAGTCGTACCTACCGCATCCTTCATCGCCATCGACATTGTGTTTCTGGTTCTGCGAGCAGTCTGGCGCCATTTCAGGTTCATGTTCGGTTTCATTACCGCAGGGACTGTGATCTGGTGGTCATTAGGGGCCGTTTCCGGTGTTCTACCGGCGTTTGATCCTCGACAGATTGTGAGGCGTGGGATATGGGGCCTTTCATCTGGAGCAGCAAGATTGGGTTTCCGAATTTACGATATAGTGGTCGGCGGTACGCGAAACGCCAACAGCGCCATCGAGGCCTGGGAGATGCGGCGGGCAGCTTCGAAAATGTCAGCTCTGCCCGAGTATGCTTATTCACCTCTGGATGCGGCAAATCATGAGTTCCGCATCTTGCGACTACGGCGCAGGACGTTGCGAGCTGAGCTGGTTTGCGACTTCATCCAAGTACCCGTGGATGAAGCTCCACCGTTTGAGGCCATCTCATACGCCTGGGGCGGAGAACAGTTGACTGAAGCCATCATGGTAGACGGCAAACGGCTTACCGTTACCCCGACGGTGCTAAAACTACTATGGTATAGGCGATCTTTCTTCAGCGAGGCCTATCTCTGGATTGACGCCCTTTGTATTGATCAGCGCAACCAGGTCGAGAAGGAGGACCAGATCCCACTCATGCGAGATATCTACAAGAGAGCGTCCCGTACCCTTGTCTGGTTGGCCCATCCATGTGACGCGCCCCGTGCTCACAAAGCACGGGGCCTTTCCATGAATATTATCTCTTTGGGGACAAGAATGGAGTCAGGCGCCTTGTCGGCTGATCAGGTTCTCTACATGCTCAGCAGCGATTCCGGCATGCCAACGCTGGCGTCCCTGCTTTCCCGGACCTTCTTTGAGAGGCTATGGGTGGTACAGGAGATTGCCCTGGCCAAAAAGGTGCATGTCCTGTACGGGGACATTACGGTGGAGTGGGACAACCTTGCCACCGTCGCCAAATTTTTGGGTGACCCGCGGCTGATGGGCAGCCTGAGAGGTGGTGACGGCAGCCTGAAAGGGGTTGACGAGTGGCCATTGCGTATGGAGGAAATGATGAGGGCTATACGGAACGTCGCAAACATTGTCAGCATCAACATGCTGCGCCGGGCTCAGGTTTACGACATGCTGCTGCTGAGCCTCAGCCAGGCCATGGCTTACGCCCTGTCAAATTTCCGGACAACAATACCACACGACAGGATCTTCGGTGCTCTCAGCCTCGTGTCGGATGGCGCTGTCTTGGTTGGCCGCCCAAACTATGAAGAACCTGTACGCGACCTATACACTCGTGTCGCCCGACGAATTATCGACTGCGACTCATCGTTTTCTGTTCTTGAGCTTGCCGGAACCGGGTACGGGAAGCGCATTGATGGACTTCCTTCCTGGGTTCCAGACTTGACCAGGGGGAATCAAGGAAAGCGTGTCTCGTTGTCAGCCTCGTCCTTCTTCAGGAATCGCCGCGTTTCCCCCAACTCTGTACCAGCCGACTCGTCCTTGGATTACAACGGCAGCTTCACGCTCGATATGGAATTACGGATTGAGGGCATCGTATTTGACGCGATAAGCCATATTCAGGATGCAACTTGCATGTCACTAGCGCTATACAGCGACTTTGGACTCAGCGATGATACCGCAGACGACTTCATCGACCAGCTCTGCAACTGGTATGAGGAAGCACGAGCTCTTGCATCAAACGACAGCAAGACTCGCAGTCTCTACGGATCTAGACTGCAAGCAGAGTTCTTCAACGCTCTCATGAGCTGTGCGGCATACAGTAACTCAGTCGGCAGTGGACTGACGGTTGACTTGCTCGAAAATGCTCTACAGGCAGCTAAACAGTCATACCAGGACCCGTCGTTCAACTACAGTCTTCACTTAAAGAAGCTCCAAAGCGAGAGGGGCCTCAGTGAGGCAGAAGTGCACGCTTTGCTGTCGGGCTTTAACCAGGTCTTGTCCGCAATGGGCGAATCCGCTGGAGGCAAGCGGTTCGCGACTCTAGCATCAGGACGGATGGCTCTGGTGCCCCCGGGATCACGACCTGGCGATACCATCTGTTACATCCGGGATACGTCTGTTCCGTTTGTGATCAGACCGGCTGCAGGCAAGGGTTATTATGAGCTTGTTGGAAGTTGCTATGTGCATGGAGTCGAAGATGAATGTACGAAGGATGAGGGCTGGGAGGGTATGACTCTTGTTTGAGCTTACTAGGGACGGACCGATCAAAGGCACTGCAATTGCCTTAGTTTGTGGAGATAGAGAGGTACCCTGGCTGTCAGGAGTAGGAGTACCTGTCAGGATATGAGACATATGGCGGAGATAGTCCCATACATAGTATAACCAAAGTACTATAGAACTCTCATGGAAATTCAAGACGCTCAAAGAGTCAAGAGGATTCACCCTGGCCGACCCCATGATCCGCATCAATGATGAGCTCGATGCGACATCTCAGCTATCAATCTGCTGTGACACAACTCACACAGAAAGGGCAGTTCAGTCCTCGGCCTACTGGACGGATTCCTCACGCACCTTCATTTGGCGCCTCATGCCCAACATTATCCCTGGATCTCACCACTCAGAACCGGCATGCCATTGAGGGGCTCACGCAGAGCATATCGAGTACCTCACACAATGGATGAGCGTTATCTCTTCCACCTTCGCAAGCGAAACAGCTGGGTCCGAATCACCAGACTACGCCATTATGGTTAAGATTCAGGGGCGAGACCACAAGCCATTACTCACAGAGTCGATTTAGAGTATAGTACTTGGAGGACTAGGGATTCATATGACTGTGTTTATCTTACATGTCTTCAGACCGTCTCTCAGATGATCCTTGAGGTAGCTACTCAAGGCTGAATACAACAGTCTTCGTAGGTACCCCAGAACCTTGTTCTTCATCAGCAACTGCCACAAATGCTTCGCCCCGCAACTGGACGATCTCGGCTCCAAAGATGATAACCATCCTGATTAGTAAGGTAGGCGCTGTAAAAGTTTGTGATTCCCACGGGTAATCACACTGTTACCAGCCTCGCAGGGACCTTGGATCGTTAAGGGGATGAGCTTGGAAACGGGTTGGGGTACCTAGGTATCTACCCAGACACCATGATGGAATCACCTGTAAGTACTACTTACTAGTAGTTGATGTAAAAAGGAAAATAAATAAAGAAATTGTTCAAGTTGGATAGGCATCAACCTGGAAGGCAGCTCGAGTCAAGTACAAGAAGCTGTATGCACCTTGCCCAGGATCGTGTCAGATACCTAACGTAGTAAACACCCACGCCCTCTGTGGACGAAGGTCCCGGCCCGGCTTGATTCACAAATAGAATCCATCAAGACCAAGATGGAGTTACCCAGGTCAGATCAAACTACCCAAGGTATATAGATCAGGTCCACCTTCCTACTTTCACCCCCCACTGGGTAGAGTGAAGTGGCAAAATGGTACCGGAAAGCACTCCCCAACCCCGCCGTCCCCCTAATGATCCCTCAGCTTCCCAGTTCGATTCGTCCTAGAAGCCAAGCTTGGTGTGTCAACAGCATCAACATCACCTGCAACAGCTCCAGCTCCAGCAACATAGCATCAACCAAGATCTCTGCCACGGGCGAACGGCCCTCAAAATCTCGCCAGAGAGGGTGACTGGTTCATGGCCCAGCTGGGGTAGCTGGGTGTCGATCGTCACCGTACACTTCGTCAGATCGGAATGTCGGACCAGGTCAGACTCCTGGTTGTCCTGGCAATGGCGATGCAGCATCAAGCGCGAGCTTGAACTCAAGTTCGAGGAAGAAACTCAGGCTGTGATCGAGCTCGGAGAAGACGTTACCAAACCCGAGGGAAATGTTGTCATCAAGCTCCTCGCCAGAGAGGGTGACTGGTTCTGGGTGCTGAAGAGAGTGTCTTGTCGTGATCGCTCCAGGACGAACTGGGAGCCCTTCCCACTTCTCCAAAAGGATTTGGGTGCCGTCGAACTTGGCGAGGAGTACAATCTTGATCTGGTGGTTCGACATGGAAAACCACCGTCGCGTATCTAGAGGGAATTCCTACAGTGTCTCAGACACTCCTGCCTCGATCACAAGTGTCGGCTGCTACCTTGAAATACAAAGTCTGGAACTCCTCCAGTCGGCTTCACCACCATATTGTGTATCTCGTACCGAAGAGCTTTCAGTTAAGACGAGTTTGCATTGAGAGATGCCTGTTTTCAGGCCCTGAAATTTGTGGGAGGTGGCTCTTGCCCTTGGCCGCTTTGTTGACATGGCATGCGGAACACTCCTTCCATTTCTGCCTCGATGCCTACATTATGTACCTCAGCACACTTTTTTTTTGCGAAATTGTGAAATCTTGTGAAAGCCCAGAATTTAGTAATGGCCGGCTGTTCAAACTCTGAACGTGAAATTGAACTGTTATCATCCCACTCCATGGAGATGCCGCGTGTTTTCAGTTCTTTGCCTTCACCTCGCTGGTTTGTTACGTATAACAGTTTTCAGTATTAGAAGTTTCTCTGGAAAAGTCTTGGGCAATGGAATAACACATTACCAACATCGAACATCATTTCTGTTCTTCTACAGCTTGGAATCGTTGCCTTGTTGCTCACTGTACCGGTGATTGGTGAGTAAACTCCTTGCATTCCAGTCTCGATCTCCCTAACAAGGAGGTTCAAGGTCTGAGAGTCCCACTCATTTCGAAGAGAGTCCGACTCATTTTGAAGAGAGTCGAGCGCCAACCTCCTATTTTTCTCTTAGTTAACCACATTCTGTCACGCCCGTCGTTTCATGGCGAAGCGACTCGATTTCGCTCGACTCTCCGCAGTCGCTCAATGTCGCCCAGAATCGTCGCCTTCTCGACATCCCTCATCGCCCGGTCATAACAACAACTATCAAATCTATCACCAAAAGTGGCTGGAAATGATGGATCAGAGTGTAGCAACTCCATCTCATGTGCGGAATGCGCTGTTGACTGAAAATGGCCCGCTCACGCCTCCAAATACTGCGACCGCCCGCCCACCGCCACTCGGAGCAGGCGCGGGAGATGCTCGAATTTCGATTTCCACTTTGAGGAGGGTTAGCAGTGGCCGTGGCGATCTCTCAGTATGTCGCTGGACTTCACTGGATATGCGATTTTGGGCCGTGCTAATCGCTTGCTGTAGTCACAAGAACCTTGCGACCAGCCCGAGAACGCGCCTCATGTTTACATGAGCGAGTCTAGCGATTCCGAACAGACCATTGTCCTGCCGGCCAAGAAGAGAAAAGAGCAGCAAATGACTGCTGATTTTAGAAGCAACACCGAGAATGGAGATGGCGGCAGAGCCAACGGCGCGATGTTTACGCTCGCAGGCGTGGAGGATCCGTTTGGCCCCGACAATGTGGTCAGCTTTTCGCGTCCAGTCGGCCAGCCTTTTTCACCCAGAGATGCCTCTGACACTCACCTCCAGCTTGCTGGTCCGAAAAGACCTGCATCTATGATCGCTGACGGCTTGGCTGAGCGCCAGCAGGGTGGGAACAAACAAGTCGCTGGCCCATCAGCGAATGCGATCCAGCCTGCCACTTCCAAGAAGGCCAAAAAGGGAGGTTGTATCTACATGCCAAGCCCAACCTCTCAACATCCTCACACAGCTCGGCCTGGAGACCTGCAAGGCTTCCTGCCGTCCCAAATGGTGAACGGCTCTTCGCCACTTCCTGCAAATAACAAGTTCGCATCCAGACCCGGACAAGACTCAGGCTCGCCGAACAAGCGACGAGAGCAAGCTCCCGACCAAAAGAACTCCTTTCCAAACAAACATCATGTGGTGAGTCGGATCTTTCATCGCATCCTTGGAAGTTCCTAGGGTTTTGGCTCGGACGTGTCGCCGCGGCGTCGCTCCCCCAAAGGACACAGTCTCGAAGTCATACTAACGTTTCTTTCGTCACAGAGAAATCCTGAGCAAAACCTTCGCTCACCGGCGGATCTGGAGGACTCGGAAGAGCACTCAGCAGTTACGGACAAGGCCCGCGAGGCAATCCAGCGACGAGCAAAACAGGGCACCCTCTTCGCCACCATGCTGGCGCGTTCAAACGCATACACCACCATGCTCAAAGAAGCCGATGTCGACACATCCCACCACCTGAAACCCCCGAAATCCCCGTTCCGCACGACCAACGACCCCTTCATGGGCGCCCCAGACCCTTACATCCGTCCCGGAGGAGGCGTCGACTATATGAATACTGCGAAGAAATGCAGCCCGATCAAGGATATCTATGTTCCCCCCGCGCTTCCTGCGACGACCTACACTGGCTTTAGGTTTGGGGATCTGATGCCTAGCGCCTCGTCTGAGGCGATGAACGCCGGGCTTCGGGAGCGGAACCCCCACCTTCGCTGGGTTAATAGGGGCAGAGAGCGATATCTTGTTGATACTACCCCGTATCGGTGGCTCGGTACGGTGAAGGACACGGATTCTTCTAGGTGGGGTACGGATGACTCTGCGGAGTCTGGTGAGGCGGGCGGCGAGCCTGGTGACAGACACGACTTCGATGGCGACGTTGCTGAGGTTGTGGGTGGTGTTGATGATGGAGAGGGAGAGGGTCAGAGTGGCGGTGATGGCCATGACGGTGTCACTGTTGAGGCTTAGATGGCAGCTCAAGTGAGGGCGGTGGTGTCATCGTTTAGCGGAGCTGAATATGTTGGTTGTAAGCACGGCGGGTGATGCTGGGAACGTCTTGGAGGAAACGAGCGGAACTGTCATGTTGTGGATACCAGGGGCAGCGGAATTCAGGTTCTTGGACCTCGTACATCTAGCGTCATTCACCCATTCTTCTTGTTCAGAACAGGAGTTTGGCAGCGGACTCGGGAGTTTGGTCAGCGATACCCAGGACAGCGATTGGCTTTGATAGTGTCAGAACCAGCGCAGATGAACAAGAGAAAAGTATATCAAGACCATGGAACATCTACTGATAGTGATAGTGATCCTGAGCCAGGCCGGAACAAATCGGGATTAATCGGGTATGTATATTGAGCAGCATCGGGGCGGCGAAGCCAAGGTGTGGTCTGCCGAGCCAAGGTCACGGACCATGGGTTTCCGGGCCGGAACCACAGAAACCGGATGGCGCCCTGGCCGGAAAATATCAAGACAATAACATCTCATCATGGCGATTTTGCTCGCGATCTGGAGATTACAAACCCCGTACAACTCGGAAATTCCAACGGCCGGGACTGTATGCGAAAGAATTGGTGCGGGAATATTGAGGTTGACTCCTGGATGAGGTTCAGCATGCTGCAACATTTAGTGATCGTCCTAAGTTCGTGGCAAAGGGCGATCTCATTAATGCCGTGTGAGCTTCATGTGGCGCCGAACTCCTTTTGGGCTCTTGGGAGGCCTTTGATCGACGCTGAGTCTCCTAATCCAGGCTTAGGGCCGGCAGTCCGTCCGCCAACTCGAAAGTCGAAACCAAGTTCTGAACGAACAGCGCTTGGAGTCTGGAACGTGGTGAGATCAAGCAGCGTGGATCTGGTGGGGTTGTTAGAGATAAGATAAGAGAATGGGACCCACCCGAATGAAGGTCCGCAACTTCCCGTCGCTGGCGGCTGGACTCGTTCAAGGCAGAACCTAACCAACCGGGTTCTTGTTCCTGGAAGTGCCCTGGGATCACAACGGACGGACATTTTACTCGGACGAGAAAAGTTCGAGCCTCGTGCAAGTCATTTTCCGAAGCTTTGACAGGTGTCTCGATACGCTCCGCAACCTCATAAATGCAATCAGGCACTGATGCAGGACCAGTCCAGCATCTTCACCCCCCTGCTGCTGTCGCCAATGCTGACCCTCCGGCAGTTGGAGTGACACGTCGCACCCACGCCATCCTTGCCGACGAGCCGAAGTCGCACCAAGAAAGGGAGACGCCATGGCCGTTAGACACGGGATTCTTTTTTGACCCTGCAGGCTGCCGCTGCGTTGGCCGTTCCCGTCATCAAGATCAGATGGCAGTTCTCGCCAACAATTGGATGGCAATTCTGGCCGGCCCTGCCAAGAATTGCCCCACCTTGAAATTATGAACGCCCCTTCCATTTGTCGGTTTTTCTCCGTCCTCTTTGTCGAGATGCTTTCCGGTGCAAAACTGCCAAAGCTTAAACTCGTGAATCGATCCAGGACACTCTGGCAAAACCTGCCTGACGGTTTCTAGGACTCTCTCCCTATCTCGCGCGTGTCGGTTCTGCAGTCATTCCCATTTTGGCTGTCCCGTAGATTGAGAGGCTCGATGACATCTCACGCTAAGCGAATTCGTGCATGTGTTTCATCTCTGCCAGCCCTGCAGGCAGTTGGTGGCTTGTGGGGATTCCACATGGCATGCATAATGGTGGGTAGGGGCGGGTGTTCCTTGTTTTTTGACCCCTGGGCCCCTTGCGGCAGAGTCAACCTCCCTCTGCCTTGCTCGCCTTGCACAAGCGCTGGCGGGAGGAGGTACCCGGGAGACTGGGCTTTGCGAATCTGGCGTTAGGTGAGGTGAAGCTCATCCATATCGCGCGATCATATAGCCAGCTTTTTCTGCAGCTTTGGGCTTTTCTCATCGGCCCCGTCGCTACGCTGTCAGCATTCCCAATGGCAAAGCCCACGCTTGAAGCCTGGCTGGGCAGCCATTGAGAATTGAACAACCCCTTGGGACGGTGGGGGTCCGTTTTCTGTCGTTTCTTGCTCGATGGAGTCGATGCAACACTGTCCGAAGGGAATCCCAATCAGATGTCCAGAGGTTTGCTTCCAGACCCCGGTTCGAGTCGGTACCATCAACTCTGAGGTCGAGATCGACCTCTCCGCCTCCGTCCCCGGTCAGGTGTGGCGGCCAATATCGCCGGCATATATGGTGGCCAATATACTCCCGGTTTGTTGTCTTTTCGTGGCCATTTCTCCCGCTCGCTGCGCGTCTGCTTCAAGCATTACATTCTCTACCAAGCCCGGTTCTTGCCTTTCACTTGCATTCCTTGCTTTCAACTTTTCTTCCCGGTTCTCGAGCTTGGCTTCCGAGGGACTGCGGTTCATTCCTTTCTTGATATCTCCAAGCGGGCTTTTTCCGACATTCCTTTTTGAAGCCGGCCAGGGCCGATTCACCACTCTCCTTCGCCAGATCAAAGCCGCGTCTTGTGCGGTGCTTCACTCCTTCTCAGCTTAGCAGTTGCTCGGTTTCACGCTTATCGAAGCAGGCCGAAACCATGCGCGCAAGCACTTTGGCCTTGGGGCCCCTTTTTGCCGGACTCGTCTCGGCTCTTCAACCCCCGGTGTATCCTGGATACCGGCTTATTTGGTCTGACGCCTTTCCTGGAAACGCAGGCGAAAGCCCCAACGGTGGAATATGGAACATTGTCACCGGGTACAACCTCAAACTCCAACATCATGAGAACGGTCATTACTAACTGAGAATCTTCCAGTGTCCATACAAACAATGAAGTCCAGGACTATACGACGTCCAACCAGAACCTGCAAATCTCGGGCGGCGGCACAGTCCAAATAGTCCCGCGCAAATCGCCCTCAGGACAGTGGACCTCTGGGCGCATCGAGTCCAAAGCGAGCTTCACTCCGCAACCGGGCAAAATCACCGTGTTCGAGGCGGTCATTCGCTTCGGTGACAATGCGCAGAGCAACAAGCAGGGCATCTGGCCCGCTTTCTGGCTGCTCGGCGACAGCATCCGGCACGGCGTCCCCTGGCCGCAGTGCGGCGAGATCGACATCATGGAGACGGTCAACGGTGCGCCAACCGCCTACGGCACCGTCCACTGCGGCGTCAGCCAGGGCGGGCCATGTAACGAGCCCATCGGCCGCGGCGGCACTGTCGGCCTGCCGGATAATGGATGGCACACGTGGACGCTGCAGATTGATCTCGAGGCTGGCCGGGGCAACTGGCAAAATGAGGTTATCAGGTGGATGAAAGACGGCGGCGTCTACCATACCCTGACGGGCGCGCAGATTGGGGATCAGGGCATCTGGAATGCGCTGACGCACTCGCCCCTGTTTATGATTCTGAATGTTGCCGTGGGCGGGAACTGGTGGGTGCATGAGTTTACTCAACCATTCGGTCAAAGCTGACACTGCGAATAGGCCTGGCGCCCCCAACGGCGCGACCGCCGACAGCTATGGCAGCATGATGGAGGTTCAGTATACAGCTGTATACACGACGTGAACGATTAACGCACGGTATCTTTATAGATTATGGGCTCGAAATACTAGGCCCTGGTTTCATTAGGCGATATAGGGGAGGAAGAGGTAATCTCCATGGTCCATGATCGGCCTTGCGGAGGGACACGGCGTTTCCGGTTTTAGCTTCCCCCTTCCCCCCTTTTCTGGCGTCTAACCTCCAGGATGAATACGATACCTATGCTACACTGCAGCGGTCAATAGGTAGCCTGGATTAACTCGATTCTGGGAGACTGGGGTTCAAGATGTCATGGTTAGGTGAGATTTGAGGTCGCACTGATGTGCAGGTGGCTTGACTTGGTTTTGTATATACACTTCGCTTCAATCTGCCTGATTATGTTGCAGTTTCCTGCACACAGGAGTACTGTTGTCGGATGATATGTATGCCTTGACTTTTGACCTCCTATCAGCTGGCCCATGGCCCAAGGCAGTCTCACCGGTCTTCGACTCCAAGGGGGCTGCCAAGACCCTCTGCTGACTTTTCGGATTTTCGGGACTGCACAGCACTCCGATTCGCCAGCTCCGGACCCCCTGGTTTCACGGAAATACGCGTGGGCTGAATCGCGGAAGACAAGATCGCATTCATGTTGCGACTCCCGACATCCGACATCTCAGCTTTTGTTCCTTAAGCTTCGTGAAGCCAGGTCGCAATCCACACCGGGGCTAGCTGCGCACTTCTAACTTCTCTGCGGCTTGCCGTTGTCAACATTCCACGCTATCTCGCATGTCTTGCGCCGGCCTTATCAATTCATCTAGTTACTACTAGCTGGTCACTGGTCGATGATGTCGGAATCCAGCCTTGGTATGTTACCGTTCGTGAGTATTGCTGCCTCCCGCTGACTAGGCATAGTGCCGAGCAGCATCTACATCTACGAACCTAACAAGGGGGCGGCCATTTTCTTTGCAGCCGCATTCGCCGTGTCGGGGGTACTACACCTATGGCAGTGCATGTCAGTACTGTATCTTCTTTACCCTGGCGAATGGTTCTTCTTGAGTCTATCATGCCTCGCAAAGAACTAACTTGTTCGATTTAAACCGATATTTAGTTACTACAAATGCTTCGGAATAACCGTCCTGCTGCCGTTCTACTCCGTCCTGCTGGTTGCAGGATTTGCAGTTCGGGCATACGGCGCGTTCCACTATGATGACGCTCAAGTCTACACGGCTAGTACTCTCCTGATCTATCTAGCTCCGTATGTTTCCCACTCATTGCATCCTTCTCTCGATTTATGATTGGGTTTGGCTTGTTAATTGGTCTGTCTTAACCCGGGAAACGTAGACCCGTTCTCGAGCTAGCCAACTTCCAGATCCTCGGGCGCATCTTCCACTTCGTCCCGTACTTCGCCCTGATGCACCCTGGCCGCTTGCTCATCACCTTTGCCAGTCTCTGCGTCATCGTTGAGCTCCTTACTGCGCTCGGCGTGTCGTATCTCGCCAACCGTGACATTGCCGACAAGCTCATCAACCTAGGCGACACCGTGACAAGAGCGTCTCTCCTGGTCCAGATCTTTATTATAGCCACCTTCTTCCTTATGGCGGGTATCTTGCACCGCGCGTGCCATATCGGGGGGATTAACTCTCGGAAAGTCATACGCCCTTCGGTTATGGCATATCTGAGCATGCTGCTCATCCTTGCGAGGACGATCTACCGCGTTGTTGAACACTTCAGTGTCCCGCCGCCGATCAATGGCAACGTCACTGGCTTTGATACTTCGAGCCTGAGGCCATCGTTGCGGTACGAGTGGTATTTCTACGTGTTTGAGGCGACGCCGTTGCTCATCGCCCTGGTGCTTTGGAACGTTTGGCATCCGCGTCACTACTTACCTGAGGATCACAGGACATATCTTGCCCAAGACGGCGTTACGCTTTTGAAGGGGCCGGGGTGGAAGGACTCACGCTCATTAACCCAGACCTTCTTCGATCCGTTTGCCTCGCTGACAGCCCGTGGTGGTCACAACAAGCCTTTTTGGGAAAATAATGGGTATACTCTGAAAAGGAGAAGGGCCACTGGAAGAGCGTGATCTTGACGGGGATGATTTGTGTCTTTCTACTGCCATGCAGCTACTGGTAGGGTAGGTACTTTGCTCTTCCCCTTTTACCAGCCCATCACCAGCCGGTATAACAGCGCTGGCGGAAATACTTTGTTGATTTCACTTTGATACTAGAAACCAGCTAACTGGAACCACAGGGTCCATCTAGAGTATTATCCACATCCTCACCAACCATCCGAGGCCTATGACGCAGGTGCCCTGCTTATTCCTACACCTCTTTGACGGTGAGCAGATCCAACTCGCAACTTCTTACCTCGCCTTCTTCATAACCTCCGTCCTCAAGAACGGCACTTCCAGCCCAAGCACGCGTCCGTCCTTAGCATCCTTGACAAACACAAACCGATCAATCGGCTCGCCACCCCAGTACACCCAATCCGCCGCGGTCCAGCTCAGACAATTCTGCTCACTGATTCCCCTTCCTGGTAGCTCCGACTCAAACTCCGACTCCAGCGCCCACATGATCCTCCAATCCTCCCTCACCACCTTCTTCCCATCAGCCAACCTCCCCGGCGTGGAAATCTCCGCCGGATACAGCCTCCACTCTTCAGCCAGCCCCGTGCCGGGCATGACCATGCCCATCGTCACCGCCCAGACCTCCGCAAACGAAGCCAGCATATCCGTGCCATTACTGCTCAGCCCAACCAGCCTCATCGACTTGGCATCGATCTCAATCGTCGCATTGACAGGCATATTCCCCGTAGCCGGCGTCGTCTTGCCGAGAAACCGTCCCGCGTACTCCTTCTGTGCGCTCTCCCTCGCGGCTGCATCCACGGCGGGGACAAGCACGCTCAGCACGGCATCATGAACCCCCAGCACGGCATTGGTGTCGCCTGCCGTGAGAATCACCACCCCCACGCCATACTCATCCAACACGGAGATATACGCGTTATACCCGTACGCCGCGCCGCCCTTTTCCAGAATGGTCACCGTATGCCCCCCGCCTTGGGCGATCACGTCAGCGGGGAACAGCAGTTCAGGAGCAGGGCGGAAGATCTCCCAGGGAGTGCCGACAAAACTGTTGCGCGACCCCGCGAAGCTGCGCGGTTGGAGCCATTCCCGGACTTTGGTTTCTGTGTCGAGCACCGTGTGGGACAGGATGGCGTGCAGGAACGACGACAAATCGGCAAGGGTCGAGACGAGCCCCCCGCCGGGCGCGTTGTCGGCGTAGTTGGAGCCCCAGCTGTTGTCGACAGGCGGGATGACGGCTCGCGAAGAGTCCATGGCGGCCGGGAACGGGCTGACGCTGGGGAAGGTGTTGGGCATGTTGAAGGGGGTGGAGATCAGGTCTTGGACGAGCTGGGTGTAGTTCTTGCCGGTGCGGGCGGAGAGGGCGTAGGTGAAGAGGGTGTAGGCGATGTTGGAGTAGACGGGGCGGGACATGGGTGGCGCGATGGGGTGGAGGGTGAGCATGCCTTGGAGGATTTCTGGCGGGGGGTTGAAGGTTAGGTTCATTTTGGATCTGCTAGGGGGGAATGTTGGAGGGACAAGGAGGCTGGGCTTACGGTCTTGAGTGCAAGGCCCGTAGGGGAGACCGATGATGCCGCAAGATCCGAACTCGGAGTCGTCGATCGGCGGGAAACCGAGGGTTTGGAAGTAGGATTTGAGGTAGAAGTACTCGGAGAAACCATCTACGCCACAAATTAGCCCTTCCCCATGGTGTAATCTTCAGGCGGGATGTACATACAGTTTGGAGGGATCCCAGCTAACTGAGAGGCCAGCGCTCGCAAGGTGATGTTATTCCAAGAGATCAACGACGAAGCATTGTTGAGAGACGGGAGGAACTTGGTAACCGGTTCATCAATATTGACCCCGCTTCGAAGCAGGATGGCATCCGAAATGACCTTGGAAACAGAGCCGATCAAGTACTGGGAGTTCCGATCCAAGCGTTTGGTGCCGTTGACGTTGCCTTTGGCGAGGTGGTGAAATTCCCATAGAGGAACCGAGGGCTTGGCCTGATCCAGGCTGACGAGTCCGACAGAGATTGACGTGTTGCGAGTGTCCCATCCGGCCTTGATGCGTCCAGCGACGGCCGAATCCAGCACGCTGGTGAGATTGTCGAGGGCGCGACGGAAGGTCTTGGAGTGGTTCAAGTCGAGGGGTCGGGGGAGGATGGGGCCGTGCTGCTGGCACTCGAGGGCGGTTGTGGTGGCATGGCTGGCTGCCAGCAGAGACAGAAAGGCGAACTTCATCATTAACGGGAAGGATTTATATAAGCAACTGTATATAGCGAGTGTTGCTTGCAAGTGTTGCTTGAAAGTGTGCTGTATTCAAGACAAAGACTCTTTGGGATCCTGCCCTCTTATAGTATATTGGTTTCAACCCCCCAACTTCATGATTACTTAGCATATAATAATCCAACATGACGTTCGGTAGTAGCTCTGATGAGCCTCACGGCCTGCGCCATCAACATGGCAATCTCTACCCGGGGAAAACGATGACAATGGACATCCACCTGCAGGTTGCCAATCACAAGGCACAAACTAGCGAGTCCCGGTCCATTGGGGCATGGTGTACGGTTCCACAGTGTACCCGCAATACGCGGATCTGTGGAGTCGTGGACCCGGGGAGCGGGAGACGGGGCGGGTGGGGCGGTCGGGGTCCGGCGTCCGATGCTACGGCAGGGGCAATGATGTGCAGTTAAGGTTACAGTAAGTGGGCTGCGGGTCTTATGGAGCCTTACAGCGATCAGATTGGTGCTCGCTAGGGACCCAGGGTTCCACCCTCGCATTCATCGTATTTGCCGGGGTCGGGGCAACGAGGCTGAGCAGAACATCGATGTTCGTCCTGCCTCCATTCATACCAGCAGCGGTGACTAATTCTCAAAAAATTTCATTACTCAACCCAACATGACGCCTTTCGAGCATACAATAGTAATTAGGCGTGTCTAGGATTTTGGGAATGATCCTCAAGCAACAATTCCAGCAAGTTCCATGATATGTCCCCGAGAGGTAATATCGGATGGTATTTCATCCGTCCATGGCTTGAATGGAGACACGTGAAGATTCAGCCACATTAGCTTCATGGATTAAGAGAACGAGATTGTAAGGTATCCGGGTAGTTTATGATTTGGTGCTGGTTTTCTCTATCCGGCAGCAAAGTAAACAGGAAGTAAGGGGCAAACAGGGGGTATCCAAACAAAACATACTGTAGCGCTATATCAGCTCAGCCTGCGCCTCATGGCCAACAAAATATCTGCTAGCTCGCTCAGGCTCTCAAACACTCCCTGAGATAATTCGGCCGAACTTAGCACGCCCTCTAATACAGCCTCTGCCCGAATTAAGTCTTTGCTGTTCGCAGATTTATCCTCGCGCATCTGTGCGTTCTCCTTTTCGAGATGTTCGCATCGCGTCTTGAGCCGCAAGTGGTTTCTTTCCAATTGCATCTGGCTTGCAACCTTTGATGTGCTGGCAGATGCAGTCTCTCGTGGGTCAGGTTGGGAGTCAGAGGAATCCGCCGTTGATGTCAAAGTTGTGGTGCTGCTCCCGTACATTGGCCGCTTGCCCTTGGACGTCGATGAAAGTGTGTAAACGCTAGAGTCCGAGCTTGATATTGTAATTTCGGGCAGTTGTAGGCCACCTGCTAGGCCCTGCGTGTCCGGTACCTCAAAGACGGGCACTGAGAAATCCCGGAAGAGGAAATTCGATGGTGAAGATGGGCATGCGTTCCCGTCCAACGTAAAGGGGAACCCATCCATGGGCGTGTCACTACAACGCTGCTTATCAGCACGAACGGTATCTTTTCTTGATCAGACGACGGTAAGCGTTATCACTGAGTGGCCACTTACAATGGATCAATCGCAGACGTGCCAAATTGTGAAGGCATTGCTTCAACAACTGATGTTGGAATATTGATGGCGGGAATGATGAAAGAGGTGCCTCGATGAACATGATCTTTGTTTTTGATCAGCCACCCTCCAACGATATACTTCCAGACTTTGCACTTAAAGTCTGGTTAGCCACTCACAAGGCGAATAGTCAAGTTTCAGTGTGTCGACATCTCGTCCGTCCATGTCTGGGATTAGTCGCTGGAACAGCGCCCACCAAGCGTCCTCTTCCGATGCGATGGTCTGGGTTTGTTGCACGAACAGCTCATCCTCAGGCCGCATCAAGCGCTCAAATCTGGAAGAAGTCTGTCCTCACAGCCGGACTGCTGCTCGTGCTCTCTCGCCATGTTTGGACTCTCAAACGACTTCCAGCACCGCATGCAACGACGCGATGGCATGTGGCGACGGGCTAGATGTTGCCTTAACACTTGTGTTAGTCTCGAGCCTCAGAGGTGGATGAATGGGCATACCTAAGTCGATAGATATCTTCACAGCCTCCATGGGGATTGCGAGGCCCCCGTTGGAAACAGTCCAGCGTTGCCGCCTCAAACACTTGGTATGGGCAGGCTAGTCTTGGACGATTACTGCCAGCACGGCGTAACTTGCGTCTTTTCTGTTCCCTTGGCTCGTTGTCCCGATCGTGGCTATCTCGACCATTCCCGCCTGAGGCTCCTGAGTCTGCCTGTCCGGCCCCTTTCACGGGGTCTTCTTGCACTCTCTCCGAAGCACCGTTGAACTGGCTGTTTCCATGCCCACCTGCAGGATCCTGAGCATCGTAGTCTGCGTCGTTGGTTTCTTCAGAAGAAGAATCCGATGAAGTGCACTGATCATCATCTTCGGCCCTTTGTTGTAGGCGGAGAGTTGTGTTTGGGGAGAGCGTCAGTCGTAGTTGGATATTGGCCACACCAACCTGCTTGATGATTGTGAACGGCTCTGGTGTGGATGCGAGCAGAGAGGGTGATGTAGAAGCGGCCTCTGATGATAATGGGCCTCCCTCTTCGTCTTGACGCAAAATCACGGGTAGGTCTCTATACGTGTCTTCTCCTGCTCTTTTTGTAGATGTATTTTCAACATCTGCCGTAGTTGAATCCACATCGTGAACCCAGGATGACGGATCAGGTTGGGAAAAGTTCCACCCACCCTTCATAGCTGTGACCAGCTCTTCGATGAGCATGGACCCACCTTTCATAGCTGTGTCCAGCTCTCCAATGAACCCATCCATCATAACTGTGTCCAGCTCTTAAACCCCTGCTCTTAAGGTCTCCGGTGTTGCCTCAAGACTCCAAGATGACGAACTTGAAGTAGATTGGAAAAACAAGCCCAATTCCACCACTTCCACAAAATACTGTCGAATCTCCGAAGACAACTTGAACTTGGGGTTTGCCTGAATATGTTTCCACGCGACTTGCAAGAACCCGTGGGCCACATGATACAAGTGGAAGGCTTGATGCTCCAAGCTCTCCCAGAACCAAACCCTTTGGCCGCAGAACTTGCACGGTTCAAGTGGCAACGTCACGGGTGAGATTTTCAGGATCGGACCAACACTTGGTATGCAGTCGATGGGCCTCGTCGTTGTGGCCGGCCCATTCATCAAAGGATCCGAAGTCGTTAGGGCTGGCACAGGTTTCGCATACACACACGAATGGGCGTAAGATTGCAACAGCCGTGGTTTCATCCCGTATGCCAAGCATGGGAGGTTCCCATTGCTCCAGCCGGCAGAACAGAGATGCATAGTGATTGGCGAGCCGATCGGCCACATAAGGGTTGGCTGTCTTCAGTAACGGATAAAGCGAGAATATCATCCCGTACATGTCGTCTCGCTTGGTGCTGAGCCTTTGATCGCCCCCTGTCATGAGTTTCCATACGTTCGCGATGGTCAATGGCATATAACCCGGTTCGTTTGGTTTTCTGAAGGCTTCCTTGTACATGCCAGTAGTCTCCGGCCACTGCGGGTTGGGTTCGTCGCATTTTGTGCTACCGCTAAACGTGGTTTCCATGGTTTCATTGGTACCTTCGCTGCGGTTCGAGGTGGTTGCTAATTCCACTTCTTCGCTGTAAGGAAGCCAGTTAGCCGAAATACACCAACATACGACGCTTTTTCAAGGCCGTGCAGTCCATGTTGTCGAAAGAACATCTTGATGCCCAGAAATCACCATCAATTTTGAGGATGTACTAACCCGCCCTTGACTCCATGGAGTGTGCTCGTTGCCTTGGTCTTGGAAGTCTCAAGAACTGCTTCATGCTTCCCATGAACCAGTGTCGAACTATCAAACTCGAGCTCCGGCTCGGCCAGGATTTCCAGCGCAGGAAAAGCGCATTCCATTGTATTGGAGGACTTTCGGCGGCCGGGAGCGTGCACGTGGTGGTGTTTGAATGTGGTCAAGTAGTGCTTTCAAAGACAAGGCGAAGCGCTCGAATAGCTACCATGAGGGTATCTTTACTGAATGTCACTGGTATGCAAGGTGCGATGGGCGTCAGATGGCCAGTATGGGTGGGCAAATTGTATAAGTTCCCGTCCCGTCAGGTGCATTGATCCGCACCAGCCCTACACAGCAGAAGTTGCAGATAGTACTCAATAGTAGCCTGTCAAAGTTTTCCCTCATGTGTGTGCATGTACGCAAGACACGTGTTTTTACACGCTGTCATAGGCTGGCACATTTCCAGTTCTGAGAGGCTGAGAGCTTGCATCCGGGTCTACGTTTTGCTCGTTCGCTAGGCCACCGCTCTTTTGGGGGACCATTTCACCTACCGGTATCTCCTGTACTCTACTGTACATACAGAAGGTAATTCGGCTCACCGATGTTAGTCCTGCTCACATAGCCGTGACCTAAGCCCCTAACACCCACTGCTTTGAGTGCACAACACAATCTTGCCAAGCAACAACATGCACCCAAATGTGTGAGGTGTGCCGAGCTGCATTTCCTTGGGGTTTGATTCGTTGAGGACTTGCATAGGGGAGAAGCAACTTGAACAAAAGGGAAACAAATTTACACAGTAGTGCCAACTACCTACTTGTGCTCTGCCCTACTTCGTACTACCGGTACTTATCCGGGCATTGGGGGACCAACGCCGGGCTACAGTCTAACCTGCACATAAGAATACGAGACATCAGAATAACCTGGGTATAGGAATCAAAATTAGGGTTCCCGAGCCATTTTGTATGGCAAATAAGAATAACCTGGGAAACGGACTTATTCTTACAAACTTTGCTTAGTAACCCATACAAATTCAGGATTATTCTTATATACAGGTGAGCGAAAGTATGGGTGAACCCCTGGCTGGGGCTGGGGGACCGAACATCAAACCCTGAAGATAGGCATTTTGGCCCCGATTTGGGCAACTTTTGGTCTGGGTTAGGGTTATGTATCTACCCTGGGACTAAGAATAACCTGGGTATAAGCATCAAAATTGGAGTTCCGGACCTGATTCTTATGTGCAGGTTAGACTCTAATTGTAAACGCAACTGAGGGAAAAGTGGGCAGTGTACGGGTAGTGTTCCATTCGGCGCGGTTGTTCGCGCCACACGCCCGATGGCCCCGATCCGACTAGCCGTCTTGGAGCTCCAACAAGTAAGGCTACAAGCGACTGCGAGGGATACAGGGCAAGTGACGAGAAGGTGTTTGGGCCTCGCAGTGCTATAACCCACGGAAAATACTCGCGAAGTTTAGGCCCCTTGCTTTGTCGATTCTGTATGGATACAGCGCTTGAGATTGCTCTTCGAACGGGTAGCACCGTAGCAGAGTCATTAATTCGCTGAACTTATACCGCAGTGTGCTGCGCGAGGGCGCTTATACCTCTCAAGCGCCTCCGTCTCTGCCACGTTCTTGTAAATAGGTACCTAGGTGCAGTGATGCACATTCAACTCAGCCAGCTCTTTCGTAGTTCAGAGTTGCAGGTGTCCGATCTTCTGCTTAGCCGCTGCTGTGGAGTATGAATCCCCAAAGTTAAACGCCGGGCCGGGCGGGCGGGCCCACGGCCGCTGCAGTAAAATTCAGGTCCCCTTATGTTGTGGGGCCTCGGGCTGGGCTTTGCCATCACCAACAAACAGGACAGAGTCACAAGCACAATGAAACCCAGCTGCTGAGTGACGAGCAGAGAACAGCTGTCTCAAATCACTCTCTCGCGCGCGCGTATCCCGAAGCTATTGGGGGGGCTAGCAAGGTCATTGGACCACGCTCGTCACCGGCTTCGGGAACCTGCGCTGTCTATAAGAGATGCTATGCCCTGACGCCTTGCGATTGACAATGGAATTCTTGATCAGACCTCATCACCCTCATTTTTTTAAGCACGTGAACTCAAGAACTTTGGAATTTATTTATCCTGCCCAGCCCAGCGTGACGCGGTAATCCACAATGTCTACCTTCAACGCGATCAAAAAGAAGATACCCGTAGGCTCCATCATGAAGGGGGCCCAAAAGATCACCCTCTCTGTAGCCACAGAGACGTCGGCTTGGAAGCGCCCTGAATCCATCGCGTTGCAGCAAGGCCCCGGCTTTGAACGAGCAGTTCGTGATCGGGTGGACTTGATCCCCGATGGAACGGTGGACGTGTGTCAAAGGTATCCATGATGTATCCTCCGGGCCCCACGAGATCGACGCTAATGAGCCAGCAGAGAGAAGGAACACACAAGTGACGATCCCGTCGAGCACTACACCGGGGTTTGTTTTGACGCAGACGGAAACGGCAAGAGCGTCCATTTCCCTAAGAAATAATGGGTTGCTTCTGAAAATGGTGTCTGGTTGGAATGGAAGTGAAGGTACATGTATTCTCAGTCATCGATAGCGATAATGGCCCAAACGTCAAACATCTGCAAACCATGGGTCTTCCAGAAGCTCTTGGGCGCTTGGCCGGTCTCTCGGATCCAATTTCATGATCTTGCAAATGAAGTCCCGATCTTCCCTGCAGATTTCACGTTCCGTGGTCATGTGGAACGGCCTCAATGTTTCCTTAGGAGAGTTTTCCATGATCCATGTCAGGACCGCCAGCCGCTCATCGTCGGCGATCTCCTTGTATGAGAGAGGGAAAGGCCCGAAACATCGGTATTGCTTCAAGAGGACCTCAACACCGTAGTCCTCGTGGTCGATTGGAACCTTGGGTTTGAAGATGTGGAAGCCTCGACCGTAGATCAAGCTAATCAGCTGTACAAAACGCCAGTCAGTTTCCATTACTGTCTTTTGGTCGGGTGCTGCGGGTTTACCATAGTGCCAAATGACCAGATATCCGTTGGAGTACCCCATCTCATCTCTAGATGAGCTTCAGGGCTTCTGAACATAGCTGTTCCGATCTGAGCACCTTCTAATGCGTATTTCGAGTCATCCTTGACCGTGCTTTCAAAGTCACACAGCTGGATGTCGGTAAACCGGTTCGTCTCGTCATTTCCGTAATTCACAAGAACATTGCTAGGCTTGATATCTGTAAGATACCAGTTCAGTAGGCATCCATCTGGAGGCACCGTTGGGTGGAGACACCAGACCTGTGTGGACAAACCCATCGCGATGTAGGAGAGATAAAGCTTCGAGCACGCGCCGAGCGACAAACTTCACTTCGTGCCGAGTGAGAGTCTTGGTTGCTGAAGCATGGAGCAGGTCGTCGTCCAGATGCTTCAAGATAAGCGCTGGCGGCTCGTCGATTTCATCCAAAAAGGGGCGTATATACGGCGTTTTGGACTGGTAACGCATCAAAATGTCGCGTTCGTTCTGGAGCCGCCAGTGCCGAACACTCTTAAAGACGACCGTCTCTTTACTTTGGTTGCTAGGTTCGTTCATCGCTCAGTCCTATATCCGCCACGTGTTACCGAAAGAGAGGCGGGAATTACCTTGCAAGCCAGACGGTTTCTTGAAGTTGCTTTCCGATGGTGTATATACCTGTTTTGCCCCTAAAGACCTCGCCAGCTTTCAGCAAGACAGCTGTCATCTTGTCTGAGCCGCTGTCAATGCTTTCCTGCTTCAATTGAGCTCTTTCTGGAGACTGTGGCCGAGACATCCGCAGTAGAAGTGAAGTGCACCTTAACGAAGGTCAAGGGACGGGCGAGTGCAGCAAAGGACTTTGGCGCGCTGAAAAACACAGTGCAGTGAGTGCACCGACCAACCAAAATGTTGGGAAATCTTTGCGTTTACCTATTGGCTTCGCATCAACGCATTTAAGCGGCACTATCAAGATCATAGTGCCCCTTAAGTGCATATGCGGGACGGGCAATCGGCCAGTAGTTGCATACCCGGGGAAGTAGAATTTATACGGCTACCTCCGTACGCTGTTTCCAAATTTCCAAGTTTCCAACAAGGGGTTAACATCATAATTATTCCACTGCACGTCGTTGGGAACTAATCTGGCTTCACCAACAATTATAAGGGCAATGCCAAAATTTTAAGTTTGAAATCACAAACATAAACGATGTATGCAAAGGACTACTACCCAAGGGCTAGATAATCTACTTTTCATCTGCCTTGTCCTTGTTCTTTAACTGGCGCTGAGAAAAGAATAAGTGATACTAGCGGCGCAGTCTACACCTCCTAGGGGGAAGTGTCACACATACCCCTAACCCTAGTATTCCATCCACCCCTGTAACCTGACTTACAAGCCAGGCTTAACTACACCCTATACATTAACATTTACATCAATTACAAGCAGTTCAATTCAGACAACGTAATTGGGCCAATATAGTTATAAGATTCATAGTTACATTCTTTATAGTCAAGTCACTATAGTTAGGTATCGTAGTTTGCTTGTTATAGTTAGGGTATCGCAGTCAGGGTTACAAGTGCACCCTCGTAGTTAGATTGATTCACTACACTCAAATCATCACAGTCGAATCGTCATAGTCAAGTCCTACTACCAAATGATTCAAATCGTTACTTTCAGTTCAATCAAGATCCATATAGTTAGGCAATTACTACAGTCAGGGCATTGCAGTCAGGGCATTGCAGTCAGGGCATTGCAGTCAGGGCATTGCAGTCAGGGCATTGCAGTCAGGGCATTGCAGTTAGGGCATTGCAGTCAGGGCATTGTAGTTAGGACGTTCTTAGGTAGGTTGGCGGGTGTGAGTGCGTGGGATGGTGGGAACGGGCGTGGGCGTAGACCAACCGCCTGGCCAGGGTTGGGGTTTGGTATGGCTCTACACTGCGCCCCTAATACGACTCGAATGAGTGATACTATAGAATACATCGCTGGATGAATTAGGTCGCATAGTATTAGCAGTGTGAAGAGAGGAAAGATCGATTCCTTCATGTTTTCTTTGGTTCTGGCGTCAAAGACGGGATGCGAACTCGGCAGGTAAGGTAGCCAGCCACTCAGCCCCTTTTGACTCTGACTCAAGGATTCTCGCCCTGCCAACCATCCTGATCCGTCCTGACCACCTCGGCCTCTTTGCTCTTCTCATACCCATCAGACCCGAACCTAAGCGGCAAACATACCCCACCGCATATCTTCTCCCCCGTCTCGATGTTCAGATCGCACAGATATCCGACTCCCGGTTTCATGTTGTCGCCTCCAAAGCAGACCTTGCCCGGGCCGCATTCCCTCCCCGTATTGCCCCCACACGATCCGTCCTTGATGGGGTAGCAAATGCCCATGCCATCGCAGGAGGGGCCGCAGCTGTAATAGTGCCGAGGGTCGGTCATGCAACTCTCAACCCGTTCGTCGCAGTCGTCGTAGTACGACCATCCGCCGCATACCGTGTAGATTTGCTGCTTCTCGACGCTGAGGTCCTGGCATGTTCCTCGGCATTTGGGGAAGTAGGTGCAGTTGCTTGAGAGCGGGATGCAAGTGAGGGTAGGACAGTCGCCTAGCTCAGCGCCGCAGGGGGTTCCAACTTCGGCGAGCCGCGCTGTGAGAGGGCCTGAGGATGCGGAGGATAAGAAAGCAGCGGCAATCAAGGGGAGGAGATACATTTTGGCGGTATCTAGGATCGAGTCAGATGTGTCTAGGATGGTATGGGTAGCTTCGGGTAAACAGAGTTCAAGGGGGATTATAAGCATGAACCTGGAAGTAAGGTGATGGAGCCAGTCAGTGTCTGGTTTGTCTAAAAATAAGTATTATGGTACTATGTCCTGACAGCTTCCTATCAGATCTGGGGCGGTTAATATGTCTAGATTAAGGGCTACGATGAGAGCCAACCATCGACGTCGCCGTATATTGGGGACATGTCGGAAGAATTAACCGACAGTTTTGACTTATAGCATTTCGAGAATCGCTTTGGGAAGATGCCTGTGTACCTAGGTACACATGCTCACACTGCAGTAGCTAACATCGCTCTGCAACTTGCCATCGGCATCAACCCCTATTCACCCCGTCCAGGGGGTCACTACTGTCCTGACCTTAACCCGCCCTGCTTCTCAATCAGTACTCTCTTCTTTAGCTGTCAACAAACAACACCCACGTTCACGTTAATTAGGAAGGAATTCCTCCATGAATAGATAGGTAAGGTAAAGGACATCAAGGTAGTAAAGCCCCTTCCCCTGCTAGGCCGGGTAGGTCAGTAACCTAGTAGGTACTACTTGCGTATCAACAGGCCGGATTTATATTACACTTTGAGGACCCCATCAGATGATCATTTCTTACTAGGAAAAGGGTTACAAGACATTGTTTATATAACATCAATGCTAGAATTCATTCTAGCCCATTATGGCCTACCGGCGCCCTCCTGTTCCGTCATTTCTCTCACAATGTCGGTCGAGATAGTAACGGTGGAATAAAGATCCCTTGGTAGGAGATCGGACCAGAAGTGATGGCCGGACCGACGGAAAATGGAGAAATTTCGTATCTGTCTTCGCCGCCCAATTTGAGATGGCGGCCGCCTATGGTCGGGATGAGCGGAGGTCTTCCCCTCCGGATCTGAGAATCGGCGTTCTGTTGATCAAATATCGCCGAACGCGGCGTTATCTCGACTACTCGACTACTAGTAGTATATCAGGCCCAAAGATGATACCTGGCACCACTGTAACCCAGTAACCCACCGGAGGAAAGAGGCAATTACGAAGTCAAATCGGAGAGATTCCTATTCCAAGGGACCGAACGTTCGATCCTTCGGCAATAGCGAAATTTTGGGCACCGGCCTCAGAGTCATATAAAGACCTCCTTTAAGAATAAACAGGAAAAGACTGATGCCATCATGTAGTCCATCAAGTGGGACCACAACACTACCTACCTACCGTACCGTACACTACCTAGTACTTTGCCTGCCTTACCTACAATGGCCACACCAACAGTCTACGTCAGCAGCGCAACCGGACAGGTGGGCGGTGCCGTGGCTCGTCAGCTCCGCAGTCTCGGCTGGGAAGTGCACACAACGACCAGAAACCCCTCGTCGTCAGCGGCCAAATCGCTGGCCTCTATCGGCGTCAAGGTGCTCGGCGGGGACTGGACGAACGAAGCCGCGCTCTCGGCGGCCATCGCGGGCTGCACCGTGGTCTTCATGAACCTGATGCCCGATCTCGCCGACATCGCCAGCGAACTCAAAGCCGCCGAGACGATCCTGCGCATCGCAAAAGCCGCCGGCGGTGTCTCACACATCGTCTACAGCGGCGCCATAACCCCGTCCGCGCCCCCTGAGTTTGGTCCGGATCATTTCCTCACCCGCGGCTTGCAGTCAAAGACAAAGATAGAGCAGGCCGTCCGCGACGCCGGATTCGAGTACTGGACAATTCTGCGCCCGGGGTACTTCATGACCAACCTGGTGCGGCCAAAGGTGCACTTGCTGTATCCCGGCGCGGCTGAGAGCGGTGTCTTCAACCTTGCTTTTAACCCGGACACTCCTCTCGGGTTGATCGACCCCGAGGACATTGCTGCCTTTGCTGTTGAGGCGTTTCGGCACCCCAGGAAAGCCAATGAGAAGGTGGTTACTCTCGTTGGGGAGACAGTGGCTGTTGATGTGGCGCTTGAAATGGTTTCGAAGATGGCCGGCCGCGCCATTCGCCGCGTCTATTTGCCGGAGGAGGAATTGGGGGATACTCTGGCGAAGAATCCGAGGATGTACCTTCAGGTTCTTATGCGCGACCTGTTTCGTGATGTGGACGTCGACGAGGCGAAAAGCTGGGGTATTACGATGAGCAGTTTTGTGGATTTCTTGGCGAGGGAGAAGAAGGAGGTTGAAGACACCTATCGTCCTGCAGGGACTGACTAGGGGATACTACCTTACATATAGTAGTTGTACAATAAGGTCACGAAGGCCAGAGAGCCTAAGCCACTACAATCATGAAAGCTGAATCCTACGGAAAAGTGTATAGGGAGAAAGCTCTCTGGCGACGCTGGGAGAGACAAGCAATACAATCACAACTTGCAACCCCAATTGGCACTTTCACAGAATCCATCATGATCCACAGTGGGTGCCGACTTCAAGTTCCTGACAAGCACCTACCTTATATAGCACTTCCACTAAGGTAGTACTAGTACTAACCTAAATTTCGTGTAGTCACAGCAGGTGCGCTTAGTTGCTGAGCATTAGGCTTAGGTAGGTGCTTAGCTCGTAAACAATCTCTGCAGGCCGTCCTCCGTTCTTCTTCCCGATTGCTGATTCATTCATCAACAACACACCTTACAATCAACACCTTCGAACCGGCTGATCACCATGTTTTCCGAAATCACCATCGCACAGTCCTCCACACCCTTTGAACGAATCGGATTTGGCTCCTGTGGCAGCGTCTGGGCAGACACATCACGATATCCCGACATCGACCAATGCGAGTCCGCACTTGTTCTCAAGCTTGCAGACGGCCTGCCGGACCGCTCAATCGAGAACGAAGCCAATATCCACAAGCATATCCGTCGTGCATCGAAGCCTTAGCCTCCGGAGACCTCGATGGCTCCAACGCTTTCAGCTCCTCTTTCTGCATCAACATTCCAAGCCACACGGCCTTCCTCAACCCCGGAGCACCAACATGGGGCGATATTATCCCTCGACTACCCGCCGACTCCAAGCCCTGCCAGGCTTTGGTCAGCGAGCGCATCTTGCCTGTGCCTCGCCCGGTCCGAAGGTTGCTCGTGGAGCGATTCTGGAATGGCCCAGCGGATAAGATGGATTCCATCATCAACGACAAGCGAAACGAACACTGCTTGATACGCCCGTATATCGGCCGTCGCCGCACCGGAGCCAACGCCAACAGCACGGGCCCGGGAGGACACAGACGGAGCATGCTCAGATCAATCAGCCTCCGCAACTACCCCCTCCACCTTGACCAAATGGAGGCGCTTGGGCTTCCCACGCGCGAATACGCAAGCGCAATAGCCGATGCTCTCGCCTTCTTGCTTTGGGTTGCCGAAATCGACGCCTGCGATGTGGAATACGTTCTTGCCCGGCCTCGAGCATCGGGAAACGCATCCCTCGGAACTCACTGCTCCACTGGCAGCTCGGCCCTGGGACACCATGCGCTATGGGTTCTGGATTTTGACTGCTGTAAGCCGCTCCCTATGACACTTGAAGGTGTTCATCGCGCGGTTGAGCGGTTTTGGCGCAACAACCCATTCTACCCCAACCCGGATACAAAGTGTGAGGAGGATGAGGCGCTTTGGGAGGTATTCAGGGGTCGGTTGCTTGACACCAGTGGAAAGATTATGGCTTTTCAAGTTCAAGGAGGGTTCGAGAGACATGTTGGATCTGCCGGAGCAGTTCGTAAGAAGGATCATAGAGACGGTTGGGATGTACTCCAGGGGTGTTCCGACCGATTCAGCGACGTAGCTGTCGAGCTTGACGAGGCAACGCAGAATAGAGTTTCGAATACAGCGTCGATATCGGCTATCAAAGATTTTCTTTGCCCATGTGCATCGCCACCAGTCACATCGATGACAAGGTTCGGTTTGCCGTTTCTCCGATGCACCATAGCTGCATAGCATCCGCAAGTCACTGTACTAGTATCCCAGCCCACCCAGTTTCAATGCTTTATTTCGCTCAAATTGATCACATAAAGCTAGGTATACTCGAAGTCTCGAAGAACTGAATGCCGGCAATTTACCAATATTAACATGTCCCTGCCGTTGCCACCCTTTCACCATACTGCCCTCCACCATACAACACTCAGACAACAGGCATTGTAACATGTTGTGTTTTGTATGCATTGATCCCCTGAGTCTCCTCCACACCTGGACGAACCTCCGCCAACCTCCTAGCAGCCGCCCCCCACCCCCCGATCCAGAACAAGACGCTCCATAGGATAAGTATCAAAGAGCCGCAACAACTCCCAATAACCCAGCCACCGCCGCACCAGTAAACACCACATACCCCGTCTCCTTCGGAGCAGCATTCTTGCTCGTCGCCCCACCACCACTACCCCCATTCCCACCAGCAGTCCCAGTAGCAGGCACCGGCGCCGCAAGCCCAGAGATACTCTTACTACACGGACCGGCAGAGCTCTCATACCCTGCCGGACAGTGCTGCAGCGCAGAGTTCAGCTCGGCCGAGCTGGCCGAGTACCAGTCCAGCACCCGGCTCTGGTACGAGTACCAGTCGTCGACCAGGTCGCCGGGCAGAGCGGTCTGCCATCCGCACTGGTAGTCGGTGACACCCGTGGCCGTCATGTAGAAACTGGTCATGACGTCGATGATTTCGGGCGGTGGGAAGGGCGCGGATCCGGCCACTTCCATGATGGCGGAGATGCAGTCGCCCATGTCTTCGACTTCGGGGACGGAGGTTTGGCGTGCGATGAGGTGGCCTACGTCGAGGTAGGCTTGGACTTGGGCGGTGGCCAGCAGGCCGAGGAAGGGGACGGCCAGACGCATTTTGGCTGCTGGTATGCTGTCTGTTTCGTTGTGTTTTGGGTTTGAGACTGATGGCTGCCGGTCTGTGGTTGGTAATAGCAGGAGAGTTGCTTGTATTCGGTGGTCCCAGTTGGACTCGGAATCTCGGATGCTTCAAATCTTGTATGAGAAGCAGCGGACTTGACGGTGCTCGACGACCACCTGGCAGGAGGAGAGGCCAACAAGTCAAGTTATACTCATCCAAGGGCGGCCCATTGCATCTAGGTATCTTTGGGGACTTTCATCCCTCGTAGTCGTCCTCTACTCAGCCACCAAATCTTCACCCAAGGCACAAGACTTCATCGTGCTGCACCCCTTTTCGGTCCCTGCATGGTTAGTATCATTCCACTGTCCCAGACAAGAATTTTGGGCCTATGTGACCAGCCGAATGGTGAGACAGCCGCACACCCAATGAGAGTCAGGCCATCGTGGTGTTGAACTGTCAGCCGCACCCTTATCTCCGACGCTCAGGGCGAGAGGTCGACCATATGAACGTCAATTTGCTGTCGATTTTCTATTTTCATGATGATGAATTTTTCAACCTGTCCTATTTTCCATGATGATTGGTTTGGTTGTCGTCTCAGCAGAGCCACGCTGTTCTTAGCTTTGAGAATTAAGGAGGTGAGTATGTGAAATCGCAAGGCAGACTCAACTGTCAACAGCAGAATGAGTCAGTCAGGGGGGCAATCGACCAATGGAAATGTGTAATCAGATGGCCTGAGGCGGTCACGATCACGGCAGTGATGGTTTGTTGGAGGAAGCAGGTAACCGTCGGAACACGCCGCACTGTTACCCTTCTCCCTATGTACTTAGACTTGCACAGAAATAGATCGGGGGCTTGAGTCACAGGAGTCTGGAGGAGGCATGAATAGACACAAACGCTCCCTGACTCTTGGCATCTGAGACCAACAGCTGCAAGGGCCAGAAACGAGTCGATATACGGAGTACTGAACGACCCCGAGGACGGAAGTACGATGGAATTGCAGTCGCCAGTTCAAACAACGAAGATGCTGTGCGGTAGATTCTGCCGTGATATCTATTCTTTTGCCAGCATCAGCTGGGCCTTTTCCGGGCCTTCTAATGCACCGCATCCACGACCCAAACGCCAACCACATCTCCAACCTCATAAGAAGCTGTTCGCAACCGTCACCGCGGTCGTATAAATCATACACAGCACCCCGAGCACCATCATAACCAAATCGCCTGTCCTCACCCATGTTGCCCTCGCAACGCCCTTGTAATGCAAATACGCCGGGTAAACATACACCAACGGCACGCACGCCACACTCCCAATCAACGCCACAAAACGATCAAGATTGCCCGTCCCGGCGGCCGAAACCGCCGCGCACACAATCAGCACCCCAAGCCGGAACAAATTCTTAACCCACTTCGTCCTCAAACTCCTCTTCCCCGACCGATGCCCAAACACCCGGCCCTCAATGATCCTCAGCGCGGGGAACAACTGCACCGGCGTCCCAACCAGCACAGCGACCGAGTACAGCAGCTGGACCACATTCACTAGCCTGCTAGTCTGCGGGAAATTGTCGATGATCTCAATCTGCGTCGTCCGGCCAAAGGTGGCGTAGCACAGCGCCCCGACCGACGTGAACAGCGCCGTGATGAGCAGCATGACTACACCCAGCAGGCCCTCAAACTTTTGCGGTTCCAGCATGGAGTCCTCGATCGGCAGGATCAGCCCGATGCCTTCAAAGGTGAAAATGGCGGCGCCGATGGTGAGGGTGTACTTCTCCGGATTGAAGAGGACCACCGTCGGGTGGATCCCCGCCGCGGCGAGGGATGTGCTCGTGAACCAGTAGATGTAGCTCACGCCCACAAGAATGCAAGCATCTGCGAGCAGCGCGACCAAACCAAGCCTGGCAATATTCCGGATCCAGGCCAGCGGGATAAGCACGACAAGCTGAAACGCGATAAGCCCTGCCGAGGAAAAGGGGCTTTGCCCGTCGCCGGTGATGGCGGTGAAGAATGTAGACAAATTTTCAGCCACAAACACAATCCCCGCGCAAACAAATCCCAGCTGGGAGAGGGCTATGGAAAATAGAATGAGGGTGCGCATCTTGGAACCCGCAATGGCGTGGCCAATCTCGCCGTAGCCGCCGCCGTAGTGGTGCTTGCATTGCAGCAGGAGGTGGAAGGCGACCATGGTCAGGGCAGACACGACCAGCATGGCGAGCGACGAGAAGAGGATGCCGCCGTTGCTGAAGGCCTTGGGTAAGAACATGATGCCGGTGCCGACGAATGCTTTGATGAGGGTGAAGAAGGTCTTGGTTGTGCCGGCCCCGGCGGATCGCGGGCGCTGTGCGCGGGCTGATGAGCGCTGTCTGAGGAGCGGTCTCCGTTCTGGGGCCTCCTCCTCCTCCTCCTCCTCTTCTTCGGTGATGGCCTCCTCGTCTGAATCGGCAAGATCCTCGCCGGCAAAGCTTCCGTACAAATCCAGAAACTCAACAAAGTTCCTTGTGATGGGCATACGAGCCGCCATGAAATCGTGGCCCTTTTTCTGGCGCAGAAACGCGCGACGGAATCCCCCCGGCGCAAGCTGGTTGCCGACCGTCAGGATCCCGTCGCCGTCATCGTTCTCCCTTTGAAACTCCCGGGGAGCATGGAACGTCGCCGCCCGTCGGTGCATTGAGGCGCGAGCGGAAGCGTCCATTTTGAAGAGGTCTCGGTGAATGTCTCCTCCCTGCAGCTTCAGCGACGATTCTCCGGGCACGGCGGGCCGCTCCGGATCGGCGGCCGAAGAAGCGGGTCCATCTTCGCTGCCATGGAACTCGGCCGTGTATCCGGCAGGCAGATGCTCGGCGACGACTTCTGCTGCTGCTGCTGGGACCCGGCCTTCTCGTCTCTCGGGTGGTGTGGATGTGATGTCTGACATGGTGGGTGAGGTGAATTTGTGCCAAGTCAGGAACCGTGGATTGCCGCTGGAAACTGGCAATTGGGGCGCTTTTGTCGCAATGCCGCGGCAATCACGGCAGGCACCGGCTTCTTTGTCAAAGCTTCCAATGATGTCACGAATTAGCGGTCGAGGTCCCCCCGCACGTGGTAAAATCGAGAGATTCCACAGCTTCACCGCCAGAATTGAGCTGCACCTGCCAATCAACGTTCTCGTAGCGTAATCAGATTGCCGGCTGTGTCAGTGCTCGGGTTGACGTGGTAAGTGCAAGCTGGCCGGCGTGTTTCATCCCCTCATGCTTTGCTTGACACGCTGATACATGCTCTCATGAAAATGCAAGAAGGCCTGAGCCATTCTCTTAGTCTATGTCCATTGCTCTCGGTTTCAGGCCGGATATCCGGCGCTAGCGAGCACTCCGTCTTAAACTCTAACGAGCTGCCACATTCCGCCGCACGGCTTAAGAACATTACCTACTTTCTGGCATCCAGGACTGCGCAAAATTCACTTCGACACGAGTGTCTCAATCGAAGCAATCTGCGCAAGCACCGAGCCGCTGCTCGTACCCCCGGATGCGGACCTCTTCTCCACGCTCCTCTCAAAATCAAACACTTGTGCAATGTCGGCCTCAAACAGAGGCGAGATCTCCTTCAAAACATCCAGTGGCAGCTCCGAAATAGAAACACGGGCCTCCTCGGCCTTGCGGACGATGGCGCCGGCGATATGGTGGGTTTGGCGGAAGGGAACGCCCTTGCGAACCAAGTAATCCGCAACATCAGTGGCAAGCATGTCGTCTGTCAAGGCGGCCTTCATCTTGTCGCCATTGACCTTGAGGGTCGCCAGAACACCCTGCGTGATCCGCAGGCACTGGGAGACCGTCTTGATGCAGTCGATGAGAGGCTCGACTGATTCTTGGAGATCCTTGTTGTAGGATGTGGGAAGACTCTTCAAGGAGGAGAGAAAGCCAGAAGCCTACTAAATATCAGCATTGCGTCGTTACACCACGAAGGAAACAGGCAGAGGTAACTTACCTGCCCCATGACTCTGCCGGCCTTGCCCCGGATCAGCTCCAGGCTGTCGGGGTTCTTTTTCTGCGGCATCAAACTGCTGCCAGTGCTGTAGGCATCTGCAACCTGCACAAAGCCAAACTCAGCGGTCGAGAAGAGGATCAAGTCCTCGCTGAGACGGCTGAGATGCGCCATCAGCAGACTCGCCCACTGCAGGATCTCAACGACAAAATCCCGATCGGCAACAGCGCAGAGACTGTTCGGATGCACCGACGCGAACCCAAGGTCCTTGGCCATAAATTCACGATCAATCCCGAACGGATTGCCAGCAAGCGCACCGACACCCAACGGACAGGCCGAGACGCGCTCCTTGACACCCTCAAGCCGCTGGAGATCGCCCATAAGAAAAGTGGCATGTGACAGCAGCCAATGCGAGAAGCGGACCGGCTGAGCGCGCTGCAGATGTGTGTACCCGGGCATCAGGATGGGGAGATACTCCTTTGCCTGTGCCGCGCTGACCCGGAGGAGGTCCTTCAGGATGGCTGCGAGCTCGTTGAGCTGCTCGCCAGCCCAGAGCCGCATGTCGACGCCGACCTGCTCATTGCGCGAGCGGCCGGTATGGAGCTTCCCGGCAGCTGAGCCAATCAACTCGCCCAGACGGCGCTCGTTGGCCGTGTGGATGTCCTCGTCTGACTTTGTGTCAATGACGAATTTGCCCTCTTCCCATTCCTTCTCCACCTGTTTCAGCCCGGAGATGATCTGATCGAGTTCCTCGTTCGAGAGGATCTCGAGTTTTCGGAGGGCCTTGGCCCAGGTAATCGAGCCCTGGATATCGGCTTTGTAGAGGACCTTGTCGAAGGAGAGTGACTCGTTGAATTGGAACATCAAGTCGTCGATTGCGCCTGTCGATTGGGAGTTAGCTGTAAGCTGAATTTGCTTACATCAGATCAAAAATGGTCAATCGGTCTCACCGGTGAATCGGCCACCCCAAAGAAGGGCTGGAGCGCTAGTGGGAGCCATGTTGTGCGCTCGAGAGTTGTCGCTGGAATGGAAATTGGAAGTCGAGTCACGACTTGAGTGATTCACAAAAGACCCTGGGGCCTAAGTCATCGACTCTGTGCTTATCGTTATCTTTGGTGGATCCGAATATTTCAATACGTATCTTACATACAATATGGTACCGGTATTTGACACTTTAGGACGCGTGACTTCGCGAGAAACGCGTCTGCCGCGATCTTAACGAAGTACTCCGTAAGAATGCCTTCACTTTCAAATCTGCATCTATGTTCGCGAGAGTATCTCATTTGTACTTCTATAGGCACACCTGTATTCTACCCATGCAAATTCAAGATCCGATCCAATCCGCTAGTCCTTTCCGAACAGTTCCCTCAACACTGCCTCTGGCTCACTTCGGATCGATCCATGCCTCAGGCGCGCGCTGCCCTTGACCAGTTCGCACCCGTTGATTTTCCTTGCAGTCTCTTCGCAAAAGTTCCAAGCTACATGCATATCGTTGGGATACGCCAATGCTCGCACAGGCACGTCGTTTCTCGCCAGCTGTTCTTCGTCGTACAGATTCGGCCAGTCCGTCTTCTCGGCCAACAATCGCGCGGGTCGGATGAAGGGCTCCATCTTGGGGCCTGCGTCGTGTAACATGAATTCGAATATCATCTCCCCGGAAAAGAACAGCTGGGTTAGTTCAATCTCGTCGAAGCTAAAGTCGTCTCTCAGCCATGAGAAGCCCGACTTCTTCTTCTCAGCCTTTTCCTTGCCAACCTGCTGGGCAGCCCACTGCGAAGCCACGCCAGGCCCACAGCAGTAAATCTTCTCATGCAGCACCGCATACAGCGGCCTCTCCAAGAGTTTGAACCCCGTCCCTCCAGCCTCGTGAAACTTGGCCAAAGTTTGCTTGGCCGCATCTCTATCCTCCTCATTCAACTCGTTTGCCAGCAACTCCACCAATCGATGCATCTCTCTCCAGTCTTCCGCCGGGCTCCCACCCAGCCTTCTCCCCATCGTCATAAACCCCCTCGGCGTCAGCCTTGACCCATCCGGCAACTCCGCCCCCTTGTCACCATACATCCTCCACAGCTTCCCCAACACCTCCTTCACCTTCTGATTATCCCCGATATTCACCCTATCCGCCGCATTCCTCCTATAATACTGCCGATTCTTTTCCCTCACACCCTCAAACAACCTCTCATAAACCTCCCTCGGCGTCCTCCCCACCGGCGGTAGCCCCGCAGAGAGATACACCCTCTCCAACCCCCCCGGTAGAAACGAAAGATACGTCGTCGCAATCCACCCGCCATACGACTGACCCAGCAGGATGTATTTCACCTCCTCCCCCTTGGCTAACCCCAGCACCTCCGGCAAACGCAGCCTGATAGCCTCCAAATCAGCCACGATCGCGTCCTGTCGGAAATACGACAGATACTCCGCTTGACGAACAGCTTGTTCCTCAGGATCCTCACACTCAGCTCCAATCCGGGCGATCAACTCCCCGGTCACCGCGTCTTCCCCACTTGTGCCGCGGTAGTTAGGGTAGAGGATCGGCCAGCCGTGGTGTTTGAGGATCTCACCGTTGAGATCGGGGTTGCGGCAGGGGGGGTTGGCGTCGCCTGGTCCGCCGCAGAGGTAGACTAGGATGGTCTTGTGGTTCTGGGCGAGGAAGGAGGTCCAGGACGGGGTGAGGTCGGTGGAGATGGTGAATTCGGCGCGGGAATATACGAGGTTGGCGGAGATGGATATGGAACTTGAAGGGAGCTGGAACTCGGGGTGGTTGGGGTTGTTGTGGTCGAGGGGCACGGAGAATTTGAGGGGCATGATGTTGTAGCCGTTTTCCGAGCGCAGGGGGCCGTGTGGGTGAGTCCCTCCGGCTGGCTGGATGTTCTGCCAGTTGAGGGTCTTCATGGGGCGGAGTTGGAGAGACAGCAGGAGCCTCGGGGGTCAGCGTTCAGCAGATGATGTTCAAGGAACTTAAAAGGAGGGAGTACCCGAGGGTAGGCATGTGTCGAGGCTCTTTGCGGATGTCGTTTCTAATGTTCGAACAACTAAGCTTGCTGCTTTGATACAGGACATGTTGCCAAAAGGCCAGCCAGATCCGCCGGTTTCAATTTCGAGTCCGTCACTCGGGCCAGCCGCGACACGTACCGCTCTCAAAGGAAAGAGCGACCGTTTCTGCCTTCGGTTGGGTGGATTATTGCGTCTTTCCATCGCGCGGAAGGCTCAAGCGGCAAGCACCAACACCGTTAAAGCACTCCAAATCGCAGTTGGTGTCACTGCATAGAACCCTGTGTGAAAGACCGGACTGACTAAGGTATCGTCAGTCAAGCAACTCGTGACGGCCATGACTGAGAAACAGGGCAAAGAGCATCATGATATATCAAGTATCAAGACTCAGATGCCGTCTCTCTAGCATTCAGGCGGCTCAAGGGCTGAGGCCGTTGACATCTCTGCTGACCAGTGTGGAAACGTTGCCAGTATGTTGAACAAAGACTCATATCATGGCTCCTTTTACCCCTGGCTTCCCATTGCCGCAACTGGCACCTATGGTCGTTTTATATTCCGCGCAAGGGACTGGATCTAACTGGTCAGCAACTCAGGGACAGAAGGCAATCAAGCCATGTGTACTGTCAGCACCACTGAGGGTACCCGTATGTTGGAGATGTGGGAATGCTTTCCAGCTTGTTTCCGCTACAAACATGCCAGTGCTAACAACATGAAAGAAAACTTAACCATGTACGCTGTGATCGCATTGTGCGACCAAAAATCATGACGGCTCGGAGCCCTCCAACACACCCTCGTTGGTACCAAGAGAGACTCGAGCCGCATGGACTCCAAATGCCAACGACAGTCCTCCCTATCAATGGCGGATTGATATTCCAAAGCATTTACGAGCCCAACAGAGTTGTCCAATCAAAGGCAAGCCGAGGTAAAAATGCAGACAACCTAACCACTGTCAAGCTTCCATCTCGAGCCACAGCATGATACACTATTGATGTGTGTTAGATCAGGCTCTTCGAGATTCAATCTGGGGCACCAACTTACCGTCCTTGGACGGGATGCAAAGACATCCATTTCAGGGGGCGTTCCAGGTCTCTGTGGTACACTCGGGATGGCGAACTCCTCGGGCTGCAGCACACATGTATCGTGTACTAGCTGGAACCCAACATCATCCATCGGCTGCCCAACGAAGTCTGTGGCCATTGTCACACAGTACTACTTGAATGTAAACACATCATCCTCATAGCTGAAGACTTCAGCCGTCACAAGACAGGCCCTCAGACGGTAAGGGTGGTAGTTGCGAGTCTGAAGGCTCTGGACGACCAATATTCTGGAGCTGTCCGTGGCTGTTAGAGCATGGTGAGTACCCATGTTCATTTCGTCTGGGGGGTAAACTCTTTCCAGTACGAACAGGAGAGGCTCAGACCTGTTTGGGTGTCCGGCTCCGTTGTCCATGGTCTCGGCGTTTATGGTTGCGTTTCGCCAACGCACAATGAGGGAATGTAGCGAGCTCACGGCTTCTTCGGTTTTGCGATAGATATGCCTCCAGATCGGAAAGCCGCGGTTGTATTCGATACCGATGTCGTAGGATAACCCCAGGCGGAATCCTGACTCTAGGGGCAAGGCATCATAGGAAGCACCACTGTGGCTATAATCTGTTCAGTTGGGATTCAGAGCTTGGAGTTTCACAAAGACCAGACAGTTACGGTCGACATACCTGAGAATAAGGAACTGGTTTCCCCGTGGGGCTGAGGCTGGAGAAAAAAGCATCCCATTGCCCCCATCGCTGTGGCAAATTGCAATATCTCCTCCCGTGTAGTCTCTGTTCAGGATGATCAAAAGTGTCGCCACCCGACTCGGATCACACCGTTTGCTGAGACCGGTCAACAGTCAACTCGAAGGAACTCTGGTCAGGTATGCCCACTTGTGATAGTCTCGAAATAATGACTCCCGTTCCCAAAGATACAAACCATGCAAACCGATCCTGAATCTGCTGAGGTCGCTGAAACCCAGGTACTCTCCGGCGGCCTGACGGAGCATTCTCAAGTATGCGTCCCAGCTCGGGTCTCTGACTGTCACATGCTTGCCCGCAATGTACCAAGTCGGAGATCGCAGGGCTTGTTCCCAGCCGGTTGTGCCAGTATAATGTCGGACAAAGTCTTTGACGCGAGCAACTTGATCGGCGTTGAACGGAAAACGAAGAACTGATTCGCCGTCGATGTCAATGTCGCATACTTGGTTGTATTCGAACCACGCGCCGTAGGCAAGTCGGCCCGTTGGAACCCGCTTTAAACGGTCGACGATGTTTTGCCGAATGTCGGGACCAGGCGAGGATGACGGGTAGTTCGGCGGGGTCGGAGTGTCCTGCCATGTCACAGACTCCGAGTTCATGCTCGGGCAAGTCAGTTGGATAGGTACTAAACGGCCAGTGTAGGGACCTGGTTCACAACAGCCTTTTCAACAAGCCCAGATGGAGCGCGGGAGGGAGGAAAGAGTCGAGATATGGATGTGGCCCAGAACGTGCAGTCCAAAAGCTGTGTGATGCACTTTGGAGGGATCACGGAAAAAAATTCGATGTGAAGTTATGTTGGAGCAATCACGCTAAATGCATAACTATCCGTTCCTGGTTCTTCTGGAAGCAGCGTGCTTGTCCATTAGCTAGGAGTACATGAAGGGGAAGGAACCACCCACATATGGAAAGAAGGACAAGCAGAAACCAAGCCAGCGGTCCAGCACTCAGGACCTCGACGTTCTCCAAACATGAACCGATCATTGATGAAGTTGCAGGTTATCCGGTTTGCTTCTCATAGTATGTTCGCTGTGCCTAAGACACACCATTATTACCTCCTGACAACCTCACTGAGAGCCCTGAATCCTCCCTTTACACTAAACGCTTCTATCCCTTGGTGTCTAAGCGTCGATGTCCCCAACCGGGACGCGTCTCCGTCATAGCAAACCAGGATCACGGCACGCTGGCTTATCTTAATACCATCCAACAGTTTCAATACTCCTGCCTCCGAGAAACGGGACTGGATGCTATTCCAGATAGAGAACACGGCTTCCGGATCCCCGAACAGATCGCCGCCCGCCAACTCAGGAGTCAACCCGTCCAGCGGTAAATGAATGGAACCAGGGACGTGATGCTTCTCAAACGCGGTTTTAGCCCGGAGATCCAGGACAGCGGGCGCGTATAAATCCGGCTCTGGATGAAGGTGGCAGCATCTCGGGTTTGACTTGTGACTGGCAGAGTGGCCGAGGCAAGACCGGAGCGTGGACAAGAACCTGGAAACCCTCCGGGGGTTCAAGGGATCCGCATCTACGACGGAGTCGAGGGTTGTCAAGGATATGTTGATTGCCTTTTCACTTGTGACCGGACGCACTCGGTCCTGCAGCATCTCAGCCGCCTTAAGGGGATCGAGAATCCACCTCTCATCATGTCTGAGCTGGTCACACTGCAGCAGAATCTGCACCAAAATGGGTCAAGGGAGTCAGCAAGGGTCAACTTAAGGTGGGAGAAGGTGGAAGCAGAGGGGGCAGGAGCAATGATACCTTATTTTGAATAGGCGGAAACTCCGCCTCTTCAAGCTTCTGAAAGTACCCTGCGAGATACTGGTAAGGAAGGTCGCTGCAGGTAAACACGCACGAGACCTCGCCGGTCGTGTTATTAGCAAGCTTCCCAAGCTCACCCGTCTTCTTGAGCCGGCCGATGTAATCCAGGAGCCCGCACAGAGCTTGCCCGGAGGACGGGCCAGCAATCAAGCCTTCTCGGGAGAGATGCATCGACGCACGATACGAGTCGACCGATGCAACCTCGACAAAGTCGTCTACCGTTTGCGCCCAGGGAAATCCGCAGGAGTTGAATCCTTCGAAATGCCTTGGTCCAGGGGTTGGGTCACCGAAGACGTTGAACACCCTGTGATGTGTCATTAGGCGCCCGAGGTGTAAAGGCAGGGATGCTCTGATGACGGTAGCGTGAGCCCAGGTAATATAACTCACCCCAATGTCCTGACGGAGGGTTTCTTGGACTTGAGATATGCTGATGTCCCGGTAATGCAGCCTAGGTAGGTAGTTCAGGGGTCAGAAGGCAATTTTTCGTTCCCAAGAGGAGATTACCGGCATACCTCCAGTGCCCACTGTGGTGCAAAAGATGTTGATCTCTGGTAGCTGCTGGAGGATTTGCGGCCCTGTCCATTGCTCATGTGCCCTCCAGTTCTGTTGATACATTGAATCAGTTACCAGATTTATACGATCACGGTCCTGGAGTCAGAGGCCGTCCTTACGTTCTCATTATCATATTGCCCTGGGTATGTCACATCCCGACGCTTTGCCGCTAACCGCCTCAATCTACACATGATCCCGGTCTCATCTGTAGGCTCTTGCTGTGCTAGACCGCTGTAAAGATGTCTGTCCTTCACTTAGACTTTGCCGTTGGAGGTGAGGCAAGAAGCTGAGACTCACGGCGAAATTCCAAAGAAGCGCAGCAAGCTGAGAGACTCCGGGTGCTTCTTGTTGGTGACATATGCATTGACGTCGTTATGGCCCCATAGAACACGGGCAATGATCCCCAGGGATAGGACCGTTGACCCCGAGCTGGCTTCGACGATGGTGTTGTGCCTGGCCTCAGGAATTCCTCTGAGCATTCTCAACGCTGGGCGTCGTTAGTGTCTAAGAAAATCTCCCTGATGCACAGGGCTCCTTACCGGGTAAAGACTTGACGTTTTGCGCAGGAAGATGTGTGAGCATCTTGGCGTATATCCGGACTCCATCCTGTCTGAAGGGGTTCAAACGGTCCGGAATCTCTATCAGAGGTAGCGGTGGATTCTTGTCAGGGTCGAAGAAGTCTGCCACCGATGTAGGACCGCGGAATACGTTCATGTCGTTTGGAGTGCCCATGGTAGGTAATCAAGGTTAAGGGGAGGAAGACGACAGGAGAATAGGTCCCATGAAGAATGCCTATGTGATTTGAGCTGTTCTCTGCCCCGGGTTGAAGCGACACACTGTGATACAGCTTCAAGTTACACCGGACACACCTTTCGTAGTCCCAACGGTGCGGATAGGTAAGGTACCTTGAGCTTAATTCTTGCTGCACTTCAGGTTCTCCAGCCCTAGCTACCTCCCAACCTACTAGATATCTTATCGATCGGTGGCACCTGAATTGGCCCCTTAAAAGCTCTAAGTCCCATACGTTCCTGACACGGAAACTGCCGCTGGCTTCCGGAAAACGATCGAGGAGAGAATCCCATCGTGTCGGGTTCACTCAGTACAAGTTGATTAACCGCTCAAACCCTCTCAGTGACTGCCCGTGAACCTTGGCTTGGCCAAGACATGCGTAACCTCTTTCTGAACATTCCGGAGTCAGATGATGTCGCTCTGGTTACTTGTAGATGAGCTAGTACAAACGAGCGTGAGAAGTTTTGTCACAAACAAAACGCAAATGAGCAAGTTTCTGAGGTGAGCAAGTTTCCCCTCAGATTTCTGCCTGCTGCAGTGGAACTGCGGCAGGAAAGAGCATCTGTGTCTCAGGAAGTATGAGTGGTGCCCGCCCGGATCCTACCTTCCGTCTCACAACAAGGTCAACAGACCAACAGTTAAAGTCTTGGCCCGAGCCAGAAGAGTCCAGCCACCGAAGATACCCAGCGGGCATTATTCCACGACAGGATGAAATGCCGCCATATTGATCATCAATCTAAACTTTTGTTCCACGAGTCCGGGGTCGCTTAGCTACACGCCGAGGTGTTACTGCTCTTTCCAGTTCCACTCCAGTCAGCTCGAGTTATTTATACACAGATGCATATGTACCTGTACAACTGCCGAAGTTAAAGTTCTGTGTAATCTGGGGTTCAGTCTTTCTCTCCACCCCTTCCATCATTCTGGTCACCCAGAATGGCTCAAAACTGGACCGTGCCCACGGAGGCTTGGAGGTCATCACGCCCGCTCGGCTGGGTACTCGGTATACAGACCTGTGCAGCTACAGGTAAGAAACCTGAACCGGCAGCAGCAAATGCTTGTCATAGCCCGGATCAGCTCTAACAGCGACTTAGTCTACCTCCGCGCTGTACAGTCTACAGTTCTCGATAGACCACAACGTCACTGGTCTGTAGACTTGGAAGTCATTCCCCCTGACGATGCATCAACCACCGCGAAGCCAACTCTCGAACCTATCCTCATACACGAGGATGACCTGGAAGCAAAATACTCTGCGCTGCTCACCACAGACCTGCTCAGCGTCCTAGCCGACACTGACAGTGCCCAACCTGGCACGCTGCTGAGACTGCTATTCCCCCAGGAGGCCGGCACGCCCGTGAGGTCCGATGTCCTCCACTACAGGCTTCAAGGGCTCGACGAGGTACGCAAAGTCAGAAGCTTCCTGAAGCCCCTGGTGCCTGTGAGCGCGGTTCCGCCCGAGCAAGCCAACCTCAGTTCCAATTCGGCCCAGAGCTTCATGCAACTCCTCAAGGGCGCCATCGGGGGTATCGTTGCCCAGTCAGTCACACCAGGAGAGGATATGTCACAGCTACGCCACACCCTCGATGTGGAACTCAAACTGCGTCTCTCCTTCCCCTGGTCAATCCCCAACCCGCTATCCCGGCGTCGTGTCTTTTGGGTCCAGGGCCGCGCCAACATTGAGGCAAGCCGCCAGTTCTATCAAGCCGCAAAGGCACTGGGAATTGACCTCGTTGTCCTTGACGAGCCGGGCCATTGGATGGGGGACGACTCCGGTCCGTACGCGCACTATCGCGAGGCGTTCATCCCCATGTCCGTAGATGGCGACGAGGGCTTGACCGATCGCATCGTGGACGCCGTCAGGGCCTACCCGAAGCAGGTCGACGGGATCGTCACCATCAGCGACGTGCGGCTGCCCCATGTTGCGCGGGCCTGCGAGATTCTGGGGCTCCCCACGTCCCCGTCCGCGGCGTACCGCATTGCGGGCGACAAGGGTGCGACTCGCCGGCTGGAGGATTCCGTCAGTGGCACTGAGAGTTTTGTTCTCCAAAGTGCGGAAGGGCTTGATGCCGTGCTGGCCAGACGCAAAGAATCCTTCACATACCCCCTGATTGTCAAACCTTGTACAGGCTGGAACAGCGACTGTGTGGTCAAGGTGCGGAACCAGGAGGAGCTGTACGCCGCCGTCCGCCGGGCGTCGGCTAGACACGCAAGTTCCCCGGCGAAAAACACCGGTGTCGTGGTAGAGCCGTACATCGATGGTCCTGAGGTGGACGTCAATTTCGTCATGCTCGACGGCGAAATCCTCTTCTGCGATATCACAGATGACTTCCCATGTGCAGGTGACCTGGCCGCAGCCGAAGGGTCTCCTCTGGCGGCCAATTTCATGGAGACACTCATGGATGTCCGCTCGATACTCCCCCAGGAGGAGCAGGACATGATGCGAGACTCGCTGCAAAAAAGCATCAAACGCTGCGGTTTCCAGTCAGGCATTTTCCACTGCGAGGCCCGCGTGCGAGGGTCCCACATGTATTACGGGCCGAGGGATGATAATGGACTGTTGGACTTGCGTCTTCGGCCGCTCGACGGGAAACTGCCTCCGCCAGCGACATGCTACCTGCACGAGATCAATGCCCGGCCCCCGGGGTACATCAACTGTGTTGCGGCGCTGCTGGCGTATGGAGTTGATTACTACGCCATCCGGCTGCTCCTGGCCCTCGGGCCGAGCGAGGATGCGAGAATACGGGCGCTGGCGCAGCCGTTTTCTTGGTGCAGCCGTCTCGTGTCGCAGTACGGGTTGGGGATCGTTGTCCTGCCTCCGACCAAGGAAGGGATTATGGGATCTGAGGATGCAGTGGGGGAGTTTTTGGACGCTAACCCGGATCTGCGAGAGCATGTCGTGTTTTACCAAACGGTTAAGCAGAAGGCGGAGGTGGTACAGGGACCTGATTCGAGTGAGCTGTGGTGTATTGGCTATGTCATCGTTGCGGCCACGAAATCTGATTCAAGGAAAAAGGTCTTGGAGCTGGCCCAGCTTATGAGGGAAAGATTTGATTATAAGCTGATGGAGGAGGTTTAGAGAAAATATGACAGACATACATTGATTGCAAGCAATTCAGGTATCTATGCCTTCCATGGGGGTGTACCCCTGAATCGCACCGCATCTTGCCCCTAGCTTGCCCACCCCCCCTGAGCCCCTACCAACTGAACCCTTCATCAACCAACACATACGCCCTCTTTGCCAACCCGCTCCGACTAAGCTGCACAACCTTATGCCTGACATGATCGGCCATACCAGGCGGTCCACATACAACAATCCCCAGCAACCCATCATCCCCACCCTCCTCGCGATCATGATGAACCAACGCCTTCTCAAGAATCCCGTCCAGATCCAACCTCTGTCCCACCACCGTCTCAACCTCCACACCAGCCGGAAGAGCAGCCAGCGCAGGCCCGACCGCAGCCGCCAGTCCGGCTTTGCGCGTTGCCCAGAACAGTCGCGACGTAATAGCCTGGCGGTTGGTGGTGGTGGTGGCGGTGGTGGTTGTACGGAGTAGGTAAGGCAGGAGTGCGGTAATGCCCACGCCGCCGGCAAGGTACAGCGTGCTGGAGCAGTGTGAAAGCTGTCTCCTGACGTCGCCTGAGTGGGGGTACGGTCCGTCCACCAGGACGCGGATGACAGTAGATTGGGACTGGGTTGATCCGGCGACGCGGGATCCTAGGGCGCGGGTCACGCCGGTGCGGACGCGGGCGAAGAATGTTGTTGTCTTGGGCCGAGTGAAATTTGCGGAGGATGTAAGCACGGTTACGTTCGACTTTTCCACGGTGGTTTCTTTGCCTTCGTGCTCCGGGCCAGAGGTAGGCGGGGTGTCTGAGCCTGAGCTTGAATCGGTCTTCAAGTCAAGCGAGCTGAATGCCACGGAAAAGGGGTGTGTTTCCCAGAAGCGCCAGCTCAGTGTTGGGAAGCAGAGGTAGGCCACGCCGTCTGAGAGTTGCACGCCGTTCACGTCCACGCGGAGGTACTCGCCGTCGGTGTCATGGACGAGGCTGACGGTAGCGGTGCGGTAGCCCCCCAAGGCCATGCGAACTAGGCGGGCCAGGCGGTCGGTGGCCCAGATACCCGCCGCGATGAATGCCCAGATCTCGTACCCCCACTTGTATTGATAGCAGTACCATATGTGGTAGTAGTAGCCGATGATGAAGATCAAGACCAGAACCACGTGCGAGGCAAGGAAGAACTCATAGATCTTCTGCCGCACAACGAGGAGAGACGAGGGCAGAATCGCAACGACGGCGACGGTACCCACAATCCCCCACTGCCAGTACAGGCGGGCCAGCTCGGACTGGTACGAACCGTAAACGTTGTAGTAGCCCAGAAGCATTATTGAGTGGAGGACGGTGTGGAACACGGCCCAGTAGCCCAGCCAGCGGTGCAGAAGGAGGTAGGTGCCGCAGCTCCAGTCGGTAACCCAGAGCAGCACGTTGTTGCGTGCCGCAAAGAGAAACAGCGCTACGCAGTTGCCCATGGCCATGACACCGGCGCGGTTACCCATGACGCTAAGCGTCTGGGCCGCCAGGGAGGGGAACGTGCTTTGCGGATGGTGGGCGACGTAGGGCGCGAGCAGGAAGACCAGGTTGAGGATGCTGATGAGCGCAATGTACAACGCCTGGCCGCGGGTGGGTATTATTCCCATGCCTGGAGCTGCTGGCTCACGATGACGCCTTCCAAGTACAGCCGGGTCGATCAGGGCGGACTGGAACCAGCTCCACTGAGGGCTTTTGGCGATGCCGGGCAGGAAGCGGATGAGAGACAGCGGAACGGGGAGAAAGATGGCGACTAGCATGATGACAATGCTGTAAGTCGAGTGGCCGTTCTCGTTGACCTCGAAATCCAGCATGCCATTGTATTGCTTCTGCCAGTCCTTGGGCGCAATGAAGCTGGTCACGTTCAGGGGTGCGCCAGCCTTGATGGTAGGCAGAGCGCTGGAGACTTGGGGCCCGGCCTCGGTCATGAACTGGCGACTCTTGAGGTGTGCGGCCCTCATGCCGTGGCTGTGTCCTCCATGACCGCTGCCGTTGTCCCCGCCGGCGGAGGAGTTCGCAGGCAACCGCATCTCATCTGCCCGAGCAGCAGCCAGGGCGTCGACGTAAGACATGGCCGGCACATATTGGTAGTCGCCGAGGGTGCCGGTGCCGAGATGGGAAACCCAGTAGTCCTCGATCAAGTCGAGAGGCGGGCTGTCGCTGATGGGGCAATATGTGTCGATGCAGATGGCCATGGTGCGGAGGAAGGCGGCATCTCGGACGAAACAGTCGGGCGGCGTGGTGACGGGGTTGTGGGCGGTGCCGTGATTCGCCGTGCTGTCGGTCGGCGTGCACGACAGCCGGCAGTTCCTGATCACATTGCGGCAGGCGAAAGCGCACGTCGGGTGGTACAGCGTCTTGCCGAATCCGATCATGCCCACCCCGTCTGCCAACACCGTCACGGCGTGGAGAGAGGTGAGGGCAACAGAGACGAACGAGCCGCGGGTCGGCTTCATGATGGCGACGTTCACCTTCCGGTTCTTTGCATAGCCCTTCGGTCAGCACTGTAGCCGTGCTCCAAAGACACGGGCATCTTGCTGAAAGTCGGCAGGAAAGAGATGCAGGAACAAAGGCCCAGTTTTATCAGAGTTACACTCGACACCTTCCCCGGACGTGAGCAAATTGTGGCGTCTCCCTAGTGTATATTGACTCCCAACCTCGCCAGGTACGTTCCGGGGGGGTCAGATTCAGCCTTAGTTGGTGCAAGCCAAGACACGGAAGAATAAGCCCTGGGTTCCATGCCCGTACCGAGGTCGTATCGGAGACTTGAGACGCCGCACGCGGCAGACAAACTCGGTAAGCAAGACATTTGGCCCTGCAGTCCATCAGGCATTTTGATACAGCGATAAGAGCAAGAGAAGAAGGACCGAAAACTCTAGCGACCAACTTCATCCAGCTTGCAAATGACCTCTGTACAAATGAGCAGCCTCCAAGCATCATCAGATGCTATAAACCTCTCCATGTTCTTCCGCAAGACTTCCACCTGCTCTTCAGTGTACCCAAACTGGGCAGCAGCTTTCCGGTATTGCGAGTTTTCATCGGCGAGCATCGTCAGCATCGAACCTCCGTACAACTCCCTCTCCGGCCGAGTAATATTACTGAGAACGCTCGCCGACGCCGTTATCTGGTCCCTAGGGAAGCCAACTTCCAGTGCCTTGCTGACCAGTTTCCGGCCCGTCTGCGTGTCCAGTCCGTTCAGCTTGTAGATACGCTCCTGCAACTCGGCGCTCTCGGGACACGGCGGCCAGAGCACTTGAGAGTGAGTATCCCCCTCGCGGCACGCCACGATACCGCCGTCTTGTTTGGCAAGCCGTTTCATCTGCCGGAGAACCTCGATGTTGTTGGGGATGCAGATGAGCGTGGTGTGCTCGTGGACCACGTCGAACCCTGAGCTGATCTCCTCTGCGGAGAGAAACGACTCGGGCTCAAGGATGTTGCCCGCCCGGAACTCGATGCCGGTGCCGGGGGCTGCTGTGGGAATGTTGGCGTTGTTACGCGCAATGACTTCGGTGCCGATGTCAACGCCTATTATCTTTGCCTGGGGAAACCGCCGCGCGAGGTCAAACGTGATGCTGCCGGGGCCGCAACCCACGTCTAACAGGGAGAAGGTTGGTGGTAAGGCCTCGAGCGTTGGGAGCAGGTAGCCCAGGCATGTTTTGACGTTGCGTAGCTCAAAGGCTTTCAGCGTGTCTTCCTTGTAGCCGATGTGGTACTCCTGCTTGTGGCCTGCCGTCTCGGTATTCGACGCCATTGCTTCCCTGAGTGCTGACGTGCGTAGTGCCGGTCTGTCTGAAGCGGTTGATGCAATACTGGCTTTGAAATAATGCGCCCCAAACCCCGTGAGCTTATTCTTCATATGCAGTCTTGCTCCCGTCAAGTATTCGGTACTTCGGCGGTACATCCATCTTCAACCGTTCTGCCAAGCCGCAAGGGGGGTGAGCAGTCTTGAGCAAGTTGAGAGGGAAAAAATGGTCGAGCAGTTTTGAGCGGGTTTTGAACTTTGTCGTGGTATTCCGGTCTCTTGGCATCTTGGCATCTTCCGTCTCATCAATCGTTGCCAGATTGGGGCAAGAGGTGAGTTGAAGTTTACGAGAATGGAAGGAACGACTTGGGCTCTTGCTCGTGCCTGACAGGAGGTGCACAACACAAGTTCGAGATTTGTGAATGGCTAGATTCCATTCCACCACATATTTCGGCGGTTGCATTTCTACTTCAATCTTAACTATTATGAGATGAACTCATGGGTTCTCAAAGGAATAGTTAGGTTACTAGGTATGAAGGCAGTAGCCAAAGTATGTACAAGTGGAGCTTCCACATGCCACTGCATGACTAAATGTCTACAACATCCATTGCATTCTCACTGCTGGATGGGCCAAAGAAAGGTACAGGACACACGCAACAAGATAGACACAGTTACTTACATTATCTTCAGCCCTACGACGCATCTGGTACCGTCCGCGAGGCCAGCACACCCTCTTCTCTCCAACATCATGGACCACCCCCATGCAGATTCCGAGAAAGGACCCAGCCTTGCAATAGTACCCGTCTCTGATATCGAACTGCTGCCACGGGATGCCACCGACGAGGAAATACGCAACCTACCGCTCGTGGTCGATCACATACCCCTTGCGGCTTGGGCTGCAGCTCTTCTAGGGGCGGCTGAGAGGTTCAGTTACTATTCCATCATTTCCATCTGGCGTAAGAACACCCACAGATGGTTAGAGGTTGCAGAAACTGTGTACTGATGAGGAAGTCTAAGAAAACTACATGCAACATGGTCGCGACGTCGGTACCGTGCCTGGAGCACTAGGCCTAGGCCAGTCCGTTGCCACGTCCATCTCAAACAGTTTCTTCGTCTTCTCCTTTGTGACGCCAATGCTGTTTGCACTTGTCTCTGATGTCTGGCTCGGTCGGTACAATACACTGCTTCTCAGTTTCAGGTGAGACGCCGGTGACAGAAGCTGTGTCGTTTGATCCAGCTTCCTACCAACTTTACCAAGCACCTGATCGTTCTGACAATACCAAGTCTCCTAATATGTGGGTCCTCCGTCATGTTTATAACCTCCCTGCCAGTGGCTCTGGATAACGGCGCCGGGATTCCAGGGTTAGCCGTCTCTATGGTTTTCACGGGGCTTGGGGTTGGGGGCATCAAATCGACAATTTCGCCATTCATTGGTAACCCTCTCGGTCTTACTCCAGCCATCTTCTGTCTTATGGGAGGTTAGTAACTAAGTCCGACGCTCACAGGTGATCAATACGTGCAAAGAAAACCTCGGCTGGTCCGCAAAAAGAACCGTGACCTCGTTGTAGTCGATGGTTCACGAACCATACAGTTCCTGTACAATGCATTTTACTGGTAAGTGGACTGCTCAGGGGAACTGAGGTATCTGGACTGGCAGACAGTGGCAGTCCCCTGAATTAACCGGATAATGGTAGGTTCACAAACATCGCCTCACTCTCTTCCATACCCGCCACGTTCTTGGAGCGCGAGTTTGGATTCTGGACTGCATATCTCATGGCAACCATCTCCTTGATCGTTCCGTTCGCTGTGCTCATCAGCCTGAAGTCGAGACTCGGTAAGTCCGCAAGCCGGCGGATTGTCTTCTGACTACTAACCCCTAAATGACGGTCACAGTCAAGGTTGTACCCCAGGAGAACATTCTGCCGAAGGCTGTCAGGGCCCTGACCATTGCGGCTCGCAACGGGTTCAACCTGGACCATGCGAAGAACTCGTACCAGATTGAGAACCAGGGACGAAGCGTACCATGGGAAGACGGCTTCATAGACGAGCTGAAAAGGGGCCTGGTTGCTTGCCGTGTCATGTGAGTCATGAATCTGTTACCTTCCTTTCTCCCCCGGCTCCCGTCGGGACCACTAACCGCTCCCCAACACAGCTTCTCATTCGCCTTCTTCTACCTCTCCATCACCCAAATGTACAACAACCTCATCTCCCAAGCCGGCCAAATGAACCTCCACGGAGTCCCCAACGACATGATCCAAGCTATGGCGGGTGTAGCCTGCGTCGTCTTCGGCCCTGTCATCCAAGCCCTCTACAACTTCCTAGCTAAACGACGCATTCCCTTTGGCCCAATTGCGCGCATCTCCACCGCGTTCCTGATATGTGGAGGTGGGATGGCCTACGCCGCCGGTCTTCAGAGACTGATTTACACCACGGGACCGTGCTATGATGCACCCCTTGCATGTCCCGCATCGCAAGGAATGCCAAACGACGTGAACGTGTGGCTGCAGCTGCCCGTCTATGTGGCGCTCGCCGTGGCCGAGATCTTTGGCCTCGTCACGGCCAGCGAGTACTCGTACGAGAAGGCGCCAAGGGGGATGCGGAGCGTCGTCCAGGCCATGGTGCAGTTGAGCGCGTGCGTCGGGGCCTTGCTTGGCATAGCTATCAGTCCGGCTGCCCGTGACCCCTATTTGGTTATTGTGTATGGTGTTCTGGCTGGAGTCATGGGTTTGTGCTCGGCCTTGTTTTGGGTCGTCTTCCGCAGATACGACAGGATCAATGATCAGCTCAACTGCCTGCCTGATGCCGCCTCGGAGCCGGAGAGAACATGATGATAATGGATGAATGGGGAGTTCAGCCGGCAACGACCAACTCACTGAGCTGCAATTCTGACAGGGTCTGATGGTTCAGGCAGGGTTTCGGTTGAAGAAAGGGAATGGTGAATACCGTCTTCATCAAGTTCGAACGAGGCATCAATGGCGTTCAGTTGGAGAGGCTGAACTGGGTCAGGTCACGATATACTTTAGCTTGCCTGATATTTGCCTGAGGACGACTGGGGGTAGATGTACCAGAATTCCCAAACTCTCAGTCTGGGTTTTGTTCTGCCTGCCAAGCAAGGTATAATACAAGAGCCAGCCGACGAGTCAGACCAAGGAGTGACGAATGTGCTTGACCCAAGAGAAGAAAGCGGGCATAGACTGTCTCAAACCTAAACCACCAACTCCGTCATACTCCGCTAATGAATGATACAAACGATCGCCAATCTCTTGAGTCCAGAAGAGAAGCTCAAGGTTACCTTGCAAATCCATACCGCACCGCCTAATTCCTAAGCCTGGCTCTGTGATTTTGAGAGCCGAAGAAGCTAGTGTTTCTCGGGTGAACAGCAACTGGTGCTAAGAATGCTCATGCTGCGACTGAATCCATCTTGGACTCCCTCCCACCCAGATTGGTCGGCTTCACGTTGGGGTTTTTCTTGTAATAGTTGTTGATGGCAGACTTGATGGCGTCTAGTGATATCTGTTTAGCGTCATGCGGCAATGATGAACCAAGTCTGACATTTCGCATGGGCAATATACCTTCAGCAAGCATACTGCAGTGAAGTTTGACGGGCGGGAGGCACTAAGAGACATCTCAGCTTCTCTGTCAGTAGATCTGTACAGGGCAATCAACATACCAGTTCCTTCGCGATCTCGGTGTTCTTGACCTTCGCAGCCTGCTCAAGGGTCATTCCCCGAACAAGCTCTGTGAGGTAGCTGGAGGAGGCTCTGCAATGGAGTTAGTGAACGGCCTAAAGAACATGCGTTTCATCTGTCTCGACATCTGGAACCGGTTGAGGGGGTTGGTGACTGTGCTGGCTATCGGCGTAGGGTGGGCAGAAACACCGAGGAAAGTTTGGGGAAATGGCACTGAGTAGCGGTGGCCGGGTCGCTAGCTTCGGCTCGGGATGATTCTCAAATCCCACCATCGCATTCTTCCAATACCATCCTCCGGAAGCGAAGGGAGCCAGCGCCAGTGGGCGTTTGCAAGGCTCCAACTTCGGAAAACCGCGTGGTCCAACGCCGCCAGTGGTACACAGCTTCGTTCGTCGGCTAGCTATAGCGACGCCCACTTGGAGAGTGCTCGGCAACCCTCGGACTTCCGACCAAACCCCTTCTCGATCCCATAACACAATCTGGAGAAAAGGAGGGAATCCTTACATCGCGGAGCCGCATCCGAACGTCTTGAATCGAACATCGCTGATGACCTGGGTTTCGGGATCGACCTTGATATGAAGCCGCATAACGTCACCGCACTGCGCGCAGTGAACAGTTAGCGCACGCCTCGAGAGAACAGAGACGTCGGATAGCTTACAGCCGGCGCTCCCACCAATCCTTCGCCAACCGACTTGTCTTTCTTGTCTAATGTTCCGACATTCCGGGGGCGGGAGTAGTCTGCAGATGGTTGGGTTAGCGACACACAATTCCATACACCGCCAGAAGAGTTTGAGAATGTGCTGTAGGATAACGTACGGTCAAGGACCTTCTCATGGTAGTGACGCTTTGCTGCGGGTTGGGCAATCTGCGGCGCGAACTGTCGCGACACGGGAGTGGCAAGCGGTCGGATCGAGCCAGCCAGAGCTCGGCTGGAGACAGCGCGGACTGTTCTGGACAGCATTTCGCGAGAGATGTGAGTTTTGCTTGTTGTTCTCGGTTCTTAGTGATAATTCGCGGTGTCGAAGTGGAAGTTGTTGAAAGATGTCAGCGGGATATGGAGTTTGAGTGTGTGCTGGATGGAGGAAAGATTGCATTTGCCAAAAACTCATGGAAGATGCGGGACTTGTCCATGACGATTGAAGAGGCGATTCTGGGGCCGTGAGCGGTCTTAACAAAAATGGGTCCCAAAGTCAGGAGATGCAGCGTAGAAAGACTCCATTATTTGTTAGTGCAAGCTAGGCCTTGTGGGGCCCAAAAAGACCGCTTGAATGCAGGGCGCATGCCGACGTCGGCCGAGGCGGAGAATCGGAGGGTCAAAGGACCCACCCTCCGCGGAGATAAGATCATCTGATACGAGACCGAGGAGTTGCAAGGACGGGATGGCATTTGTGTTTTATTTATGAGCGGAAACCGCACTACAGTATTCAGCAATTTCTCTAGTTGCAGCGCAGTATCACACGGTTTTGAATAGCAGTTATTGTACTATTTCTATGGATTTCGGACATAACTAATGCTTGCACCGGATAGAGAAATTGTCTTATCTTCCCTTAACATTTCCCTAGCGTTTTGTTGGTTATCCTACACTAGTTTGTGTTAATCAGATCAGGGTCAAACTCAAGTTGAAGTCCAGCCAGTTAACTTTGACCTCAACTGCAGTGCCCACTGTCAGCTGCATCATCGCGGGGCTGGAGCCTGTTGTTTGCCCCGCGTTTCAGCTTCCTGCCTGCCGAGTGACGTGCCACCAAAAGCTTACCTACAGCTCAAGGTTACCCAACAAACCATCCCGATTACATACCGACCCAAGTTGCGTATCTGACCTACGAAATAACTTGCGCTCCACGGTTAACATCATCGCGCCTTTGAATATGGCGTGCCAACATATTGGATCTGCAAGTGTGTGGTTCCAGTCCAGGCTTCATGGCTAACAGGGCAAGCTAACGACCCCGACAGGCGTTTCCAAACCAACACCCGCAGACACGGTATATCGCGAAGACTGTACTCAGTGTTTTGATTCCATCGTGCGTAAAGCTCTCTGGGCGGCCATCTGTTGTCACACGCTTCAAACTGACACTCTCGCGACCAGGATGATCCAGCTGGGTTAGATGTCTGCCTCAAGTGCTTCAACGGAGGCTGTGCGGGCGACCGGAACCACGCAAAGCTGCATAGCATCTCCCGAAATCACCCTCTTGTCCTCAATGTCCGCCGCACCCGCAAGATCATCGTGCGCGACGAGCCGCCGCTCAAGATGTCCAAGCTCGCCATCGCCGCCGAAACCGAATCGGACCGCTACGACACGACGTTGACGGTCAAGTGCCTAGAGTGCGGTATCGACGACATCGACAAAGCCAACCCCGTGATTGCCGCGGCGGTGGAGGCAATCATGGCCGCAAACACATTTTCCCGGAAAGAGGAGGTGAAGGCGTGGGAGCAAGAGTTGACCAGTTGCGAGCACATTCTCACGCTCCAGCAAGGCCCGCCCCGCCAGATTGAGTCTCAGGACCTTGGCCACTGCTCCAAATGTGACCTGAACGAGAACCTCTGGCTCTGTCTAGAATGCGGGAACCTTGGCTGCGGCCGAGCACAATTTGGAGGTGTGGGTGGCAACTCTCATGCCTTGGCCCACTCGACCGAGTCCGGCCACGGCGTAGCGGTCAAGCTTGGCTCTATTACGCCCGAAGGCACTGCCGATGTATACTGTTATACGTGCGATGAGGAGCGGATTGATGACGACCTTGGCACCCACCTAGCCAATTGGGGTATCATCCTTTCGGAGCGGCAGAAGACCGAAAAGAGCTTGACGGAGATGCAGATCGAGCAGAATCTGCGATGGGAATTTTCAATGACGACCGAGGACGGCAAAGAGTTGACTCCGCTCTTTGGCCCTGGCCTGACAGGCTTGAAAAACCTGGGAAACAGCTGCTACCTAGCCAGCATCCTCCAGTGCCTCTACGACCTGCCCTCATTCCAAGAACGGTACGGGGGCGGCGTTTCTTCGCTCCCCGATGTGCAAGATCCCGCGCAAGATCTGGAGACACAGCTACGCAAGATTGGGGACGGCCTGCTCTCCGGTCGGTACTCGAGGCCAGACTCGGACGTGCATGTGTCAGAACATTCGCCCGAAGTTCCGCACCAAAAAGGTCTCCAACCCTCGATGCTCAAGCACCTCATTGGACGTGGACATGCCGAGTTCTCGACAATGCGTCAGCAAGACGCTTTTGAGCTTCTGCAGCATCTCATCAAGCTAATCACACGATCAAAGCACCCCTCCGGGCTCAACGATCCCACACAGTCCATGAGGTTCATGATGGAGCAACGCCTGCAGTGCCTCAACTGCAAGAAAGTCCGTTACAGCAGCAACGAGCAAGATAGTATCTTGATCGATGTTCCTCATGAGAAGCTTCCAGCGGAGGAGGGTCAGGAACCCAAGTACAAACCAGTCACATTGAAGGACTGCCTTGATAACTTCACGGCGTCCGAGATCGTTGAGCTCACTTGCTCGGCATGCGGCAGCCGAGATGGCTTCACCAAGCGACAGCTTTTCAAAACGTTCCCCGATGTCTTGGTCATAAATGCACGCAAGATGGCCGTGATCAACTGGGTGCCAGTGAAACTAGATGTCCCAGTCATCGTGGAGGACGCACCCTTCGCTATGGACGCGTATCTCTCTCGCGGACAACAGCCAGATGAAGAGCTTTTGCCAGAAGAAGCAACTCCAGCCGGCGGCAGTGCGCCCAGCTTTGTGCCCAATGCAGAAGCCGCTGCGCAGCTCGAGAGCATGGGATTTCCCCGCGCTCGTATCGAAAAGGCGTTGCACGCGACAGGCAACAGCGATGCAAATGCGGCGATGGAGTGGCTGTTTGCTCATATGGATGATCCGGATATTGATGTGCCTCTTGACCTTGGAGGCAATGCTGCCAGTGCAAATACGGCGGACCCAGAGAAGATAGCGATGCTGGAATCTATGGGGCTCGGCGGGCCACGCGCGGTGAAAGCCCTGAAGGAGACAAATGGCGATGTTGAGAGAGCGATTGAGTGGCTGTTCAGCCATCCCGATGACGAGGGCGAGCCAGATGAGGCAGACGGCGATGCCAACGAGGCAGCGGACAAGAGGCCGGCAGTGGTTGGAAGCAGCGAGCTCCCGGCAAAGTTCCAGCTGCAGTCCATTGTCTGCCATAAGGGAACCAGCATTCATACTGGGTAAGACAGTTGCTCTCTATTTTCATCGAATGATAACTGATTTTCCCAGGCACTACGTTGCATTCATCCGCAAGAAGATCGATGACGAAGTATCTTGGGTGCTCTTCAACGACGAAAAGGTGGTCAAGGTCGTCGATGCCGAGGAGATGAAGAAGAATGCATATGTCTACTTTTTCAAGCGTGTCTAGGGTCCGTAAAAAGTGTACTTTTCGATCCTCGGGAGGGTGGCAAGAGTCAAAGGGTGTGAAAAATGCCGTAAAGCAATAGAGGACGCCGGAAACACTGAGCCATAGAGCGGGGCATATGAGTTACAATGACATGGTCTTTGCCAGCGATTTTTCGCCCACTTGAGCACAACATCAAACCGAATCATATTGATCCCTGATATATCCGTATCTCGGCCCGTGAAGATCCAGCGCAGCTAGAGATATAATCCGTAACGCCATCCTGTCCCATGCCAGCACCCCAACCAGGTAAAAACTCCCAAGCACAATATACACCCATTTATACACCCCAAAACCAAGAAAACAACTCACCCCCCAAGCCTGGCGATCAGTCCTGCAACCGATAACTAACCAGGGTATCAACGCGGTGACTGGCCGTGCTGAAACCCCGAAGCTGGACCCGCTCGCCGTTGACAATCTCCTTGGCGTCGCTGTCCCCCCACTCGACGGGCACCTCGCTCGACGCGTCGGCGTAGACGAGCACGTTGAAGGTGCAGTCGCCTGAGAGCTGTGGGAGGAAGGTGACGGAGGCGGTGATTTGGCGGAAGATGGCGGCGATTTCGGATTGGATTTCGGATTCTGTTTTTTCTACCCCCGGTGTACCTGATGGGGATGGGGCGGTGGGGTCTGATGGGGTGTTTTCTTGGTTTGTGGAGGTGGAGGTGGAGGTGGTGGTGGTTGGTTTGGGGGTTTTTGAGGAGGAGGAGGAGGAGGAGGAGGAGGGTTTGGATTTGGGTTTCGCGAGGATTTGGACCTGGACAGATGAGTGGGTTAGTAAGGATGAATTTCTCGAGTCGAGTATGCAGACGGAAGTAAGCGTACGTCAAACTGCCACCGTTCAATGTTCTCGCCCGTGTCCTTGTCGGTGATGACAATGACCAGTTTGGAGATCTTGCCGCCAACCATCCACTTGTCGAGCTGTGACATGATCTTCTTGATGTAGGCGCGGACTTGGTCGTCGGACGAGACGAGCATGTTGAGGCCGTACTTCTTGACGGCGGTGAAGTCCTCGGCGGGGTAGACGCCTCGTTGAAAGCTGTTGTTGTTAGCCATTGGAGCGCATGTCGAGGGAAATAGTGGTCTGTCTAAACGTACAGAATCGTGTGTATCGAATACTGGAACTGTGTCGGTGGGAAGGAATGCAGTCAGTATGAGTGCCGTGATCGTTGCTGGCGACGGCGCATCCGGCCATCCGTCGCATTTCGACCTGTGGTGGGGGACTCACAAACTCGGCGACAAGCTTTGCGCTGCCTTTCAGCGAAAGCTTGTGCACCTTGTATTTGTCTTTCTCTGGCGCTGCGGCGGCCATTTTCTATCACTCGCGGCAGTGTTGACTGCGAAGTGAACAACTTTTATGTTTGCGATTTCGGTGCTGACAGAATGGTGGTGGTTTTTGGATGTTTACTTCTCCCTGACTGCTTGGCAGAGTCCTCAGCCGTTGTCAGGGGCTGCGGGGTCATGCTCTGATTATGTGGGGCAGCGGAATGAATGAAGTCATTACGGTAAATACATGTACAGATTCCCGGTCAATAATATACCAATACGGGTAATTACATCAATTTTAAGCTGTTCTCTTATTCCATGAAACTATCCATCTCGCATCGACCAGTCGAGTCAATCGAATTTCGACTGGTCCCGAATCTCAAAGATCTCAGGACAACAAACTAGAAACGCAGAGCTCAGATTGGCTTGTTTGCCCTTGTCTTTTTCAATATCTCTTCCAATGTCATAATCTAGTGCCTTGAAATACACAAAGGTACGCACCCAGGTCTCATCAGCATCCGTGGTCCTTCCTCTTCCAATTTTCTCCCCCCTGAACCTCTAGCACTGGCCCGTTAAGGTCCGAGCCTAGCCTTTGTCACTCAACCACCGCGCCCGCGCCCAATCGCTCTCTCCATATTGCTCGTGGTCCCCGCACTAGTCCGCGACTGCTCGCTCTGATTCTTCGCTCCGCTGTTTCCACGGCGCCGGTACATGTAGACGCCGCCCAAGCCTACGGCACCGAGACCGATGTACCTAACGGTGTTAGCATCCTGGTTTTAACACGGAGCCTGGCCAAGGTATGGAAAACGACGGATACAAGAGACTTGCTTACATGGCTTTATTATCCGAGAATCCCATGGCCCTGCCCGCCCTTTTCGAGCCAACAGCCTGCTTTGGGTCCATGCCCGGTGGTTTGGAAGACTGCTTCTCGTATGCCTCCTTGCGCTGCGTCGGATAGTCAAAGACAAGGTCGATGTCATCCACCGGGGTACTGTCGCGCGGGTCATTTGAGGAAGACTGTTTCGTGGGATTTGCCCTCCAAGAGCTGCTCGTCGAGAGGCTGCGAACTGAGGTCAACCGGACTGCGGTAGTCCGAAATGTGGCGATGCCCAACACGATGCTGATTTGTTTCGGGAGGATCATCTTGCTGATGTTGAGGGTGACGTGAAACTGGTGACCAATGCCTGCAATACGAATGCTGACTCTTAAGTCAACCTTCCAAGCTAAGGGATAGATGAACGTGCCGCACGAGGAGGATACTAGAATAATCGTGTAGACGCATTGCGCATTGCCGGGCTAGACATAACAGTCGTATATACGGCCTTCCGCGCTCGGGACACGTCTTCGGCTCCCATGGCTGGGCCCTTTGCCCGGATGACGTATGGCTGACACCGACGACTGAGGGGGCATCGGAGCTTGGCCCGGCTCAGCGACACAGTACGGATCGGTTCCCAACTTCGGACTCGGAGTTAGACATATTCTGAAGAACAGGTGCCAACTTCATACATTCAAGATTTCAAGTTGAGATGTGTGTTGTCGAGTGCATCGGGAGACACAGTGAGTCTGCATGTGGCTTGCGTCCTCAAACCACGCCGTTGCATGGATGGCTTATAGCGGTATGAATCGCTTGTGAATTAACGATTAAGTAGGTACATGAATATGCCTTGAAAGCACGCTAGATTCGAAAACCGGACCGCTGACTTCCCATGTACGCGTCACCAGCATTTTGAAACTGGAAACATAACATCGACCGTCGTGGCCATGGCCCTGTCGAGCCAGGGGCTGCAACGTGTAGACGTAAAACCTACGAATTGAATGTCAGCACTGAATCTGCGGCTAAGCACTAGGGGTTGGTAGGGTGGTTTATCATACCTGCTTAAAGGTTCGCGCCCAAAGTAGCGACAACAGTGCCGACAGAAACACCGACGCCGGGGAGGCCGAGCCCAGCCACGAGAGAAGCGACGCTAGGAGCCAGCTGAACGAGCAAGAGGCCGCCATCCTGGCCAACGACTGTCAAGGTGCCAGCAACAGGAGCGCCCAGGCTTTGGAGAAGGTCACCGACGCTGCCAGCAGTGGCAACAACCTGACCAACCGAGACGCCGACACCAGGAAGGCCAAGGCCAGCAAGGAGACCGGCGACAGAGGGACTGAGCTGGATAAGGAGGCGCTTGGCATCGGGGCCGGTGACCTCAAGAATATCCTGGACCTGTGGAGCCAGGTCCTGGACAACCTCACGGCGCTTCAGGTTCGCACCGAGGGTGCCGACAACAGTACCAACAGGCACACCAACGGACGGCAGACCGAGCCCGGACACAAGGCCGGCGACTTCGGGAGAGAGTTGAATAAGGAGAGCACCAACATCAGCGCCAACAACGGTGAGAAGGCCCTCGACGTTGTTGCCGAGGTCCTTGACGAGCTCGCCCACGGTGGCGGCCGAGGCGATGACGGAGCCGACAGGGACGCCGACGCTGGGAAGGCCGAGGCCAGACAACAGCCCAGCCACCGAAGGGGAGAGCTCGATCAGCAGCTTCTCGGCGTTGGGGCCGGTCACGGTGAGGACCTGGTTGATTCCGGGGGCAAGGTCTTGGACAACGTTTCCGGTGGCTCGGGATGATACCCCAGCGGCAGCGTCGACCGGAGGAGCAGAGACGGAGACAGCGGCGCTGGTGTCGACCAGAGGGGCCGCGGCGACCGAGGTGGCCATGGCTACCATGGCGGCGAGGAAAGTAGCCTTCATTTTGATTGATGACGGGGGGGTATAAACGAATGTAGGGTATCTAATGCCGGAATGAACCAAGGCAAGGGCTGAGTGGTAACGAGTGACAGAGGGATGAATGCTCAGTGACTGACAGAGGTCAACTTAACTCGACAAGCGCGGGAGGTTGAAGGCACTTATACCCCAGAAAAATGCAGCTCTCCTTTTCTCCGTAACAACCGACGCATGAAGGATATCTGGTTGCCATCTAAGCAACATGGAGATCCCAAGGTCTGGTAGCATAGGATCCACCATGCTTAGTGGAGCAAGAGAACTATACAGGTGGTAACTGCATCAAATTGGTAGTTGAACCTGACAAGACCGGACGCCAATGCGATGCCGTGCCGGTGACAGGGGAGTAGCTTCAAGTCCCATGTTGTAAATGGAATAATATGACGTTCAGGCGTGTCTTTCCAAGTCTCCCAATACAAGCGGAAGGGGAGGTCCCACAGAAATGGTTCCATCGCTGGCCATCATGGTCATCAGCCTGGGGAAAACCTACAGGATGGTCCCATTCCATCATGATCACAGTCAGAGCAGCACATCTATCACTTTCAGTACTTCCATCCAAGTCGATACTCCTCTCCATAACTTTAGAGCATCATCGTCAAACCATCACGTGGTATCGCCATCGCTCCCACACCTTGAGCTAGAAAGGGTGACAAGTTGAAACAACCAACAGGATCACAACCTTGAACGTACTACTTCCTCCCTAGTCCTCCCCTCCCCCCTGTCCAGCTTCAATTGCGCCATACTCCTTCTCGTGGTGAAATCTTGAGAACTTCGTGCTTCATGCCAGTATTCAAGGCTCATGATTTGGACCGTGATATTGGGATCTTCATGGAGTTTATGCTCGCAGCAAGAATTCCATCGGCGATCTCTGTGGAGTAGCTCCCGAGTCAGCTCCCATCCAGGCATTACTCCTCCCACTTTAACGCTAGTTGGGGCGAATCACCTACGGCAAGGGAAACTCCGTTCCCCCCGGGTTATCTAAAAACCAGGCCTTCCTAGCATCTGTATGTGATTTAGCGTACGGTACTCCGCCAGTACCCCAGAGGAGAAGAGCAGTTTGTTCAAGGTTCAGACCAAGGTTCAAGAACCAACTTCACAACTGATGGAATTACCCCTGGCATTGCTACGCCAAAGGACGTCAACTGTCTTCCTCTGTGCCCGTGCCCAAGCCAAAGTATGTACCTGGTAAACTTTTTACAGTGGACGAAAGTAGGGAACTCTCATACATGCAATTGAACCTGACCTAAGTTGCTCCATACTTCCATAGTCACAATACCTAGTAGCTTCAATAGCTTCACAGCCTACATAGTACACAACAGATTGTTTATCAGAGAGCAATCGAGTAGAGCCAGGAACATACTTGGATGTCCATGCTGATCCACCAGCCTGGTTCAACTGGTTGAACTGTGGGCCTTTTGGTTTCCTAAGGTAGGTGCCCCAGGCTGTAGCAGGTACTGTTTGCTTTCAACAGCACCCATGTAGTGACGTCGAGGTCGAGCCGAGAGTGGGATGATCCCTGTTGTACGCTGCTGGCACCCCAGAATGCTCCAAAACAACAGTATGAGAAAACCATTCATTCAGTCTTCATTCGAGGCTGTATATTGTGATGGGTTGAGCTTTTGCTCTCGCTCCTTTACTACATATGTACCTTATTAGCAAGGCGCCGAGTCCCATAGTACTGGTCCTCTAGGTCGCCGACAGCACGAATAACTGGTAAAGTATCTGATCCATACCGACATTCTGCTGCTGGAGTTGTCAATGTCACGACGTCGCAATGTCAAGCTTCAGTTTTCCCCCAGTTGCGGTGACCAATCGTTGCAACCGTTGCATTGGAATTTGGATGACTCCCCGTCGCCTGATTCGTCTTGTGACTCTTGACGTGGACCAGAGCCACCGATCTCAATGGCATTGCTTATTTAGATCGCTGTTCCTGTGAGACAGGGGATTATAACTTGCGTTAACGCTACAGCATACCGGCATGCCGCATACACAGAGCTTGACCGGCAGGTACAGGATCAGGCACCCTTGTCAGGGGAAACAGTCTTGGGCGTAGCTAAGGCGAGGAGCCATCCTCAACGCCTCAGTCTGTACCGAGGGGCATTCCTGATCAATACCTTACTCTGTATCCACGAGTAAGTAGCCGGGCTTTTCGTCGCAATGAAGCCCCGCAGAACGGTCAAAAAGGGGTATTCTCCTTTCGAGGGTGATGGTGGCCCACGCGCCATATCTGGATGAGTCGATGGCATCGTCATCCAGCCATGTCCAATTATCCATAACACGAGTCAGAGGTGTCCGTCCTCGCATGGATACAAATAGTAGGTATGTATATCGGTACGCAAGGAGACGAGAAGGGGGAAGACCGGGAATTCGGCGGGAGTTTAGGCACTTTCTCCAGGATGTCGGTTTAAGCACTGCATTAGCGCTGTAGATCTTGAACAGCAAGTGCCGATTCAGGTTGGCGTCTCCGCTCAACAATTGGGGACTTGGGGAGTTGGCAGGTTTGGAGGCATGGGACCCCACCTTTGGGAGGAGACTATCCAAATGTTGCGATATGCGCTATGAGTGAATTGCCCCCTATTCGACCGGGCACATGTAGGTATCAAACTGGTCGAATTCCGCATGCTGGGCAGTCCAACAAATCGCGCGTGTCACGGTGCTTGTGGAAGCACCTTGGTCTAGGGCTTAGTTTAGGCAATGCCCTGAGGTCAGTGGCTTTCTGTACAGGAAGGGGCTCGAGGGAAGTGAGGTTCAATCCAATGACCATGAGAAACATGCATAAGGTATTTTCTTCGGTCAGATCGCAAAGGCAGAACTCGGCGAGAGATCTCCTTGCTGGGATAATAGGTAGGACAGTATAGAATCTCAAGAGCGGTAACCCAACCTGTTTCGTCCCAGAGAAATAAGTTGTTCATCCGGGTCACTGTCGACTAGGTGAAAAGTTGCAAGTTCAGGGAATCAATCTGTGTGGAACAGAGCAAAGGCAATGGTTACAGTTGGACCCTAACCCTAGAACACAGTGACAACCCTTGCGCACCGAATGGGTGGCGCACGGACCATCAACACCTTACCGCCTGCCCAAGTCCCGCTAACGCTGGCACGGAAAACGGAAGGAAAGCGCAGGGACGAAGCTAACGTCAACATGCACTTAGGAGGAGACCAATTCCAAAACCAAAACAGCTTGACGAGGACAACATCCAGGCGATGAACATCAGCATTTGCGACCCATCATAACTCTGCAAATCTCTTATTATGCAGCCACCGTGACCTCTACAAAATGCCGAGAAAAGCCCAGACCTGGGACGACTACGGCTCGGCTGTCACTCAGGTTCGTTGTCGCGGTCGAATTGATTGCAACTGCAGTTGCAGTCGCAATCGCAATAGCATCGCAGTCGAAGAGTTAGCCCCACTCCAACCGTAGCCATGTTGCTGACCCTGTTTTGTTTGAGTATCCCAGATCATCCTCGCGCCATCCGACTCCGAGTTTCTCGACCAATTGATCCCCGTGCTGAAAGATGCCACCACAAGCAGCCGTGTCGGTTCGCTCGTGCAGAGCCTCTCCCACTATGCCGAGGAGCGCGAGGGTGACATCGAGCGCATCGGCCTGACCAAGCACGAGGAGTTCCTAGCCTCGGTCAACCAGCTCCAGAAGGTTCGCGAGGGCACCGTAGCCCTGACCGCCGAGATCCTGGACCTCAACCAGTCCATCCAGGCCAGCACCGAGAAGCTCGCCGAGCAGAAGCAGGCCCTCGTGAATACCCGCGGCGTACGCCAAAACATCACCGAAGTGTCCTCCGCTCTCGAGGAGTCTCTCAAGATCCTGCATGTCGTCAACAGTGCCCACGAACTCATCCGGAAGAAGAAGTACTATGCCGCTCTGAAATCCCTTGAGGACCTCCAGAACGAGTACCTGGTGCCCATCATCCAGAACAAATTCGCCACTCAGTACAAGCTTGCCGACATGATTCAAAAGTCGATTCCCGCTTCACAGAAGCAGATATCGGAAGCCGTCATGTCGGATCTAAAAACCTGGCTATATTTCGTCCGCGAGTCGTCGCAGTTCCTCGGCGAGGTGGCCTTCTATCACACGGAGCAACGGAGGGCCAGGCAAAAAGAGCGAATGGAGGGTAATAACTTGTTGAGTCGCTTCAAGTTGAACTCTGCCATCGAGCTGGTCTTTGATGAGAACGATGAGTTCGATGTCCTGTCAAACGACGAGATCCAGGTCGATTTCACGCCCTTGCACGAAGCGCTCCACATCCACGAAGCCCTTGGGCAGGTTGACAGGTTCCGTGCCGAGTATGCTGCCACTAGACGCCAACAGAAAGACTTGACTATGCCGACAAACGAAAACCTCTTTGTCAATGATGATGACGATGCTCTCAAGGCGCTTCTGGAGAGTGTTGCCGGGTTTGCCATCATGGAAAAGGCTACTATGCAACGCGCGCCCTTGGTGCGCTCAACACTTGATGTAGGCTTCCATCGCTACATTTCTCGGGATGCACAGCGGTATTGACATTGGTAGGTTGACGAACTTTGGGACTCGATGTGCCAGACCCTCATCCGTTTCACTTCCAAGTCCTTGGAAAGCGTGAGCAACGCAGAGCTTGTATTGAAGGTCAAAGACGATATGGCCCTCTTCATCCAGACGATGGAGGTCAGTCTTCCAGCGCCACGTACCTTTGCTGCCACTAACAGACCGACCAGGGCTGGGGTTATTCTGCCTCGATGCTGAACAACTTTCAACTTGTCTTGTTTCACAAATACGCCGAGTTGTTGCAGCGCCAGTTTGGCGGACACCTTCAGGAGGTAAGCCGATTTACTCAGGTGATCATGACTTGAAAGCTGACAGCCACGCAAGACGGTCTCCACGGATGATTACATGCCCATGAATATCAAATCGCAAGAAGAGTATGAGCAGGTTTACTCTGCCGTCCTCTTTGGTGATGAGATGCCTTCAGACGACGTCACGTACGTACTTGAGTGGCACACGAAAAAAATGCTATTCCGTTTCAGTAGCTAATTGCCCTGCAGCCTTCCCACGGTTCTGCCGTTCTCAAAGATGTATCCGCTATGTTGCATATACATCAGGAAGTTCGAGAAGCAGTTTCGCGACTTCACTCAGGAAAACTTCGATCATCCAAATATCGTTGACGAAACCCTTAGAAAGGTGCGAGATGCCTGTCTTACCCCCAAACCGGTTCCTGTCTAATAATGCCCAGACTCTGGATGAACTCCTCACCGACGTCGTGTGCCAAACCCTCGTGGAGCGACTGAACTCTCAATATCTGGGCCAGATTGTCCAGATTCTGACCAACCTCGAGTACTTTGAGGCTGCCTGTCAAAAGTTGGAGAGACTGTTGATCCAAGGCCGGTCATCCACATCTGCCGGCGGTCCAGTGACTCTGAAAGCAACAGAGCTCTTCAGAAGTCACAAGAAGACGGCCGAAAAACGGATATTCGAGCTCGTCAATTCCAAGATCGACGACCTTGTGGACACATCTGATTACGACTGGTTCGTCTCAACGGTTCTACCCCAGCGCTGTCACCTCTCCTAACACGCACATATTAGGACTGGGACAACCAAACCCACCCAACCAAGCAGCTACATGGTGACACTGACCCGCTTCCTCGAAAACATGATGGGCTCCACCCTCCTCGGTCTTCCCCGCGAGATCAAGGAGTATTTCTACTTTGACGCGCTGAGCCACGCAGCCAACAAGATCCTCGTCAGTCCTGTCCTACCTAACCTCGCGATTTCCTGGCCTGCCACTACACGCTATGCTGTGCTGTGCTGACTTTTTCTTAAATAGGCACTCCCACTCTCCCCAGACGTGAAAAAGATCAACCCCAACGGCGTGGCCGCCATGGCGCTCGACGTGCAGTACCTGACCGACTTTGTCAGCAAGCTGGACAACGCCTTTATGCTCGAGCAGAACCTGGACGAGCTGCAGCAGACGGTGGCGCTGATGCAGTGCGACAACCCGGACGAGTTTTATGACATTTCGATACGTAATAAAAAGTACAGCCGTGTGGACGCCATGAACGGGCCTGTTCTGCTCGAGAAGTAAGTCCCGTCCCGGCTTCAAGTTTGGTTTTGTTGTCTTCCCATTTCTTCACTCGATGGACGTATCGAGTCTCCCATTATTTTCTTGATAGACATGTGTATCAAGGTGGAAATGTTCTCGCTGACCTGTGATCGTCTGCTAGGATAACCCAAACAGTCGAGAACCCAAGCCGGACAGCGCCACTCGCTAACTTCGGATCCCGCTTCGGCTTGAGGTGATCGAGGACTTTTGTCTCCTCGACTGATGTTGATGTTGGGGTTGGGTGTCCAACAGCTCGAGGCTTCGTCCTTGAACATTGAATCGGTTGAAGCGAGAAGGTGGCAGGACATGTGGCGGGTAACAACGACAGCAATTTGTTGTACAGGCGATTAGCTGCAACGGCGGTCAGTTGCAAGGGCTGGACCCTATTCATTGCGATGACGGCATGAACACTGGGTGTTAGTTGGAAGAGGAGATAAACGGCATGCGGTACAGAGTCAGGGTTCAATAGAACTGTTCCGAGTTTCCACATGAGTGACTATTCGCCGACGAATGGTCCTACCGGTGATGAGCATGCCTAAACTATCATATTCACTGGACCCAATCCCAAAGAGCCTACCAAGGCCCATTCTAGCCACAACTCCAAGACCAGAGGGCATGTTGTAGCACCACTGTTCCTTCACCATCGTGTCGAGTGACACCTTGAATACCAATGCATAAACAAAATAGACCCATGACCCAAAGGGTATATACATGAATGATCCAGTTTCACCGGATTGGTGTGGTCTGGCGTGAGGGCAACCATATGTAAATATACTTCGAGACCCTGAAACCGTGCAAAGAAATAAATGCATCCAATACAACCGTAGGCTACTAGTCGTAGCCAGCTCCTCTTTGCCACGCGCTGCTGCTCAAACGCCGCGTTAGCAACTTACAAATGGACCAACACTTGGCTGGAGGACTCACCCTGTGGCGCCCTGGGGCTTCGGCCCAGCATTTTGGGCATGATGTCCAGATACATTCGACGACGACGCCGAGGCTGCAAAAGGGCTTGGTGCCCTTATACTCCCGCTTGGTCGATTCCTCAAATGATGTCCTTCCGTAGAGTACAGACCCGTAGATGGGTCAATAGGAGCTCGAACCGAGCTTCGCACAGAATTCCGAGCGGAGTCTCTGACCGAATATGGCATGGAACCCGCAGTCCCTGGACGGGGCACCATCTTCTCAGAGTGCGATATGCCGGATTCGTCGTCTTCAAGATCGAGAGCCGGTTTGCCGGCCCCACGAGCTGTTGCTGCCAGGGCGTCCAACTCACTCGTTGTCCCGATATGAGTCTGAGATTTCATGAAAGATGTGCGATCGTCGTTCATGAATTGGTACCGGGTGTCGGGGTTGTTGTGGAACAGAACGATGCCGGTGGTGATGATCAACATGAGAAGGAGGATAAGAGCGAAAGCGGCATTGGCGATCCACAGGACGACCCCCACGACGCCAATAACCAGTTGAGGGAGCCCGAACACGTCCGTAAACACGAACAGGAAAATAGCGTTGACAAAGTTCATCGCGCAGATGGCGATGTTGAACGAGTTGGTGCTCTTATCCATCCATGGCCTCAGCACACTGGCCGCGATAAGTGCCGTGGCCTCGATGATGATGAGCGCGACGGCTTGCACGGTTCCGGAGTGCTGGGACAGCGCAATGAACATGCCCTTGACCAGGATGTAGACCAGGACGGGAACGATAAAATAGTATGCTGAGGCTCGGAACTGCACGTAGAGGAAACCCCACTTGTTCAATGCTTGAGGGTCGGAGAAGAGAATGTAGGCAGGATTTCGGTGCAGAGCGACAGAGCGCCGAGCCATGCGAATAACACGGTATGCGGCGTAGCTCAGGGTCAGGAGCATGCCAAAGAAGAAGAACACGGCCAGCGTCACTGCTCCGCCAGAGTCGTTTTGCGTGAACTCCCACAGGCAGAGGATCGTCATTTGCGGAAAGCCGATGAGCACCATTCGGTACAGGATGCCTATGATTCGTCAACCAACAAAACAATCTTTGGCATGTTGTGTTTTTGATGCCTACCTTTGAGGACGGTGAGCCACCCGGCGCGGAACTCGGAAAACGTATCGCCCTTGATCATCCCCGCCTTCGCAGCGAGCTCGCAACCTATCTTGAAGAGAACCACGGCAAGCGACGTTATGACGACGAAGATGTAAAAGAAGGTGAGACCGGTTAAGAACAAGTTGGTCGTCTCGATTCCTGCGCGGAAGGCCACTCGTTGAATGCCATAGACGAGATAGCTGCCAAAGAAGGTCTGAATATTCGCTCGTTTCGCAAGTGCGACCGGGGCCTCTAATGCCGTCGACAAACCTCGCTTTTCGACTTGAACGGACACTGTATGGAGGGTGTCCAGTAAAGCCGATGCTTCGCCGCCGGTTGAGCGCTGATACCATGTCATGATGTCCTGGATGAAGTTGACTTTGATGATGCCCATACTCCACTGGAAATCCTGGGTCCAAGATTGAACGACTGGAGGAAGCGGCACGCTGGACATGCCGAGCATGGCTAGGGCTTGGAAATAGCCAAAGAGGGAGAGAGTGTTGGACGCGATATGCGACGCCGCATTGGAGTAGCCCAGCCCAGAAACCACTGCCGACGAAAGGAGTGCGAGGCCTGCTATAGCGGCCGTAGCCCATTTCACGCCAATGAGATCCACTGATCACAGTTAGTCGATGCTCGGCAGCCAAGTCCTCAGGACATGCTTACCAGTTTTCCCGTTGGAGATATCAGCCTCGACGCAAGCGATGCTCTGGCCGGCCCGGTCGCCACTGGTCATGTTGATATAGACCTTGACCGTAGCATCGAGATCTGGAAAGGTATAAGCAATGCCGGGGATTGATCTGATGGCCTCCTCGGTAACTGGTAAGTTGAAAGGGTTGTTCATCTTGCCCGCCGTCATTGGGCATAGCCCTGGGAGATTCGAGTTACACGGGTTGACGGTGGTTCGGAGGACCTGATACCCATAAGCCAGAATGGTAATGTCGAAAACGACGTAGCCTTCTACGGACGATGTGGCGATCATGTTAACGGAAGCTGTGAGGTTGTTGGGGGTGAAGACCACGTCAAAGAGGCTTGCTGTGAACTCGGAATTCGCCTGGCATGCCGCCAGCGAGCTGGATCGAAGGACATCTTGGGCGCCGGCGGGGAGAATGGCGGCAACGAGCGACCAAAGAAGCAACAACGGGTTGACTGATGGGATTCGCATCTTTGCTGTGTGTTCGTCCGGAGCGCCTGGGACACGCCCGGCGCTTCCGAATCCCTGGAATGCCTGCGCCTGGTTGCGGTAGGGCGTGGTTCAACGCAAAAACTCAGAATGACATCCTCGTGTATTCGTTACAACCCTTCAAGCGCCCAAGTCCCCGCGGTGGATTCTTCCTGAAAGGCTAATTCGTGGCAGTTGTGAATCTGGCGGATGGTCTGGCGTTGGGTTGCCAAGCTCGCACAACTGGCGGGAAGCGGGGGTTTAATCGGGGAGCGAGTGACCACGGCCAGTGATGGAGTGCTGATAGCCGAAATCCGTTCAGTAGAAGCCGCTTTGATAGCTGGTGGTAATTCACGATTTAGTCGCGATTGTTGATCGAGGAGACCTTGAAAACGAGTGAGTCGAGGTCGAGAAGTTGGTGGGGAATTTCGGAAGGCAGGGGGACAGCGCTGTTGTGCCTGCAAAATCAGCAGTCAAGACAGGGAAAGCTCGTGTTTCTGGCAAGAATCGGCTGCGGGAACCCCCGAGCCAAGGGAAAGCAAGGGCCCGTGACATATGCAGGGGTGTTGAATGTTCAGGGTTGGCCAACACGAGAGAGTGTGGCTCAGCTGCCAGCAGGGAGGCAGGAGGTTGCATCCAAGATGCATGTCAGCCAAGCCTGAAAGCTCCGTTTGGATGACATAACAATTCTTCTCGGGGTGCAGGGCTTCACCTGTTGGTTAACCGGTTGCGGCTTCCGTTGTCTGTGACAGGAATGAGGTCATCGGCGTTAGCAAGGCCACAGAGCTGGCCAACAGGCCCGACACAGGCCAACGGTTCCAATCCAGAATTCCAACACCAGCATGCTGTCGTTGCCTGCGTTTTGCGGCCAAGAACAGATTCCCGGCTAACATCGCTGCAAGGCGAATAACCAGATCTGACCAATCCTGTCAAAACTTTTCATCCCGACATTGCAGTCTCTCAAACTGACAGACAAAAGATGCGAACCAATCGTCTGGTGTTGTGTCGCTACTTCCCTCTGTAGAGGGATTTCAATGCATTCAGGACCTGATGAAACGAAACGGGCTGCGGCGGAGCGGTGTTCACGTTAGCTCCGCGTCATACCGTTCACCTTCCGTTACTTCCGTTTCTGTAACGGTAGCCTTGAAGTACCTTCCGGTTCAGGACGTTAAGGTTAACCTTCAGGTAGCAACGTGAAATGGGTCCGTTTTTGTGTCAGATCGAATTCTGGATCGAATATCCAAACCAACACACAGCAGATGTGTTCGGGATGCCAATTAACTTCCCACTTCCTCTACGGCCAAACATACCCGTTGGCTCGTCACTTCTAGGTTCATGAGCCAATTTAAGGCAAGCCCAACACTGACAAACCAACCGGTATACCATTACCAAGTCCACAGAAAGGGCTTGGATAGAAGATCAAATGATTGGGACCTGTCGTTCTCCTCCGTCAGAAACACATCCTCTATGACGACTATCAATCCTGAAAGTCGGTGCTTCTCCAGATGCTCTCATAATCCCTCGCTGTCTCCGCAAGCTCCTCGCTAAACTTCTTCATTTGCGCGCCCGTGTCACTACCCAGAGGCAGCCTCAGTCTCCTCTCCTTGCCCTTGAACAGCCCCTCGCCAGCAACATACTCCCAGATCCTAGCCGCCCCTTCCACTGGATTCCCCGGTTGCCGGCCGTTGTACTGGGTAAACGCGGCCCGCGCCTCGTGCGCAACCGTCCCTTCGTAAACCGGCAGCGCAGGCGCGAGGTTGGCACCCGCAGAGGGGCCGGACAAAAACGACGTGCGAAAGTACCCCGGCTCGACAATCACGGCGTGCAGGCCGAAGGGCTCTATCTCGGCGTTGAGAGCCTCTGTCAGACCTTCGAGGGCAAACTTGGTCGCACAATAGACGCCGTTGGATGGGTAGCCGTGTAGCCCGCCGATGGAGGAGAGGTTCATGATGGTGCCGGACTTCTGGGCGCGCATGCCCGGCAGGAAAGAGCGGATGGTGCGGAGAATGCCAAAGACGTTGATGTCGAATTGCTTCTTGACAAGCGAGTCTCTGCACCAGGCGAACTGTTTAGCCCAGGGGTTCTCGCGGCTGGATTCTGCGGTGAATGATGCTTACTCTGTCTCCTCGATGGCGCCCATGTAGGCATACGCAGCGTTGTTGACGAGGACGTCGACTCGTCCAAAGGCGGAGAAGGCTTTCTCGGCATAGGCGTTCATCTCCTCTTGGGAGAAGGAGAGGTCAAACTGCAAGACCTTGACACCATCAATCTTGAGGCTATCTGGGACCTTGGATGGGGTCCGGACAGCGGCAACAACTTGGTCGCCTTCCTTGATGGCCTTGAGAGCGAGCTCGAGGCCAAAGCCAGTGTTGGCGCCGCTAATGTGCCAGACTCGAGGAGCCATTGGTGTCGCGATGGTCAACTGATTTGAGTAAGGTGGTTGAGAATGCTTGGGAGTCGAGCTCAGAGTTTCGTCACTTAAGGCAGTTCTTTGTCAAGGTAGGGCGGGTGAGGAGCTTCCCTTGAGCTGCCACCCATCTTGACTGATTCCCCCGCTCCTACTTATAGACATTTTACACGATGCCATAACGCCTATATGCTTCGGGTTTCCAAATTTGATAACATAGCAGTTATCACCTGCGGGGGAAAACGCCGACGGGCTTTGCATTGGTGCCAAGGCGGCTGTCCATCATATCGCCGTTGGATGTCAATGGTCCCCCCGCTTCGACCGTTACTCAGCATCACGCAGTCCTTCTGTGAGTGGTTAACCATTCGAAGCTGTCCTCAACTGCATTGGCGACGATGGACTACAGTATCGAAGAAAGATGGGCCAGCTCCTCCTACTTGATGTCTCCCTCCTGAACCATTCGACCATTCGACCTGCTGGTCTCCGACTTTCCTGCTCGGCGCTGGCTGATTCCTACCACAAAGTTCCCATATCCACCTGGTCTTGCCTCTCGTGAGGGAAGAAGAGATGTCAAACATAAAATTGAACCCAACCTGGGCCGAAGAAGCGTTGTGCAAGGCGACATGAGTATACGATTAGTTGGACCCCTTCTTTTTTGCAACTATTCTCCGAAGTAACCCTGAGAAACCAGCGACGGTTGACTGTTCTGTTAGCGCCGACCCACCCATTCTCGGGCGAGTGGGGATCGGCCAGCCGCGAATCTGGATGACCCGCCACCGCCCCGGAATGCTTTTATCTTATCTCATTATCTTATCGTAACCCGGGCACCTACTCTCAGCACCCCCGTGGGGACTCTTCCCCCATCTACGTATATTGCTCATGTTTAGCATCGCCCTCCCGGCAACACATGACTTTCTTTCAGCAACGACCTTGATCTTTATTTTCTAGTTCCTGTCTGAGACCACTTCGAGCGCCTTTGGGCATCAAACGGATTCGGGCCGTCTCAGGTACAAAGGGGATAAAGCCTTCTCCTGCGGCTTTGCGTTCCTAGCGCGCCAAAAATGCGGTCGGTTTGACTCCTGGAGCACCTGCGTACCCCTCTCTTGTCCCGGGCCCTGCCGCCGACCCAACAAAGCCGCACTCATCAAGGTCGTCAACCCATCGACATAACCGGCCCTTTCTTGGGGAGTCGCGTCTTTCGCGCTTTACGAGACGCCAGACTCCTCAAGTCCCTCGGCCTGCGACATCTGGGTAGGAATAGGAGGATTAGATCGAGCATTATTTACATTACACCGCGCCTCTCTGCAATCGCACTGAGCATGCCCGCAACTCGCAAGACTGCTGCCACAGCTGCACACTCACTGCCTGCGCCGGCCACGACAGCACAGCCGCCTTCGAAAAAGAGGAAAATGGACACCGCCGAACAAAAGTACTATGCTGTTCGTGCTGGACACAAGCCTGGCGTGTACACGAGCTGGGCCATTTGCCAGCAGCAAATCTCTGGGTTCAAAGGAGCCGTGTGTATGTACTACTCTGTCCCGCTGCAGGCTTTCAAATACCTTGCTGACGACGCCGGCCTAGTCAAATCCTTCGTTTCCTACGAAGATGCCTTAGCCTTCGCCGAGGGCCGCGACCCGCCCTCGATGGCCAAGGCAAAGCCCGATCGGTTCTATGGCGTCGCTGTCGGACGCAAACCCGGCGTGTACACTGAGTGGGCCAAAGCGCAGGAGGCAATTGTTGGCTGGAAAGGACCCAAGTACAAGAAGTTCGATACGCGAGAAGCAGCGGAAGAGTTTGTCCGTACCTACGGTGCGGCCACGTCTACACTTATCCTTTCCGAGGCCGATGGTGAGCAGCAGGCTTTGGAGCCGCCATCCAAGAAGCAGAAGCAAGCAGAGAAGCCCCCACCTCCGCGCGGCAATGTGCTGGTCGTCTACACGGACGGCAGCAGTCTGGGCAACGGCAGATCCGGCGCCTCGGCAGGCGTAGGGGTTTACTTTGGACCAAATGACCCAAGGTGTGTCTTCCAAATAGCCTTCTTCCGCATTAAAATGGTTCGGTGCTCACCTTCCTGTGTTCAGAAATGTCTCGGAGCGACTGGAGGGCCCAGTCCAGACGAACCAGAGGGCTGAGTTGACGGCCATACTCCGCGCCCTCGAAAAGGTCGATGAGACCCAAGACATTGAGCTTCGCACCGACAGCAAGTATTCCATTCAATGCGTCACCGAGTGGTACATCAACTGGGAAAAGAACGGGTGGATGACAAACGGTGGCGCAGTCAAGAACCAGGACCTGGTCCGGGCTATCCGCGCAAAGCTTGAACAGAGAGAACAGAAGGGGGGCCTGACGCAGTTCATCTGGGTCAAGGGCCATAATAATGATGCAGGAAATGTTGCCGCAGATCATTTGGCTGTTGAAGGCGCAAGGAAGTGATACCCATCCTCCAGTTGGCAAGTCTGGTTGCATCTGAGTTCTACTGTTTTTTAGGAGTTAGGTCGCAAGAGGAATGTCTGTGATGGAGTTTTCTTTCGTCAAGCTGCCGATATGGATATACCAGGACTCGTTGGATTCCTGCTAGCCTCTGCTCTCTGTTCTTGTCATTTTCTATTACAGGGCAAGGGATTATTTGGGCTAATTCTAATGGGACCTGGCTGTCTGAGGGAAACACCAACATGATAATTCAAGCGCTTTCACATCGGTGACACTACTCGGTCCTATCACGGCTGCCCTGTCTTAGTCTTTTCCCTCAGGCTGGTTGATGTATGGACCAGCTGGAGTATTTCAGGCTACATTACGTCCCAACTGACATCAAACGATGACCTTTCTCTCGATCATCCCATTCCAAGCCGGGATCTCCAGGGCTATAAGTCAAGTCCCCCTTCCTACTTTCAACCCCCCACGGGTAGACGTGGCAGAGTGGGAGTAGCTGGCAGTTCCCCTTCCCAACATCACCCCAGACCTAATGTTCGACCCCCCTTAGCGAGAGTTTTTCTCAAACACTGCTTGCCCCTCCCCGCCCATCGATCTCCCATCAACTTGCTTTGTCTGTAATTGCCCAACTTAGCTAGGGTGATAGTGGCTAGGCCACTAACTTTGCTCTCACTTGCTTACCACCCTCCCTCCATGTCTGAGTTCTGTTCATGTTCGATCTAGCACCACCCGACCGTCACTGTGATGGTGGGAGGCCTCGAACGCGTTATCAGGGGCGCCAGTCTCTAGAACAGATAGAGACGATGCCTCGCCGGTACCGCAGGGCCAGCCGGAGCATCTGCGGTAGAAGCATCTTTGTAGGACAACGTTGATGACCCCAAGGCATTCGAGTTCGAATCGACACCCCGCGTTGTGTTCGCTGCCAGTAGCGAAGATGGGGGTTCAAGAGCATCAGGCAGTAGCTCCCAAAAGTCTGAATCCTCAGGCAAAACCGCTGAGCCCCAGCATCAACCAACGCAAATAAATCTTGCCTTGTATCGCTCGGGATTTGAAGACCAGATGTATGTACATCCACAGAGAGGGACAAGAGAAGCTCGGGAAGAAACCGAGATTCATCGTGCCTACAGGGCCTACAAAGACCCACAGGACTGGAACGTTTGGACAACTACTCCAACAGGGAGAGCGGTCAAGAAGGATTGGCTATGGGAAGTTCGTGACAAGAAGGGAATCCATACATTGAAGGTCAACCCTCCACGGCGAGTTGAGCCGCAGATCATCATAGAGCAGGGCGCGAAGCGTAAGTCCAAGCGGGCTCGGCAGGCGGATGGAGAGGAGCACGAGGAGGAGGGAGGAGGAGTGATGGGGAAAGGGTCCGTGGGAACTCAGGCGAGGGGATCGCTAGAGGGCTGCTGTGGTTCGTCACCAGACACCATGCCGAGTTACTATTTATCAATGAAGGAGGGATTTGACTAATATAATGCCAAGGCGTCTCATATGTCACCCGGAAATGCCGATGTTATTAAACCTTTCCCCTTTCAAGACTCCAATTCATTCACATACAACGGATCTACCTGCACCTGCCTCTTCCACAACCCCCACGGCCGTGAGACGTCACGCCTCATGGTTGCCCACGTATCCTGTGCCTGTCTCGGAGTGAGGTACACAATTCCATCTTTGTCCTTACCACCATCTCCTTCACCCTCCAACGCCACCGCCGGTCCGTTGTAGGCATCATGCCGACGTTGGAGGGCCTCGGCCTGGACCAGGGCGTTGGTCTTTGCGTAAACAGCCTGGTACACAACCTTTTCGAGCTCAACGCCACAGCTGGTAAAGCCATGGCTTTGCATCAGCACGAGGTCGTGGTCGGGCAGATCATGGTCCTCGCACTCGCCATTGTTGTTGGGAGAGAACTCGTCGGCGAGGGCCGCGCCGAGCCGGGGGGTTCGGACCAGCAAGTCTTGCGTTTCGTTGGGGAGGTAGTAACGGGTAATGTCGAAGATCGGGGTTGCTCCGCCTGTGAGGGTTTAAGCTCGGCACACAGTGCATGAGGTGTGAGGCAAGGGGAGATGGACAATGTTCGGGAGCGGTGCTCGATGTATGCCTGTCATAGTAGGAGCCAACTTACCAAGGTACCCAGCCATATGGATTGCCGCTCGCAACGGTACACTGCTGATGCTATAAGAGACCAAGATATCGGCATGGCCGTGTAGCACTACGTTTATACCGGGATAGCGCTTGAGGATCTCGCTGTGGATGAAACGCTCGATAAACCCTCTGGGTCCGTCTGGCGTAGTCGGCTCAGCGTCTGAGACATGATACAGGGCAATATCGGCAAGTGAAGACACCAGGGCTGGGGAGACGGTGTGGAACATGAAGAAGGTTGAGTGGTTCTCGGGGTTCCGGAGTGACATATGGCCGTAGCCATCGAGAATGCCGTGGAACTGAAGGATGTGTAACGCCGTGATGTAGGTGGCTAGGAGATGGGTATGGTTTGCCGTGACCATCGTCGCTTGAGAGGCCGCGAGAGTTGAGTGAGAAGAAGTTGGGATGTCTTGAATAATAGGTGCCTAATTGTTTGTAAGTAGAAACTCCAGGTCGATGTAAGGGATGAGGGAGCTCAAGAGTGGTGAAAGGTCTATGTAACAGAGCTTACCGACGCCAGGGATGAATTGGAGCTTGGTCGAATATATATTAGGGAATCCACATGGAGTAGAACAACAAGGGGGTGTTGGCAAGTACTAGTAGGGATTCGCGATAATCTGCCCTCCAGAAAGTCGTAACTTCACGTCTGGTGCTTGAGACCCGGAGTCTTGTGCCGTGCAGTGGTGTTAGTTTACGCCACATATGTGAGTATACCTACATGTAATGTCTATGGCTGCGTTCCGAATCCACCTAGGGGCTGAATATCCCGAAATGTATTGGTAGGGGGAGGAAAGAAGGGATGTTGTATCGAAACCATTACTATGGGCTTCCAAGCCATATAGGTGAGGTGTGTTACACTCGGGAGAACCATTACCGTACTGGTGGGCGACGGTGCTCGTGATGACCACATGCACCGTGACATGACTTAGTTCTTACATCAACATCGTATATTGACTATCTGGGTGAGGTACTGGAACTAGTCTAAGGGCTACTCTGTTCTGTCCAGCAGGTTCTGTCATCCCATCCGTCATGGAAGTGATAAAAGTCAGTGGAGAAGTTGGAGCTGATTAACAGGGGATGGGTGAGGGTCTGTTGAAACTGTATCCGTTGACAGTTACAATATTCACTTCAGTCCGTTCATGTTACTGAGACTCAAGTGGACAGATCCCGCCTTCATGTTAGCTGTGCATCCCGTACCTGTCCCAACTGTCCGCTTCAGTTCGTCCCATTGTCTCCTTGGAATGTACCTATCCCAATCATTACAAACCAGATGGATACCAGTGTAGCATTACCGGATAGAGACTTAGATACAATAACTGTCATAGGTACCTTAGGGTTTCCCTACACTACCGACTGTAGCGGACAACCCGATCGTGTTTGTCTGCAACCACTACAGATCGGAGCACCCCGGCCCGAGCTCGTCTTCACTTCTCAGTGGCCGCGGCCAACCATCCTATCCATGCCACTCTCATTCGACTTCTGCGCAGCCAAGTCACCAGGCTGTACGATGGAGCTCGGCGTTTCCGCCCTCCGCGGCCGCATCATCATGTAGAGGCAGCCCAAGCCGAGGGCTCCGATCCCAACGTATCTGGGACAGACAGTTAGCAAGATTCTGTACTCCCTGCTGCTGGATATAGAACATGAACGCCTACATCATTCGGTTTTCCGGGTACCCCATCTCCTTGTCCAGTTTCTTGCCCATGGCCTGCTGCATCCCTGCCTTGACGCCCTTCGGGTGGTGGGGCATGGCCGAGTGGATGTCCAGGCCGGATGTCTCGAGTGGCTGCTTCTGGTGCGAGGTTTGTCCCTCCGTTGGATAGTCAAAGACGAGATCGATGTCGTCGACGGGGTTGCCGCCCCTCGGATCGTTCGGGCCATATACCTTGCCACCTGTGGGAGTTGCGCAGCGTGCCGCCGTGGTTGAGAGGCAGCGGGTCGCCGGGCGGAAGGTGCTCTGGAAGACGAACCGGACAGTCCTGGTGCTGGTTGGCTTTATGTGTAGCATGTTGACGTTTTGGTTGTCTTTGTTAAGGATCTCGTCGGGTGATGATCACCGCGAACCTATATTGTGAAATCTGGGTAAGGGTTTGAGGCCCTGGTTGGGCGTTGTGGCGTTGAAATACGGTCTCCTAAGGCTTAGTCGCCTTCGTCTGTGTGACTCTTTGTCTCCATGACGTACCGAGGGAGTAATCGTTGAGGGGCAAGACGGAGATCGGGCCCGTGAGCTGGTGCACAGCATAGACCACCCGGACCCGCATTGAAATCGGGAGGGTATCCAGATTCGAGTTTGGTTTTCGGACAAAATTTTGGTTCGGGTAGTCAGTTATAAGCCGGCAGCATCGTAGGGAGATCTGCATCAGGGCACCATCTTGAGCCGACCAGTTAGTAGACGGTAGGCTTGACACTAGTAGTATCTTTCTTCAGCATGTCAATTAGATCACCAACTTAGCGGTAGGATAGAACGAAACATAGTGGCAAGAGCGCATAATGTTGCGCATCTACTGTTGATGTCCAAATGAGGTTAACGGTTAAGGGGTCAATATTATCTCCTGCGTAGAGTCAAGGTGCACTGGTGGAGTTCGGTAAGCCTCACTCGCTCGCTCTTCACCAGCTAGTACTGCTGATAGCCTCTTTCCGAAGCGATCTTCTCGAGTGTCTTGCGACGATTGATGCCACGGAGGATTCAATTTGTGGCCTTGTAGACGAATATCGTCATATGGGGTAGATCCAATCCTCTAATGTGTAGTAAGTAGGACACTCAGTAAAACTCTCGCTCACTACGAGCGAGGTTTCGGTGGTAGATAGTAGATAAATGAAATCAGATTGGAATGCACCGCATTTGTCGGCAACATTGGGTTTGGGCATAGCATGGCTGGCGATGATGAGCTTCGGGGTTGTAGTGGGTCTTGGGCCGCAGTGGGGCCGGGCGTGTTCCGGCCGGTCGGAGATCGGGGATAGGCGTTTACCAACGGCAACAATCACGCAGGCTGATGTGACGTCTGCCAATCCATTGAAGATGAAAACCTTCAACAACATCGGATATGGCGTGACATGGGCTCTTTTTGCACCGGCGAAGCCGCCGCTGGAATGATCATAAAAGGCTTGACATTTTCAAGGCAAGCCCCGGGCTGCTCCAGACTCGGATCATCAGTTACCACTGCACTTACACTTTGATCAAAGCCATCCAAACCAACCTTTCGTCAAAACCTCAAAATCCAAACGTTCAAAAGACGCAAAGTGCAACAACATCGGCGGTCAACCCACCTTTGTCAACCACACGTTCAACATGGCACCTCGCTCCCGCGTCTGGCTTATCACGGGCTGCTCTTCTGGCTTCGGCCTGGAGCTAGCCCAGGTTGTTGTTGCTCGTGGCGACCGTGTTCTTGCTGCGTCCCGAAACCCTGACAAGGTTAAGGAGCTTACCAACAACGACAATCTGAAGCTGGTTCGACTCGATCACAACGAGCCTCTCCCTGCACTCAAGAAAGCTGTCAACGACCTCATCTCGGTTTACGGCACCATCGATGTTGTTGTCAACAATGCCGCATACGTGCAGACAGGCACCATCGAGGAGGCAACCCCCGAGGAAACCCTCCGGCAGTTCCAAGCCAACTTCTTCGGGCCGCTCAACCTCTACCGCGCCGTGCTTCCACACCTCCGCAGCAAGGGCGAGGGCACTCTCGTAACCATCGGCTCCATGGCGGCGTGGTACCCAATGAACAGCTGCAACCTGTACAACGCGTCCAAGGCAGCACTCCGCTGGGCCACAGTGGGCCTGGCCGACGAAATCAGGGGTTTCGGCATCAAGCATTGCCTCGTCGAGCCAGGCTTCTTTCGCACCAGTCTGCTGAAGCCCGACGCGAACTTTGCGGGGACCCAGGCCTCAACCCGCATGCCAGAGTATAATGAGATTAATGCCGTTGCGGACGCTAATTTCAAGAAATACAATGGCTTACAACTTGGGAACCCGGCCAAGGGCGCCGAGATCATCTATGAGGCCGTCACCTCGACTGGTGTTGCCGAGGGGATGCCCTTCCCGGAGTTTCTGCCTCTGGGCAGTGATGCGTTGACCGAAATCACAAAGGCTGCGCACAAGACTCTGGATGCTATCGAGGAGTGGCGGCGGATTAGCGCGTTGAGCGACTTTCCGGAGGGAAAGTAGGGCGTGGATCGAGAGTAACGCCGGTTGGTGATGGAAGTGCGGAGGCATGGTTTTGTATATCGCCAAAGGTTTCTAGACTTCTAGAATTATATGAGCAGATAGCTCATTTTGAGAGGTGAGACCAGTCCGATGTCTTCATCCTAGGTTTGTGGATTTGAATGAAAGTTTTGAGCAGTCGTTCTGTCTGCTGTGAGTGTCAACTGGTAAGCGACAAAGTGCACCCGCTTTGTGGGGCAAGGTGGGAATTGAAGTGAGTGGGCTCAGTGGAGTGCCGACCTGGACGAGCTGTGTTATCGATAAGATTGTTATCGATAAGACATCTAACCTAAGGATTTGAGACCATTGCTCGCCATTGCCACAGCAACGGACCCCTTAATGTATGTACCCTGTACAAGTACATACAGGCCAGAAATAGGGGGGTTGTGTAGCTGGCCGACCTAGGGAAGGAGTCAGCGACGGCCAGGCCCTGGCACTACACGACACTTCTTCAATCATTACTGTATAGCCCTGTCTGTAAGACAGCACTTACATCTCAATGTCAGGTATAAATCTTGCGTATGAAAGGTACCTTAGCGGACAAGACGCGGCACCTGGGCTCCTGTTTGGCCCCCAAATTCTTTACCCAGTAAATTGTCGATAGTTGGCTGCCTGGAACCTCGGCTGGAATTATTTTCCTCCTCACTGTTCAATAAACCATCGGGTAGCTTCCACTGAATGCTAAAATCGAGCTGGAAGTGAATCTGGTCAGTCGGGCAGTTCCAACTTCCAAGTTGCCACATGCAGTACCCCCGATATGGCCCATCAGCTAGACACAATTGGTAATAGTACGCAACTCATCTCGGCAGTGGCAAGTGGGGATGAAGCAGCAGTGAGGAAGATTCTCTCTGAAAACAACATCCCAATCAACGCCAAAGACGACGACGGCCGCACAGCCCTGCACCACGCTGTGCACAACAACCATCTACCAATTGTCAAACTACTCCTCGCCATCGATACCATCGACGTTGGAGCCAAAGATGAGAACGGCTGGACACCCTTGACCGTCGCCGTTGAAGCCGGCCACACCGCCATCGTCGCCTACCTACTCACCTCCACCCTTGCAGACCCGCACACCAAAACCAACGACGGCCGCACCCTCCTCACCTTCGCAGCCGCAGGAGGCCACAACCACCTTATAGCCCGCCTGCTCGCCATCCCCGGCACCGACGTCAACGCCGCCGACAATGATAACTGGACGGCCCTCACCTACGCCACGTTCCACTACCATGTCGACACGGCCAAAGCTCTGCTCGCTATCCCTGGTATCGACCCTGACCCGCAAGACGTGTTGGGCTGGACGCCGCTGTGCATGGCGTGCGAGTGTGCTACGCACGAGCTCGTGCGGCTGCTGCTGGCCACGGGGCGGGTGAATGTCATGGCGGCGACGGACGAGGGGTACACGCCGCTGCACCTGGCTGCGGAGGCGGGTTGTGCCGAGGTGGTGAGGATGTTACTGGAGACGGGGAAGGTCGATGTGCGGGCCAAAACGGAGATGGGGGACACGCCGTGGGATTTGACTACCCACTTGGAGTATGAGCCGGGGGATCCGGATGATGTTAGGAAGCTGGTGCCGAGTGATGGTAGCAGGTGGGGAGGCTCAGGCTGAGGAGAAGATTGACTCCAGTCTAGAAAGAACTAAGGGTGTGGCATATGTGTAATTTAGAAATTGTGAAGTGGATTGTTTGTACCTTACTTAGTAGATGCACCTAGGTATCATAGTTATGATGCTGAAGCGTTTTCGATTTTCCCGTGTAAGTTCTATTTACCAAATTGGATGTGCTAGTTGCGGTTGTCCTGTCGACTTCAATGCTAGAGGATAGACACCAAGCCACATGGTCATTGAGGACGAAGTTGGATGAATCTCCGCTGGTAGAAATCTATCTAGGTACGCAAGCGGTGACGCACAGGCCTTCTGTACTAGTATGACGCTCGTACACGTCGAACAACCATGTCCGGCTCCATGTACTCTCCTACACCCATCATGATCCAGCCTTCCATCGAAATGAACCGGGGGCAGTATCCGAGTCTCCGACCGAGTCGACCTACCTGGCATTCCCGTCTGCCCAACACAGGGCCTCTAAGGAATTGCTCTTGCTGCCTTGCGGCAGTTTGCTACTTGCATATAACGTTGGCCCGTTGGCTTCAAATTGGAACAGGAATTTATAGTCACTGCATGCGCACTACCAACACACCAACGGTTCATTGCTCGCATACATGTAAGCGCCGGAGCTGCATGTTTATGCAGTTGGGTTTGTATGGCCACTCAATGTTCTCAGCTGTTGGCCTAACTCGGCCACATCCAGATTCACCTGCCACCTCATCAGGCCGGGGCTCATCTCAGGTATATGACAGGGGAGCGGGCGCTGAGGGAACCTGCCTGGGACTCAAGTGCCTGTACCTGTAGCACTTTTCACGTGAACTCTTCCCCGCTCAATGATAAGATGCAGAGTCTGTCTTGGTCTATCTATCCGTCTGAGAACACCGCTAGCTTGATACATTATACAACTGGTTGGATCACAGGGTTTAAGATGTGGAGGCTGTCTTGCTATCATGGCCCCTTCATGTGCTTCTCGGCAACCCCGCCTCTACTTGCGCTTGCCTATCGATCTTCTTCCCCTCCGTCCCGCTCTCTTGGAGCCCGTATTTTGTCTCGAGTTCGGTAGACATGTCCAGGTGGTCTTCAATGGCAACCAAAAACGTGGCCAAAATGCTAAGACCAAGTCCCCACCACCATACAGCCTTCAAACTGGTTACGTATACCTGCACGATCTCGCTCCACAAGACAGGATCTGCCGTGGGCGCAAGACTGTTAGCTTGGCTGGCAAAGGCGTATGCTCCACCGTTGGCAAGCTGGCTCCGCAACTCTGCCGACGATATGAGCGGCAGATTGCTGTCGAACACGCCGTTGAAGATGATGGACGGTATTGTCACGCCCCAGACGAAACCGAAAGTCTTGATAAAGGAGAAAGCGGCCGTGGCAGCGGCAACATCCGACTGCCGAAGACCGACGAGAATGGCCGGGAGCACGGTTGATACCGTCGGACCCAGCCCCATGACCATGATAAGCTGGAACCAAGCCCACGAGACCTTGGGGGTGTTGGACTGGAGTAACGTAAATAGAGCGAAGCCGACAGCACTTAGGGCGAAGGAGACGGCGTGGATAGGTCTGTAGGCGCCGAAAGAGCTCAACAACACACCTCCCATGGCTGCAAAAAACAAGGTGCCGATGGCGAACGGTAGAAAATACACGCCCGAATCCATGACGGTGGTGTTGAGCACGGCCTGGAAGTAGACGGGCAGGAAAAGACCGGCAGTCTGCAAGAGCACGGATGACAGGAAGGATAAGATGTAGGCGGTGGCCGAGGTGCGGTTGCTGAAAAGCCGGGAAGGGATGCTCGGGTTGCTGGCAAGAAAGTGTTGGTGCAAGTGAAAGCATATCCAGCCGATAGCACCGAGGACGATGGGCACAATGACGCGGAATGATGACCATGGGTGTACGACGCCACCGGTCACCAGGCCGATGAGCACCGAAATGATGCTTGGAATGAAGATAAGGTTGCCGATCACGTCAAGCGAGGAAATGCCAAGTGCCGAATCGCCGCGGTTGACGTGCATGAACAGCAGGATGGTGAGAAGTGCAATCCCGCAGATAGGAAGACTGCGATGTTTCCATCGTCAGTAACCGCATCGGCCGGAAGATTCAGGTTCACAGGTGACACGCACTTCATGTAGAAAATCCATCTCCAGTTGTGCTGACCAAGGGCACCGCCCAACACCGGACCCAGGGCTGCCGCCACTCCCGCCCAGGCGTTGATGATGGCCAGCCATTTGCCACGGTTTCGGAGCGGTACCAAGTCACAAACAACAATATCGATAAGAACATAGATACCACCGGCGCCGACCCCCTGAATCACTCGCCCGACGATGAACATGGCGGCATTTGCCGCACCGCCAGCGATACCGCTGCCGACAGTGAACAGCACAACACACCCGACAGTGGGCATCTTCCGGCCCAATATGTCGGCCAGCTGCCCGATGAGCGGCTGTACTGCAGACGCGGCAAAGACAAAACAGTTGGCGATCCACACGTAAACGGAGGCGCCGTCGATCTCGGCCGTGATGGTCGGCAGTGCTGTTCCGATAATCATGGCGTCGAGCGACGAGAGAAAAGCCAGCAGGCTTAGTGCCACGATAATCATCCAGAACCGCGCAGGTTTTTTGCTGCTTTTTTTGCTGGTACTTGTACCGCCATCGTCTGCTGCGTCAGGACTGCCGGACACGGAGCTCATCGTGGTTGTTGTTGTTGATGTTGCGCCAGGGGCCACGGCAGGCGGTTTTTCGGGCGTGGGCTTCTTGTCTAGTGTGTCTGTCATTGTCGAAGAAATTTTGAGCGAGTCAGAAGGACATGAAGAATGCTTGCAAGATTCTGCCAATTCAAGAGATGGCTACATGTAGATGAGAACTGAAGTACTAAGGTAGGATAGCTACCTTAAGGACGATTAGATGGAGGGACTCCAGCCATCGGTGCAAATTAGGGGTGAGAAGTTTGATGCAGGAACTGCCAGGCTGCACTCCTGTAAATAAACGTCCAACATACATACATGGGTAACCCCAATGTCTGGTTACTCTGGTACCTACCCTACATTTACAATACTTCTTCCCGTGTATGATTGTACATAGGTACATATTAGACTTGGTCTCTCTGTGTCTGAAAGATGACACCAAAGGTCTTCCCAAAGTACCGGTAACTCATGTTATTCTCGTGCCTTGCTCTTCCCCATGCGCACCCTGGCTTGAACATGTCATCCGCCTTCAACGGTCAACCAAGCCATATTGGTCAAGTTGGGCCAGTCACCAACGCATGCGACACGTGCTTGCAGAACTAAAGACGACGGATCTGCTTATCATCTACTTACCTATGCGAACTGAAGACTTGGGCAGTTGGACTTAGCGCCAGTGGCGACCCGACTTGGTTGGTATCCTTCTTAGGTCCTTGATTTCTTCCAGTCTCCACCCGAGTCAAACTTGCGTGGGCGTTGTATGCCGTTGGCTCTCATCTGCACGTGAGTTAAACGAGGAAGTTGGGCGAAGTGGGTTCCGGGTAGATGGCGGTATCGCGGTGATTGGATCGGATCCATATGTAGCTAGGGTGTTGGTGAGAACCGTGCCGCAGGGAAGTTGGAAGTTGGAACTTTCCATTGGGCATTCTTTTGAGTTGGCTCAGTTCTTCCACCAACACTTGAGGGAGATGCAGCACAACATATCCACGTCTTGGACATGCTGTCTCGGCAGCGTTGGTGTTCTGTAAGATAGTCCCACAACCTGAACGAATCATGCTTCGCAATGACACCCAACGGTTGACACGGCGTAAGTGCTCAGAGAGTCAGAGACCCCTGAACCCGTCTTCCCGCCCACCTTCCGAGACTAGCGAGATAGCGTTAATCGGTAACTTGTAAGCTGCGACAGAGTCGTACAGGGCATGTATGTGTAAGGTATTTGCGGGGTTCACTCTTCGCTCCTACTCCCTACAGTCTGCAGTTAAATTGAGGTGCCTTGTGCGAGTTCAATGTTGCAGACTTGCAGTCAAATCACCATCTACTATCCACCTTTCTCTTCCAGCGGAGCAGTGAGAGCACTATGGAGTCCGTTGCCAGGGCGATCCAAGCCTTAAGGGAGTCTATCCCCACCGCGAGGATCCATGAGAAGGGAAGTGAAGAGTACGAGAAGGCGAATTCCAGTTACCTCTCGGGGCTTGAGAGCGACCTCAAGCCCCTGTTCATCTTCCAGCCCGCCAGCATTAGGGAGGTCGTCATCTTTGTCAATACCATCAAACCCTTTGCCGACGAGGTGCCCTGCGCCATCCGTGGTGCTGGACAGCAACCTCTCCCGGGATGTGCCAATGTGGACAATGGCATTACCCTGGACCTGGCCCTGCTCAACACTATCACGCTCACCGACGACAATTCCGTTGTTCAGATTGGAGCCGGTGCACGCTGGGGCGCAGTCTATGAAAAGCTGGACGCCCTCGGCCTCAGCGTGACGGGCAGCCGAAGTGCAATGGGAGGCGTGGGAGGGCTGGCGCTGGCAGGTTCGTCCAACTAAGTTGCCCCTGGATCTCCCCTATTCGATAAACACCCCTTAACCAACTCGCTTCCAGGCGGCCTGTCCTTCTTCTCCAGCCGCGAAGGCTTCATCTGCGATAACGTCGTCAATTTCCAAGTCGTCCTCAGCTCGGGCGAGATTGTCAACGCCAATGCCACCGAGAACGCCGACCTCTGGGTAGCCCTCCGTGGTGGCGGCAGCAATTTTGGGATTGTCACACGCTTCGACTTCCGGACCTTCAAACAAGGACTGCTCTGGGGTGGCAACGTCTTCTACTTTAAGGACAGCTTCCCAGACCAGATCAAGGCTCTGGTGACCGAGGTTACGAAGCCCGATGCGACGGACCAGACACACTTGATGATCAGCATTGGCTATTCAAGCGTCATGGCAGCCGCTTTCAAGGGTGTTGACATCATGTGCATGAATCAGTGTTACTACACCGAGGCCGTCGAGAATCCCCCGGTGCTTGAAACCCTTACGAAGATTACACCACAAATTGATGCTCTCAACTCCATGTCCTTGAAGTCTGTTGCGGCTGCGGCCTCAGAGCAGCATAAAGCCGCCCAGACCCAAGTCAGGTAAGATGATACCTTGACCATAGTCGTTGCTTGCAGTGGAGCCTCAGTCTAACCCCTGATTCCCACCTAGGGCCGCATACATCAACATGGCAGTCAAGGCCGATGACGCCACCCTGCAAGCATTCAGCGACATCTTCACGGCTGCCCTGCCTCCTCTCTTCAGTGTGGCCGGTGGCACCTACACGTTCACCCTGCAGCCCTACCCTGTCTCGCTTCTGGCCAAGTGTGATGCCAACGGCGGCAATGTGTTGGGCCTGCACGCCTCTGACGGTCCCATCGTCTCGGTCTTACTTCTTTCGTACTGGGCAAACAAGACCGATGACGGAGTCGTGATTTCCTTCATGGAAGAAACACTGGGCAAAATGCGCGACGACGCCGCGGTCAGGGGCACGCTTATCCCCTACATCTACCTGAACTACGCCTTCACAGGGCAGAAGGTGTTTGACTCGTACGGGCCTGAAAACAAGGCCAAGCTGCAGGCTGCCAGCAAGAAGTACGATCCCATTGGATTGTTCCAGAAAGGGTTTCCGGGAGGGTTCAAGCTGTTCGACTAAAACACTCGATACATGAATTGATCTGGAAAGTACGTGTAGTTAAGATAGTTGAATGGCGGGGAATGCAACTAGATGGCAAGTTTATGGGTTCGAAATCTCTCCCATCTCAGGCTTTAAGATGCAATGGACGAGACCTTCGTCTGGTGGAAGTTGCACGTTGGGTTACATACGAAGAAGAAGTCCAGGGAGGTATCTCAAGTAGCCCGGGTCTCCAGCCAGGGTTACATTGTGTGCAGTGGCAAGTAGCAGGAATCACCCTTCGTCCCCACAACATTACATCTTGCAGGTGTTTATGTACTGCAAGAAAGTCACATGGAGGATACAGGTACAAGTAGTTAAGGTAGGTATTCAACCGTTCGCAGCTACTCGATCTACCTCCTCACACCAACGTAACGTTTACCATCCTCAAATCTTCCTCCCGTGAGCTGGAGCCAACCCAGATATTATACAGCCCCATGAAGGTGGTAGGCTTAGCATTAATCCATACGCCCAAGTCCTTATAGGGAATGTTAAAGTTGACATCCCGGCTCTCCCCCGGCGCCAACTCAACTTTCTCGAACCGAACCAGTCGCTTCACAGGAAACTCCAGCCCCCTGGTCGTCGCCGGCCGGAAGTACACCTGGACGACCTCCTTGCCTTTGCGCGTCCCAGTGTTACGAACCGTTGTAGCGACCACAACGGCCTTGTTCTTCTCCTGAACCGTGGCTATGGGCGTCGAAATGTCGAACGTGGTGTAGCTCAGCCCAAACCCGAACGGCATGGGCACCGTGCGTGTCAGATTTGGGAACTGCCACGCCGATTGGTAGCCCAGTGAGGCCCACCCGCCCTGGTCGTCAGAGGGCAGGTAGTCGTACATGGCCGGGATGGCTCCGGTGTGCTGGGGCATGCTGATGGTGAGTTTGGCACTGGGATTTACACGTCCCGTCAGCAGCTCAATCAGGGCGTCGCCCGTGAACTCGCCGCCGAGGAAGCTGTGGAAGATGGCGTTGACCCGGCTCAGAGTGGACTGTTGCAACACAAAGGGCTGTCCGCCTGTGAGAATTAGCACAGTGGGAACCCCGGTGTCGAGAATTGCGTCCAACAGCTCTTGCTGTAGCCCGGGAAAGCCCAGGTCGGCATGGGCAAAGAACTCTCCGTCCGTCCGCTTGGGTGCCATGGTCATGTCCTCGGGGGCATCGGATAGGCTGCCTAGCATGAGCACCGCAAATCCTGCTTCCTTGGCCGCAGTTACGGCGTCCGGGATGCTGTTGGTTGCGTTGGTCGTGTCGACGATATCACACCCCTGGGTGAAGGTGACTCTGTCCACTCCAAAGGCGGATACGGCGCTGCGGTACAGAGACGAGCCGTAGCGGGCGTTGGACACGTTGACGGCTGCGTAGGAGCCTGGGTTGAGGATGTCACCGAAGGGGCCGATGATGGCGAGTTTACCAGTGCCTTTCAGCGGGTAGGGCAGCAGGCCGTCGTTCTTCAGCAGGACAATGCTTTCGCGCGCCATCTGTCGGGCTAGGTCCAAGTGCGCTGCCGCTCGCAGTGTCTTGTTCATGACGTTGAGGTTGGCGAGCGGCTGCTCAAATACACCAGAAGCGTACTTGATCTCGAGCATCTTGAGCACTGCAGCGTCAATAAGCTTTGCGACGCGTGTGTCGTTGATGCTGGAGATCAACGTTGGGAAGGCCGGTGGATTGCCCGGGGCCAGCTCCATCTGCAGCCCGGCATTGAGGGCCTGAAGGGCTGCGTCTTCCAAGGATGTGGCTGTTTTGGACTGTGTGTAGAGGTTCGGTATGGAGAATGCATCCGACATGATGAGCCCCTTGAATCCCAGTTTGTCGCGGAGAATATCTTGCAACATGTACTCGTTGGCTGACATGGGCACTAAGTCGACCGTGGCATACGACACCATGAGGGAGGCGGGGCTGGTCGTCTCAAGGACGTGGATGTAGGGACGCAGTTGGTCGTTGAACAGGTGGTTGATACCCCCGTACTGGCAGGCTGTGTTGACGCCACCGCGAGCATCACCGTAGACAAAGTGCTTGATGGTGCAAGCCACCTTGGTGTAGCCGTTCTCATCCTTCTCTTCCATCGTCTCCACATAAACCCGGCCAAACTCGCCGATCAAATATCCGTCTTCACCGAACCTGAGAACAGTCAATGGTTAGAAAACAGTTGCAGTCCAATGACACCATGTTGTTCCCATTATAGTCGGTTACTTACAGTTCCCCAATGCGTCCATACCTAGGCTCCCTCGCAACGTCTAGGGGCGGTGACAAGACCCATTTGACGCCGATGGAGAGCTGCTCTTCGCGAATAGCTTCAACTACGCCCTTGAACAATGGGAGGTTGAAGGACGATGACATGGCCAGGTTGCTAGGGAAGACTGTGCCGCCTGAGATGAGAAGTCCGTTTATCGAATCAGTCACGGTGATGTAGGGTATGTGAAGACGACTCGAGTTGACTTGCTCCAGGCGCAGCGAGTTCACCAGAGGCATGATGTCTTTGGCCCAGTTGAACATGGGCCCGAACCCTAGAGTGACGTGATTTATCGCAATCAGTAATCGTCACTCGTAAACCATCCCGACATGATAGACGGCAGTCATGCATATGGTGGGTTGGTTAAGGTACCCATCTGTCCATTCTGCGTTTTCTTGATGGTCTCATAGTTCGGGTTGATGGTAGAGTCCAACGACAAGATACGCCGAACACCACCCATCTGGCCAATTTTTTCTTCCCAGGTCATCTGGCTGAGGAGAGCTTGTGCTCGCTGCTGGGCAGTGCACGACTTCCCGCGGTGCTGGCATGATGAACTCGACGAAGAAGTGAAATCTGTACTGGCGGCAGTGGCAAAGGCCAGGGCTGAGAGGGCCGCATTGAGCATTGACACCATGGTGCTAGGCTTGGAAAGGGAGCTTTGTGATTCTCCGGGCAGGGCTTCATCCTTCTCGCTGTAACTGACGTCTGGATATATTTATATGCTAATCCATCTCGACGGTTGTATCCTACTACTAGTGGTAATGTCGGCGCTGGCCATGCCAGACAAAAGTAGGTACTAATACCACCTAGGTAGGTGTTACGAACTTCGCAGAAAACGAGACAAATGTCGTCAGAAGTACCCTAAAAGATGTGATGTGGCTCGAGAATTACCAAATTTCATTCAACATCTACCTTGAGCCTAGGGAGTCAAGTCGTAGAACCATGTCCCCAGTCTGCCTTGCCCAATGAGCGAGCGTTCATCCCGAGATCCGGCATCGACTAGCAAGGCCGAGGATATGGGGATTGCGGGGAATCCGGGGAGCCACCTCCTTTGAATCTCTCGGCCGGCAAAGTCGGTTTCCAACTTTCCAATACAGCGTGTAGTTGCTTACCCCTGGGCATATGTTGACTTCATGGGTCACAAGTTCACATGGTCCATCACATTTCAAATTTGGGATGACATGGTGTACTGAGGTACTCCACACATGTCGATTTTCCAAGCCAAAAGTACCTAAGCTTTGAGCGCCTCTCAGAGTAGGACTTGCAACCATCAACTTGACTGAACTCCAGCAGTGGCACTGGCATTGGCCTTGATCTCATCCACAACCTCGGGATACTTCTCGTACGTCTTTGAGCCGTCGTCGTGGTATATCTTTGCGCTGACACCAATGGTCAGATGCGCATGCTCTGCCAGCTCCCTGGGATCCTTGATTTCATTTCCGTTCTGTTCACCCGGTAGGTTAGCGAATCCGTTCTTCGAGGGGGGAGAAAGCTGGGAAAGAGAGAAAGAAAGAAAAACCCACAAAAACAACCCTCCACCTCAGATACTTCACCAAAAACGGCTTGACATGCTCAGGCCTCAGACTCTCCAACCCGTTATCCTCAAGATCAAGGTAAGTCAGCAGCAGCGGCGTAATAGGCGTAGTGTCGCTCGACATGTGGCCAAGGGCCTCGAGGTTGCCGCAGTTGTCGCATGCGCGGCTCGACGCAACGAACATGTGGTTGATGCCGGCCAGGAACGGCGACTGGGCCAGTGACGCCGCGTCCGCGTCGGCGGGGAGCTCGCCCTGGAGCGCGAGGAAAAAGAAAATGGTAAACGGTCCGTCGGCCGCCGACCGCAGCACCGCTGAGTCGACGTACCACTCGCGGTCAAAAACTGGGTCGATCTTGGCAGCCGCGGGTGCAGGTGTGGCGACGAGGGAGGTCAGTGCATGGGTTCCTCTTCCGCTGGGAACGGGACGGGGGACGCCGTTGGTGGTTGTCTTGGGGTTCTTGAGGCCCGTCATGAAGTAGGAGGCGTGGACTTTGTCGTAGAGAGGCTTCATGTGATCCTCGGGCTTTCTGATTTGGGCGTCGTTGGGCTTGACTCTCATCCAGTTGTACTTGGCATGGAGACGATCCAGGAGCTTATTGGCGGGGCCAACGAAGTCGTCGTAGATGTAGCCCAGGGCCGTGGTGTCCTTGGTGTCGTCCGAGGTGAAGAATTTGCCCTTGCGCTCCTTATAAAAGGGCAAGAGGTTCTTCTTGGCGTCAGACTGCTTCGTCGAGTCTCTAGGCTCAGGAAACCATGCATTGGGGTGGAAGGCTCGCCAGAGCTCCCAGATACGGTCAATCTGGCAATGGTGGAACCAAAAGACGGGATCGAAGGCAGCCACTGGGACATCGCTCATGTGGCCTAGGTTGACGACATTCCGCCGGTCAACTTGAACATAGCCTCCAATATTCATGTGGTAGTTGCCGTGAAAACCTTCAATCGAACCACTTCCCGTCATGTCACCGTCGACAAGCTTGTCCGAGGCGACGGCTTCTATCTTGTCATAGGGAGCCGAGTGGATCAGGTCAAAGAAGGTAGTGATTCCGCTCTGGCTGGCTCTGTTTAGCGAGGTATTGAGCGCCGGCAAGTTGTGCTCGTTCGGGGCAGACTTGGCGGCCCAGCGGACAGTCTGGACAGTTGTGTATGTTCCTCCCAACTGCAAGCGCATGACACGTTAATGGGTGTTTACTATCATGTCGGGGCAGAGCTTGACTCACCGCATCCCAGTCAGCTTGAGGCATCTGGCCACCTTCCTTGAACTGGTACGAGTATAGCGGGTTCGAAATTTCCTGCATCGTATCGAGCGGTGGCAGCTTGACCTTGATGCCAGGCTCGTTGAGCACATCGGGCAAGCGAAAATCGTACTGTCTCCATTCGTCTATGCCAGCACGCCTGACTATGACTCCTCTACCATGTCGTGCTCGGAAGTAGTCGAGATACGGAAGACGGAATGCCTTTGCCGCATTGAGGTATCTCTCCCGGTGAGGCGGATCGAACTTGCCCGCGATCTTGACCATGTTCTGGTAGATGGTTTGCTACGCTAAAGGTTAACTTCAGGTTGGACGAAAAGAACGAGGGTAGTATGATACCTCCATAAGCATCAAGTAGGGGCGGTGCCAAGTGGGGAAGATGATACGTCCATGCGGACAGTAACCCCCAAACATCTTGTTCGCTTCGAACTGGTTCGCCACACCATCCCATGCTGCTCTGGGAAATCCATGGATGCCGGCGATGGAGTAGTAACTCAGCAAATCATTTTGATCAAGGCCTGGTATATTCTTGATCACATCAGGGTTCTTTTGCATGGCAGCCAGAGCCAGCAGCATGAGGTTGAACGCGTCAGGCTGCTCGGTGAGCATCACGTCAATGTCCACGCGGACCTGGACATCGCCTGTGAGCTCCTTCATGCCGACAACAACACCTGAGGCAGCGAGGTCCATTGCGGTGGCCATGGTGCAGGTCAGCTAATGTAGGCTTTGAAGTGATGGGTGGCCAAGGGGCGTATAGGTGGCTATTTGTGTGGTTGTTGACGAAAGTCAGGGGTTTGCTGAATTCTGATCTGAGGCGGATGGTAAACCAAATAATAGGGTCTGGCCACATATTTATCGTCAACTGCTTCCGGTCCCCTTCCAGTTTGTTTGCACTATCTCTCGCGACAGCTCCCTGCTTCTCAGCTAGCCATGGTGCGTTTTCCCCTCACGGTTATCCCCGTCTTCAATTCGATACATCAGGTACCACTGTCACCGATCGTTTGTCATTGGTAAATTGTTACGCGAATTGCGTTGCTGGTCAGAGCCTGCCGGCGATGAGGATCTAGATGCGGTGTTGCCTGCATAGATATCATGCATCTCAGGCAGCCACAATCCGTTGGGGTGTTCTAGACATTGAAGGTCCGGCCAAAGACCCTCAATGGACTCGGGTTGCCATCTAGACCGCTATTTCAGGCAGTAGATGCACGCCATGGCTGTCGAGAAGTACCAGTGCCCGGCAGCCAATGGCCTTGGGCCTTAGCCGCAATCGTGACGCCCATGGTGTCAACTGGTGTTTGTGACGCAGTCTGCGTCAGAGTTGACGAGGATGATTAGGGGTTTTACAAGAATGATCAAATTGAGGCCTGCATGTGCCTCCTTCGCTTTCTAACCCCCAGTCTCCGGAGGAGGGAATTCTAGACGCAAGGCGAACGGTGAAGCAGCTCATGGCACGTTGGAGTTGGAGTCCATGGTCAGGTAACTTGCAAATTTAGCGGAGCCAATTTGGCTTGCTTGATGGGTCGTCGGTTTGGCTTGGATTGGGTATCCTTGGCTTACCTGGAGCGCTGAGACACACTCTGTGTGTCCCTGGAGAAACTCATATTCACACCTTTAGATCACACTTATACTCAGACCACTCACCCCAAAACAATCTCCTTCCAAACGGGTCCAGGGCTGAAGCTCTGGTGCACCGCCGATTTTGGCACTTTCCCCAACCCTCGCCGCTCAGCAACTCCCCAGTGCCACTCAATAACCATGACGTTGTAGGAATCCCAGGTCTAGGTCCCTCTGCGCAGGCCCATAAAACTATCCACGTCGTTTTGCGACTCCGAGAGAAGAATGACCTCGAATGGCCCCTCAGACTCGAAAAAGGTTGTTTCATTAAACCCGTCAAATAGTGCCCCTCCGTATCGAAGCCCATCCTTTCCGATAAAGTATCCTTGTGGATAAAGGACATCGACGTTCTCTAGCTTGAGGAAGATGGCCATGGTCCAGAACTGTAACAGATGGTATGGATACAGTCGTGGCGGCTCGCCGTTTGGATTGCTTGTTTCGCTAGTGTCGACATGGCAGAGGTCCATATCTAGAGTGGGCATAGTCCGCGATGTCCGTAGACCCGGGACAGGACATTCAAACGGGCTTCGCCGGCGACCGTAACCCGCTGTAGCCGTACCACCAGTCACCGGGAACAATCCCAGATTCTCCGCGGGATCCCAAACAAGGCTCACCACCCCGGTAGAGCTCCTTTTATACCATACAATCCACGTCCGGTCCCGCAGCCAGTCGTGTATGTCCCGCAAGAACTCCAACTTGAAGAAGTCAAGAGGCCTACGCCACCCAGCCCAAGAGTAACTCGGAAACCCACGCCGACGGCCAGCGGCTGGGCCGCGTAGTAGAATGAACCTGTCAAACAGGCCGGTGGGCAGGCCGTGTAGCATGCGGCACCGGAATTTCTGGGACAGGCGGCGCAGAACGCCCGCCATAGCGCGGAGGGCATCGGCGTCGTTGGTCAGGGCGCGTCGAGTGTAGTAGTCGACGAACACCTGGTATTGGTAATCGGGATTTTCTGTGTCGATGACAGCATCGGCGAGCATGGAAGTCATGCTGGATTCCTGGCGTCCGATAGTCGGGTTGTCGGCGCAGACTTCGAGACACTCGGCTGAGCGGCAGCGGAAAACGACAGCGGAGTTGAAAAAAATACAGGATTCGCCAGGAGAGAACGTGCTCTTGAAACCTGTTGGGCATACTTAGCGCAGGAGTTCTTGAGCGTTTGACCTAGGACGCTTTGGATGGCTTGATGGTGACATGAAAGGTAAGTAGGGACAGGGTGGGTAAACAGGAAGGCAAGGGCCACGAACGTCCATGCCCGGGCTTCATATACACTCCTCTTCAACTGAAGGTCTGTGCTCGCGTAAACACCGATGGAGAGCCCTTTCTCTACCTGTCTGACCAGAACTTGTCTCGGTCGGTCCCCCGGCTGAATGCCTGGGAGGCCAGCATCGGCATCATGGCCGTTTGCCGCCACAATGGTTAGCCATGCTAGCTCGTAAATCTGATCCATGACGTTGACGCCTCTTTCAAGATCGTCAGGGCTGTTTTGCAGCAAGCACAGCGCGTCGATCCAGAGAACGCGGATGTTGAGTCTCTTGGTCAAAAGAAGCGCATCCAGGAGCGTCTTGGGTAACAAATCAGAAAACCTCGGGTTGAGAAGAGCCCCGGGCACCGTAAGCTTGTCCAGGTTTGCCTTGGTAAGTTGGAAAGTCGGACAGGAGCCCCAAACATAACTGAGCGCCGCGTACTGAACGAGTTCGGTCCTTTCGACGATGCAACCTTCTACGGTGTCGATGAACCGTAGCACGCGCGATCCGGGGAAGGCCTCGCTAAACGTGGTCGTCCGAGGAAAAATGACACAGGTGTGATGAGATGTACAGTGGTCGATCCATCCACTCACCCTTGACACGTCGAGCTCAACGGGGAGCCTAGGGAGGAGGTAAGCGTAGCGTGGGCTAGAACTGGAATTTACCCCAAAGGCCAGCCAGACGTCATTCAAGCGAATTATCGCGAACCCGCCCCTTGTAATTCTAGCTCCAGAGATCCACCTCACTTCAACTTCTTTGTCGTGGGATAGGGCCCGGTATACTGAAAGGTTTCTGTGCAGCACCGTTGCCTTGCACACTAACAGGCAAAACGGGCAGTTGCTCTCGAGGATCCGGGACAGAGGCCCCAAGGAAAACTTGTTCTCAATCTCACTCTTTCTAGGGCCAATCCGAAGGGCGTCTCGCAATCCGGCTGCAAATTCGGAAAAAGGTATCTTGCAGCAGTAGCTACAAAGGTTAGCCATGACAAAAAGGGTATTGAGCGATTAGACGTCTAAAGTGGCAAAGGGTTGCGGTCAATCAGTCCCTTACTCTTCTGTGCCGTGGGAATTGGGGATAGCTAAGGTGGGTAGGCACCTTCCCATTGCAGGCGAAGATGGAAACACACTCCTCCTAACTTACTTGCGTGCCACTGCTGCCTGATCTGTACGTGATATGACAGCCGGGTTACTCACTGTCGGTTCAACCCGGTTGCACTTCATGTTGTCTCACAATCTAGAACTGTCCTCCCCTTGCTTAGACGCATTTAAAACCCTGTGTACCGTAGTACCCCTCGTAGCAACCCAAATAGGCCAACTCTAGCCTCTTCCATTGTGCGTTTGCTTCGTCTTGGATAGCCCACTTAGACTTAGTGCACTTTCACTGGCAATGTCACAGCATTTCTAAGATGTGGGATGCCGCCACGCGGAGAATAGGAGATATATGCAGATGTAAGGTAATGTGCGGATAGGCAGAGTAGTAATATTAGAAAACTCCAACTCTATATCTACATGTAGGTAAGGTAGGGATCTAAGGAAGTCTGACCTGGATTGGAGGATGGACCGGTTCGTCGCCAATCTCCATCATCTTCCTCTCCAGCAGCGCCGTCATGTGCAGTACCACCTCATGGTACTCAGGCTCGTTATATACATTAAACAGCTCCAGAGGGTCCTTATCACAATCAAACAGCTCCCACTCCTTGTGTTCCTCGCCACCCGGTCGCGCCCCCTTGATGTCCAGCGCCTCGTTGTACCAGTAAATAAGCTTGTATCGCTGGTCACGAATCCCATAGTGCGCGTAAGCGTTGTGGATAATGTCGTTGTGCATCCAGTAACGGTGGTACGCCACCTGCTGCCAGTCTGCCGGGCGCAGCCCTTGCAACAGAGGCCGGAATGATCTGCCCTGCATGTAAGACGGGACCGGAAGCTGCGCGTAGTCTAACCAGGTAGTTGCAAAGTCCACGTTGCAGATGATGTCGTCACAGACCGAACCGGCTGCGATCTCTTTGGGATATTTGATAAGGAAGGGCATCTGGAAGGACTCCTCGTACATAAATCGCTTGTCAAACCAACCGTGCTCACCAAGAAAGAAGCCCTGGTCGGACGTGTAGATGACGATGGTGTCGTCGGCCAGTCCAGGCTCCTCCCTGTCAAGGTAGTCGAGCAAGCGGCCAACACTGTCGTCCACCGACTGGATCGTACGCAGGTAACGTTGCATGTACCGTTGGAACTTGAACTCGGCCAGCTCGCCTTGAGACGTAAAAGTGAAAACCGTACCGTCCTCCTTGTCGATGAGCTTCAGAGCACGTAGCCCTTCCTCCGTGGTGGGTGCAGGTATCTTGCGCTCGCTGGCTCCTTTCTCCTGTTGAACGCGCTCACCTACCCTTCGGCCGCCGTCCGGCTGCACGAGACCGAGGTCCTGGTAGGTTAAGTCCTCGGCAACTCGCATCTTAGCAATTCTGGCAGCCTTCGCACGGTTCTTGTAGTCGTCAGTGAAGGTGTCTGGAAGCCGGATGGGGTCTTGATAGAGATTCTTGTGCCTGTCGTCGCACTCCCAGGATCGGTGCGGTGCCTTGTGATGGCACATGAGGAAGAATGGTTTGGACTTGTCGCGCCCGCGGACAAACTCGAGGCTTTTTTCGGTGATGATGTCCGTGACGTAGCCCGACTCGACATGGATACCCGAAGGTTCGATGAATTCGGGGTCCCAATACTCGCCTTGGCCGGGAAGAATAGACCAGTAGTCGAAACCCGTCGGCTGGTTCTCCACGGATTCACCCATGTGCCACTTTCCCACCATGGCCGTCTGGTAGCCTCCTGTACGGAGGTGTTTTGCGACATTTGGGAGGTGCTTATTAATCTAAGATATCGCCATGTAAGCGGCTGTTGCAGAGTAATGAAGTCGCGGAGAGAGAAAAAGGCGAATAAACTTACATGATCATCCAGTGTCATGACGCCGTTCACATGGTTGTAGGTACCACAGAGAATGGCGGCTCGAGAAGGGGTGCATATCGAGTTTGTGACATAGCAGTGGTTGAATTTCATGCCCTCGGTTGCGAGGCGGTCAATGTTGGGAGTCCTGTTGATGCCGGCCCCATAGCAACCGATGGCTTTTGATGCATGGTCATCAGCCATGATGAAGATGATATTGGGACGCTTGACACTGCGGTCGTGAGAAGGCCCCGGCTCTGCCATTTTGGCTAGTCCTGACTGTCGGCTCGAGGCCGGGGGACAACTTGAAGCGCACGAGGAGGTATGCTGCGATGAGCACGAAATCAGTTCGAATAGAGGGGCAAAAGACGCCCTCCAAAGTGAGCACCGAAGGACAAGCACACAAAGGCTCGGTAATTGTAAAATTGCGTGCTTCCATGGGGGGAGCATACTCATGTACAGATGCGACCCCTGGGTTGTCGAGACCTTGGTTGTAAGTCGGCACTCGGCCGTTCTAGAAGCTGATTGGTGCACTCGATACCGGAGGATGGGCCGATGTGTAAGTCCACCTCTCTCTCCACCTACAGTCGTGTACAATACAATCCACGAGTTACTAGTCTCATTCGCGCGAAAGGAGGGTAGGATCGGTCAGTACTAGTATCCGCAGTCGGCATCGGGCAGGTGTCATGCAGTTACACTTCCCCCACTCAGCCCCACCATGCTCGCCCTCGCATAGGTCGTGTCGACAAGGCAGGGATGGACTGTAAAGGCGCCTTAGTAGTACAGGTATTGCTCATTGTGCCCGGTGTCATGACTACCCGTACCCGAGGCGTCAAAGCTCGCCGGAAATAAGGGCCACATGCTGAAGTCGAAACTTGCCCCGTCGTACATGCCGATAAGTCCCGGATTTGGAAAAGGAGAGTCTAACGAGAAAAAGGTAGCTGGTTGCGTCCAATTCTCCTGCATCAGCGGAAGATGCCGGGAAATGGCAGCGGCGTTCTCCCATGCAGATGACTGTTCTGCAGATACCTCCCTGGATGGCTCAGTGGCGGCCTCGCGGCTGTCATCGACAAAATCTGACCGGAGAAGAAGGCTATGCACAGAGAGCCTCTGCCTGGCAACAGCAGCTTTGGAGACTCCGGGTGCCGCTCTTGGACCTTGTTCAATGTCGTGAACGGCTTCACCGGGAGAGCGGGCAAGCCCTTTGTAGCTTTCGATCAGCCTGGATAGGTCGTCACGCTGATTTGATGTCAGTATTCTCGCAAGAGTAATAACGTCGCTAGCATTGGCACAGCAAGACAGACGCACCATTGGCTCAACTGCTGCGGAGAACGAAAAGCGTCTTGAGAGAATGTCTAGACTGCGCTCTGCATTGCTGATGGCTGTCTCCATGGAGGAACTCGAGTCACCAGTCCCGCTGAATGTTCCAAAAAGAACGAGACGAGCAGCATGGTATGTGCAGACGGCTGCATCAAAATCTAGGACCTGCTCGACGTCTGCATGCTGGTCATAGTACGAGAGGATCTGAAGTATTTCCTCAGCGTTCTTAAGACAGCGGTGTCTCATTGTGCTAACATCGCGGGGTTTAATTCCCTCAATGTTTCTTGGGGTGCCGCCTCAGGGTAGCCGCTTAAGAATATGCGGTACAGATCACACTGACATTGACGAAATGACATATGCATCATGACATATCGGGGCCGCCACTCAAAATCGGCTGGACTTGTGGGCGGGTACTGGTCATCCGGGGTGAATTGGGAGGAGATGCGGCGCAAATCTGACTGGAAATGCTCGATTGCGCAGAAAAGACCCGTATGATCAATTTCCTTGAGGTATATCTGTCGGTTCAACCTTGGATTCAGCTCGAAGAGTCAGCTCAGCTCATTACATGTACATGTACAGTACAGAACGGTGGAAGTAAGGCGAGGCACTGGACTGACTTCATGATGGACCGTCGAGTAAATGCAAGCTTCACATATATGCCCCGGGACCCGAGAGTGTCGGGCTCGAGTCCCATTCCCGGTTGAAGAAAACTCGTTGTGGCTTCTTTTTGGTCCCCGAATTCGGGGTACTCGCAGGGCAGTTGGAATTGGATGATTTCAGGCCGGCACAGCTCGAATTCCTTCAGGCCCACGCAGAAAACATCCTCAAGGAGGTAGAGGGACCAAAATGTCCTTCTCCGCACCTCCTGTGCCACCTGGTCGAGCTCGGGATGCTCGTAGTTGAGCCGCAGAGCAACGGCTGAGCGTGCGGCGAGCCCCGCGAGCATAAAGGCCCTCCTGGGTTTTCCCGACTCTGCCCTATAACGAATAACCAGCAGCAATGCTTGAAGGTGAAAGATGGAGGGTTCCTCCAATCGGTCCAGGATGTGGTGCTCGCTCTCGTGTGCCCATTTCTCTCGGTAAGCTGAATGTCGGCTGTGTACGAGGGCCGTGATGGCACACAGGGAGAGCTTCAGCGCGTGGTTAATAGTCCTTTCACGGCATCTCTTCTTCACAGTAGCCTCGTGCAGGAAGCTGTAGGCGGGGAGGCAATGTAGATGGCTGAAGTAGTGATCGACTAGTTCGTCCACGACATGGTGCGGGGGTTATCATCATGATGAAGTCGAGGATCCTGCGCTGTTGTACAGTCCTGGTCCCATGTCAGAACTGCCGCTCCCGAATCCGAGTCGGAGAGAGTATGCGTAGGCGTGTTGTCCAATGCGCGACTCTCGCTTGGCGGCCCGGGCGTGAAGCTGGACTCGGAGACGTTGAACCCGGGCTGGGATTTGGACTTGGAGACACCAATGGCAGGATATGAGCACAGCCGACCTCGTCGAGTGCAGTTAGCACAGCGGGGTGATTCCCCTGAGCATCGAACTTTCATGGCACGACACTGTACACAGGCATGCGCGCCGCGGTACTTTGGCGGCAGGCGTGGAGGGTCACGGGCTGCTGTGAGCCCGTCTCCTTTGGGCTGTAACGAGCATCCCGAGTCGATTCCGAGACGCTTACACGTCCCGCAGGAAGGCCTCGCTCCGTCACATCGGACCTATGGACGCGTCAGACCCGATTTGCGCCATGTATTGCTGGATGCATCATGCATGGACGCTATCTCCTTTGTGAGCTTCCGGTGCGATATACCTTCCGCACACGACATTGCACACAGACGGTCTTCATCTTGAACGGTCGGGTTAGAGCTCGCCGGAGATCCCAGATTCACAACCACAGTCCCTCAAAAATTGAAGAAACCTTGGATTGGCTCTCAACTCGATTGAAATTTAAAGTTATCGCAAAGTTATCGGCCATCTGGTAGCAGCTGCGAAGCCCGTCGACGTGGCGTTATGCATGGCAGGAGCCGGGAAGGTAATCTGCGGGACAGTGGAGCATTGTGGGCCTCGACTCTCCTCGAGCTCCCTCCGCCCTCCAAGCTCCGCAATCCCCAGTCCCAAACCCCAGGTTCTTGAGGGAGAAACATTGAGAGGCCACTCAACCAATAACTGACAGCCCCGACCGAGTACCGACCCGGCTCGCTGGATCAAGGGGGTCAAAGCAAAGCTCGATCAGGGTTACTTGCGCACTCCGCGTCTCCGACATGTTTGACTCGAGAGAAAGGCCCAGGATTAGAGGCCTGACGAATAGTTACCTAGGTAGGTACTGTATTCTGCCATTCTGACCAGAATTGTGCAATCTTGACTAGGACCATACATCAAGAGAGCAATCAAATGCAAGCATCATCAGCATTCAGCACCATCGCGTCTGGGTCTCAAATGGGTTCCCTTTCAAAGTCCCGATTCCCCATTCCACCAAAAAGTTCGCCAGATGTCCATATTCCCCAGGCCGGGGAGCAGCAGCGCATCTGGCTCTTCAGCCATCAGCTCTATAACTACCGGCTTGGTCACCATTGGTCTTTGAGATTCGCATGTGTCCAACCAGACATCTTCCTTTGATCTCTGAGTTCTTTGCCTTAAGATTTCCCATCTTCCACTCCACGCCATGACTCGTCTCGGCAACTTCAGGGCATACTGCCTCGTGGCCCTGAGCTGCGTTGGGTCATTTCTCTTTGCCTACGACACGGGCATCGTCGGCGGCGTCCTCACTCTTGATTCTTTTCAGAGGGACATGAACTTCACGGCCGCCGAAAAGGCCAATGTCAGCTCTCTTTCAGCGAGCCTTCTACAAGCCGGGGGTAAGAGCACCAAGCTCCACTTCTGCGCAGGTCATGTCAATCACTGACACGAATTTTCTTTTTTTCCCTCCTTGTGTACAGCCTTCTTTGCGTGCTTCTTTGCCTGGCCCTTCACTGCTCGCTTCGGTCGGCGATGGTCCCTTGTTCTCGCTTCCTGGATCTTCATCGTCGGTGCTGTCTTGCAGATCATCAAGGTTAACGGGGTTGGGGCCTGGTACACCGGGCGTTTGATATCGGGGTTTGGTGTGGGCATTGCCACGGTTGTCATTCCCATGTACAGCGCCGAAATGGCACCCAAACAGAACCGGGGACAACTTGGAAGCAGTGAGTTCCAAGTCATCAGCACTACTAGTAGCTACCTAGGAGCCTGCATCGTTGCTAACATTGTTGTCTAGTGTTCCAGTTCTTCTTCACCCTGGGAGTGATGACTTCATATTGGATCGACTACGCCGTGGCGAAGCATTTAGAGTCGTCCAGCCTACAGTGGCGGGTTCCCGTGGCTCTGCAGCTCGTTCCAGGCGGAATACTCGGTTTGGGCATGCTGTTGACAAAGGAAAGCGTCAGATGGCTCGTCAAGCGCGGTGATCACGAAGGCGCATTGGCATCGCTGACTTGGATAAGAGGGGATGAAGATCACGCTATCGTTAAGCAGGAGTGCGTATACCCCTACAACCGTGGTTTGATATATGGGTTTGCAAACTCCCCTAACAAACGTATAGGATGGATGAGATCCTCGAGGGTATCAGAGAAGAAGAGAGCCTCACCGAAGGCCTCACATGGAAAGAATACCTCCTGCCGACCAACCGGTGGCGATTGATGATTGCTATCACCCTGCAGATTGGTAAGTACCACCGTACCTATTCAGTGGTTCCGACAGGTCCCCGGGCTCAATTATTTGCTAACGCGGTTCCTTGGCAGGTGTCCAGCTTACCGGCAACACGTCCCTTGCATACTGTACGCTGACCATGTGTCGAAATAGCCCGGGAGAGACTGACACGTGAATAGTCTCGCCCCAAATTTTCAACGCAGTCGGAGCAGGAGATAACTCACTACTGATTAGCGGCTTCTTTGGCGTTGTCAAGGTGGCCTCATGTCTGTTCTTCCTGGTTTTCCTGGTCGAGAGAATCGGACGACGAGGCTCGCTGCTTGGGGGTGCCTTCATGATGGGCGTCTTCATGCTTATTGTGGCCGTGCTCACCGCTACCCATCCCCCTAGCGCAAGCTCTGGAATGACCAGCACCTCCATTGCTTCTCTGCTGATGATATATCTTGAGGCAAGTAAGTGATCATGTGGGCTTGTCCCGTCGTTTGAGTTTTGAGTTATAGAATCAGCGAACGCTAATGGCGTTCCAGTGACTTACAACTTGTCATGGGGCCCTGTACCGTGGGTAAGGCATCCGAATATGTCTTTCCCGGACTAGTTTGAGCTCTAAGACTGACCTCAAAACCTAATAGCTTTACATGAGTGAAATATTTCCGACTCGAATCCGCGAAGGGGGAATCGCCGTGGGCACTGCAACCCAGTGGTTGTTCAATTTCACGTTTTCTCAGATTACTCCTCACGCCGTCGACAATCTGGGCTGGAGAACATTTCTGATGTTTGCCATCTTTAACTGGGCCCTCGTCGTCTATACATGGTTCTTCATTAAGGAGGTACGCGTTGTTACCTTCATATTGATACACGATCTTCCATATGCTAACAATCATTTCTGCAACAGACGAAAGGGCGGTCTCTCGAGGAGATGAACCTTGGTGAGCTTGGCAGCATTCATTACTAGATCGCCTATCACTGACATGGGCACTTCCAGTGTTCAATCGAAGAAGCGGCAACTCGGCCACGAATCAAACACCGACAAGGGCAGAGAAAATAACCATATCGAGCATGAAGCTTAGACCTGTTCAAGCCTGAGCCGGGGAGTGGGAATGGGCGGATTGCCCAAGAGGGAGCCGCCACGTTCTGACATCTGGTACAAGGACCAAGCGTTGCATGTATAGAGTCCTCCATGTGCACCCCTCTCCACTTAGGGTCGGGTGTTCGGGATAGGACTCGGTGTTACGATCCTATTCCATCGATGACACCGTAGAATTACCTACCTACCTAATCTCCGTTCATTTCCGGTTGGGTCTGCATAACAATAACCCCTGAACTCCGTGACCAACAGTAACCCTTGCTGCCGACTGGCCGGTGCCGATACCTGGGCGATGGGTATAACGGATTTAGCCGCAGGGCGACCCAGATGTTGACAACTGCCATTGGTCAATCTGTGCAGTGTGCAACGACATGGGAGTAAAGAGCTTGGTCTGCTGGCTACCTACTTATGCCGGCTCGGTGTGGGGCCTACTTACGGTAGGAGTCGGTCGGTAAGAAAGCTTAATCCAGGAATTGTAGATCTACAGATATTGAGATATTGAGGTGTCTGCTATCGCCCCGGAATCGATAAATTCCTCTCCCATCCGTAATGTAGAGCCACACGTTGCTTGATCTGACATCAAGCAGCCGCTACTACCATTGCCTTAACCCCAAGTGATCAGCATAGCCCACAATGGCTTCGTTTCTCGTCACTGGCGCCTCTCGGGGTTATGGACTCGCACTCGTCCGTGAGCTAGCATCCATGCCGAGCTCTGAGGTTAGCAAAGTCCTGGCATCCGCACGCAGCGAGTCGCCTGCTTTGGGTGAGCTCGTCCAGCAATCTTCTGGCCAGGTAGCCGTGATCAAGTTTGATGTCACGGACCAGGACTCGATCCAAAAAGCGGCCGTCGAAGCGGTAACCCAGTTGGGGGGCAAAGGACTCGACGTCTTGATCAATAATGCCGGAGTGGCCTACTGGAATCCTAACGGGATTCGAACCATGTAAGTGATTGGAAACTTTAGGTTCTGTTGCAATGAATGTCCTTGGGCTCAGAAGCCCTGGGAAATAGGGAGAACCTCGAAGACGCCTTCGCTGTTAACGTGTTGGGAGCTCATTGGGTCACCCGAGAGTTTCTGCCACTGCTGCAACAGGGGCATCTGAAAAAAGTCATGAATATGTAAGTCTTCAAGCTGCCCCCGTCTGTTGGTGACCGAAAGAGCTCTCAATGCTAAACTGAGGCAACTTAGCTCGTCAGCTGCCGCCTCCATAACCCTCGCTCGCGATTTCACCCATCTTAAGAATCCGGCGTATAAGATCTCGAAAGCAGCCTTGAACGCTCTCACTGCTCAATTCGCCCTGGAGTATGAGAAGGAAGGCTTCACAATTTTTGCGGTTTCCCCAGGCGTACGCCGCATCTCGATCCTGTCATTGTTTAAGTTGCCCCCCTGGAGAATCTCATGGATGCTGACGGTACTGTTGATTAGTGGATGAAAACCGAGATGGGAGGTGGCGACGCGGCAGATTTAACGCCAGAAGAGAGCGCTAAGGCCGCATTGAATTTCATCTTCAACAAGGGAAAAGAGCTCAATGGAAGATTCCTAAAAGTTCATATCAAGGGGTGGGAGAACCGCAAGGGAAGGGCCGCCTATGACGGGACTGACGCTCCGTGGTAGTGGCTAAGGGTTCTATTGCAACACACAAAGAAGATGAGACTGGTGGATGTAGTAAGATAAGCTCCCTGGAGAACGCGGGAGCATGAGCAGGTATGATGAAAGTAGTGATATTGTGCCTCGAGGTGACAAAGGGAAGATGGGAGCTTAAGAGAACCATATATATACAAAAGAGAGCTTGCCACAGTCAGGGGGATCTTAACAGGGGTTAAGAGAGCCCCACAGACAGGGTCCAGAATACAACAGTTTCCAAATTACTCCCTGGAGTGCCTGGATGCTAGTACATATTGTATAGGTCCTTGGCCGTTGGGTTGTGTGTATGGTAGCCACTGTCGAGCACAACTGATGAGAGATGTCGAGGTTTTCCATTGTTTTGATACCTCTGTGATCCATCCCCTTCCTGCCCCTTTCCGCCGCCACCAACCGGCTGGAATCTAACCTTGACACCGGTAAGCATAGACATAAAGTAATGCGGCATCTCCTCCTCTGGCGGGAAGTTGGTGATCTCGATATCAAACTCCCGCAGCAATGCAGGCACAACCTTGAACACGATCAGCTCCGCCAAATATCTACCCGGACAAGCCCTGGGAACACCGCCCCATATCAGGTTATTCCGCTCCATCACTCGAACTCGTCCCGGGTTCTCCTCGTCCAACCACCGGCCAGGATTGTACTGGCTGGCATCGCTGCCAAAGATCTCAGTGTTCCGATGCAGCGAAACCGGATTGCATCCAACAACCGTGCCGGCTGGGAAATAGTAGCCATGCAGCGACACCCCGCCCGCAGGCACTTTGCGGGAGAGCGACATGCCGATCACTGGGTACAATCTTTGGGCCTCCTTGATGCTGGCTTGGGCATATCGAAGACAGATAGCTTCGTCATAGGATATCTGACCACCTGGGAGTTTGCGGGTTTCCTCCGCGACCGTTGCATGGACTGCCGGGTGAGTGCCGATCATAGCCAATACCGAAGTTAGAGTTGCACAAAGGGTTTCGTGACCGGCGCCAAAGTTTGTGATAGCAAGGCGACGTAGGTATGTCTTTGTAAACTCGGGACGTTGCTTATGACGTTGGATCAAGTCCGCGAGGAGGTCCCGTCGTGCATCATTCTCGCCTTTAACACGGGGGTTGTTGCCGATGGCATTGGTGATCCTCTTGGATGTCTTTTGGTACACAGGCTGGTCCAAATGAGTTAGTGTTAGCCCATTCACCCGACCCTGATATCAGTAACACACCGTGAAGAATGGTTTGAAGTTCTTGGGTGTCCTGTAAGTCACGTTCCATATGTTTGAGAAAGCTCGACTGAGGGATTTGGAGAAGAATGCGAGAGTGGTAACCGCGGGGAAGAGACCGAAGACGCTCTTCCGTTTCCAGCCAAGGTAACTCTGGGTGCTTGTGCCCCCATCCGACCTGTTCTTGATGTATCCCGGAGACCAGGATAGCACAACAGCTCCGAGACATTCGACGGCAATGATGTGCATCCATTCCTTGAGATCTACTTCGGCGCCATCCACCGCATGAAGCTCGCTAACCGCTCTCTTGATGACGCTGTCAACTGCTGGCTCGAACTTCTTGATGTTGGCTGTCATGTACAGTGGACCCATGAGTCTTCTCTGGAGCCTGTACCGCTTCATGTCGAATTCGGATAGCAAATCCAACGTGTCCGGGAATCGGACATTGAGGCGCCAGTCTATCGATGGCTTGGTCAATGCAGTAGCCACTGAGTCATCCATGTTAGAGACCGTGACTGTTCATGTTGCCGGCTGCCCAGGACCCGGGAGGCTTCAAGTCTGATCCCTCGCTGCCACTTGGCACTCACAGTAGAACTCCGATTTTTCGTAGCCGTTGCTCGCATCTACAGTTGTCAGATCGAACGAATATGGAAGGAAGATGGGATCAATATATGGATAGTTACTGTATATCGTCTTGAAGGCATCTATAGAGTCGAACCAAACTTCGTTTGGCCCTATGCGAACAACAGGCCCATACTTCTTGTGGAGTGACTTGGCTAGCTCTCGTGCAAGTCCATTACGGACGTGAATTGCCTGCCAAACATTGGAGAAGATTGCGAGTTTTGGACCTGGAATTCGGGCCAAGGGATGGAAAAACATGCGGTAGGTGGCAAGGATGAGAAAACACAGAAAAGCGAGCTCTAGGGGGGTTATAAGACAAGTAACAATCGCCGGCACATGCTCCCCCATGTTCACCATCTCCTACCTAGGTAGGTAGGAAGAAGCCAAAGAATAGACCGGAGGGGCCCTCAGTCGCGGTCATGACGGTGGTTGTTGACCGCGAGCGAAGACACAAAAGGACAAAATTTCTGGCGACGAGCAGTCGAGGACGAGGAGAGTGGAGACGTGCCCACCCCTTATAAGGTTAGGGTTGCCAGGATAGCGCAAAATTCCCGCGATCGCGCTTCCAAATCCAGACAATGCATTCCAGCAGCAGCTTCACTGCGGCGGTCCAAGGCTCAACACATCCAGCCCGCCCTGCAGCTGCGACTTGCTTGGCATCCTCCCCAGGGACATAAGCTGCGCGCATTGCGACATGGCCGGATCCATTCCCATGCTTGCCATGGCCACGACGGTTTCGCCCTTGGCATAGTACGCCACCCACTTGCCTTGGTCAGGATCGCCCTGCAGTACCAAATCGTCCCATCCGCTGGCCATCGTGTTTCCGCAGTAGCGCAGCTGCGATCCGAGAGCGCTCCAGAACACGGGCGTGTAGAATTGCGGCTTGATGTTGGGGTTCACAATGTGACTCGCCGCCGTGCGGCCCGCGTTCTGTGCCACGTTCCAGTGCTCGATGCGCACAAACTTGCCCTCTCCGCCCGGACCCCAGTAGGGGTGCGTCGCGATATCGCCAATGGCGTACACGTCCTTCAGACCGACGACGGAAAACGACTCGTCTACTTTCAAGCTCCCGTCTTGTTCGAGCCGAACCACGCTGTTGTCTTTCAGGTACTCGGTCGCGGGCGCGACACCGACACCGAGAATGACGAGGTCAGCATCGAGCTTTGTCCCATCTTTGAGGCAGACGCAGCCGACATTGGACGGGTTGGATGTGGACGGCTCAGCCTTCTCGACGCCCGCCGACATGTAAAACTTGACTCCTTTCGCCTCGACACCCTTCCTGATGATGTTGCCCACCCGCTCCCCGAGTACGCGTTCCAGCGGCGCCTTCTCCATGCCGACCACCGTCACGTCGTTGCCGTTCGCCGTCGCAACTGCGATCTCCATGCCGATGAATGAAGACCCGATAATGACAATCTTCTTGCCCTTATCCCCGATTGCCTCGACGATCTTCTTCGCGTCGTGCACATTTCGGAGGGTAAAGATATTGCCCAAGACCTTGAAACCCTGAAGCGGGAGTAGACGTGGTGTGCCGCCGGTTGACAGGACAAGCTTGGTATACGCAAACTTGCCGCCCGACTTGGTCTTGACAGTCTTGGTCGCGAAATCTACACCGGTCACCTCGTCATTGACAATATCCACACTCCCACTCTTGAACCAGCCTTCGTCTCGCCACTGTAGCTTCGCCAAGTCTGTCATGAGGGCTTTGCTGAGTTTCGGACGGTCTATGGGCAGGTAGCCCTCGTTGGAGATCAGGGTGATGGCGCCCTGATAGCCCTTCTCTCGCAGGCCCTCGATAACGCCCAAGGATCCGGATCCGCCGCCAACAACCAAAACTTTGTCTAACCCGGACACTGAGCATTTGAAGTTTGGCTTGCGATGTCCCAGTTTGATCGTTTCCGCGTCGCCCGTGATGTAGACGGCGCCGTCGCGCTCGGTAGCTTTGAACACGGGGAGGGCGTTGAGGGCGGGAGCATCTTCGACGTCGCCAGTCTTAGCGTTAAAGCAAGCTGTAAGCAACATACGCCGTTAGCAAGGTGCGAAGGCGGGGGCAGAAGACTGCCTCACTTACCCCCGTGCCATGGGCAGGTGAGCTTCCCGTTCGTCCCAAGCACGCCCTTGACGAGCGGTGCTCCGTAGTGGGTACAGCGGGGACCGAGTGCTTGGACTTTCCCGCCTGCGTTCAGTAGGAGCACTTTGGCGTCGAGGCCCTCGACTTCGACCTCTTGTTTCTCTCCTGGTTGCAGAGCAAGCGAGCTAACGCCCTTCAGTTTGTACTCTTGTGCCATTTTCCCCAAATTTGCCGAGAAGGACCGTTGGCCAGATGACGCTGGGGAGCAAAGGAATCGTCCAATTCGGAGGGCTAATCGCGTGTTGTGAGTCGTGTAAAGTGCTAAAGTCATCAGGATGGCAGCTGGGGCAGCTAGGAGGGGAAGGGAGGAGGGGACGGGAAAGCGAAGGAGGGGCCAGCAGCAATTGCGCTGCGTCCTTCGGTTCTTTCGCAACTACCGTACCTGGGGGAAGGAGCTGGAGGGGCATTGATTACGCAAGAACCTGGAACCTAGTACTGGCCAAAGTAACGATGTATCCTGTAAAGAACCATTAGATACCTTACACATTATTCCACACAACCTGCACTTTGCACGCATGTATGTACACCCATCCTGTATCGAACAAGCCAATACCGAGAGAGTTGCTTGGCTGAGCTTGGTGGAACGGTGGATGGACACAGCCTGGAAGCCACGCATTGTCGGGGCGATGTAATCGCACAGTCCCTATTGGTTCGATTGTGCGACAGGGCCCACTAAAGCTTGGTGGGGTCGGAATTGGAGAAGCGTGGGTCAGGTTGCGCCCGTTGCAGTGATGGGTCGACGTTGACACCTCAACATGCCTCGAGCATGAAAGGGAATGCCCTTTCTAGTTGTCCGGGTGTGATAAGCGAACTACGGAGTATTGCGGACAATCATTGGGTCGATTAGTTTTCTGGTCATGTTCTGAAGTCGAAGTGAAGACGGGAATATGCCAGAGCGGGGCATACGGATACTTATCTTATCTAGCCTTAAAGTTAACAACTTCAGTCAACACGGAGTGCAGGACGTCCAGCGTCTCGCTCTTGCTCCAGCCTGCCCTCTGGATGCGCGCGAAAGGAGCAAGTACAACCCTCACCTGCTTGCTACTTTGCGCGAGTATAAACCCCCCCCCCCTTCTCTCTCTGTCTAACCGGCGGTAGCTCGAGAGATCTAGCCCAACAAATCGACGAACACCCCAGTCGCATACTTGAGTTGCCCGATATCTAAGTACTGTAATCGATGCCGTCAAACTGACCCTCAAGCCAAAGCGCAGGTGTGTTCGAGGTTGCCAGTGTTCCATCACCGCTTAGCCTCAAGTCACTCAACACCGGATTCTCGCCTTCAGCGTGGCCTTCGCTTGCAGCATTTTCGGCCACCATTTCCGCAGCAAACTCCAATTCAACAAGCATCATTTCCATGTTCTTTAGGGGGAGGAGTATCGAAACTTCTGTGGCCTTATGGAAGAGGCTGAGTGCAAAGCGGCAGAGTCTCATATCCTGCTGTACCGTGTCGCGTCCAGGATGTTCACATATGTCGCACATGATTGCAATCAGTGCCGTGATCAGCGATGGGCAGTTGGCCCTGCTCTTGTCAGCATCCAACCCCTCCCACTCCTCAGTCGAAGATAGACTGTCGGCTCACCAAAAGTTACAATCGCTTGGCGGTATTGTTCTTGCAATAGTCAAGCATTCCCTGCTGACGCCGAGACAGTGCTTCCAAGCCCATTCAGTTGGCGGGTTCAAAGCGCCGAAGCATCTGTGCCCATGACTCTCGCTTCCGAGGACCATGGCGCGGGTATGGCTCGAAAGCAGGTTGAGCCAGTCCGCCCGAGTACTCCAAATGCCATGGGCCATAACCAGGGAGAAGAGATAGCCACAGTACAAGGTCGACATGAATAACAGCTCCATGCGCCCCAGGCTTGTTGCGATCGAACCCAACTGCATTGGCGTCGGAATCTCACTCCTCCAGCTCTCAAGCTGCTGGTTCAATCGCAATACACGAGATTCCTTCTCCTGTGCCGAGACCTTACTACTGCGATTTGAGTACAGCAAGTCGTAGACCCGGCCTTGGATATGAGCAAGCCTCAGTCGCAAGCGGAAATAGTTGACCCGTGCGCCCCCATCCGTGGTGTGCATGTCGCCAGCCCCATCCGCTGGGTCAGCGGGTGGCAGATCCAAGTCCGTGTCCACATCTAGCTGGACTGATGGTGTGAAGTGCCGGAGCGAGATCTCTTTATCGAGCATATAAGTGATCCAGAAGAGGCGAGAGCGATGGAGTCCCTCCTTAGGAGGGTAGAGCGCCTCGATGTCCAGCTTGGATTGCAGTCGCAGGCGATGCGTCAGCCGCACGGCAGCACCGATCAACACTACTGCCGGTCGGCTGTCGTTTTCGGCCTGATACAGGATGACGAGGCCCAATAGGACTTGCAAGCCGAGCAAGTCTTCATCACGCATCACCAGTTCGGCCAGGGCGGACCGGGCATTGCTCATGTAGCGCACGAAGCCCGGCTCATGCCGAGATAAGCCCACATCCTGACCTGGGACGGCGGGGTACCGAGATCCGAGGGCTAGTACAATGTTGATGCATGCCCACGCGGCCCGTTCGCGGCTCGCCGGGTTGCTGTACCACTCGAGTAGCATCCGCATGAAGGCAGGTTGAGCGAAGAGCGGAATTAGGGTGTTGATATGCGTAAAGTAACGGTTTACGATCGGGAGGATCTCGTTACCTGGTGGAAGCTTGAGCGCAGATCTTGTTTCCAGTCCGCACTCTCTGATACTGGCCGGGATACTGGCCGGGAAGGCTATCACGTCCACAGCAGTATCATCGTTGGCGTCACCTTGTCGCATGAATGCATCGACATTTCTAGCCTGGGAACTCCCGCCAGTATTGTTTAATCCGGCAAGGGGCAACTCTCCCATGAGCTTGACCGCCGCGGAGGTTACTGTGAGGACCTGCTGGAGTTGATTCTCGATGCGAGCAAGTCGTTGTTCTAGCGGACTGGGTCGACTCTCACTTAAGGCATGTTAGTGTATTCCCATGCTTGTTTCCGGGATAACATCAAGGTAAAGTAGGTGTATCAAGGGATTCACCTTGTCCGACCCGGGGGCTCGGTGACTGCTGAACTCGACGTTGCTGATACGTTCGCTCGTTCATGTTGGCTCCGTACCTTGCTATATCGCCGGCGGACTGCCGTAGTTCGACATGCAGCCCCGTACTGCCGGCAGTTGGAACATGACGGCTTCCCCATGTCGCATTTGATCTTTTTGATAAAGCAAAGATCGCATGCTTAGGATGGCAAGCTTTTTGTTAGATATATATCAGCAGCTCAACATGTCTTCGTCTGGAATCTGCACGTACCCTTCCGCCGGCTGGTTTGGGGGACCGTCTCCATCTTGTCACAGCCGTTTAAGACTGATGATGTTTGTTGTGTAATCTATCGGCTGTGGTTGCTCGAAGGATTCATGAGAGGACTCCCGTCGGTCATCTTCTGTCGCAAGCTGGCCGCTTTCCCCCTTGGCGCTACATACCTTACTGCATTTGTAAGCACAGAGTTTGTAAGCATCAAGACCAAGTACTTACTGTACATGTAACGTGCATTATAAGCGAGTCGCGCATATAAGCGAGTCGCGCACTCTCTACCACAACGCGTTCTCTCGACACTTAGCCTCATTTTCTCCCACCACCCAAAATGCCAGCTCCTTCAAAGGAAGCGAGGGTTATCTTAGCCCTTAAAGCTCTCCAAAACGGCAAAAAAGTTAAGCATTAGAGCTATAGCTAAGCTCTACAATATACCAGAATCCACCCTACACGACCGACGCGCTGGCCGGCCTGCACGACGCGATCTTCCAGCTAACTCGCGCCGACTTACCGATTCCGAAGAGAAGGCTCTTGTTCTGTATATAATTGAGCTATCTGAGCGAGCTTTTCCGCCGAGACTGCGTGGTGTAGAAGATATGGCCAACCAACTGCTACGCGTACGCGACGCGCCCCCTGTTGGCAAGCTTTGGGCACACAACTTCGTCAAACGCCAGCCAGAGCTCCGGACACGTTATACGCGTAGATACGACTACCAGAGGGCCAAGTGCGAGGATCCAAAGGTCATTGGCGAGTGGTTTGCCCTTGTACGGAACGTCAAGGCCAAGTACGGTATTGTAGATGACGATATCTACAACTTCGACGAGACTGGATTTATAATGGGCATTATCTTCGCGGGCATGGTGGTGACAACCTCGGATGGCCTTAGCAAGGTAAAGCTAGCTCAGCCTGGTAACCGCGAATGGGCAACGGTGATCCAGGGAGGGTGCTTTCCAAGCTGGATGTAAAGCTTCGTACACCAACGCCCTTGAACTCGCGGGCCAGTACACCACAACCTTGGGTCTTCCAGACACCACACAACCCTCGAGAAGCGACCTCGCAGTCAACGCTCATCAAAACTCGCATTATCAGCCATCAAAACAGCTCCCCAACTTCGATGTTGGCTGCTGTGGACCAGCTTACCAAGGGTACAATGGCTGTAATGCACCAGGTAGCCCTCCTTCAGGCAGAGGTCTCTTCGCTCCCTAAGGCAAACGAGGCACTAAGCAAGCGCCGAAGAGCCAAGAAAACACGTATACAGCTCGGAGAATCACTTGCAGTGCAAGATGCAAAGGATATGCTAGACCAGAAGGCCGTGGTTGGGGAGGTAGTACAAGAGACGCAGCCGGATGGTGGTGGTGCAGGGAGGGTCCGTGCAAAGGTTCGGTGTTGTGGTGTGTGCGGCAAGCCTGGCCATAATGCCCGCACTTGCCAGGAGGTTGCAGAAGGGTCTGATTCAGGTGTTTCTGATACAATTGTAGTTGGTTGATAGGTTTTGTTGTCTTGTAATTGGGGATAATGTTTGTAGGGTAGTGGAGAGTGCGCGACTCGCTTATATGCGCGACTCGCTTATAATGCACGTTAAGGATTATAGCGTCAAGAACGGGGAAGGGATGTATCAAGCCTGCTGTAAATTCTTCATACTTCGTTCTCCCGTGGTGAATGAATATTACATGTACAAGTACCTTCGCTTGCTCAGGGTTATTTCCTTATCTAACGACTACAGCACGTAACATCTACATCGCCATGAAGGATACTGTAGGCGAGACGGCTACCTTAGGGACGGGACTGCGCGGAGCTTATGGGTCATGCGCGCATCGTGGCACTGCTAAAGATGCCGAGGGGCGGACGTGGCTGGCTGCCGGTACTCGAGGGTCGAGATTGACTGTTATTCCTCTCAATGTACCACCAGGTGCCGCCCAGCAAGCCCAATGCCTCCAATCCGTTCAGGCATAATCGCGATCAGGATCTCGGGCTCGTGACTATCGAGTTCCAACAGCCCAATTTGTGCTGCAGAGTTTCTATACATTGAGAAACCAAGCAACCGTGCGTACTTAAGTGGTTGGACTACCTTATGCAGGAATCATAGACGTCTAGATACCGCAACTGAGAGGGGTAAACCCGTATGTTTAATAGATGCGACGCTGTGGAGAGCTGAAAGCCTTTTGCAGTAACTCGGGAGTCATGCGCCACGCGGACTGCAGTGAGGAAAATGCGCCTCGATTGCTGAGCTTATACTACCGTTGTGGTGTCACAACCTTGTCAATCCGCCGTTGCGCCTAGATAGGGGTTCACCGCTATGTAGCTTTAATATATGGGGAATCCGAGTTCGAAGGACCCCCCCTTCCCAACTCTCTCCCTACTCGCGGTGCCTCGCCATAGGCGAGAGCCACGAAACCGTCCAGATTCTCTTTGTGGTTCAAATTGCCGCATCGTTCCCTTTGCATAGAGTTCAGCTTGTCTCGAGGGGTGACCATCGTCTCGGCACTCCTTGTTGGGGCTGGGTGGGTTGTATTGGCAACCAGGTAAACTTGAACGACGAGATCCTTCAGACACTCTAAGCTCGCATTCGCTATCAGTCTGCTGGAACAGTACGATTTCAGTAGTATGGAACTCTAATTCACTTGGTATCGACCTGGAATACTCTTCAAGCTGAGGTTTCCGAGTAACTCTGGGCACGCGTCATGATAGCGGTTCAGAAATTCATCTGTAGGTATAAAGGGGGACGATGAGGCCTTCCAGATCTGCAGTCTTGTCTGAAGCGGAAGTTCATCAGTTTCAACCTTCACAAGCACCTTTACAACTCTGTTTCTCAAAGACCTACAACCTGTTCGTACATCAAACCCTCCGAGGTCTCGAGCGAGCTTCAACAATGTCCTCAGCAAGATCCTCGTTCCTATCTAGGGACAAGTATGGCTACGACCTCGTTGTGGCCACTACGCAAGCCAGCATCAACTCGGGTCTTCACAAATATCTCGCTGAGAATGAGTTCAAGGATCAGTTTCTCTGCTTCAAGATCGACCCTGGCAATGGGAAGTATTTCGACGTCCCCCTCAAAATGCTCCTCGACGAGACCAAAGTCAACCCCTTTGACATCCCCGCTGGCACCGATGCGGCGGATCCAAGAATCCAAACCCTCACGGCCGCCAAGTTTGCCCTGGGCATCAAGATGACGGTCGGTGTCCCACAGGGTGTCAACCCAAAGAACCTCGACATTGTCACCCTCGGCAGCAGCGCCGAAAGTGTTCTCTTTAACATGTACTGTAAGGACATTACCGTGATTGAGAACTACATGAATTGGGGGATGCACAAATGGAACGTCACCTCACAGCCCGAGGGAACCCCGTGGTATGTCCAGACCAGGGTCAACCTCACCATGTCGGAGCTGGACGAGAGCCTCAAAACGGACTACTTCGACAAACACCCCGATGAGCGAGATGCCATCAGGGCACGTCTCAAGCCTTTGGGGGACATGGCCTTTTCCATCCAGCAGCTCAACTTCGACCTCGCGAATGCGCTGCTTCAGTCCCCTCCCACCTTCAAGGGGCTTGAGGAAGGAACGTGGCCATCCAATGCTCTCAAAACCGCCTTCGCTGATGTCTGGTTCAAGGCCGCCAAGGAACGTGGCTTGCCCATCATGTCGCTCCAGGCCGTAATCAACAAGCCGGACCCGTCGCAACTCCACTTGACAGACTACGAGCGACAGGTCAGCGTGTACAAGGGTGCTACCGGCAATGCCAACCGTGACAAGAACCTCACCACGCTCGACTATCTTTGTGCTGTCAACAATAATCGGCTCCCCCTACCGGCCCCTTTTGACTGGAACTGGGTCGACAGTGCCAACATGAACAGTCAAGCGGGCGTCGTGTGCATCAACCGCAACACTATTGCCAACTTCCTCGCCGGCAAGCTTTTGCCTATTGCCCAGAGGTCTTGCATATCTGTCGAGGCTTACGTCTCGGTCAAGTCGGGGGGCGATGCCACATACGCCTGGCGTTTGGAAACGGGCCAGGTACCCCAGGTCATCATCAATCCCAAGGGCAAGGATGTCCTCAGCATAGCGTACTACGGCGAAGCCAAGGACAACGCTGCAGCTGGTGCCACGACAGGCGAATTTTACCTGAATTCTAGTTATTCGTTGGAAGTGCAACTCGAGGGTCTGCGCGTCAGGGTCCGACAGCGGTTGCAGATTTACATCTATGCCGAGTGGAACACGTCCGGGACCGGTTGTACGGTCTACGACACGGTGTTGACGGACTGGTATCAGATCGATGTTGACGGTTATGGTAACCTGTCCATGTCCTGGACTGCCACCAAGGATCCTGAGGACTACTCGACAAAGCCCGCCCTCAACTCCTTCCTTGACTTTTTCGCAAACATCAACGATTTACTCGACGATATCGGGGATAAGGTCAGGCCGTTTGTGGACAGGCAGTTGAAGCGAGTCGACTTTGGAACCATACAGAGCTTCATCTTCCCCGGTGGGAGGGTCTTTGCCTTCAAGAACGCCCGCTGGTCTGACAATCAGGATCTCCTCGCTGATATCACATACGCCGATACGACGGCCGAAGCTAGCCAGCGCTCACTTGCCATAGAACCTGTTTTGATGCAGTCGAGGACGCAACAGGCTGAAACGCTGCAGGTGGCTCCGAGGATCGTGACTGCGTCGTCGGAGCTAATCCAGAATTACATCCAAGCCGAGATAGTCGCTCCACGGTCCAAGTTTGAGGCTCTGCAGACCGGTGACGGCCACGCGCTGCTCTTCGGTCTTGACCCTGGGGGCAGTTTCCATGTCATCCAGGAGCACAGTGGCAACGCTGATGTGCGGACCGGGTGGCAGGTCCTTGACCTCTCGACCCTGGTCATCAGTACCGTCTTTCGCAACCAAGCGGCGGTAGTCCGTTCCTTTGATGTCGCGCAGAGCGCCGTCAATGGTACCGTGTCTATGGCCATGGCCATCACAGCTAACGGCGAAGACCACCTCTTCCTTTCGCTCGGGAATCCTTCGTCGGACACGGCATGGACCGGGAACGCCTCCTGGGTTCAATACACGTTCGATGCCGAGGGCCAGCAGATGAGCAACATCACCATCGTCGGCATTCTCTTCGCCGAGACCTCGGAAAAGCAGCAATACATCATCGTCGACATCGACCGCACCGACAACTCGTCTGTAAAGAAGATAGAGCGGTACTACGTTGACCCGACTCAGGAGACGGGGCGCTACTGGGTCAAGCACGACATTTCGGTAGACGTCGAGGACGCCAGTTACCAAAGCTGCATCGGCCGCCGCTCCATGAACGACGAAGTTGACGGGACCTATACCTCAGGCACCGTTAAGGGGAAACCACAGCTCGTCTACCTGCCAGTCGTCAACCAATGGGGGCCAGGCCCCGCTGAAACCGTTCGGATGAGCTTGCCCAACAAGGTCGTCCCCACGGCCATTACAACAGCCCGAAATACCGACAAGCAGTCCCCCCTTTATGCAACGACGGACCTGTATGCCATAGGTGACTCCACCTTGTACCGATTCCCCGCCGAGTCACTGAGCTCGCCCCAGGCGCTGGCTACGAGCAGCGTGCTCGCGGGGACCGACCAGCTCGCGGCCATGACTCACGATGGCATCACTACCATCTGGGGCAAAAACGCCAGCGACCAAGTCTACTATCTCTCATGCCCCGCCTCCCAACTGGCCGTCCCAGGGGCCTGGAGCACCCCCATGCCCATTGCGAGCGGCGTCGAGCGCATGTCAGCGTACGCCAACCGGGCCGACGGTGGCAACACCATCTTCACTTCGGGCGGCGGAAAGCTGCAGCGGTTGGTCCAGAGCACGGCCGCAGCCTCCAAGGTTTGGCGAGTTGAGGATATCAAGCTCGCGGTACCCGCCACGACCAAGGCCCTGGCGTTTAAATCCTATACAACCACAGTGCGCGTCGCCGATGAGAACGATGTCGGGGTGCCCAACGCCGTGGTCACGTTGACGGCAAAGAATCGTACCCCCGTCTACATCCACGGCCTGTACTACGTCTTATCATCGGTGCCTGTCCAGGTGACGGCCGACGCCTCAGGCTTGCTCTCAATTGTTGAAGCCATTACCAACATCAACGGCTCTGTCTTAAGCGTCTCAGCCGATGGGGGTACAACCATCGAAGTCAACCCCATGGAGAAGAGCTTCCAGAAACTCGCGTCGCTCGACTCGGAGACGTCCCTGAGGAATGCCAGCTTTCCCACCAATGTCAAAGCTGGCGGTATCATTGGTGCCCCTCAGACGGCCCCGCTAGTCAAGGAGGGCACGCCTTCAGCCGATGTCACGGCCGTGGCCCAGGGAATGCAAAATCTGAAAAAGGCATATGCCAGCGCCGGTGCCGCTGGTGCTCTGTCTCTCGCGGCTGGTCCCTCGGTTGTTCCCACGACCATGTTCTTCGCGTCGAGTACTAGCGACGTGGCCGCGGCAGCAGGAGATCTCTTCCGTTATCTCAAGACAGGCGTCGAGGCGGCGGTCGACGTGTTTGTGGACGCGGTGACGCAGGCCTGGAGCTTTGTCGTCACCATCGCCGGCAAGGCATACCGGGCGGTGCTGGACACGGTCGAGGCCGTTGTTGGCGCGCTTGAGTGCGTATGGGACAAAATCAAGACCGGTGTCCAAGACCTGATGCGCTACGTCGAGTTTCTGTTTGAGTGGGACGACATCCGGCGGACTAAAGATGTCCTGCACAACATGATCCGGTTGTACCTCAAAGATAAAGTTGACGGCATCCAAACCTTCAAAGCACAGCTCGATGCCTGTGTCCAGGACGTGGAGAAGCAAGTTGGCGAGACTTTTGGGGTAAAGGACTGGAGTCCCCTCGGCGAACACGCGACCAAACCTCTGTCGGCTGGCAGCAAGGATCCCAACAAGGGCCAGACATCGGGCTCGCAGCTGCTGTCCAGCCACTACAAAAACAACGCCGTGAATCTGAGCGTCGTCGGTGACGAACCGGCTCTCGATGTCGCCGAGTCGCTCCTCGCAACGCTGATCGATGCATTGGAGCAGGAGGGCGATGTGCTATCGTCAGTGGTTCAGCAGCTTGTCGATCTCGGCAAGAAATTCCCTAGCATGACGGTAGGGGAGCTGCTCACTGAGCTGGCTGGTATCCTGGTTGACGGCGTTCTCTCAAGCGCGCAGGTTGTCATGGACGCGCTGCTCGACGTACTGTCGTCGGTTGCATCGGCTCTGCTGGATGCTCTCGATACCAAGATATATATACCCGTCATATCGGATATCCTGGGGGCCATTGGCGTGCCTTCGCTGTCGTTCCTGGATCTGGTCTGCTGGCTGGGTGCGGTGCCGCTCACCGTCGTCTACAAGCTCGTCGAGGATGAACCACCCTTTCCGGATACAGACCTTGTCAAGCGACTGATCAACGCCAGCAGCCTGGATGAGTTCAAAGCGGCGATACAACCTCAACCCCGGCAGACCCTCACCGTGACTAGTAATCGACCGCAGAAGAGTCAGGCGGTCAGCGTCGAAAGGCTATACCAACACTGCCACTATGTGGCGGGGATGCTATCCTGGGCCAACATTCTCTTCGTCACGATTGAAGTCCCGGAACCCCCGGGAAAAATACGTGACATCCTGGGGTCCCTGACAGAGTTTAACTGGATCGCCGGCACGTCGCTGATGGCCCTCGCCGACGAGTTCATCGAAAAGATGCCGGTTGAAGGAACCTGGACAAAAGTCCTCTCTGGAGGGGCTTTGGGTCTCACCATTCTGTCCAAGCTCTACTTCTTTGGCCCAGCACAAAGCTTTCTGAAAACCACCAGGTTGGTCCAGAAATGGCCGATGCTTATCCCAGAAGATAGCCGAACCGTGACTGCGACCATCGATGCAGTCCTGACCCTGCCGACGTACCTCGTGACAGTGGTGCACTTTGCGCAGCTCGCTGGCAAACCAACGGGAAAAGACCAGGATGCAGCCATCGTCGCAGAGTGTGCAAATCTCTGCGGCTATTTCGCGAGCTGGCTGTACTGGGCTGCGGTGATTGACAAGGAAAAAGAGTCGCAGGGCGTGATTGTTGGCTTTTTGGCGTTCTTCAATTTTGCCGGCGGGGCGCTGCAAGTTGCGGAAGGGGCTATGGACGCTTTTGTGCCGGAGAAGTAGGTCGGTAATGATTCTTCGATGGTTGTTTAAACAGTCAGTCGTTACAGTCATCAAGTTGCATTCCCCAACCGATGGAAATGTCTGTCCGGCTGTGCAGCGCGCCCATGTCGTGCTGTCTGAACTTGGGTTGAACAGTTGAAGAACTCGAAGCGGGTTCGGGAAGAGGGTCAGTGCGCATATCTGGGTGGGCACCTATTACCCTAGCCCTCGGCTCCTGGGCTTAGGGTTTGGGTTAAGTGGCAAGCTGCCCCTGATATGGGTCTGCTCTCGAGAGTCCAAGGAGTCAAGGACTGTCCTTACGCCCTTTAATTTTACCGTCATGGGCGTCTGTTCTCCGTCGGGTACTATAGTACTACTAGTAGTAGGTAGATGTAATACTTGCAAGGGAATGCGGGTGTTATCAAGCCAAGTACATCTAGCGTCGACAACGTTGTATATATCGTGTACTGTACATAGTCTATATTGAGCTCTATCTTGCTTTATTGGAACGCTGTGCTTATTTTTAGCCACCCTATCCTTAGGTTCAGTACTAGTTGCCAAAATCCCGGGTATTTACAGTCTGCGGTTCTAAGCCGAACGTAATGCCGTCCCCCTCCTCCCAGCCTATACGGTGAATGATCGATAAAGTAGGAAATAGCAAGCTATAAGAGTTATTCATTAAACTACTCGGGTGCGTTTCCTCCGTGACTCTCACTTCCTTCCAAGTTGCTCCTTCTCTAGGTACCTACGTGATCTATCAGAGAAGGAAACAACTCCCCGGAACATCACCCTCAATACAAGTCATGGCTTTCCAGTCGCTACCACAGCGCCTCCTTTTCTTGTTTTGGGCCGCCGCCATGGCCTCGACATTGCCGCCTTCTTCAGTACTATCTTGGGAACGGGATATCAACATCACATCAGTCGTGGGAAGCGGCGTTGGCTGCCCTAAGGGTACTAGTACTCTGTCGACCTCAAGCAGCTACGATGGGACCTCCCTGACTCTCGGCTTCGACGATTTCCAAGTGTTTTACGGCCCTGGTTACCCACTGCAAGCCAGGTCCAAAACCTGCATCATTGTCATAACCGTCAGGTACCGGAGCGGACGTACCGTGGAGCTGCTGGGAACAACGTACCACGCATCAGCACTCCTGGATCCTGGCATGACGGGGAACATTTTGTCGTCGTACACATTTTCCAGTAGCGCCGTGGGTAATGCAAGCAGCGCAAGCAGCACTGAAGCCAAAGCTACCGGGCCTCTCATTGGGGATTATCTACAATATAAAGCAATAATACCCAAGAGCTCCACAACCGTTGCACCTTGCGGTGTGGATGAAGTACGATTACAGATCAACACGCGCATCTCGGTGACCTCTGGCAACGCAACAGTCTCTGGCAGAGTGGATGGTGGCCCTTTATTCTCGCTTGGTACTCAGCTAATTCACCTAGGATGGGTGCCGTGCAATAGTTAGGTAGCCTATTTGAAAGCTATATTTCTTAGTTCTCTATGATTGAGAAGTTGCCGGAAGCTGCCAGTGCCTGAACTCAGAAGAATCAACACTTTGTATTCACGTAAGTCGAAGTGATCGCTAGCGTGGCCTTTAGGTGGTGGTAGTTACCTTACGTATGAATAGATATATTGGAAGACGGATCATTTCTTTTCAACGTCGGTACTGTACTTCCATTCTTCCTGTGACCGTTGTGTCTTGTGGTCCCCCATCGGACAATGAACATGAACCCCGCTGGCTTCACTAGGTGCCAGGCGAGCTGGAATGCGGGCTGCATTATTAGCCTTGGCCCTCCAACCACGCTGGCGACATGAAGCCACTCGGATGACGAGATGTAACCTGCCAAGGCCCGGGCTGAAGACACTCGGCTCTAGGAGCTTCCACCAGCCACCGGTAGAGAACAGCAAAACAAATTGACGCTTTCCTTGCGGTTCAAATTAGCATCAACATTGTCTTCTAGACTACTGTACTACCCACTACACGCACTCGTTGCTATTAAGTTATCGCGGTTTGTTTATACTCAAGAAGCTTTCAGACCCTATGGCAGGGACCGCAGTTGGGATTTCGGGGCTCTGGTATGACCGGTCTAGGCCAGCAGTTCTCGGCGCCACACTCACGCTGCCGGTGGATCAGGCATACTACCTCCTCACCTCCCTTACGTTGCTAATCACAATAGCTGGGGCGAGCTTCTGGAACCTCACAGCGCTGCTCCTCCATCGACTGCTGGCGGCAAATCAAAATGCCGACGTACTGGATCTAGAGCACCGGGTAGCCGTGTTGAATCTAGGCACTTCGGCAAAGGTTTTCCTGTCCGCCATCAAACTATATCACGCATGGTTGAGGAAAGGTGTGCGCAATCTAGAGGCCCGTACGCTGCTGGTGCTGGTACCCGCGGGACTTGTCTGGAGCACATTTGTTATCGCTTCCATTCTGGCATCTCGTGTCGCCATAACCGATAGCAATGGGGATGTAATATCTCCAATTCGGCCACATCGCTGTGGCTTCTTCTCCTTCGATGTGCCCGAGAACGAAACCGACCCCTTCGGCATGATGCGCAAGATCCCCAATGACACGATTCAGGCCAGAAACTACGCCAGCTCCTTCTACAACAGGGCGTCTACCTCGCGTCCGACCCTCTCTCGGTTCAAGTCCATCACACTTTCAATGGATATAGACACAGCGGCCCAGTGTCCCTTTCGAAATCCCGATCGATGTCGACTCGGACCCAATGGTGCCATGGCGATGCGAACTGGCCTGCTCAATTCCCATGAGGCCTTTGGGATTAACTCGCACCTGGCTGACCAAGTCGCCTTCCAGTACGAGGCAACCTGTTCCCCTGTCCAGCCACTGGACGGGGAGGTTAGAAGGCATGTAAGGCCGGGCTTAGCTGGTGATATTAACCGCAACGTTACTCGTGCCTACTTTGGACCTTACGGGGATGAGGATTTTACTTACGAGTTCTACGATGAAACGATCAACACACAAGCAGGCTATATTGTAGAGTATGGCTAACCTTTTTGTTTCCATCTCCTACCTAGTTCTGATCAAGTGGGAACAGGTCTTATTACGCCAGAACCAACGACTGGAATCCACCCACTTGGGTTCCTATTCCAGACTTCAACCGGACCGACGCCGACGTGACCATGTTCTTCCTGAGTCAGAACAAGATCGGCTACATAGAGCCCACCTTTGACCCCTGGTTCTGGGCCAACGGCTCGGACTGGCGGAAGATCAACAGTCTCAATCTGACATTGGCCAACAGATTCTTTTCAACCATGGCCTGCACGGAGCAATTCAGGCTCTGTAACCCCGCCAAGGAAACCCCCGACGCTTGTCTGCCCTGGACCGGACTGGTGCCTCTGCAGAGCGCCTTGGTGGAGAACGACCCGGTCACCGGGGGGCTATTCAATGTTCCCCAGATGCTGATCGCCCAGCGAATCCTGACGCACATGACCCGCTCGACCCTGCACTACAGCGTGGTCACGCTCCGGGGCGCCGCGCTCTGGGCCAACGACCTCGTCTACGGAAACCTTTCCCCGGGCTTGCCTGACAACCAGTGGCAGATGGAGGCGCTGGGCTGGTTCCAAACTAGCCTCGCGAAGCTCCAGTCGTACATTGTCCAGTTTGCCGCAAACTCGGACGATCTTGGACCGTATGGCCGTGTCCGAACCCCACTGGACATGCTGGGGACGAATAGTAATGGGGAGCACGACGAGGCAAGCAATGCCGTCTACCATATGATGCAGGACCAATGCAGCAACCAGCTTGTTCGACCTACCGGGGAGATGCAGAATTTCAGCTTTCTTGGGGTCATGGTGATTGTGCTTTTCAGTTGTACCGTTATTGTTCTGGATTTGGCCGGCGGAGTGATCCTGGAGTGGCTGAGAAGGCTATTGAGGAGGCCATCTGCCCTTGCGGCTGCGAGACAGGCCGACAATATCTTCCATCTCGTGAGACTGGCTCTGCGTGCACACCTCCCGCACGGCGAACGTTGGGTGCTTGGGCAGTGGGAGGTACCTGTTTGGGACGGCGACCTTTCGATTCCTCGGCCATATATCGAGGAAAATGGAGGCCTTGCCCTCTACCCTGATCCGAGCAGGGTTGAAAACCATGTTCCGAAGGGGCATTGGAGGGTGGGAGAGGCTATGCGAGTTGAAGAGGCGGAGGTGGATAGTCTTGAAATGCAGGATACGACCGAAATAGTGGCCTAGAAAAGGGTACTTGTCGGAGGGGACGGATTGGAGGAAAGTCTAGGTAGAGGTTTAACGTTGTGAATTGACAGGGGTTCTGAGGAAAGGAAGAGAAGGAGAGCAACAAATTCCAGGGCCAACGTTGAACGTTCAGGCTAGAATACCACTGGATGGCTGAGGTAAGCACGGCGGTGTAGGCTTGGCCGGGGTCCACATCGCGCCCTGATTCTTTACTATTAGCAGCAGATGAACTGTTTGCTTGCAAACACCACTCCTTCAAAGCTTCAGGCCGTACTTCGAACCGAATATTTTAGCATTCCGTTAACAAAACCCCCCCCAAAAGCTACCCAAGTCGAATGGTACGGCGCACCAAGTCGGTTTCGGGAACCTGGAAATCCTCGACGACTACCAGACCTACTCGCTCCCAACAGTCGCCAGAAGCCACGTATTCCACCACCATCATGACGCATGTCGCAGCGTCACTTGTCACCCCGAGGACAAGGCAGACCCAGGGCTCCTCGCGGAGCCTGCGGGCGAACTTCTCATGGCCTTCTCCGGACAAGTGATCTCTAGTCGGAGAGAAAGTCCCTTGGAGAAACTGGTCGCCAAGACATGTGCTTGCACGCCACCCACCACCAGACTCCTCTCGAATTTCCACTTCAAAGGTGCACACGGACATTTCCAAGATATGGTGTTGGCGGAAGATGGTCGACTTCTCGGTGCTGCTCAATTGCTCATACTCACCCAACGGAATGCTCCGTAGACCGTCACCGAAGACGACAGAGATCTCGATTGGATATCCCTGTGCGAAGGAAATATCCCAGTCATAGTCTAGGTCGCTCCTCTTTGGCTTCACAACGCCCTTCCATCCCGTCCACGACCAGCTTGGGAAGCCTGGGCGACGGTGACCAGGACTTGAGAGATCCCACCTCAGCCCGTTGACTAACGACTCCGCGACAGTCCCCAAGGTTTCATCAGTCGGGTCATCGCGTGGCTGCAAGGGAATGCCGCAAAGATGGTGTATCTCGCTGCTGAAAAAGGTACCGAATATTCCGAGCATTGCATTCAAAATGTCCGACTGGTACGTCAAGCGCCTCCGGGTGTAGTTAGAGACCAAAGCCAAAAAATGCGAGTCCGTCGCCCGGGTCGGAAAGCACCACGACCCAGCCTGAAGGCGATTCGAGTACTTGTACGAGTCCTTGTGGATTCGTGCGGGCACTTGGACAGCTTCTCGAAGTAGAACACCTCGGCACTCGTAAGAGACCTCGTGCTCGGTGAAGATGAGTCGCCGCCGAGATAGCAGACCTTCTTGGTATGTCCAGCCTCTGGTCGCCCAGACCGAAGATCTTACGGTACTGGCTGGGTCAGGTGGAATGGAAGTCAGCGCATGTCCTTTCACTTGCGCTCGAAACTGCGGAGTCCTCGGTTTTCCCGCCCGAACTCCCGGAAGGCCAAAGGAAGAGTCGTTTCCCGCTGCGGCTATGATGGTTATCTCGGAGCTGCCGTATATGTCGCCCATACTGCGCAGATGCAACGCCCGGATGGCCTTGTCTTTCTTGACGATGCAGTATCGGTCAACCCACAGATAGGCGTACCCCAGCCTCCTGGTTACGAGAATCGCATCTTCAACTACCGGCTCGACCTCGCCATCACCCAACGTGTCCAAGTCTTCGTCTGAGGTCAACACTGAACCAGGGGTCGGAGGGCCCCATACATAGCTCAAGGCCACAAATGGAACAGCTGAACTAGGAGAGACAATCCGGCGAGTGGCGCATTCGATGAGCCGCAGATGGGGGACCATTGCTCCCTTCCGGGGCTTGCACAAGCGCGAATGGGAAGTTCCGCATAACTCAACCCAGTCACGAACCATACCGAAGTCGATGGAGTTAGAGGAAAGTTCTCGAATATCCAGGGAGCGTGTGCCGTGGATGCAGTTCGAACCGACACGGGCGATGAAGCCGGAGGACAAGATTGAGTCTCGGACCCAGACGGCAAGGGCCTCAGTCGAGATGTATTCAAAATTACCGCGTTCTGTCGGCGAACGGGAAGGGATATCGGGAACGACGGCCAGAAATACACTGTCGATCCACCCCTTTTGGAACATTAGCTCCCACTGCCAAGCCAGGTCGTTCTGGCAGAGCCAGACATCGGTGCTGGAAAAAGCGTGTAGTTGATGGTTGCAACCTTCAACTGCGGCGTTGAGTATCCTGTTTTGTGGTTGACGCGGTCGGATCGAGCCGATGAGCCGACATGATGCACACGAACTCATCTCCCATGCTTCATCGACCTTCCCCAAATCAGGTATCACACACCGACCAGTTGGCCTAGGCACAAGCGAAAAGACGTCATCCCAGTCGATCTTTTCACAACGTGAACACAACTTCTCGTTCATGGCAATCTCCTGGTCCCGCTGCTGCGCAAGCAAGTTGATCCGGACATCCTGCTTGGTCACCCTTTCGTACAACTGGTCTTGCTGCTCAGTTGCACAGCCTTTGGCCCGGATGCTCTCCGTCTTTGAGGCGGATGATGCTGCGAGTTCAAACCCCGGGACTTCTGAGTCGTCTTTTGGAACCTCGTCGGTTTCGCCTGGCGGAAGCCATCCTGGATTGGCACCGTTCTTTGTCTCGAAGATAGGCTTCGTCTCCTTCCTGGCAAGCAGGAGGTCAACGATTTCATCGCCACGTCTCATTGTCAGTGCTCGATGCATGGGCGTCAGTCCTTCGTTGTCCTTTGCATTCGGGTCGACCCTGTCGTCCTGAAGGAGGCAGCGTATCACTTCCTTGCGCTCGTCGTCGACTTCATGATCATAATCTCCATCAACCGCCCACGACAGCGGTGTGCGACCACTGTGATCCCTGGCGTTTGGGTCTACACTCTCGACGGCAAGCAGTTGCCGAACGATGCCGGTTTTGGCGGCCCCGGCGGCCAGAGACAGCGGCGTTCGCCCGTCTACATCACGGGCATCCGGCTCGGTTCCTGTCCACTCCAGTAGCACCCTCGCAGCCTCGTCGCTAGGAACCTCTGCTGTCGCCGCTAATGACAAGGGTGTCCGATCCTTTGCATCCCTGGAATTTGGGTCAACACCAGGCATATTCAGCAACCTCCAAACAATCGCCTCGTGGCCTCGCCATGCTGCCCAGGCCAAGGGCGTTTTTCCTTCTTCATCTTGAGCATCCAGCTGGATTCCGCCTTGGGAGACCAGGAGGTCGAATAGGACTTCATTTCCATTAGCAGCTGCTAGAGACAGTGCAGTTCTCCTCCCGGTGTGGATTTTTGATTTCGGAAGAGTTGTGCGGTTCAAGTCGATTGTCACGCCCGAATGGAGAAGACACTTCGCCACAGCCTCATGCTTTTCCTCAATGGCGAGCAGAAGCGGCGTCCAGCCTTGGTTATCCCGCGTCTCAACGTCAATCCCGGGATGGCGGAGAAGTGCCTCCACCGTGGCCACACGACCTCGCTGTGCCGCGTGAGACAGTGCTGTTCGACCTTGATAATCACGAGCATTGGCATCGACTCGACCCGTGGCGAGGAGGAGCGCGACGACTTCATGGTGATCGGAGTCTTCAGCGTCTGAGGACCACCTAGTACCATAGGCCGCCCACATTAGAGGCGTAAAGCCCTTGTTGTCGCAGCTTGTCAGATCCAGATCATCTCTCCGCAGTAGGATCTCCACGATGGCTGTGTGTCCGTGGCTTGCAGCCGAGGATATAGGGGTTCGGCCCTCACTATCGGCAATATTCAGGTCCACCCTCTTGTCAAAGAGCAGTAACCTGACAATCTCCAAATCACTTCCTTGAGTCACAGCCATTGATAGCGCCGTCTCTCCCCATCCAGATTTTGCGTTTGGATCGACAGAATTGTGGGCAAGCAGCAGTTTCACCGCATCCGCTTTGCCACTCCTTACAGCGCACAGGAGGGCCGATTCCTCGCCATCGGGTGGATTTGGGTCGGCTTTGTACTCTGTCAGCAGGATACGGACAAGTCGCAAGCTGCCATTGCCAGCTGCAGTGGCAAGGAGCCTCCTCGCTTTTATGGCGTGGTTCTCAGGGTCGGAATCGAGGCCACCCTTCTCCAGTAGCAACAGGGCAACCCTTTCATCCCCATTTGCCACAGCCACATCCAAGGGCGTTTCATCAGACCACAAGCTACCTCCCGCTCCTTTGTGCGGCTCAATGCCCTCGGCGTCGAGGAGTAACTCGACGATTCGCGTATGTCCCCCCTTTGTGGCGATGAATAAGGGTGTTTCCCCTCGCTCTGAACGCTGGTACGGCTGTCGTGCGTTCAACATGACAGGGTCAAGGTTTCCGGTCCGAAGTAACAGCTCGACAATTGCGCCGTGTCCTGCTCGAGAAGCATACCAGAGTGGCGTTGTATGCTTCACATCTCGATAATTCGGGTTTGCGCCACAGGCCAGAAGGGACCTCACAATCTCCGCGTCACCTTGCTCCGCGGCAAGTGAGAGGGGCGTACGTCCTTGGTAGTTTCGCAAGTCGATTTTAACGGCGGGGTCGGTAAGCAGGAGCTGGACAACTGCCTGGTGTCCCATCTGTGCTGCCCAGCACAGCGGCGTCTGGCCGTAGTCGTCTCGCTTGTTGATGACGTCGCTCTTGGTGTTGAGAAGAGTGGATGCGGCCAAGAGTGATTTGATGACGGAAGGGACACCGGCGTACGCCGCCATATGCAGTCCACTCATCTCTCGTGCCGAGGTTTCGCCACCAAACACGGCTTCTTCCAACTTGTGGACAATCAAGGACATTTGGAAGGCTGCTTGAATCTTGGGCTGGGTGCGCAGGAATTCGTACACTTCACTCGGTGGCTCATTGGCAGTCTCGAGATGATGAGCCCAGTTCACTGCTGCGTATTGAAACAGAGGGCGTGACTGCAGCCGTTCTTTCAGGCCCTCGTTGCTTGGGCATGCCCCCGTCTCAAACTCGGACATGGAGAGGTACCGAATGCAGGCGGTACCGATATCAGCTTCGGGGTACATAAGATCTTGACGGCTGAGCAGATACTCCCTCGCCGTGTTGTGGACAAAACTGACAATGTCGCTTGAGGGATCCCAGACAAGCAATGGGCGACAGGTCTCGAGAATTTCGGTTATATCTGGTCGTGTGTCTGGGTTGACGTTCGAGTTGCTTGTTGGAATCGCTAGGGCCTCTTGGAGTTCTGTCATGGTCAATTGCCGCGTTGCGAAAGTAAGCCACGAGAGGGCCAGTTTGTTCTGCCCATCCATTTGGCTCGCAATTCGGCCTACAGCAACTCCATACAAGCCGCGATATACATCGGGCCCCGTCAGTAGAGAGAAGTTCTCTCTACTTAGGGTTAGAGCTAGTGTTAGGATTAGGGTCATTCGAGAGAACACGGCTTGCCAGCAGGAAAGTTGCGACGACTCGCAGGCAAGTAAGCCCATGTATAGCCGGGCGGCCAGAAACCTGTCAGAGAGTTAGCTGGAGTGACAATGTTTGTAATCGGGAGACGTGAACGAGCATAGATAGAATTACCTTCCAGCAGATGCCTCGACAATGGATAGTGTCAATTGGGCTCCTTGGGTGGTATCAAGATGTGCATGAGCAAGCGGCAGGAAACGGCCCAGGCTGTCCACCACGTATCGTTGCAAATCTCCATCGTCGGCAACAATATCAAACCTTATAGCCTCCTCAACTAAGTCGGTAACCTCGGGTATGCCCCGCGAGGTCACAAGTAGCCGCGCACCATAGTGCTCCTCCAACTTAACCATCTCTTCAACAAATCTCGCCCTTCCGGCCTCCATACACTCGTCAAGCGCGTCCACAATAATGAATACCTGTCGGTATTTCTCGACGGTCGATCGCATCTGCCTGAGAGTCTTGATGAACGGCGTAGGAGCATCTCCATCAGGGGACCAGTCGCTCTGAGCCGTATCAGACCCACGCTTCACAAGTTGCTCGGTCAAACTCTGGCATACAGCCTCGATGCTTTGCTCGTGGCTTCTCAGTTTGTTGAAGAAGATGTGCGCAATACCGACATCCGAGTCGTTCTCGAACCTGGACGCCAACTCTTGAACAATGGCGGAGGCAGCGATAGTTTTCCCTGCGCCTGGTTGGCCTGGACAAAAGAGGGTACGACGGGGGTCGGTGCCTGTGACCCAGTCCCGAAATGCAGGTGAAGAGAAAATCCATTGACAGGTTCCGGGATGGAGTGTGCCGGGACGCATCCAGAGGAGGGTGTCGTCGTCAAGATGAGGCGTCGGCATCATGATGGGGTTCATCATATTGGAACCGAGACAGAAATGATCCCCGTGTTAATTCAATGTTGCGTTCAAGTCTGGTAGACTAGGCACTTACCTAAGTGACCAGGGCTTGTCTTTTCACGACTGGAAGACCCCAAGCTGAAATTATTCCCAGGTAAAAGCAGGCCAGCCCAACGAGAAGTAGGCATTCTTGGGCAGCGAGAGTCACGTGGAGCTAACAAGTGTTACTGACCCCTTAAAATACAATAGAACTCTCGCTAAAATTACCAGAGTCTCAGGCTCTAGCATACAAACGGCCGTCGGTGGCTAGGATGCTGCGAGTGTCTGCTTCTGAGTTAGCGCAACAGTCTTATCCAGCTGAAACCAGGCTGGGTGGTGGGACGGGATTGAACTCACATTGGAAGCTTCCGAGTCTTCCTCGAGACAGGGATCTCGCTCCGATGCCGATCCTTCCCATTTGGCACGCCGTCCTTGCCATCAGCTTGAACCGCCGCAGCCACACCCCCCCTCGACTCCTTCATGTTGCGTCCACGGGAACCGAAACACAACCTTGGCCTCGAGCTTCTTCTCAAACAGCTCATAGGCTTTGGGCGCATCCTCAATTCCCATTGCCGCGGAGACAACCCACATACCTCAAGCACCAAAAATCAGCACTGACAGGATGCCAAGTTCCGAGTCATCTTCCAGCCGGTCGTCTGTTCCAGATCAGTTGGGTAGCCCTTCGCCGGGGCCGGACTCGGACCCGCCAGCTGCTGGTGTCGATAATGTTCAAGACAGTTATGAGGACTACATGATCCCCTTTGAGCATGAAGCGAAACCGCCAGGGTACAGAACAGAGGGCTTGACCGTCCTCCTGCCAGCGGCTCCCGAGGATGACGCATTCTTCATGCGACAAGTGCCGGTTCGCGACTTCGAGTAGGATAATCTTTCTAGTCTATAGCCTATGTCATGATGTCAAACCAGAATGCGCCTAACATGTTCATAGCATTGTCATCATTCATGGACTACACGGCGCACGCTGGCCACCGTGGAAGAATTCCGGCTCTGGCGACAGCAAGTGGGTTTATGACATGGGCCGTTGGCATGGGCGCACAGTCATGTCTTTCGGATATGATCCCCTTCGCATTCTATCCGGGTCACGAATTAGAGAGTCCATTCGTAGGGCATCCATTCGTCTCCTGAACGACTTGAAGACTGAGAGAGCTCCTATCGAAAAGGTAAGGTACCTACGGACCCAGTTGGTCTAGTTTGGACCATATTACAACTACTCCTCATGCTAGGCGTTCTCTAATCTGCACCCTTCTCTCGGTAGGTTCGGCCTATAATGTTCGTGGCTCACGACATCGGGGGTGTCGTCGTGAAAGATGTAAGTCTTCGAGGGCCTT